CCTAGTTAAGAGAGAATATAATATGCTACCTTGCTAATGGGGTTGTCCTTAGATCAAAAACAATAAGACATGTATGATTTGACTATGACCTCTGTATGCTCCCTGACATGTAATGTAAGGCTACATATTTGAAACACTACAAATGCACAACTACTTCACTCATATTTAGTCTAATGCTCGATGTAGGTGATGCACACACCGTAACAATGCTGGATATAATCTCCTCTTTGAGTCTAGACCCCACCCAAGGCACTATTGGAGCCCTTTGGGGGTGATGACTAATTGTAGGCTGCCCAATTATAATTTCTAGTAAGATAATTTTAAAATTTTAGACATCACTCTTCTCATTCAATGTATGTATTTGACAATACATGTAAAAAAATGTGTCTAAATTATTTTTAATAATTTAGATATATTATTTTTTCCTTTTATTATTTACATCTACTAAGATACTAAAGTACACTTATCATAGAGTTGAAATAAGATGTCATAGAGGAGCACATGTCCAAATAAGATGTCGAACAAGAAGCCAAGGTGCTCAGAAAAGTAGAACTCTCCTTCAATTTAGTCATGGGGCTCACATAACTCGTGAAAATGAAGTTCAAAGACATTATGGTGTCCATGAAAATCATTATTTTGGTATATTGTGGGGGCACCCACAATTGATTGTGTCAAAGCTGGTGGAAGGCCTAAGATTACTATTGGTTGTGAGATCAAATTATTTTGTAATCATGGAAAATGGAGTTATAGAGGAATCTACATGTAGGTAACTCTAGAGATGTAAAGGCTCAAAATAATATAATACTTCTTACTATTATAGTTGGGTGTCACTAACATCCTTGGGATGTAGTGGTTGTAGTTTTTGAATACCATAGAGATTGTTGGGAAAAGTTATAACTGATGTTCAAGATGACAAGCATAATGAGAGTCATTAAAGGTAACTCCAACTTATGCAAATCATGCATATCTTTAAAGGCACATGCCAAGCCTTTATTGGCCTTGACACATGAGGTCTATAAAAGGTTGATTTTTTTGTGGATTTGTATCATGTGAGAAAGGACTAGGAGGCAGAGGCACCAAAACTTTCAACTGACCTTGCTCAATGGTGCATGATATGCATTTAAGGGTCTTTAATTTCTTTATGGTTCAACCCCCAAAAGAAAAAGTGAAACATGATATAAGTTTGAACTTAAAATGAAATTAGTCAACATCTAGTTGTATAGATATCTACATTTTGAGACAAAAATTGAATAGTTGTAATAAGAAATGTGGGTGACATAAGTGATAATTATTTACTAACCTATATTCATGCTAAGTGCTACTAGTTTGAAGGGAGGAGGATTTGGATTTTTGTGTAGACTATCATGCCCTCAACATAGTCACTATTCTGAACTGATTACTGTTTTTAGTTATAGGTATTCTCTCAAGAATAATATGGGCTAATGACCCATGGGGATCCTCTTGGAGTTTGAAACCTAAAGAAACTTGGGCATTTATTACTTCGATAACATGCATAATTTATTCACACGTAATAACAACCAAAAATGACATGGTGCAACTGTGTTATCCAAATTGGATCTAAAATCAAGCTATTATTAGATTTTAGATGAAGAAGGAAAACATTCCAAAAATTTAAGATTTACAAAGGAAATTATGACATTATAATAATGTCTTTTGATCTTACAAATACACTTTTAATTTTCCAATCCCTCATAAATAAAGTATTTTATTCTTTTGTACATCAATTCTTATTAATACATTTTTATGATATATTGGTGTGTAGCAAGAACAAAGAGATATATGAGACACATCTCCACCAAGTACTTTTGTGTTGAATGAGCACCAAATGTATCTTAACACTGAAAAGTGTCTTTTTGGGCAATCATACGTTGAATATTTGAAGGATATTTTCCACTATAATAATGAAGTGGAGAGTCTTTTTCAAATCTAGAGTTCACAAAAAGTTATGACATAGAGCTCACAAATCTAGTATTCTTGCATTTCTCACTTCCTTCTGAAATTTACTAATATGTATTAAGTTATGGGTTGGGAGGAATACTCACATAACATTGACCAATCTATTAGAGCATCAAATATATGATATTTTGATGATGATGATGATGATAAATGATCATAAGATCCATTAAAAGGATCAAATTATGTCTAGTTTTGAATATACATGATATGAAGCTGAATATTAATGTGTTTAAATGTAATTTAAATAATCATGATACATATTTAGATGATAACTCACTGAATATACATTTACGTCACAAGATTTTTTGAGTACTAGCAAATATACATTAAACTTTATTTAAATTGCTTTATCTCATCATTCAAAACTATTATTTTACACATTATTGTAGGGTTATTAAAATTTACAAAAACTGTCACAATAGAAAATTGAGCTATTAAGAGGCTCAAATTAATGAGACTTTGTAAAGAAAATTTAAGCATGAAATCTTGCACAATCTATTAAAGACTTGTCTTGTTTCATTATATTTTGAAAGGTTTTGACATTGAATTAATAGAGTGGATTCAAATTATACATTTATGTCACAAGATTTTTTGAGCACTAGCAAATATACATTAAACTTTATTTAAATTGCTTTATCTCATCATTCAAAACTATTATTTTACACATTATTGTAGGGTTATTAATATTTACAAAAACTGTCACAATAGAAAATTGAGCTATTAAGAGGCTCAAATTAATGAGACTTTGTAAAGAAAATTTAAGAATGAAATCTTGCACAATCTATTAAAGACTTGTCTTGTTTCATTATATTTTGAAAGGTTTTGACATTGAATTAATAGAGTGGATTCAAATTATACATTTATGTCACAAGAGTTTTTGAGTACTAGCAAATATACATGAAACTTTATTTAAATTGGCTATATCACAAAGAGTGACTAAAAATATTAAGATCATCAATCAATATGTTTTTCTTGACAATTGTATTTTATTTTAAATGGCTCATCTTACTTTCTATTGTTAAATCAAAGTGTTAATGAGGCATGTTTTATCAATTCTCAGTCACAATATTAGACTCTTAATGGACTATATGAATCCATGTAATTCAGATATGGATGTTAAGCATTAATAAGATCATGTATTGATTTCACTTTAGCATATCTGAATGATTTAAATGATATATCATATTGGTCTCTTAATTATGTAAATTATTATTATTTTAAAGAAAATAGACATTATAAGATCACAAAAATCTAAGAATTCCATATGTGATTACCAATGAGTATCATAATTTTACGACTACTAAATATGTGAGATCATCATCATTTCCTCAACAACCTCCAGCTTTACATTTATTCTTCTAAGAAAATCAAGTGAGATATCTTGAGGAACCCCCCTACTAGGCAGTCAAGTAATTCAAAGGTATTAAGTTGATGAGCATTATTCAAGCATTCAACTAGCTACCTAAACTTGTTCAAAACTTCAAAGTCTTCCATCATCTATCAGCATCCTAATGATAATGAGACCATAAAAGCAAACATCAAACTTCATCCTCTTCATTGAAATTTCAAACACTCACAGAGATATCATCTTCTAGGAATTAATGAATAGTGAAACATTTCATATTTGTCATGGGAAAAATAGGAGATTAAATCTGTATTAATCACTCAAGGGAACTGACCATGAATCAATTGGTTATGATTGTCTACTCAATTTGAGTGAAACCAACAAGTAGAACTAATGTTGGAGAGTGGACATAAAAAAGAGTCTAAACTATCATAAAAATATCTTAATCTCATATTTATCCATGCAAGGCATTACATAAAAAAGTATTAAAATGAGATAAATCAGTCTCATTACAAGTTAACCAAATCAAAAGACTAGAAATATATCAATTCAACACCCTTTTCTTGATATAAGTGAGGCCTTAAATATAACACAATCATATATTTCTGCCAAGTATTATCAACATGAAATCAACTCAAGATGGTCTACAAGTAAACATTAATTGCTATTGTGCTAACCAACATAAAATGATGGCATTATGTGTAGGAACAATGCTTTATAATATACATTGAGTAATGATGTTTGGAATTTTATTAGAAGACATCCAATTAGACTATCAAGAATTATTTGCAAAAGTCATTAGATCCAATTTTGAAATTTTATACAAAAATGTAATAAGATGTCTTATCACATCGACCATAGATGATATAAGTCTAAGCAACTATAATGGTGAAAACCTTACCTACTTGACAATCAATAAATCATAGTAGAAATTTAAGTGCAACTAAACTCATCTCTCATACAACAAAAAATTGAGCAAAACCCCAAAGCATGACCCTGTATTATTTAAAACATGAAGTATTGTATTATCAAATCACTTAGTTCTATCATAGAAGACCTTATTAATCTAAAACAAATTGAGGTAATAAAAAGATAGCATGGTAAAGGTCATTCATGATTCCTCACAACTTATAAGTAGCTCACTAAATAAATGTTTTCAATTGAATTGAAATGTGACATAAAGTAACATATTGAAGCGTGCATCATTTGCCAACAACACAAAGCAATGGCCCTCTCATTGGTGAGACTCTTGTAGTCACCTCAATCCCAATGCACATATGAGAGGATGTCAATATGGATTCCATTCAAGGTTTACTTGTGTCAAAGGGATAGAATGTCATTTTGGTGGTTGTAGACTAATTATGTACTCACTTTTTTTACTTCTAACTCACAATTATTTACCAAGGATGTTGTGGGAATCTTTATCATAGAAGTTGCTCACCATGAATTCCGACTATGATCAAGTCTTCCTTAATCAATTCAACTAGTAACTTCTAAAACTATGAGGCATATTTAAAATGTACCACAATGCATCATCCACAAACATGAACAATCAAAGGTTGTAAATTGTTGCTTAAAATTTATTTGTGATATTTCTCTTCTAGTAGACTGAAGAAGTAGAGTATATAATATAATATCACTTGTCATATATCTAATGACAAAATACATTTAGGGTTGTTTATGACAAGAATCCTTTTCTTTTCACCCTTTGGGATTCAAACATCCAAAGTCATTACTTTTGACCAACTACTACAAAAGAAGATATTACTTCGCTTGGGTTTAGTAAAGAATGAAGCTATGAGTCGACAAAAGGTGTCGAGATGTACGATTTGAAATGGACAAACATACATATTTGAACCCATGACCCTACAAAAATATAATTGTTGACTCATGAGGTCAATGAGAAGCTATCATTGGGCCTTTTTTATTCTTTTCGTGTCGTGGAAAAGATTGAATTGAAAAACAACCTAAAAATAGCACTTCCCTTTACTAGTAAGCTTGCTGCAGTTTTTTCATGTTTTCAGTTGAAGAGAGCATTGGGACCATTGGATTATACTCAACATCTACTAGACAACCTAGGCTTAGGGATACATATGCGACACGGCATCAATTATTCAATATCAATTCAGTGATTTCTACTTTGAAGATAAGGTAGATCTTTCAAGAGGCAAGTAATGTTAGGTCCCAGTGGGCCTAATTGGGCCTAATTGGGCATAATTGGGCCTAATTGGGCCTAATGGGCCTAACGGGCAAACTTACCATTTATGCAAAACGAGAGAGAGAGAGAGAGAGAGTTGGGCCTCCCCGTCAAGGACAAGGCCGTTATTTACTGGCATTCCCGCCAAGGCTTACCCTCCCCGTCAAGGTCTGGTTGGGGCTTCGCAAAGCAGCAGCGCGGTGATCCGATCCGCTTCAGCCTGAACCTTCTGGAGCCGCCGCCGCCGACTTCAGCCGGATCAACGAGACCGCTGAGGTGCGTTGTCTTCCCGTTTCCTTCCCTATTTCTGCTAGCGGCAGGCTTCTCCGTTTGTGCGAGATCTGAGAATGGCTTTGGTTGTCGTTTTCCATTAATCCGGGAAGCCGCCGTGGCGTAGAATGCTCTCCTGAACAATCCGCCATGACTGGAATCCCTTTCGTGGTGGATTAACTATATTTGGTATCCTAGATTGAATTACCGGAGATTGATCTTCCAGTGAGGAGAGAAATCTAGTGCAGGGCGGTGTTGAGATAGGGAACGTACAGACACTGCACGAAGATCTGGATCTTCGAACAGTATTAGGATTAACTTCATATTGACGAGATCTGGCCTATGAGATGATCGGCAGACTATAAGGATCCCTGACTATCATCCATTAATACTCTTCTGGCAATCGATCTGTAAGGTGGTGTTGGCGTGCTGTCCGTCCTCTGCAAGGTAGTTTTTCTACTTCTTCCCTTCCCATGGCTTCGCCTCTCCGGTCACCAGGTTTTTAGCCGTCTGTGCGATGCCGATTACAGTTTTCCCCACGGCCTCGAACAAGTCCTCGACGGCCGTCGTCCTCCTTCCTTGGGCTCTCAGATATCCCAGCTCGCGCTCCACTTCTTCTCCCTCATGCTCTTCTTCCACAGCTGATCGTTCATCGGTAACTGGCAGGCCCCTCATCTTCTCCTTCGTCTGGCGCGCTTTCTCCCCTTGGATTTCCTGCAAGAGAGTCAAGCATCAGAAGCTAGCAGGATTTTGTACACAGAGTCTTCGGCGCTAGTCTCCACTTGGCCGGAAATCTCCATTGCTTCTTCTTTCTTCTCGCCTCCGAAGGTCTCTTCTCCCCCCTGAACTGCACCAACCGCAGCTTCCTTCGCATCCATGGCCTTCTCCCGGACGTACTCAGCGGTGGTCTTTCCTGTGCTTATGGTGGCGTCCTTCGCCGTTTCGTACGCTTTCGAACCCTGCTCCACCGCCATTTCCATCCCTCTCCTACCCTTCTCTGCGACCGCCTCCTTCGCCGCGGCGGCCTTCTCCGACGCCATAGTGGCCGTCTGGTTTGCGTACTCCTTGGCCACCTGGTAGCCCTGATGACCCTTCTCCACGGCGAATTCCTTCGCCATGGAGCCCTTCTCCGCCGTGTAGTCCGCCGCCGTGCGGATTCCCTGCGCCGCGGCGTCTTTGGCCTCCACTCCCTTGGCGGTGGCGTAGGCCACGGCGGCGCCAACCCCTTGCCCTACGGCCTCTCTGGTCTCCTTGAGAGCAGAGGCAGTGGACTCCCTGGCCTTGGCATAGCGCTCCTCCGCGGCCCTTATGGCCTCGATGGAGTTCTGCTGGGCCAAAGCCCGATACTCCCCGATCTCCTCCAGTGGCATCTCCTTCTCTTCTTCCTTCTCCACTGCTGCTTGTTCATCGCTCCTCTGCAGGGAAGCCATTGCTGTCTGGCTCTGAAGTCCGTGTGTTTCTTTCCTCATGCTTGAAGATGATAAGAACAGGGAAGGAGGCGGTGCATCTTGGGCTTCCTCGTGGAGGCTGGGTTCCGAAGGGGTCGACACCTGTCGGAGGAGCCCGGACCTCCTAGCCTACGTGTCAGGAGCATCCTGGCCCACGTTGACAGTCGTCTTTTGGGACAAATTAGTGTATTATTCATGGCCAATATACACCCTGGTAGAACCTCCGTGACACCAGTATCCCCCGCCCTACTCCATTCTCCTCCCCTTCTCATTCTCCATGGGAGATGGAGAACACAAGACGAATATAACTCAAAGCAACGTAAATGGTTACAGAATGACAACCCTCATTGGCTTCTCATCTTCGTCTCTGTTCCTACCACTTATTCCTTCGTCAAGGCCACATTTTTGCCAATCGGGAAGCACCCCGAGAAGAGATTACTCAGACAAGCTCCCAGTCGGGTTCACACGGTGATGGTCCCTGCGCTGACAAGCCTCTGGCCGGAGAGAGCCTAAGACCGGAGGAGGCTGGAGCTCCTCCGGCACCTCTCTCTACAAGCCTGGCGTCGGCGCCTCCGCCGAGGCGAGCTCCCCACTTCTTCCTCGCAGAGTAGAAATTCGAGGCCAGGGCATCTCTCAGCTTTTTCTGAAAATAGAAGGTACCCACGTCAGTCAGTACCATGCAACAGAGGAACTCCCAAATCTAAGAATGCGGTGTCGAAACCAGTCACCTCTAGGGGCTGCCAATGGGACACGTAAGCCTCTCTCTCTCTCTCTCTCTCTCAGCCTACTTGGGTCCTACACACTCCATTAAGGTTCTAGAGGGGAAATTAAAACTACCCTAATAGGGTTTTTCCAAAATCAAAGCTACTATTGACTTGATAGCAGTGGATCAATTTTATCCTTTAATCCTATACCGAGTTTTTCCCAAAATCAAAGCTACTATTGACTTGATAGCGGTGGATCAATTTTATCCTTTAATCCCATACCGAGTTTTTCCCAAAAAATTTCAGCACACGGATCCGAATGTTACCTTGTACGAGTGGTTCTTCATCGCCCTCTGTGAGATCAGGGCAAGTTCACAACTGTCAGCTTCTTCCAAGTCATCCACATGCTTCTCTCTCAAAGAAAAGTCTTCCAGCCCTACGTCATCAAATTCTTCATCTCCCCCACTCTCCATGTCTCCTGCCTCGAATTTCACAGAATACCCCGCCTTCTGCTCGCCAAGCCCATCAGAGCCCTCTGCACCAAGCATAACCAGAACAGTCAGAGAGGACTTTGGAAAGATTAGGATCTACGTCAGTGGACAAGGTAAGCCTGAAAGCCCAGCATGGTTCTGCTCACACACAGGCAAGAAAAGCAGGCCCAAAAAGCCCGGACAGGCTTCTAGCCCAAAAAGCCACATGGTCAACCCTAAGGTCAGCTCTCCTTCTACAGCAGCAGAACTAAATACGATATAAGGCCAAGGTCTCTGACGGAAGATGCTCTGAGATCTATCACACACAATGTGGCCATATGTCACGGCTTGAATGCTTCAATGTCCAAGAAGGTCCAAATTAGTCAAATAAATTTCATCAAGCCCTCCCTCCACCCCCCCCTTCACCCCCCACTCATCACAGAAGGGAACCAGCCAAACCAAAAAGGAAGAGAAGTAGGTTAAAGAGGCTGGGTAAAAGCCATCGAACTACTCAATATGCTCATAGAGATGAGGGGCTTCAAAGGCTCCCAAGGGTCTGATGAAGTGAGAAATATACCAGGTTGAAGAGTCTCCAATCACTAGCTACAACCCATGAAAAACAGTAAAGCAGAGCATCGGAAGCATCAGGCTGAAGACATGAGATGAGAAACTTTGGGAACTAAGCAGAGGGCATACCAGGGGCTGGCGATGGGAGGGAGGCTTCAGGCTCACTTAAACCGCAGCTCTGTTCGTGTTGGCATCCAGAAGATTGACCCACTGCGTCCTGAGACGTGGAGATCCCTGCCAGAATATCAATTAGGGCTAGTGTTCCTGCTGCAAAAAAGAAAGGGCACTAAGAAACAGATGTAAAACACTATTGCTTCTTACCTTCTTCTTCAATAGGATCAGCAGGGTAGGGCAGATGGAATTCCCTCCTCTCAAAATTCTGTGGAACGTCGGACTGAAGAACCCCACCTGATAGGATATGCTCCAAATGGTCGGCGGATGTTATACTTGGAATTTCCTCTGCGTTGACTCTCACTTCACTCGAACTACTCCATGAACGGACCCCATCTGGAGTCAAGGTATCATCTTCATCAAGCACACCACATTCTTCCCCCCTGCTGCCATGGCATGGACCAGGCGATGCAACAACACTTTGTCCGTTGAAGACAACAGCTGATGATGGCGATGCAGAGCTCTCATCCAATGACCTCACCGCACAACAACTCGTAGCTTTTTCATGAGCATCGGCAGTCAAATCATCTTCGGGGGTTGACTCAACGACGAGCGAAAAAGGGTTGAGCAGATCATCAGTAACCTCTTCGTAGATCTTCCTGAGCTGTTCACCAACTGCGTCCACGAACTTCCCAGGTTCCTATTCAGGAAAAAAAAAAAAAGGAAAAAAAAGGAAGAAAATTCACACCCTTACTATCAAGAGTTCTGAGACAGGAAACACAGGGCTGGATTGGACTGGAGAAAGTGGGGGAAGAAGATGGAAGGAGATAGTAAGAGGTGTATTTATGGCATATTTAATTTCAGGGGAAATTTTTCATAAATATGGCTGGCTCGATCTCCCTGGTGCACAAACTTTAGGAAATGACAGTTCCTACGGATAACACAAAAAAGGGAAAAAAAAGAGAGAGAGAGAGAGAAAGACGGCACCAAAATTAAGATCGAAACTCACAAACCTTAACCATAATCCCTTCGCGGCACATGTCTTCGCATTTGTGGAATATGCTCTCAGCCCAGGATATTCCCTTTGATGCAAAATCCATGGCGTTGATGCTGGGAATCAGATGCTGCCGATGGTAAACCCTATTCACAGATAGCAGAAGGAATTAGAAGAAACTACTAGAAATAGAGAGAGAGAAAAAAGGGAATTACCCAGGTGAGAATATTCATGAAAAACCATTCAAGTATATTATTTTATTTTATTTCATTTCATTTCATTTTATTTCCACTAGAATGGAAAAATGGCACGATTTCTCCTGAATTTAAGAGCAGAAAGCCGAATTTCTCCCCCATTCAAGATTAGTTGACCTGTATGTGTTCTTTGAAAAGCTGTGCAGTTCTTCCACTCGTATGAACCGAGGAGAGTGCCCAACTGAGCACTCGCCCCTTCGTACTTCGTCACAAGTCAACGAGGATGAACAGAGGGAATAAACTTGTGAGAGGCTAGACTGGTCCAAGGTTGGAGCCTGTTGAGGGAGAAGATTACCCAGGTCAACGATGATGAGGCGAAGAACAAAAAAGGACGGAACAAGGAAGTATACTCAGCGACCATATCCCGTCCCCTGCTCAACGACGATGAGGCAGACGAAGAAAATATGCAGGAAGGATGAGGAGGAGGAGGCCCAAGACTCTGCTGCAGAAGGAGGAGCTCTCTCTCTCTCTCTCTCTCTCTCTCTCTCTCTCTCTCTCTCTCTCTCTCTCTCTCTCTCTGTGGCGTCAATCGAACCCCAAACTCAGGTCGATCGAAACCCACATCGTACCTCGGCAGGACGGAGATGCTCCGGCCGGCGGCGATCGTCCGGCAGCCTGCACGGGCACAGGGTGGGGGGAGAAAGCAGCGGAGGACGCAAAAAGATGAGGCTAGAAAGAGAGAAAAACAGAGACAGAGAGATAGAGAGAGAAAGAGAGAGAGACAGAGACAGAGAGAGAGGGTGGAGGAACAGAAATCCTCAAAAAGAGGGGGGCCACAGCTACGAGACCACCCGGAAAGTCGAGAAGAAGAAGAACAACAACAACAAGAGGAGGAGGGAAGGGGGGGGGGGGAGAGAAGCCAAGCCCACAAAGCCCGATGGAAAAAGTCCTTCCGAGATTACCCACGGCGGCGCCGCCGGCGCTCCCCGCCGGAAAGGAGCTCTTCTGGACTCTTCCCGCCGCCGTGAGTAACCTCCGCAAAGAGACGATCCCCCCAACCCGCACTTGAGTGCACGACGAATACATAAATTACCCATTTAATGAGGGACTCGCGGGGAATTCCTTCAGAGCCCACAGGGACACGTGATCCGGGGGGGGGGGGACGCGTGCCCCCCTTCAAAGCGGGCCGCAATAAAATAAACTTCAATTAATAAAAAGCCCACTTTCCCGGCCCAGGCTACTTTCCCCCCACGCCTGGGCCCGGGCCCGGGCCGGGGCGGCTGTTGTTTAAATGCCCCAAATTATTAGAAACCCACATCTAAAACACGAGGTGTAAGCCTCATGAATCAATCACGCATTCGGAAATCGCACCTCAGACATAGAAAGCTCGAACCTTTTTCATCACATTTTCGCAATTTCATTACTATAAAATCATGCAGCGAGGGGAGGAACCCATCTCCCCACGCTACTCATACAAAAAACTCCTGCAAAGGAAGCCATCTCAATCACCTCTCTCTCTCCCCTTTGCTTCCGAAGCTGATGGGGCAAATAAGAAACGGAAGAACAGCAGGTGATGGATCTGATTGATGAGAACGTGAGAATACTTAACTAAAAGCCCACAACTTACTATAAAGTAAAATAAAAGCCCGCAGAATTTCCCCGATGCAGAGAAAGATACAAGCAAGTGGTACAAGCTTGCAGGGGCAGGGGCTCCCAGGGGTCGTCATACACACAAACAATCGTGACTCAATAAATCATTCGAGAACAGAAGATGAAGCCAAATCAAAGAGCACTAAATCGTTTCCGTCGAATAAACGTTCACTGCAGATTGCTATCCAAAGATTACAGCAATAGAATGCGTATAATGTATTCTGCATCACCCTGAGGACAGATGGGAAGGAGAAGAAGAAAAATGCACGCTCAATTATACGCTAAAAATCTCAAATCCGTGGCACCACCAGCAAAGTTGGATGATGCAGGGAACTTGTGACTGTGATTAAATGTTCTTGAAGATAAAGCTGGCACAGAGTATATATATATAATATATATATATGCACATAAACAAATGGGTCAACGCAAACTTGTCATTCCATTGGATATACTGCACAAGAATGCTTCCATTGACTAACACAGGCATTTACTTCTATCGATAGAAAGAAAAGAAAAGAAAAGAAAAAAACTAGTTCGTCGATATTCTCATGTAATGCGCCTACTTTTTAGCCCCCCGCTGTTATTGAACAAGCATTCTTGCCAGTAATAACGTGAGAAAAGATATCCATATAAGTGGTTAAAATATCATACAAGTGAGATATTTAAAAAGATTCTGAATCTCAGATTTGATCATAATTTGCTAAACATATCCAGAAAACAAGCAATCAGATTATTTAAATAGCACTTATTTTAAGCAAGTAAATCATACACTTATTTCTATGTCAACCACCTTTTCCTTGTTTCTATTCTCAATTTCTGTCACATCTCAGATGGTCATATTAGGTAAAATAATTGGAAAAATAATGCATCTGACAAGCTCAGAGATAATCAATTATGTTTCACAGCAACTGTAATTATGTAGCCTGTTATCTACTTGCTCCAGGAATCGATATACTAACCAGCACGAAACAATCTTATGAAAAGATTGGAAATTAAGTAACCAGATTGACATTTATTATCAAAGATCCATGCTCTGCGGAAACAAGCTTGATTATCAGAACGAAAATGCATGCCATGAGCAGATGTTCAAAATGATCCGAAAATCGTAAAAGTATGATGAATAGCAATCATCAGTCCCACGATTGACACCAATTTGGCATGTTTGCTATTTGAAATTACACTTAAATATGCATCTCACACCAAGCAGGGAAATTTAATAAAAAAATCGAGTACAATGAACAATATAACGAAAATCTGACCTTTTGGCTTAATTTGGACATAAAATTCAGAACCAACGAAGAACACGACATGATAAGCTCGCTGTAAAAAAAGGGTTTCGCAAATCAGTCTGAGCACAGACAATTCAACTACCCGAAAACAGGAGAAAAAAATCACGGCATGTTTACCTATCGATCTGAGCAAAAGTTACTGAAGTATGTGTTCTTTCTTTAGATTCTTGTACGAATGTGTAGTTTTCTAATCCATCTCCGTAGAAGATTCGTGGTTATTTGGTCCTTGGCTTTTCACAATGGCAAAATTTCGGATGATCAAGTGTTTTCTAGTCTTGGATTATTTGGTTCCTCAAATATTTTTGAACAATTGATTTATTTTTTTCCTCGGCTCTAGCTTGCCTCATTACATAAGCCAAATATGCTCAAGAAAAAAATCACGGCATATTTGGCTCAGCATTCTCAAGAGACCTTTTGCTCAGATCGATAGGTAATGAAATAAGTCGTGATTCTGAAGCATCAACTTTACAAAGAAAAGGGAGCTTGGACCTCAGAAATAAGGCTGCTGCAAGCTGGGATACAAAGAAGACCCAATGCCTAGCCCCCCATAACCACCAGAACCAGAAGCTCAACCGGAAGGCCCACCCAAGCTGCTTCCATATCCACCGGCTCCCCCACCACCCAAAGTGGAGAGCACTTGACCCCCAACCGAGGAAAGCCCTGGCATACCCATTCCAATCGATGATGGCATAGAGGAGTTCAGATGGTGGTTGCCCCAATCCTGGAGGCCCCTGAATTCCACCGGAGCCCGCAGAGGACCCACCATAGGAAGAGAGCCCTCCCGGCACACCGAATTGACCAGACATAGGTCCTTGCAGAGGAGGATGCCCACCCATACCAAGCCCATCGCCAGCAACACCGGGCCCTGCACTGATGGCAGGCTGATTCGAAACACCACCTACAGGCGGGACAGCACCAGTAGCAAGCTCCCCAGGCTTCCCCTTCTTTCCATCCGCAGCAACCTTGCAGACCATCGAATGCCCATAAATCACTTTCGTGGGGTCTACAAGAGAAGCCTTCGCACCCTCTGGAGTCTTCTAAACAAAAACAACGCGAACCCCCTCGACTTACTCGTCTGCTTATCAAATCCCAATGGACCTTCCTCGATCTCCCCGCATGACAAAAAATGAGCAAGCAGACGATCCGCAGGCATGTCCTGTGGCAGTTTCCCCACATGGATCTTCCTTAGAGAACACGTCAACTACCGGCGGCTGAGCGGCGTTGGCCCTGTCGTCCCGAAAGCGGCAAGCTGCGTCACAGTCATCCGGCCATCTATCTTCTTGCTGCGCTCCTTAAGGGCAAGGAGGGCGCCGTCAATGTGACGGAAGCTGATGAATCCATAGCCCTTGCTCTTACCAGTGTTCTTGTCGATGATCACCACCGCCTCCTCCAGATCGCCGTTGGTGGAAAACAGAGTGCAGAGACCTTGGTGGTGGTGTCCCAGCCAAGGCCGCGTATGAAGAGCCTGCGCTGGGCGGGATCACCGTTCGCGACGGCCCGGACGGCTTTCAGGACGTTTAGATGGCGACAGGCGGCCTCCTGGACGATGTCGAGGAGATGTTCCTTCGAGAACGACTCGATGATTTTGCGAGCGTCCGCCGGGCTGAGCTTCGACAGTGAGGGAGCGCCGTCAAAGCCGCCATTCTCGTCGGCCTTCCCCTTCTTCGTTCCTAGATCCATGGCGGCGGAGCGGCAAAACCTTCAGTTCCTCCCAAGCACAGAAGCAGGACGACACTTCGGGAGATGGAATTAGGCGCAAGAGTGACGAAACAAGGCCCTCTACTAATTATGGGCCTTAAATGGGCCCTCAACGGGCCATAAAAAGTTGGGCCTGCCCAGACCGGGTACCCCTCTCTGCAATGGTAATCCTGGTGTGGGGCCCACTCACAGAACTATCCAATTTATGAAAAATAACTCCAAACGTTTTTATTTATGAAACTTTGAGTCATTCCCTGATCACTACGTAGCAATAAAATACACCGTGGATCGGTCCCTCTCTTTCAAGGCATAGAGCGAGAGAGAGAGAGAGAAGAGAGAGAGAGAGAGAGAGAGAGAGAGAGAGAAGAGAGAGAGAGAGAGAGAAGAGAGAGAGAGAGAGATTGTTTGCGGTTTTCATAAAAAGTAGAATGGACAAGAACATCTATCATACATGCAAGGACATGCATATAAGCGAAACATTTTTTCCGAATTTTATTTTTTCATATACTTAAAACGAATTATTAGTAACTACAATATTTAGGCTCATTTATGTTTAATGACGCATGTTTCACAATCTTTGCTTGGAGTGGGCAGCCATTAAAACTACTTTTTAACATTCGTGCTTCATATGATATAAAAAATTAAAATATTTAATGACAATAATCTTATTTAAACATTATTGGGTCGGATTTTCTATAAAAATAAAAATATATGGAAAAAAAACTTCATTCTAATGTAGCACTGAATGATTTTATCGTAGCATATTTCAAACATTTTTTAAAATTTTATTATTAAAAGCAATAATGCCATGCCTAAAACATGGTGAATGCATTTTTTAATGTTAGCATAAAAATAATTCAGAAATATATATATATATATATCACGTGATATCAAAATCCAGAAAGATCGAGAGGGCTGGGAGGCTGCTCCAAGATGGTCTTCTTAAAAAATCCACAGTTTGAACTGTCTGGCCCTCTTCGAAGATAAATCTTCAAGGAAAATTAAATGTAAAATTAAATAAATAAATAAATAACATGAAACTAAATAATCTTCGGTTATTTATGATGACAGAATACTACAGGTAAAGAGGTTATTATTCTCCGATTTGAATGAACAAAAAAATTGGATCTGAGAAAAGAGAAGCCTCACTTGAATGTGGTAGACCCATTTCACTTGAATGTGGAGCTAAAATTAAATTTAAATTTAAATAAATAAGTAACATGAAACTAATAATCTTCAGTTATTTATGATGACAGAATGTTACAGCTAAAGAGGTTATTATTCTCCGATTTGAGTGAACACAAAAACTGGATCTGAGAAAAGAGAAGCCCGTCTTGGAGCTAAAATCCCAATCAGATTGCTTGGAAGGAGAGAAACCTCACTTGAATGTGGTAGAGCCGAGGGAATGAACTTGCTAACTGCTTGCTGTTAGACTCCTTAAACCGAATCGACACTTCTGGAGCAGACAGCCTTCTGATGAAGCTGAAGAAGCTTCTCTTCGGGGTTGCAGAGCCCTACAAGTTTGGTGTCTTTGTTAGAATGCGAACAAAGCTTGAGATTCATAAATCCTGAAGAAAAATGATAATGGGCAATGCTAAAGAGAGGAGGAGATGCAGTGGAAGATGGTTCCTCGGATGCCAAATGGGTATGCAGCTAAGAAGGCTTAAGTGCTACACTGCTCATCATCCACTAATAGCAGTCCCAATTATACAAGAATTAATTATTCATCTGACATTTCCATTTGAGATAGAAGTTGACTACCCACCATTTGTGATCGTGCTAACAACCCCAACAAGCACAACCCAGAGCCTTCTTCTATGGCAATTTTTGTTTTCTGAGGAGTCGGAGATGGAGATATCTCTGTTCGTGGGGCCTTCCTCTATGGTAGGGTAACGTTCCAACACCAGGGTTTGGCTGCAAGATGGCCCCTCTCTACTGATCCGAGTAGATTCTGGGGCATTTAACCAGGTGGACAACAGCAAGGAAACAGAAGAATGGGAGGGGGGGATCTTGGCTTCCGTGTTAGGGAAACCTCACAAAGAAGGAAAGGCAGAGAAGGACTTTTCCTCCACCTGACCCACCACTAGGCCATCACGATAGCAACAGATGAAAAGATGAGGCGGATGATGGCATCCCATGGGTTTACCTCTCTCATGAAAACATGTGCTACAAGTATAAAAACGTGAATTTCTTTGTTGAATTTTCCCTAATCTGTAATCTTGATTGGATTAAATACTCTGGCTTAGTTCTGTCATGACAGACTTCTTTAGGAATGAACCACACATGCATTAGGATGAAATGAATAGAAAATTGCTGAAAAGAGAACTCCCAAAAAAAAAGGTTCCAAGACCAACCTGAACACTTGGGTATATCCCACACAGCAATGAACGAAGAAGTGCATTCTGTTTCACACAAGGCACGAGCATACTCGTGATCAACATTCATAGCAAGCATCCAAGATCCAATGGTAACATCCTCGTTGCTAAACATTCGAAAACTGCAATTATGAAATAGTTGAAGTTCCATCAATGGAAAATTGGGTATCATCAATGATATTAATAAAATCGCGCAATTTAATATACTCAGCTTAGATATATTAAGGATTTAATACCATATGCAGGACGTAAAGTTAAACTTTTCCCACATATTTACTGTTTTTTAAAAACTACTGCCCAAATGGGCATCCAAAATGTGAGTCTAATTTCAAATTGGATTTCATGAAGGCAAATCAACCACTCCACAAAACCCATGAAACAATGAAGTTTCTTTCAGCTAAAATACAGGAGGAATGCGGCCAACTGTGAGTCAAATTCTTTGGAATGAGAACCCACAAAGAGGAAAACCTTCTTAAACTTGCCTGTTGTTTCTCAAAGTAGCTAAACTTGCAACAACGTCTGAAGAAAGAGCATACAAAGGTCCATAGGCATGGAGGAAGTATTCAGTCCCAAGCAGACGGTATAAAGGCTCATACCTAAAAATGGAAACCAGTGGTAGAAAACTTAGCACAATTGAAAATCATGGCAGCATACAGACAATATTAGTTTTGAGTGAGGAAAACAGTCATATCAGCCTTCGGAAGAGGTTGAAACCAACCATTTTTGTTTGGGATCAGTGAACACCGGACCCTTTTTCATGCATCCAAGGTAGGTCTGAGAGTGTGGACGCTCCCTTGCCAAAAGTTGAGAAAGTCGATCTGATAAGATATGAGACGCATCAATGGTCAGCTCACAAAAGCATAAAACAAAATTAAAAATGAAACAGAGAAACTCAGGCTTTAAATATTCATATACCTGGCCTTAAATAGATATCATCATCAGCCTTAACGTAGAATTTTGCATCAAACAGCTGATATGCCGCCTTGAAGAAAGCTAATCTAGATGACGACAATTCACCGTCAAACCTGACCAGATAATGTGACAAGGATTTGGGCTACATAAATGTTTCAAAGTCTCACGTTTTGTACGGGAGCTTGCTGTATTCCTCTTCAATGTCCAAGAGCATAAAGTCGTCGTATTCTCTAACCTCTTCCCTGAAAGCCGCCATTTTGGCTGCATCGTTGGTTCTGCCAATGACAAACCTGAAAACCAAGCCGGTGGTTTCTTCCAAGCTGAAACTCAATTTGGATAATTAGAAGCGGAGACACCTTGGGAAATCTGACTAGTACTGAAGTGAAAGACCGAATATAACAACGAGAAAAAAATTGAGAAAAATATATCATCAGTATTCACCAAACTTTCGCTTAGGAAGAAGATTGGGCAGAAAGGGCAAGGAGAAACGTTGACGAGACTAACCGACGAAGACCTTCACGATCAGGAGGAAGCCATGTTTTCCTCAAGGAACGGCGCCTTCCCGTTGAACTAAACCCCGTCTGGATCCCCACAAATCCCAAAATCTTGGGCCTCTGCGGCAGAAAAACAGCATCGAGGTTCCCACTCTCTCCGCCACCCAGTCCTCGCTTCTCCCAGGCAACAGTGACGGATGTCGGCTCAAAGTCCCGGCACTTGTCCCCCCAGATCCGAGAGTTTGAAGTCGCGACCCAGCCGAAGATGACACCGGCCACACCAAATATCAGGCAGAATGCATTGAAGAGAGGAGACGAGGAGAGGCGCCGCAGGCGAGGCAGCCAATTGCGCGATGCGGCGGCGACAGACTGGCGGGAGTTGTAGATCCTTCGAGATGTAGCCATGGCGCGGCGGCGGAATCGCCACCAACAGCAGAGGGAGGAAGGGGGAGGAAGGTGAAGATGCAGAGCAGAGCGATGGTGTCAAGCATTGGGTTCTCCGCGGAAATTCGAGAAATATCTACGTGGACAGCTTCCATTGGTCACACGTTTGTATTTATTCGATGGTAACGTGCTTCCTCAGGACAGTGGAACCTCCCACACTCGACGGTTTTGTTTTTTTGTTTTTGGTCTGGGAGCCCTCGCTGGAAGTCCATCCGTCGTCGGGACTGGTTATCCCACAGAAAAGAAGGCCACGGCGAAGCGGAGGTGAGGACCGTCTACTCTCTCTCTACACTCCCTCTCTCTCTCTCTTCCCCCCCTCTCGTAGCCATTGACTCTAGGATGTTTCAGTCATCTGTCTTCTTAACTAGTTGCTCTCTTCTCTCTGCTATTGGGGGGAGTTTCGTGCCGGTGTCCGACGCGTCGATTGTACGTGGTAGAAATAATCTCTTCTTGATGATGGAAAGAATTAACGAATGGGAGTCGGTAGGAATGCAGCACGGATCTGAAGGGATTTTGTTCCGCTGGTCATATTGTTGTGCGCTGTCACTGGAAACAGTGTTAGCTCATTCTTTGATTTCTCCTAGCTGGGCCTCATGGAATATCGAGTTTGATTCCAATGCCATGGATTCCGATTCTAACCACTCCCATTCTTTCAGTTGTTCTTTTCCATGGCTGAATCCTAGATCCTTGTCAGTCGACTTCATCACCCTCTTGTCACAGTTAATTTGTTAGCATTCTCTCACCATTGTTTTATGGAACCGTGACTTTACTTATTTCGTCAAATTTGGTGAGATAAAGTTATTATTTGACCACAATTTTGGTTTTAACAATGATAATGTGATATGAAATAAAATGTCATTATTTTCCTTCCCAACTATCAAGACTATTTTGTGAAAATATATCTGTCGTGTCACAGCCCAGGTAGACTTAAACGGAATCTACCAAATTAGGAAAATAATTAAATTACACATTCTTTTGGAGATTGTCTCCTTGCAAACGTTGTTCAGGTAAGAACATTTTCATTGGGGTTGTTCCCTCATTTTTCTTTTCTATTGGCACGGTATTGGGACACTGAAAATCTTACGGCGCAATCCTCTTGAAGAAATCATCCCTTTCTGTTATTCTTGCGCTAATAAAATTTACAAAAACTTTGTATGGCGGTGAAAAAAATGTGTTATATCGTGATGAAAATCTTTTGTGCAATGATTACCTAGATATTGTGTATAATGCATCATTGTTTGAACAGGAAATCAATGCTTTATTCGTCATTTGCCTCTTCGCCTGCTAGTTACTCAGGGCACTTGATGAGCAGCATACATTTTCAGCAACTGCCTTTGGTTCTACTTTATCAAGTTGTTGTGAAGAGAAGAGCTCGATCATTTTCCTTATTGCATTCCATTCCGAAAGACCACTTTCGCGGAATGGTGCAGTCATCAGCAGATGAGGTGTCATTTGAATACAGTGTGCCTCAGATGAGTGTAGAGGAATCTCAGCTTCAAATCGGTACCTGGGCGGATGAATTAGGGGACCATGAAGCAAGCCATCTGTTTGCTTTTCCTGACAGGGGTATACATGATGAGTCACTCAGAACATCCAGGCCTACCAAAAAGAGAGTGATTAAACGTGAGGTTGAAATACAGAGAAGGCAAAAGATTGGTCTAGCAAATAAAGGGAAAGTTCCTTGGAATAAAGGGCGGCAGCATAGCCCAGGTAAGGTTTAATGTTGCTTATCGCTTTACCGTTGGCTGATATGTCTTATAAAAATTTATTGATTGATTCCCCTTACATATAGAGACAAGGGAGCGAATTAGAAGAAGAACCATAGAGGCTTTAAGAGACCCCAAGGTGATGCCATGGAAACATTAATCTTGTGTTTTTTTTCAGTTGGCCATGGTTATCTGCCAAGTGGTTGTGTTTTTGCCTATCTTTCTTAAGTTTATTCCATCCTCAATTTGCAGGTTCGGAGGAAAATGGCAGAATCCCCTCGCTTTCATAGGTACGGTTGAAGCTCCTCCGGCAAAATGATTTTATCGTGTATTTCATTCTAGATACTCACTGGTAGGGTGCTAATCACAATAAAATAAATCATTAAATTGTGGGCATCCTGTTTGCATGACCAAAGTGTTTTTTTTTATTTTTTACGTTTTCAGTAATCAGAGCAAGGCCAAAATTGGCATGGCATTGAGAAAAATCTGGGAAGAACGCTTGAAAAACAAAATATTGCAAGAAGGATGTTATTCGACTTGGGCTGGGGCTGTTGCAGAAGCAGCTCAGAAAGGTAGTCTCGATCAACAGGAATTGGAATGGGATAGCTATGAGAAGATGAAGTCTGACATACTTATTCAACATCTTCAATGGAAAACTGAGAGGGAAAGGCAAAAGGAAATTGAGAAACGAAGAGCAGAAAGAGCATTGAAGGCCAAGTCAGACAAAACCGTTAGGCATCACCAAGAGAGAAAGGACGATCATGAGGTGAAACGCAAAAGATCAAAGGGCGATCTCAAGCAACCAGAGGAGAAGAAAAATGTCCTGGCTGCCCCTAGGCATGCAAAACTCCGGGCTAAACTAACCAAGGTAATCCCAGGCTGTTTGCATTGAAATCTCGATAAATCAACACAAGTTCAAGGTTATAGTTCAGTAATAACTTTTTACCTACACATTCTTCAAACTAGCTTTTCTTGTGCAAAGTCAGCTCACAACTCTTCCAGCCCGGAAATTTTTCATGGGTATGATGAAGAATAGAAGCAGCATCTTGTCTTTGATGTTAAATCGGAGGGCACCATTTTGTCGATGTTTTGAGCCGCTCAGTCTTGAGTCATGGGTTTAGCTGCCCACAGTTGTTTGTGCTACTTCCTCTGTGGTGAGGTTCTCTAACATGATTGATGATCAAAGATAACATGCAAATGTGCTCCAGACTTTAATGATATGTGTTTTCCTGGTTCCTTCTACACTATTTAATCTTTTTCTGGCTTTGCTTAAGTTGTGATCGGGTATGTTTGATTTCCAGATCCATCGCAAGCAGCAACTGGAACAACCCGAACCTAAGCATGAAGTGGGAGCTGAGGTTCTACCAGTCGCTGAGAAATGGGACTTAGAGTTCGTAAAGAGAGAAAAAATGCGTCAAACAGTGTCATTTGCTGATCGAATACTGGCCATTAAGAAGCAAAGAGTCGTTCAAACTGACAGTATTTGTCTAATTTCCCAATCAAACGATGTTTGACTGTCTGCTTAGAAGCAAAGGATTTAGAGGTGAAACTGCTGCCTCTCTGTCTGTAGCTATGAAAATTTTCGAACTAGATAAAATACAATTTCATCTACTCTTTGCAGAAAATTCAATGAGATGCATCTCCAACGGAAATCATCACCTTGGTTGTGCAAGGGCTATGAATCTGATCAGAGAGGCTGATGGGTTTGCTGATTGTATCGATTCAGGAGCTGATCATCTCAAGACGAAGAACCAAGTTACCATCAGAAGTCGTCAACGGCTGGTGATGGGAGAAGCTAATCATATCTGTATATTGACTTCTTCCTTCCTCTGTAATAAGCCATCTGCCAATTATCCTCTGTAAACCCTGCTCTTGAAGATCCAATTTCAATGAGTATTTAATGATGATATATGGAACTGGTTCCTGTAACTTTGGTGAATGTCGCGGCCGATTCGAAGATCGCACATCCTGACAAGTTAGGAGCAGCTGCAGTGCACACTTGGTGCTCCGCAGGAAACTTTTTACGTCGAGGGAAGCGAGCAACTGGCCTGCCTGACTGGCCGATGAGCAGAGTGAAGGATCTTGTTTGCTTAGGCCTACAACAAGGGACAGTGGAACGTCTCGTTAACTGACAACTCTTTGACCGCTGTGTCCAAGAGGAGGGTACCTCCTTCCATAACCCTCTGAGCTGTTCTTGGTTTCTGGGTGGCGATCTTCTTGCCGTTTTTCTCATCCGAAAATAGGTTCCATTACTTGTTACCTGCTTCTTCTATCCGAATCAGGTGAGCCTCTTCATGCCGCATCGTCAAATCCCTGCAGAAATTGACTCGTACGGCTGCTCTGGAGGAACCCTCCACCAGCTGGGAACCTTCAGCTGTGGAACCGGGGTCAACCCTGCGCTTCAGCTCCAGAAAGAGCTGAGTAAAGGAATGGACTCTATAGACGTTGACCCAACAATAATCTAGTGCCCAACAACTCTACAGACGTTTTTTTCTTTCTTTTCTGAGTAAAGTTATGTGTTTTGAATGAGAAAATTATTATTTATTTCATTACTAAATAACAAAATAATTTTAATAATACATTGGAATTTAACCATCTATTATTCCTCCTCCGTGCGTTGCCTATGATTTCCCAGTTATGTTGGTAGTTCTGACCAGGATTCAGATGGTATCAATCAATGGAAGTCTATACAAGTAATGGGCCTCACCCATCCCAAATTTCCTGGGAAGGGCCCATTTTTGCGATCACCGGGCCCATTCTACTGTTACAGCCGAACTGTGACTGATTTGAAGCCATAATGGGCTCTTCCCAGTATGTTTACATGATTGGAGCATTAGAAAACCGTTATAATGTCCGGGGAAAGAGAGAATAGCCGTTGGTCATTGACTATAATGTTTACGCGGACTTTCTCCACGTGGCCGGATCTACACCTTCCTTTGGGAGCTTGTCTTGGTTATATCGATCCGACGGCTGCGGGAATACTTGGGAGAGAAGAATTCATAGTTGATTAGTCGGGTGAATGTCGTCACGTGTCGTATTCATATGACGTGGTTCCTAGCCAGGGTTGCTTCGGGACGGATGCGTTGCGATACGTATCGCAACGAGAGGCGGTGTGGTGATTGGAGCGGGGATAATTTATTCCGCGAGACAGCACAACTCCAGTGTCGTCGATCTCAGGAAGTGGGGAGCGTCGTTAGAGGGGGGCGGTCCAAGCGGCATGTAGGTTCGTCCTCCGTCCTGAGAGCGGATCCGGCGGAGCCACCGGCGAGCGGAGCAGTTGCGGCGGCGGAGTCCTCAATTTTTGGAAGCTTTGCCGGCGCGATGTCTCTGAATATGAAGACCCTCACCCAGGCGCTGGCGAAGACGGCGGCGGTGATCGAGAAGACGGTGCAGACCACTGTGCAGGAGGTCACGGGTCCCCGGCCCCTCCAGGACTACGATCTGCTGGAACAGGTCGGATCTGGGGGCCCGGCGTTGGTGTGGAAGCTCTACTCTGCGCGTCCTCGGTCGTCGGCGCCGTCCACGCAGTATCCCCTCGTCTCTGTGTGGGTCCTTGATAAGCGGGCGCTGTCGGAGGCCAGGACGCGCGCTGGGCTGTCCAAGGCGGCGGAGGACTCATTCTTAGATATCATTCGGGCGGATGCGGCTAGGCTTGTGAGGCTCCGGCATCCCGGAGTGGTCCATGTGGTGCAGGCGCTGGATGAGAGCAAGAATGCCATGGCCATGGTCACGGAGCCTCTTTTTGCTTCTGCGGCGAATGCCCTCGGGAATGTGGAAAACGTGCCCAATGTTCCCAAGGAGCTAAAGGGGATGGTAATTCTCTCCCCTCCTCACCTCCCCCCCCCCCCTTCTTCTTTCTCTCTCTACCTTGAAGTCGGGCATTCGTACAATACTGATGCCTAGGTATCATAATTTTCAGTAACACTGCAAAATTCGAGAGATCTTTTCGGATAACTGTCATTTACAAAGGGTTTATGGTCTAGGAGATGGTCAACGTGGGTCACGATAGCAGACGTCTGGAGGATGAAACATTTATAGTTGTATCTTTTGCTTACCTGCACTATTTGGAACTTTGATCATGGACGGGGAACATTTCCTTGATAGTGTGATGATTCTGATCTGCTGCTCTTTTGGAGGGATCTTTGGAAACAATTAACTTAGGGGTTCTCCTGGATAAATTGATGTCTTCTGCTGAAAAGGGTCCGCTGCCGCGTTTGGCTGAGCCATTGAAGCAATCCGCCATAATCCAAGTTAAAAAATATTCAATATGCCTTCTAGTGGCGCATTCCTCTTTGAATATTTTTCGAGTTTGGTAATGAGCCACATTTGTGGGAGGTTTTAAACAAAAATCTCATGCTTGATGAAAGGCTGCCAAAATTAAGCTCATTTCTCTTTCACTAATCTGTCTCAGGTGGATTTAAAATGAAACCAAGGTTTTCCATGCCAAAATCTCTTGTGTTGTCTTACAGTTAGCATCAGCTTTCGAAGTTTCCATTTGGAGAATTACTACTTGAATCGTCATTAATATGTAGCAAAAATATGCTATTTTTTATATTCTTTTGTACTTTCAGTTGATCAACCACCAACTTTTCGTGTCGAAATGATATCGCCTGGTTCTTAAAATTCCCAACTGAATGCCTAAATGAGTAAATCTGCGTGGATTTCATTGCAAGTCTTGATGACTGAAGCAATAGTGTTGTGACTTTGGATGTAAAATGTCTCGGTGTAAATGCCTGCATCATGTTTTACGGAGACATTCAACGAGCGGAAGTCTTAAGTTTCATGTGACGAATTTTTGACTTGATATAAACCAGATAGCACCTAAAAGCATCTGCTTATACTCCATTCTACCTCTGGTAAGTAGGAGGGCTACCAACGAGAGAGCCAGTGGTCAGAAAAATGACTCTGGCTCTCTATGGAGAGTTAACTTCGTGGTTGTTTATCATTTTCCTTGTGTCATGAACAAGATGACAATGATGATGACTGAGTCAATTATACTGTTTTTCACGACAATGGAAAAATATTCTACTTGATGGATACCAAATTGAATACGCAAAAGATCCTCAACCTTCTTCTTCTTATTAATTTTGAAGTACCCAACGTGGCTTGCAGGAAATGGGATTATTGGAGGTCAAGCATGGGCTTCTGCAGGTCGCAGAAACCTTAGATTTTCTGCACAATAATGCTCATTTGGTTCACCGATCTATATCACCTGAGGTGAAGCTCTTTACTAATTTGTATCGAGGGGTTTAATTTAACATTTCGGTGGAAATGACTTCATCTTTTTTAACTGCTATTGTTTTACAACCAATTTTTTTTTATTTTCATTCTTTTTTAGAAATAATGCTACCTTTAGATCTTTGTAGACTTTCTTCGTCTTTCTTATTTTTCTGCTTCATTTGATGCAGTTTTTTATGAACATTGCAATTTTATTAAAATATTTCTTGGCCAATCACATCGTTTGTTAGTGATACATATTGGAGTGTCATACAGTTCCTAACGCGCATCTAACATATGCTCCTCTTTACATCTGTTACTTCCACTCTTTAAGCATTGAGTTTCAAGCAAGTATCTTCAAAGATACGCACTTGCCCTGGGACCAGACTTGCACTTTTATCTTTGACTGTACATTTACATTCATTTTTCTTGCAGAATTTTTAATGAAAATATGGTAGTTCAACCCCCTTCTTCCCCTTCCCTCCTCTCTGGGAGAGATGGAATCAAGGGGATATTAGATTCCCACAATTATTTCCTCCAGTCTCTCAATCTGTTGAATTCCCACTGATGTGTCTTGGAGCACTGCCTGCCAATTATTTATTTTCATTCCAGAAAGGACGATTTAGGGTTGAATTTGACTACGCTTTCTGTTATTTATTTCTTGCCGATGACCCGACCCTGTTGCAACTGTCATCGAGCATGCATTATCATCTTCCGTCAGTGGGTCGTTTTCTGGTCAGTGTACTGCTCTTCTTCACCATGACTCCTCTAAAATATGCTATTAAGTTTATAAATTGCATTCACTATTTTAACCAATCTGTGTCCTCATCAGTATATGTTTCTGGTTCACTGAACCTCTTCTTTTTTTTTTCAGTTGGAAGTTTTTTTGAGAATTAGATTTTTACAACGAATGCGTCAACATCTTTTTATGTAATCATGAATGGCGTACATGCGTCAACACACATTCTTTCTTTTCTTTTGAGGGTAGAAATACTGGCAACGCCTACTTTCATAAGGAAAACCATCAATATTGTGTTTATTTGCCCCTTTTTTTATTGTCCAATTTTTTTTTCTGTTACGGTACAGAGTTTTTTTGGTAATGAAGAACATCTGTTATCTATTTCATATATTGTTGAAAGTTCTTACCATATGTTTTCTTTCATCAGGCAGTGTTTATTACTTCAACTGGAGCATGGAAACTAGGAGGATTTGGTTTTGCAGTCTCCATTGAACAAGCCTCCGGTGACTCTAATGGTTTAGCACCATTTCATTATCCGGTTAGTTCGATTTGATCATAGAAAAGGCTTTGATTCTACATTTTTACTGCGTTCTGTGTTGAGTTTTTTCCAGATGACTGTTGGATTATTTTCCATTACGATATTATTTTTTAGCCCTTAGTTATTATCTATTTTTTAATGATTTTAGGAATTTTGGTTCCACACTTTGGTTCCACTGTTCAGTTGTGATCTTCTATACCCATTATTCAGACATACCAGAAAAAAAGGAGCGATGAAAATTTGCAACTAATCATTTAGATTAACAGTCTCCTGTTTGCTTTCACAGGAATATGATGTTGAGGATGCTGTTTTACCTCTACAGCCTTCCTTAAATTACACTGCCCCTGAATTGGTTCGGAGCAAAGCACTTTCAGCTGTGTGTGCTTCTGACATGTTCAGTTTTGGATGCCTCGCTTACCATCTAGTTGCCCACAAGTCTTTATTAAATTGCCATAACAACGTTAAGATGGTATGTATATCCACTTCAACCCATGCACTTTTATCATAGGCATCCTATAGCATTTCTTTTACTAATCCATGAAAGGTGTGTGGTTATTTTTTATTCTATCTCCTGTTGGATGATCCCGTTGCTTCCCTCGTCGTCATTTTTTTTTTCAATGATGGAATGTATTCAGTATCCTAGTAGATGTTTTTCAACAACACTGAAAAGATGTTAAACACATGCTGGCTTCACATTTGCTGATTTCCTCCAAGTTGTAGAGATAAGAATTTCAAGCTAGAAGGGCTTGCTACATCAATAAACAGCTGAAATACTACATATTACGTCATCCCCTTGACCAGCTATGGATTTCTAACTTCAACCCAGGGATTTTTGCCTTCACTTCATCCTACATAATAACTGGTGAAATGTCTGCGTGTAAATACTCTCTATAAATCCTATGAAACGCATGCTATTCCTTCTAGATTGTAATGGTATACATTCGGGTTCAAACGCAAGCTTCTCATATTCAATTATTTCTGATACCCAGCACCCTATCCCCTTCACTATGATAATGAATCTTCCCTCCTCATGACTTGACAGTACGCTGTGTTGCTACTGACAGCATTTTCCAACTGAGCAGTCCATTTTTTTTGTTGTCTTTGCAGTACATGAATATGCTGACGTACTCATTACACGAGTCATTTTCAGTTATACCACCAGACCTTGTCACAGATTTACGCCGCATGCTGTCCTTAGATGAAACTTTAAGGCCAAGTGCCCTGGATTTCACAGGTAATGACTGGATTGTTCTGGTAAAATTTATTTTAGATATTCCGCTTGGATTTAATCCTTCTTAATGGTGGGCGTTTTCCCTTTGTACTGGTGCATGCTTTATTCATTTTTTGAATTATGAGGAAAATGTAAAAATAAGCATCTTTTAGATTGCTAATCATTCATAGTCTTAGCAATGACTATACATGACATTGTTATGATATTGTGTTCAGCAGTCGTGAATCCTTCTCTCTATCAAACAATAATATGCCCATTTCCAGGACAATTTCTGGGCTTCGAGTTCCTCACACATGTAGGAATACTGAATGTGATGTAGATAGAGCCGTCCAGGGCTCCTGACCAAGGAATGCCAGCAACACAATAGATGATTCTGATGAGTTTAGGCCTCGTTAACTTTGAAAATTTAAACGAAGCAGGAGATGTAGATTGGGGGTTTCAGTGACAGCTAATTAAGAAAACCATGATCCACAGTCCCTAAGAATTTGAATTGGTATCTGCCACGAGGTTGCTTCAACCCTTTTGGGAGATGAAACCATCATTTTTTTCGAAAGTGACTATTTCCACAAAATCATCAGATGAAAGGAAACATTCACAAGCATGTGAGCCATGATCTCTCAAAAAGACTACATCATCATTGAGCTGCACCAAAATGGTAGTGAACCCATCATTTAACATTCATATGTGAAAATATTCTCATGAGAGTCAGATGGCAGTAATCTTATAACATTGAAACGGGGAGTAGACTGGTGCTTTTAATTTGGAGAAACATGAGGATATTTTACCTGTACTTAGCCCTGGAAATGCTGCCATATGCTCGAGGATTATCTAGTATTGTAATCTTGTCTTCACATTTTTTTCTTTGATACATAATGGAGAATTGGTGCATTTTTCGTTGATCTTCAGCAGAAGTATGAAATTTTTATGTCATTTTAAAATTTGTTATCTGTACATTCATACACATGTTTGGAAGGGTAAGTTAATTTTGTAATTTTTTTTGTTCCAGGTTTATCTCTTAACACAATTGCACATCCGCTTTATAATTTATGGGTTATTTAGAAACCTAATGTTTGAAATCTTTCGTTCTTTCCAGGTTCTCCATTTTTCCGGGATGATACTAGGTTGCGTGCCCTTCGCTTCCTTGACCATATGCTTGTATGGATTATGTTTCTAGTCAGATCATTTTGGAATGGAAAATATATTTTTTTGAAATGTGACTTAAAACGAAATAATTTGAATTGCTTGCAGGAGCGGGACAACATGCAGAAAACTGAGTTTCTAAAAGCATTGTCAGAAATGTGGAAAGACTTTGACTCTCGGGTCTTAAGATATAAGGTATTTGCCGTTTGCGTCTGAATATATAATGATGCATTTCATGATTCCCTGTTGCTCTAATTTAATACAGGGTGACCTTTCCTGCTGCACTACATGTCTGTGTTTTAGGCATTACGTGATTTATTTATGGTCATCAGAATCATTGCATTATTAAAAATAATAGGAATCAGTTGCATATTATAATGTATAATTCACAATGGAAAGCTTGCTTTTGTTTCTCGTTTTCTGTCTACATAATTTCAGTATAAATTTGTTAGGTCCTAACGGGGCCTAACATACTCAAGACGCAGAAAAGAGCCTAAAGAGCCCAAGACAAGTCCCCGTAGAGACTGAAGAGACGAATCGAACCCTTAAAAGGGGGTTTGGGGTTGGGCTCATTAACGGCAATGTAGTCTTTCTCCCTGGCTGAGGAGCCTCTCTTAGAAGAGGCTCTGGAGAGAGGAAGGGGGGAGGTTTTTGGACCGGTCGCAGGAGAGTTAGGGGTTCCTCTCGATTAGGCTCTGTTCTAGGGTTTGCTATTCGTTCATTACTGTTTTATTGTTCTTTAGCTCTTGCCCTGGTCCTTACTCTTGTTACCGTCATGGTTGAGTGCTATGGTTAAGGCCCACAATCGGGGACCCTAACAGAATTTCATTCGTAGATTTTTGTCTTTGATGATGGGATCCTATGACTTTCATTTATTTGCAATGTTGTGACCTTCAACTTTTTTGTTGCCATTTTTTCTTGAGTGTCATGTTTCATTTTTCTGTTTTTTGATTTGTAGTTTTTTTTTATGTTTCGAGCAGGTTCTTCCTCCTCTTTGTGCAGAGCTCCGTAATGTTGTTATGCAGCCGATGATTTTACCCATGGTCCTTACAATAGCAGAGTCTCAAGTAAGTCTATATTCTGGTCTGAAGATTACTTTATTGCACTATCCGTGCTTGTCTTATTGCTCATTATATATTTATTCATCCATTTATCGAAATCTGCTTCCCTTTAGCGTGAAAGAATGTTTCACTGTTATTTGAGGCTTCATCATGTACGGAGCATAATTTTGATATAGTTGGTTTACTGTGAATTCTTGATCCATAGCTGGTTGTTGTGGCACATGTTCTTGGATTAACACATGAATGTATGTTCGAAGTAATTTTAATCGAAGATATTTTAATAGCTTCAACTATACGAGTTGACAACAAGTGTTTCCCTGTGTTTTTAAAGCATAATTGCTGACACTGGGTAACGAGATGATCTATGCACTCGAGGGTGCATATGCTCATGCCCAATGCTGAAACTTTATTATTTTTCTTTTCTCAGTAACATTATAGCTTACTAGGGTAGTTCAAAAATTTCCTGCTGTGCTTTTTTCCTCAATGAAATATGTTAATCAAAAATCATGTAGTATTGTCGTTCATTTTTGGTCATGAATTTATACTTTCCTAGCTGTGTACTTTTGTATCTGTAATATTAACGACATTCTCATTTCAATGAATAATGTCCTCTGTAAAGGATATTACATTTCAAGATTCGAATTTTGTCACAAGTGACCAACCTATCTTTCATTAATTTCCATTTTCTTAAAATTAATGATGACCACTCCTTTAGCATTCCATCTCCATTTTCTATTTTCTTTCTAGTCTCTTTTGACCTAAGTGTTTGGAGCATCACAAAGACGTATTCTGAGTCGTTGTTCTCAATAGCCATTGGCTATGTTTCTCAAAATCTCAGAAAATACATTTGTTGTTGACCCGGATACATTATAGAGCTCCAAAAATTTTATACATTGGGCTTGCATCCAAATGTCTTTGCAAAATTTTAATCTCATTCCATTAATAACCTAAAAGACAGAAGATATTATTAAAAATTCTGATAAATGAAGAATTTCTTTCCAAATAGGAGATACTCTAGGTCTATGCATCGGAAAAAGTTTCCATTTATTTTTTTATCAGCCCACGCTGAATTGCTCTCACCTGGTCTCCAACCATTTATAAGAAGAGTCTTGTTGACAATATGTACTTTATCTAACCCTGCCTATCCTCGTACAAGTCTGCATGCTCTATCCTACTTGATGATGTGGACACCTTTTGTGTCAGTGGTAGGCCTACTTCAAAAGAAAATCGATTATGATAGAAGCTTCAATTTTCTTTATAGTACACTGAGGCCTCTTGAATCAACATCATCTGCACAGCCAATAGGGCAAAACACTTTTCGAAATAATCCATCAACCTTTAATTAAAAGTAACATTATTTTCTACCTTTCCAATGATGAAGCTGACCTACCTAAGAATAAGGGGAGACAAGGTTTTCTGATGGTAACTTAGCCACCTCACTCCCCAAGTTACATTTTGACTAATCATCTCTTCTTGCTGGATCCCATCTCCCATTGCTTCAGTCTTATTCAACTTTATGCACAATCCTGTCCACCATTTCTAGCAAAATAACTAGCCGTTCCAATAGCTGAATTTCCTAGATGTTCACTTTTCCGAACAACGTTGTAGGATAAGCAAAATTGTAGATGGTTGAGATGTATGATATATCAACCAACTTGGATTCCTTCGATCAATCTTGTGGTGGCAGCTTCTTTCAACAATGAACTAATAGTTTGTCCCACAAGAATAAGATGAACCGGTGATAAGAAACCTTATTGTCATAATCCTCTAGAGCTCTTGACAAACTACAAGGTTTGGTATTGATGAGAAAATAATATAGATGTCACTCCCCTAATTCAGGATTGAACTACAGACATTCAGAAAATAATATAGATGTTATTTCAGCAGGAATCAATATTACTGACGTCCACATGCCCGTGGTTTTACCTTATTATAAATGAAGACATTTTCCTTAATAGTTTGGATAGCTAGAAAGTTCTCTCCATTATAATGATTCTTGAAATATGGACAGATCTTTCTCCGATAACTTAATTATATCTATGCTCTTTCGTTATGGATATTGCGAAAGTTGAAATATTATATTTAGAACTGTGAATTCTGGAAACTTTTATATTGGTGCGTTCAACCAAATGTGTCATTGTGAAATGCAAGCTAACCTCACCTTTCCGTTTGGGTTTTACTTTTTAGGACAAGAATGATTTTGAACTGTCAACTTTGCCAGCACTAGTCCCAGTTCTGAGCACTGCATCCGGTGAAACACTTTTGCTGCTTCTGAAGCATGCAGATTTGATCATCAACAAGGTGAGGAGAATATTCGGCAACCAGTTAGTGACATTAAGAAATTACTTAGGTCCCATGAGAACTTTTGAAGGAGGCAACCTTTATTGTTTATTTACGACTTTTTTTATAGCTCATTCTTTGCATCTTATTTCCTTGGAAAAATGCACTTGTACGTACATATATATGCATATACGTGTGTAAGCGTGTGTAAAATATTTTTTTAGTTAATGGTACCCGAGCACTTAATAGAGATCTGGTTAACATGCTTATGTTTATATTATTATTATTATTATTATTATTATTATTATTATTTGCATAATTAAAAATGTTTAGAATCCATACAAGAATGTCCTGGGAGTTATTTGCTATTGCTTCTGATTGATGCAAATAATTCTTAGGAAAGAGAGCTTTACATTCAGCATGTGTCAAGACTATGATACACCTATGTGGTCTATCGCAGAATATAGAAGTCAAACAAAAGTAAAGAGAATCATGCCTCACTCTTCAGCTTTCTTCTTTTCACTAGTTCCACCAGGGTTAAGGCTCTTACTCACTTTCTGACGCAGAATACAGTGAGGGTGTGTTGAAATTGTTTTGGGTTATTTCATGAAGGAGAAATAATGAAGATCATATCTTTTGAAATGTACTCGGGACAACATTTCGGAAAGTTTTAGTAGGGGAATATCCTGTGCTTACTGTTCTCATTGCTCTAGATTGGCATCCATAGTGTTATTGGGTAGAATCTGAACCTAATTTTTGAACTCGGCGAAGAGAGTTGAAGATGTCATATATTAGGATCTGCACATGATACGTAAAGCTCCTCGTAAACCGGGTCTGGTTTGAGGTCACCAATCGCATCACCTTCCTGAGCCCCAGTCTTTGAAACTTTCTGGGAGATCATAGACTGGGAGTTGTACATATAGTATATCTGAAGTTCTTTTTTTCTTAATAAACTTCCTCAGTAGCTATCATTTGACGCATCCCCTCATTCGAGATTTAACTCTACTCTTATTAATGCAAGTCGTAAAGCAATGTGTAGGAGCAATAGTGCCTTTATATTGCAGTGGCAATCTTCATCCATCGTTCAATATACTTTGCATGATTGGTCCGGCATTAAAGAACATGTTTCTGATTTTTGGAATTTCCTCCTTTAGGTGTGCTGACTTGGTCTTCTTTAATATGCATGTTCAAACAGACTAGCCAGGAGAACTTGATAACAAATGTTCTTCCTTTGCTTGTTCGTGCTTACGATGACACTGATTCTCGTATGCAAGAAGAGGTTTTACGGAGAACTGTACCTCTTGCGAAGCAACTTGACATGAAGGTAAATAACGTTCTCTTTCACAAATTTTGCATCTAAGCTTTCCAAGTGATGACTCCACATTGTGTTGTGACGGCGCATTAGGACTGTTGACTTTTATGAATTGGTGCAGATTATTGAATACGATTACATAGAGCATTCAATTGGTCCGCCTTTTTAATGTTAGCACCTTGGATCTTGAAGATTTCTTCCCCTTTGAGAGTAAAGACTTCTGTGTGGAGAATCTCACGTGGAAAATTATCCACCGGGGTACCTTTTTTGATAAAAGCAATTGGTTTTCAGTCTTCAGAAGGAGGAATAGGAATCAAAAGTTTCTGAACTTGATCGATCCAGTTTGCCAGAGATGAGATCAGCACTGGTCCCATGAAGTGGATATGAGGATACAATAGCTCATTCTTCATGCAATATCGGACAAATTGTACGAAGAAGTAGGTGCATGCTTTCAACAAAAGGGTCATATTTCTAGGGCTGTTATTTGGGCATTCGTCTAGATAAGCTGGTGGGTTAGATTTTTCTATGAGAATGTAGATTCATTAATTATTTGGAGAGCCTACGTGGTTCAGTTCAATCTGTGCATCCTGCTTGCTTTTAGTTTTTCCTCAGTCATACATTCTCTCTTTTGCCTTATCTAAAGATTATGTCATACATCTTGCGGTATTGAAGATACTAACTCCATTTCTCCTTTTTATACAATGCGCAGCTAGTGAAACAAGCTATTTTGCCTCGTGTGCATGGATTAGCCCTCAGAACCACAGTTGCTGCAGTAAGTGGAGCTCTGCTTTCCTTTTTTGATCCTCATCCCTTTGTGATTACTTCTACCATGTTCACGTCCCTTGTCTCACGTATTGTCTGCTGAAAATTGTGTTTTATTCTTTACTTTGCCTACCATTAGACACTCGTGTTCTATTTGACTTTTGATTCAGAAATTATTAGGGGACATTCTCCAATCGATTACCCTAATGTGGTAGTAAACTTGTTTTGGCAAAGTTGTGTGCTACATTGTTATCAACGATGTTCTAGCTGGCATGTAAAAAAAAATTCCATGCAGTAGTTGTCTTCTCGCTTCAGAACTCTTTTTTTATCATGTCAGCAGTAATTGTCTCAATCCTATTTTCTGTTTCATTCAAAGACCCAGTAATTTAGAAAAACACAGTATTCTTGTTGAAACCACCACTGCCTTGAGTGTGATCTGTTCTAGTCCACACCTTCAAATATTCTGTTAATTCGTGTACAGGTGCGGGTGAATTCTCTCCGTTGTCTGGGGGATTTGGTCTCCTCTCTCGACAAACAAGCTGCTTTGGACATCCTGCAAACCCTGCAGCGTTGCACCGCCGTTGACCACTCTGCGCCTACCCTTATGTGCACCCTGGGAGTTGCCAACTCCATCTTAAAGCAGGTAACTCATCCTGCAAATCATATTGGTATAAACATGTTGTTCTTCCGTGTAGTTCTTTTGAAAGATTATTGATTTTAATAATTGCAGCAAATGATTATTATCCCCTTGTTTTATTTGTGCAGTATGGCGTAGACTTTGCTGCGGAGCATTTGCTTCCTCTTCTCTCTCCATTACTCGTAGCCCAGCAGCTGAACATTCAGCAGTTCGGAAAATACATGCTTTTTGTGAGGGATATTCTTAGGTACCGACATCTATTCAAATTTTTTCTTCATTTAGGTGGCTGGTTCCTGTTCTTCCCATCTTATGTGATCGGATATTGCTATCCATTTTTGAACTCTCCGATGACAGAATGATCGAACAAAAACGAGGCGTGACAGTGACCGACGTTGGAAATTCTGAAGTCAAAATCATGGCGTCTGTGAACAATGGCCTCGGCCCAGAGGCACCTCAGACAGCACATGGAGCTGTCCCGTCAGCCAAGACAGCATCCTCATCCTGGGACGAAGACTGGGGCCCGGTATCTAAGAGAACAGCTAGCTCTTCCCCACCACTGGAGACCTCGCAATCTGCCGCCACTGTGAGACCTCTGCCGCCATCTGCGCCGCCGCCCAGCCAACCAGCCACCTCTTCATGCGCGCCGGTTGACATCGAGTGGCCACCGCAGAGTTCTTCCATGGGCTTTGGCTCTCAGACGGGAAGAAATAGTAATCAGAACCAGAGCACGGAAGGTATTTCTGTCGGCAATTTTGATGACATTGACCCCTTTGCAGATTGGCCCCCCCGCCCAGGGAATGCCAGCGGCGGTGCCGCCACTGTGGCGGCGAAGCCCCCGCAGACCAATGGGAGCTCTGTCTTGAACACAACCAGCTTAAGCTTCTTCAGCAGCAACACTCCCATGGATCTGCAGAGACCACATCAAACCTACTCCATGTCAAGCATGAACAATCCAAGTCTTGGGGCCCCACCTGTGGCAAGCTTGAATGGATTCCCCACTCAGTCGGGTGGAGCATCCGGCTATAGAAAAGACATCGGCTCAATATTTTCTTCTTCCAGCAATGATCAAGCCACGCCAAGAATTGCTCCACCTCCGTTGACCGCGGTCGGGAGAGGCCGAGGCAGGAACCCGGGCCGCCTCATGCCGCCAGTCTCACGGCCCGGTCAATCGAACACCCAATTGGCGCAGCCGCCACTCTTGGATTTGCTGTGAACGGCAGCAGAGAAGGAATGTCGATCGAGTCGGGCTCTCCGCTAGGCGCTGCCCGTGTTCGGCCCATGCTTGGACTGTATAGTTGCAGCGATCAAGACTTCCTTTCTCTACCATAGAATGAAAGAGTGAATGGTTAAGAGTGTTCTTGAGGGATGTGGAGGAAGAATTGGATGGTCTCGGTTGCCCACCAAGCAGTAAGTAATTTCATACTATTCATGGAAATTTTCCAGTCAATGTAATGTATGGTGAAATGTTCGTTGGGGAACGTTTCATGTCTCCCTTTTAGGGTAATAAAACCTGTTCATGCTGTGTATTCTTGTAATGGGATGTTGATTTCGTGGTTTTCTCTCTCCTCCAGTGGAAATTATAGCCTGAGAAGATTGCAATCAACGAGGGTTATCTTTATCCGTTCTTGGGGAGTTTTATTTTTATTTTTATTTCTGCTGTTGAATGTTCTTGAGATAGCCATGGTGGCTCATGAGAGTGGGAGTGCGATATGATCCGACACGCCGTTATGATGCATGGTGAACTCATATAGTCAACTGAATTGTAAAAATGAAATCAATACTATGCACAGGGGAAGAACTAAACAAGCTTACTCTATCTCTCTCTCTCGCGCGCGCGCGCTCTCTCTCGCTCTCTCTCGCTCTCTCAATCGACCCAGAGTTTGCTGAGCTCCGCCGGAGAAGGGAGGCCCCGGAGCACCCAGTCGAGATCCTCCAGACTGGGTGCCGCCGTGGGGACGGACTGCTGGCCACCGGCACCCGCCGGTCGCCTACCGCTGCTCTTGACGGCGGTTGGCTGGCACACCCTCGGCGGCGCCGCAACATTCGAGTTCTTCCCTGTCAGGCTCTGCACCACCGCCTTGAACTGCGTCTCCTCCGTCTCCACGAACCTCGTCACAATTATCTTCACCTTCACCGGCGTATTCTCTCTCCTTGCCATTACCACACTGCTATTCCGAGCTAGAGAGACCCTCCCACTCTCTCTCTTTCTCTCTCTCTCTCTCTCTCTCTCTCTCTCTCTCTCTCTCTCTCTCTCTCTCTCTCTCTCTCTCTCTCTCTCTCTCTCTCTCTCTCTCTCTCTGTCTCTCGGACGAGTTGCAGAGGTTTATAGAGGGCAGAGAGGACCGTTGCGGAGGAACCCACCGAGCAAGTGAGGAGGGGAGACGTTGAATTGTCAGCAGATAGCAAATTAAAATCTGACGGCGATGACGGGGACAAGAGAGGGAGAGGGAGAACGCGAAGAAGACCACGTGAGCCATCTGACGGTGGATATCGCATGCGCTCCGCTGATCGGGCGGCTGTCACGGGCTCTCGGGTCGACCAGTGGGACAGTGGACCGGGATCATGGGAGATTCTCAAACGCTTTCTTATAATGTTTTTGTATAAACATTCCTTTATTAATTGTATATCGATATCTTTCATGTTAACAAAAAAAATAAAAACTACCGAGACAGCTACAAAAGATCTTGGCGCTGTCACCCTTCAGTGGTCGATATACCATTAAATATATAGACAGGGTTTATACGTAAAGTGAAGATTTCTTTTCTTGACCCCAGTTGACGGTACAGGTCTCAGTTGACTAGGACCAGTCAGCTGTGCCATCTTCCCCTACTTCCGCGTTCCTCCACAATAAATATATACAATTACCTAGTTACATTATCATCCATATTTGTAGTTGTGTCCTCATTTTCTGGTTCGGCACGTTGTACTGTATTCTTACGTAAAGAACCCTATGTGACTAAAAATTACAATAATACTTATTTTCAAGGCCACCTCTGTACAAATAACCCTGCCTACACTGGTTCCACGTACATCTTTATTATTACTATTGTTGTTATTATTAGCATTATTATTTTTTAAAGCCCAAATTAGAAATAAAATTACGTACTTGTCCCGGTCTCCTTTGAGACTGGGCTCCAGAGATGGCATTCAATTATTGAGCCTCTTGTGGATGGCTATTGGGCTTCCTTTACCGATGAGGATAGGGGAGAGTGGGTGCGTATTCAGCTAGAGAACCCTGGAATAAAGCATCCGTCAATGTAATAACCCTGTTTATGTGGTATTTGCTCATGTACCCCTCATGGGGCATTAATGATTTTTAATAGTTGACATCTGATGATGTTGCATGGAGGTGACGCGACTCTTCCCCTCGCCATGAAAATAAACTACATTAAAATTAATAATTAAGTTGGTACCATTTAATTGTGGCTTTGACGAGGGTATATTTCTAAATAATTTCGAGATGGAGGAATTGGGGTAATTTCAAGGTACTAAAACAATGGGAAGGAATTGTCGAGTCATCGTTTGACCGGACAACTTTTGGTCAAGAAAACAGGCGAAACACTTTTCCAGGTTGCGGCAGTTTGACCGAGAAACGCCTGCCGTCACGTGAGACCCAGTCCCATTGGTAACAGTCAGTTGGCTTACCACCCTTGACGGGTCCAAGGCCTGAGGATACTATTAAATGGATGGCAGGGTAGCGAAACAGGATACTGCTAATCGGATTTCCAAAGGCCCAGCTTTTCTCTTTTATCGTATAACGGACTGGTACTTGAAAAGCTATCCCTCATATCCGATTAATCGTTCAGTCATAATATGAGAAGGCTAAGCCCCCCCTCCCCTCCCCCCTTCTCTCTCTCTCCCCCTCTCTCTCTCTCTTTCTATCTCTCTCTCTCTCTCTCTCTCTCTCTCTCTCTCTCTCTCTCTCTCTCTCTCTCTCTCTCTCTCTCTCTCTCTCTCTCTTTCTCTCTCTCTCTCTCGTATAGTATTCTGAGAGGAAACATGATCGGATTTTTAGCAAGAAATTATTGAAAATACTTAGTAGTCGGATCAAGGTGCAGAGACAGAAGCCAGACTAATCTTTCCTCGTCTCTACCCTCTCTGAGCCTCATGTGAGGCATTGTTTTTCTGAAGAATACAGCTGAAAAATATTACCAGTACGAAAATATAAACGCAAAATTCATGATTTTACCTCTTTATGTGTCCTAGTGAAGTCCTTCGACTGGTAAAATGGCCTCGTTGGCATGGCCTGACAATCAGAAATTTTGAAATTATTTGTGCCATTTCACTATTAAATATATTTAATTTAAAAGAAACGCTGCGGTGATAAGTCAATGGGTTGACCAAGATCGAAGTCTAGCCTGGAAACCCGATGTCAAGGCTGGTCTGCACTGGCTCCAAAGGTCCCAATCCAAGAGGACTGCGACTCTTGAGATCTCCTTTTTAATGCCACTGAATCTCCTGAAACGTGCAACCGTGCACATTTACACCGTGGTTTGATTTACGTCGACAATTTATCAGATAGAGTGCAAGCTTACCGGGTCACAATCTTCTCATTCAAATTCAGATCTTTATTGGCTCAGACTTTAGTCTCAATATAGATCAAACCCTGCCTTCCGACCGTGTAAGAGTAGAGAGAGAGAGAGAGAGAGAGAGAGAGAGAGAGAGAGTCTTGCACACGTCAGTCCTCCTATCCCATTGGGCTGGAGTTGTATCCTATGATGATTACCCGTCTTCACATCCGTTCAAATAGGCCTACGTCAAAAAACCGCAGCAAAAATTAAAAATCAAAGTTCGTGGGCTGGCTTCTGATAGAACTTCAAGCCAAACCTCCCTAGTTCGGCAATGAGAGTTGACTTTATGGTGGCCCTCTAGGCCCCGATTCGACCAGCATTCACTATCTTGAAAAAGTCATTTCATTCCCATTGATCATGTCATTGACAATAATAAGCATGAACCTAGTCATCTAACATTCTAGAAATGAAGTCTTTAAAAGCATATTGAAGATATGAACAGATGATTCTACAGTTAACTAGGAGCAGCACAGTGTAAACAATAAGCCTTCAATGTATCTAGGGTAAGTTCAGCTCCCTAAGCGTACTCTATGAAGTCCATCACTCTCCAGGTCAGTCTGAATCTAGACCGGATATTTTAGCTTATCACATGGCTTGAACCCTTTTTTTGTTTAGGTTCCTTCTCCGGAGCTGGGCCTAGGGTTACCCTTTCAAATCATATGGATATTCTGATATATTATCTGTCCAGGGTGTATCTGCACTTCTGGATCATCTTTATTATTTTTGAAGTCCTTCATTGGACAACATAGTAAAGAAAAATTGCAAAATATTTTTTCACTGTACCATATATGCAGATATATATATATATATACATATGTAAATGTATATGATTGGTAATTAACTCTGAATATCAATGGTAAGTTCCATGGCAATAAATCCACTTCTCTGATAAACTAGGTGGGTCTAATTTCTTCTCTTTCACCTTTTTATAATAATCTACATTCATGAAAATAATTAAAGAAACTAATAGCTGTTTACAGATTACCAAAATTATCATAAGTAGAGCATTTCCTGACAATGTCAACTTGTGGGTACAAGATTAACTCTATGCCTACATCATGTATATGAAAATCGGGCCAAATTATGGAGCAACAATCTTTAATTTGTTAAAAAAAAAATATTTAGGGAGATGTAGCATTTAAGATATGTTTTAACAAATTAAATCAATTATTAAAAGTTTCTAAAGAAAAATATAACTATGTTTTACTCAAGTACTTAGTTCAAATAATGCAAATATATATATATATATAGATATATAAATAGAACAAAAAATTACGTTCAAAGGTTATGCATTTTATAACTTGTAATATTATACATTTTCGAGCAACATTTAAGCCAAATTCCCTGCTACACGCATTTTCATGGACCAACCTACTCCTGTAAGAAATTCCACCGGTCAAGTTCCCTACCCTTCGATACGAAAAGGGAGGGGAAATTCAACAAGACTGCGGTTCTACCTGCTATCTTGTTTCCTCCCGTGGAAACTCCTCGGATACCTGTTGTCTTTTTTTTATTCGATCTACGTAAGTTTCTCTTCCGCAAGTTCTGGTCTCTGTTACAGGGAAAGGCCGAAGAAGATTCTAATCTTTAGATTTCATCTCGAATGTTGACGTTTTATGTGTGCGTTTGAGAGAGAGAGAGAGTGGGAGGGAGAGACAGAGAATGAACGGGAGGAGGGGAGAGAGAGAGAGAGAGAGAGAGAGAGAGGGAGACAGGGAGAGAGGGAGATCTCATATTCTCGTCAATGTCATTTGCCTTCCTCAGCGCGGCCTTTGTTGTTTCTATTCTAATTTCCAACGCTCATTGTTAAAATTGCCTGTTGCTTTCTCTCGATAGTCGTACGTGTATGCAATAGCCCTCCACTACATGGACAGACCACTTTCTCTCTCTCTCTCTCTCACTCCCCCTTTCGTCTCTGAGAGGGAGATCATACCCATTCCGTTCTCAATGACCGCACCCGATGCGTATTATCGCCGATCTATCCCATCCGTAAATCGACGTGATTATCTATGTGACCGGTGCTTTCAACATCACCTTGCGGAGACGCGTACAGTGGAAAGAAAATAAACAATCACGGCAACAATTTGGCGGTCCCTTTTGTCAGATGATCCAGCACTCGAGCATGCCGGCCTCCGGACCATTGAAGCTATCTGATCTTCGAAGGAAAGATCCCTACGTGCCGTACACATGAGAGAGAGAGAGAGAGAGAGGCCCCACGTGATGTGAGATGCGCGACCTTTCTGTCTCCGATGAGAGCGAGCGGGTGACAACACTTCGGATGCTAGTGAAGTGACAATGACAGGCAACAGATGATCAGAAGCATAACAAAAGCACTAGTGATCTCCATGCGATGAAACCATGAATTGATATGTTGGAAAGGTAGAGAAACACAGTCAGGCATCGGTCAGTCAGAGACCCAGCGAGGTGACATCCTTCATTTCCCCATTTATTTATCTCCCTCCATTGGAAGCAGTCCCTTATGGTCCATACAGCTTGAAATATCTTCTCCCTATCCTTAGGTAACTAGCTGGTCAATGCCGGAGATATGAGTGGTGGGGAAACCATGAGACCAAGGTCATCTTGGGATCATAGACTAAAGTAACTCTGTGGTCCTCCACAGACCTATACCTCGTCGACGCGAGTTATTTTTTGTGGAAAGAAAAAAGGGATCTCTCTCTCTCTCTCTCTCTCTCTCTCTCTCTCTCTCTCTCTCTCTCTCTCGCTCGCTCGTTCAATTCGAAAGTTGCCCACATGCATAAATAGCAAGGAGCATGTGCTCCCACGCCCTCACAAAAGCCCTTCTAGAAGCCCCCCCAATCATAAGGCCTCCCTTCTTGCGTTTATCTTCCACTTATTCTTTGCGGTGGGTTGCATCAAATAGTCTAGCTTCTCTTCTCACTTGTGGCTCCTTGTTTGGGTTCTTCAGTGTTCAGGAGGCATGCCTAGAGAGAGAGATCCCCTGGTCGTAGGAAGGGTGGTGGGGGATGTATTGGATCCGTTCACGAGGAATGTTTCTCTTAGGATTACGTATAGTTCAAGGGAGGTCACCAATGGGAAGGAATTCAAGCCCTCAGCTGTAGTCAACCAACCTAGGGTTGAGGTCGGAGGCAACGACCTCAGGACATTCTACACTCTCGTAAGCTCGCTCTCTCTCTCTCTCTCTCTCTCTCCCTCTCTCATCATTGGAAAGACCCTCTATAAGGTGAACAATAAGGCTAATGGATCGATCTCAATGTGAAAATTTTCTGCATAAGTTTGCATGGTAGTAGTTCATTGATTTATATATTATTTCTTGAAGGTGATGGTGGATCCCGATGCTCCGAGCCCAAGCGACCCGAATCTAAGAGAGTATCTGCACTGGTGAGCATTCTTACATGTCTTCCCCCGGCGATATTTAGAATATGGGATCGAGTCCGAGAAATTATTAAATTTTGGTGTTGAAGAGGAAATCTTGAAGACAGATCCTGCTTTAACCAGGCAGATGCTGTCTGAGCCGAAAGTGTTACCAGGGTTTCCATATCTCAATCTTAGATCAGTCCCAAAGTGGAAAAGTCTCACGAAATCGCATGCCTTGGTGTCACTTATGAGCGTTTGGTTCTGAGAAAACTAAAGGCGGGGTATCTCTCTATTTAGGGCATAATGCATCTGAGTAGACCATCCCCATCTTTAGGCAATCCCCTCCTTACGAGGCAAACCTATATCAGTTTTAAGGTTATACAGGTTCGGTAATAGCCCTGCTCTTGCTTCGGAGAGGGTTAAGCCAAATCTGAGGAGACAGACTCCTTAGGAGCTCCTCCTAGGTCTCTTTTTTGGGGTGAAATTCCTCGGAGTTTCTTGTTTCGGAGACCATAATTTTGCTCAGCTGACATGTTTTCCTGATATTTATCTTCGCGTAAGCCCTCCTGATCTGCCGCATTATTTCCTCGTGCACTGATGGGGATACCTAATCTTCTCCAGGTTGGTCACGGATATACCGGCAACGACTGGTGCAACTTTCGGTGAGATCGCCAACCCACCACCACTCATATGAACATAGATACATCCCTCTCTCTCTCTCTCTCTCTCTCTCTCTCTCTCTCTCTCTCTCTCTCTCTCTCTGTATGTGTATACGTAGGTTTATCCCCCAAAAATTGTGCAACCCACCACTCAGACAACAGGAGTTTGCCTCACAACCTGTGACCGGCACAGATGACTCAAATAAGTTTTAAAGCATAAGCTAAGAGAGTGATAAACATACCCAAGTCTATTTATGTCCGTATTTTTTTCATTCGGTAAAGTCCTCTCTTCGATTACTATAATCTCGGTACTACTCACACCTGCATCCTCCCCACTGCAAATGGTTGATTCCCTCATCGATTTTATGTCCAAAAAAAACATACACATCCAGGCCAGGAGATCGTCTGCTACGAGAGCCCCCGGCCGACCATGGGGATCCACCGCTTCGTCTTCGTCCTCTTCCAGCAGCTGGGCCGGCAGACGGTCTACGCCCCCGGGTGGAGGCAGAACTTCAACACCCGAGACTTCGCCGAGGTCTACAACCTCGGCTCGCCCATCGCAGCCGTCTACTTCGACTGCCAGAGGGAGACGGGCTCCGGCGGCAGAAGAATGTAGCTCTGCGCCTCGCCACCTCATCTCCCTTTATCTCTGCCTTGTGTTTTCCTTCTCTGCTTGGAATCTGCCTCAGTGAAGTCTCGGTCAGCTGTTCGGATGCCCTTCTATTCCTTGGTCAATGGGGAAGCCTTATGTTGTGGTGCAAATGGAATCGGTGGAGAAATCCAAGTTGAGATTCATAGGTCAACTCCCTTCTGAGCCATTATTCAATACTAAGTGGACAACTAAGGGCTACGACCCATCGTCGCCAGCTGATCTTAGGTCAGTCCAAGAAACCCTCTAATATCTCAACACATTTTCTCATCTCATTGCGTAGGATGCTCATGTTTTCGAGCATTCCATGCCATTTTAGGCATGATTTATAAAATTTACACGAAAATAAATGAGCTCTATGCGAAATGCTCACTGTTATTGAGCTTGACGAACTACCCTTCGTCTGCTACTCAGACGAGCTCCGCCTATTCAACTACTCTTCCAAAGTACTTGACTCTGAGATCTGAAGATAGGTGAATGATTCAATCATTTCTCGATAAAAATTAGAAACCACTCCCCCACTCGACCGCATAGCTACGAGTTTCTAGTTGTAGCCTAAAGCAGGCTTGAACGCGAATCGGTCACAATGGAGCGGTCAAATGCCAAAATTAGGAAAATAAAAATAAAAATATGCTATGATATAGTAGATGAGTTGGCCATGCTACGCTTCAAAATGGTTGTAGATATTATGATAATGCGATTAATTATCCAAGTTTGGATTTCGATCACCTATAATTCGATACCCACATATCTTTTATTGAAGCTTCCACTCTCGGCATCGAGTTTGGGAGCTTTTTCAGATATGGAGGGTGCAGTCAGATGCACAAACCATCAGGTAAAAACAGACTGACGAGATGGTCATTAGCCGATGAACTCCCGCCTCCCCGGGAGAGGCGGGAGTTCTCCTAGTCCCGTGACTTCAGAAAGGAGCCAATCCAAAGGTAGAGAGTAGAGAGAGAGAGAGAGTAGTTCTTCCTTCCTCGTTATATCGACATAACTTACTGTTCCTGAGAACGGTCCCCATAATTAAAAGGAAATAAGAAAACTGCGGCCATTTATGAGCTTCGCCCGTGGGGTAGAACTCTAAAATGGAGTCTTGTCACTGAGTGGAGAGGTTCGTCTTCTTCCATGAGCTTCGCATGTGGGGTAGAACACTAAAATGGAGTCATGTCATTAAGTAGGGATGTTCGTCTTCTTCCTCCTCAGCCTGCAGGCTTTCAGCCTCGTACCCTTTCAATCTCGCGTGTCCGGATGCAGTCAAAAGTGGATGTCGTGGCTTTTCATGGTGAACTTGTCGTTCATCCACAGCCGTCAAGCAGGTCACTTCAAGTGGAAGAAGAAGGGAACATGGTGACTGACAACCCTCCAAGAACGCTACCTCTCTCTCTCTCTCTCTCTCTCTCTAGCTCTCCTCTCCTGGCCTCCACTCGTATTCCTCTGTCAAGTCTCGGTCTGTCAGCTTCTCAGACAATCTGTAATAATTGGAGTTCGCACATGGGTATCGAGAGAAGAGATAGAGAGACAGATAGTGAGAGGAAGAGGAGAGAGAGAGAGAGACAGAGAGACAGAGAGGGAGATGACCATGGTGCGGGAAGCGGTGTCGTATAAACAGGTAGAGATAGCGAAATGGAGATGAATGGAGAGGGGGATAGAGAAAGGAAAGAAGAAGAGCGATGATATGGAGCTGCAGATATACATAGATAGACAGACAGAGATAGATAAATAGATAGAGAGATAGAGAGAGAGAGAGAGAGAGAGAGAGAGAGATAGAGATAAATAGATAGATAGACAGATAGACAGATAGATAGAGAGAGAGATAGACAGATAGATAGATAGAAATAGAGAGAGAGAGAGAGAGAGATAGACAGATAGATAGATAGAAATAGAGAGAGAGAGAGAGAGAGAGATAGACAGATAGATAGATAGAAATAGAGAGAGAGAGAGAGAGAGAGATAGATAGATAGATAGAGAGAGAGAGAGAGAGATTGATAGATAGATAGATAGATGGAGAGAGAGAGAGAGAGAGAGATAGATAGATAGATAGAGAGAGAGAGAGAGAAGAGATAGATAGAGAGAGAGAGAGAGAGAGAGAGATAGATAGATAGATGGAGAGAGAGAGTAGGGTTATGATCAGGGCCAAGGATGTCCTCCCCTCCAGATGGCCAGCGAGGCTCGCTTTATAAATGCATGGCAGAGTTCGGAAGAGTAGTTAAATCTTCCACAGTTCCTCGATACCGAGGCGTCGGAACGTGGCTTCCTCCGTTGGACTCCGGCTCGTTCAGACCGTCGAACAAGCAGCCCATTCCTTCCCTGCCCTGTTCATTGTTCTATCCCATGAACAGTCGGTTTCTTGCCATTTCTCTCGCTCTCGTTGACACTGTGCCGGCGGCAAAGGGCTGGGAATTTCGGCCCGTTGACCCCGCGACTTCCAACGGGCCCTTCACAAGGCCAGACACGGTTCAGACTTCCTTTCACATCCACCCATGATTGAGATAGAGAGAGAGAGAGGGAGATGTTCGGTAAAGGAGTGCTATCTCTCTTAATGTCAGAGAATGATATATGTTTATGAGTCGTAGCAGAAGAAGAAAAAGAAAAAGAAAAATCCTAAAATTACTTTTTTTATACTACCCAAAATTACCTTTTTATCCTCAGTAAATAATGAACATTATATAAACTTTATTGAATTTCATTTTATATTTGATCTTCCTCTTTAATACAACCGGGCCATCCCGTCTCTTCTGCATCAGATTTGACTGGGGCATCCCCCAGTCCGAAAACTCGAGGTGTGGTCAACGGTTTTATTGATGAAAGAGAATCGGAGGAGAGAGACAGAGAGAAACAACAACAAAACCTTTGACTAGTTTCAAATAAAGTCATAGCATCAGATCCCGCCGCTCCCAACTACTCGGACCTGCAAGCGGAGAAAACACGGGAAGAACACCCGGTCAATATCAATGGCGGGAAGCCCAGCATTTGAGAGCCAATCAGAGACCTTTCTTCAGCATTGCTGACCCACGTGGGGGAGGGATCTAAAGCTTCGATTTAGCCGAGAGCCTGGCCCTCAGCTCGTCAGCCACGGCGTCGATGAATTCCTCTGTGCTCAAGTACTGGGCACGGGTGACACTGACAATAATAGCAAGTAGAGGGTTGACTATTAGGATTCTTTGACCCTGTTTTATGATTGGAGAGTCAACTTAAGCCGCGGTGTGATTACCCTGGGCCATGGATGAGTAAGGCAAGATCCTTGGTCATCCTTCCTGACTCGACTGCCCCAACACACGCCGCCTCCAGTTTGCTAGTGAAGTCCAGCAGCCTGGTGTTGCCGTCTAGCTTCGCCCTGCAGAATTGAAACCTCCTCAGCTGTCCTCGTAGGGTTGGTCATCTCACATGGCGGACTTTCAGGGTCGGAGTTACAATACTGAGGATAAAATGATATGATGTAGGGACAGAAATACGTGATAATTAGGCTGCCAATGCTTTTCTTTTTTTTTTGGTTCATTCATGAATAGCATACCTATGAGCAAGCCCACGTGACCAAGCAAATATTGAAGCAATGCTATTTGTGCTAGTTTCACCTCCTTTCTGATGAACACGGTAATGGCGCGTCACTGTACCATGCGCAGCTTCCGCTTCTATTGTTTTCCCATCAGGGCACACAAGAACCGATGTCATCAGTCCCAGAGATCCAAAGCCTGTAGAGGAAATAAATAAATAAATAAATATATTGAATTTAATTGAATCAATGGAATCTCGTTTTCTGCTTCCTTGAAGCAGAAATCTATTTTTTTCTTTTTAGGAAAGATTGATTGACCAAGAAATCAGTAAAATTGGTCCAACGGGAAATAAGAATCTCCACCTTGAGCTAGAAAATCACTCTGCACATCTCCATCATAGTTCTTGCAGGCCCACACGTAGCCTCCTTCACTCTTAAGTGCATATGCAACCATATCATCAATGAGCCGATGCTCGTACCTGGAAGTTGATTTCTGAGTAAATACAAGATTCAGTGGTCTAGGGAAGAGGTGTTGTATGAGTAAAAGTATACCAGATGCCTGCAGCCTCAAACCTCGATTTCCAGCTAGTTTCATACACCTCTTGGAATATATCCTTGAACCTGTAATACAGAGAACAATAAAGAATCAAATAAAAAAAATCACGAAGATATAAGGTTGAAATAATTAATGAAAGCTGGGCAACAGACCTTCCATCATATTTCTTCAGTATTGTATTTTTCGTGCTCAAATAAAGAGGCCATTTTTTCAGGTAAGCAGTGTTCATCGAGGCTTCGGCAAAAGCACGAATAGACTGTTAAAACATCCGCCAGAAGATGCCATATGGTTAGATAATAAACTGGGATTATAAACTGAAGCACCAAAAGAGTCGGTTGAAATATATACTTCATCAGTGTTATACATCGATAGTGCTACTCCCCCTGCGCCCATGAAGTTAAATACTTCGAATTCCACGTTCCCCTCTTTTCCCTCTGAAAGAGTGATGACACAAAGGCCAACTTAACAAGCAGATGCCGCACCCAGATCAGAATCAGTCTTCCAGTAGAGGCTCCTCACCAAAGACCAGCTTCAGCTTCCCGGGCCCTTTGATTACTGTGTCTGTGGCTCGATATTGATCGCCAAAAGCATGCCTTCCAATACAAATGGGCTTCGTCCAGCCTAAGAAAAATACAAGAATTGAATAAAAGTTGACAGTTAAATAAGAATAACATGTTGACATTATTCTAAATACCAGGAACAAGTCGAGGAACATTTTTGCAGATAATAGGCTCCCTGAACACCGTACCTGCAACAAAAATATACAAGCAAGCCTGTGCGGTGTTAATGTAGTAAAGATCACACGGCCTATTATAACCACACTGTATAATGCCGACCATTCAAAATATTCCTGATGGTTCCATTAGGACTTCTCCACATGGATTTCAAGTTGAATTCCTTGACACGAGCCTCATCTGCATGAACATTGAGTTGACTTTATCAAATTATTATGGATTTCTTGGGCAACAAAAACTTTGTCTTGGAAGCAAATCAAACATGAATTGTTTGGCTGATGAGAGGAAAATGATGGCACTAGTTAGACGACACCTGGGGTTATTGTAGCACACTTGATAGCGACATTGTACCTAAAATAATTAAGACAATTCAGCCCAGTAAAAAGGCACGAAAAAAGGGTAACTGCATCAGTTTTCAGGATAAAAAAGGTAACATTAAGACAGAAAAATGAAAAAAATACATATTTCCTGATGATGATCTAGTCGTGTATGAAAAAAAAATCGTCAGACGTCAAATGAGCCTCCAAATTACCGAATCAAGCTAAGAGAACTCTCAAACTCCAGGATTATTAAGAGACAAATATAGTATTCTAAAATACCTCTTTGCAATAAGAAATATGCTGAGAGTGCATACTGTAAGAACGTATGAGGCTTACTTGAGTGTGGCTTCTGCACTCTCAATTGTAACTTTATCATCGGTTGCGTCACGGTTAGGGAGCCCTAGATCAAAGTACTTGATGTCCAAATCCAAGAATGGGAAGATGAGCTGCACATTGATCATAAGACTAGATTCAGCGGGCAAGTGACCAATGTAGGCAAAAGAAGATGAGAAAGGAAGAATTCGTAATAGCCAAGAGACTATGAATGATTACCTTAGTCTTGATTGATTTCCAGAAGACACGAGTCATCTCGTCGCCTGAATTCAAATACGAGATTCAGGAATTTAAATCAATATTTTTTATAAAAAAAAGAGCAGAGACCTGAATTTTGATAAATAAATAAAAATTGACCACCTAACATTGATAATTACCAGAGAAGACACTATAAACCTGCACCGGTAAATAGATAAAAGCTATTTTTCGAGGAAAATGAATAAGAAAACCGATGGACAAATGTTCCACAAAGAAAATTCCACAAACTATGCTAAGCGAAAAATGTCCACACCCGAAGAGCATTGATGAAGAGGAGAATTCGAGAAACGTCAAACCATGGACACATCTACTTCTCAGGATCCCGGCCAGGATACGGCGGATGTCAGCTTAAATGTCTCCAACAGAGGGCGAGGCTTTACCATCGAGAAATACTGACCAATTCGAAAGGGCCCCATCTAGAGGAAGAACAGCAACTAAAAGCAACTGCGGGAACGAGGAACAGAGTCCGGTCGAGGCTCACCGTCCATCTCCACGATCGGATTCGCAACCTTAATCTTCTCGAAATCCATGACTGGATCAGAGAGATACAGCAGGAGATCCCGCTGGCGAGTCGCCCGCCTGAGCGAAGACCAGAGACGTGAACCGGATAACGGCGGAAACTGTTGGGTGTGAGAGGTAGGTGCGGGAAGAGGCGGTTATGAGGAAGACGAGGGTCTCAGCAGGAATACAGAGGCCGAGATGGTCGTGTTGTATAGACGAGGATATTCTCTCCATCGAAACGTCGGCAACATTAAGATTTCCTACTTTTCATTTGAATTCTGATTTTTTTCATTTAATTTTTTCAGAAATTTACTATTTTCATACTTGCTCCATCCACGTCACGTTCTATTAAATTCGCCATATGAGCTATGCCCTAGATATATTATATAATTCGTAATCGATTGATTTATAATAATCTAGGGATTGATTTATAAACGAGGTGTTATAATTTTGTCGTTTAGGGTCATATGTGCCTCTCTCTCTCTCTCTCTCTCTCTTCATTGAATAAGGCAGAGTCCACGACCACCGATGTCCACTCCCGAAGTCCGACGTGGGTTAGATATTTCCGGGCGGATTTTTGTGGGACCCAATGACACGTCGGATATTCCCGTAACATGTCAGATTTTGGGAAGACACTTTTATGACGTCACCGAATTGGGCGGGGCGGGGGAGGAAGTTTGCGAAGTTATTTGGAGGCTTTGAACCAGACACCTGTGAAGCTTAGATCATTTTCTTGAGTAAACTTAAAATCATTATTAAAAATATATAATATATAAATATGTCAATATTAGTAAGTAAGTCAGAAATATATATATAATTAGTATAAATCCATAGAAAAATGGTTTCATCGTAATTCTATTCAATTTAGAAGCTTTCTTTGCTACAAAAAAGAATTAAATGGGTCATTTTTCATTATCATGACATTGTTATAAAGAATGATAACATTATTAAATATTTTTTATATGTAGAAAAAGAGATAACTATATTAAAATATATTTAGTGACCCAATCAACACTACTAAACGAAAGGATGTTGCAAACATTATATATGGTTTCTAGATATCATATTATGGAAAATGTATTTATTCCACAGCAATATAGATTTTGCAGAAGCATTGCAGTTTATAATATTGATTTTAATAAAAATAGTTTTTTTTTCAAAGGGTTGGTTTGAAATATTAACCATCTGGTTCGAATCGAGACGGGTCGCCCGATTCATTTGTGTTTCTTGGCGCCTTCCGTGGCGGGGTAATGGAGAGAAGGCGAACCCTGATGGGCAGAATCCGTCAGTCCCTCTCGTGTGGAGGGGACGAGGATGGGGAAGAGGACTTCTTGGGCGAATCCGGTGGGAGCTGTTCGCTGTCTCCATTGCAGGTACCATTCGGCGGCGGGATCGACTAACCGTTGTGTCGAGGCTTTCTTTTTCATTTTTCCATCTTCATATCCTTGAGTCTGGCCCATGAATTTTTTGGTTCCCCTTTTCAACTGTGTTCCTCTCATCGAATAGCATTTATTTTGAACAGAGGATGTACGGTTTTGCAGCGTGCTTGGTGTCTGGCTTTGCCTGTATGTTTCTGGTACGAGTCATGAACCCTATTACTCGCGAGGAATTCTTGCCGGTTCTAAATTTAATGTCAGATCATTGCTAAGTGGCTGATAGATTGTAGCCAAAATGAAACTCAGATCTGATGAGCACGAGATTTATTGGCCAGAGGTGGAGCTAAATTGTTTCCATGAGCAGGTGCCTTTTGGGAACTGTGAATGACGTATTTCGTCTCGTTCTCAGGATTCACACCCTCTCACCCATAGATTCCAGGATATCATTCATTCCTTCCGCCCCCCCTTCCTCTCCAGTATTCAATTCTTTGATGCGTTGCAAGCAGTTGGTCCTTTCGATTTTCTCTCCAAAGTGAATTCTCCTGATAGCCTACTGAATCTGAGCGGCAAGCAAACTTCGCAGATAGCGTTTAATTACTGGAACCTGGGAGAACCACTCATTCCGTTTTTTCCTGGGAATTTTTTGGAATAAAAGTGCCCTGTGGAAAGTCTACAAGATTATCTGTTCAAGATGTTTTCCAAAGCCTCTGATATATATTTTCTCTTTTTATCTTGTAGCAACGAGCCACCATTTGAACTGAACTAGAGTATTAGACCATGATAAGTGTGGGATTCCCGTCATAAGTTCCCTTTTTTCTGGATGCTGTGTGGTTAACCCTTAATGCTGAGAACAAGTGAGAGTTTTTGCATGTATGGATGCTATATGGATACTGACCATGAATATCTGGATGCTTCATTAGAATCATGTAAGGATGTCTGCTGATAGGTGTGCAAAGTGGCACTTGCTCGTCTTCCAGTGTACAACAGATATCATAGAGCCATCCCCTATCTTCCAATACCCTTTCCTGTCTCATCTTCCTTACTAAATGAGGCTGTAGTTCATGCATAGCGTAAAGTATATAGTCTTGTTGTTTGATACCTCTTTTCATTATGTCAATGGTTTAAAACCTAAGATGCATCAGGAATGAATTTCATAATGTTATCTTATTTATGATGCAATAAGGAGGAATGCATACGGTTTCTTACCCATCAGATACTCCAAACGGGGGATTTAAATAAATACATAGCCTCGGGCACTTTTAAACACTTTCTTCCGCCACATTAGTCCTCTCCCTTCTTCTTCAGCTAGCTGCTCGGAAAGTCCCTACTCTCAAGCCACAGCCCCAATCAAAACCGTGTAGTATTGTTGAAGACCATTAGTTTGCCTTTAGTGGCGAAATTTGTAACATAAGATATCGTACGAGGGGATCAAAGTCTTTTGATGTTTTCCACAATAAGAGGGTCAGTTGGCTTGTCCCGTGGTCATGAATTCATGAACAGCTTTGACATGACTGTGAGGGTTCGTGATCTGCCTCTACCTGGATCCTAATCCTTTTAAAACACTTCTATTTTCGTAGCCAAGTTTCACTTAATGAGGTGTATTTTCTCTCGTCATATCATCCACTACCCTTTACTTTTGTTTCTTATGCAGTCGTTGATTGTCTTCTTCAAGCCCATCAAATTTGCTATACTATTCACCTTTGGGAACCTTTTTGCTGTTGGAAGGTTGGTAATGTGGCTGCTTTACATGCCGACGCATTTTCCCAGTCTAAATAGACAGCCTTTCATTGGATTTCTTTCCACAAGAAAAGAAATATTGATGAAGCCGTGTAAATTTTTCAGCAAAACTGATCTGTTATATTTTCAGTTCTTTTTTTTCCTTCTGTGGAGACGATTTTTCAACATCTTACGATCTACGAGCAAGTGTTGTCCTGAAATTATCTCGATAACATGATGATTTAATGATATTTATTTGCTGCTTTTTTCTTTTAGAATCCGACATTATGATCATTCTATTATCTATTCAGTTTTCTTCAAGAAAACTTGCTGCATGCCGACAACCACTGACACTGCTGCCATTTGCCTCTGGCTGGTATCATTTCTTAGAAGAATGTTTTGGAGAATGAACTTTAATCAACACATTGTTTTTATCATAAATTATAATTTATGCAGTTGAATTCATAATCTTTTTGGTTTTTCTGAACCCCCTTGATGCTCCCCCCTTTGGATTAGCCAGCTGCTAACCAACCCAACCCCAGTGTACCCTGAATCGGACGGAAGCATATCAGATGCTTCTCCTGATTCTTTTTTGCACTAAGGTGCTCAGGCAATACTAACATGTTCAAGGTCGCTGAAGAAGCAGATTTATTTGGTCTCCCCGTTCATTGAAAAAACTTATGTTTGATCGAATGCTGATGTACAAGCACTCTCTTTCTCCGTTTTCTGCAACCTCTGCTTTCACTGACTGATTTCTGCTCTAACCTTTCGATCCATCTGGCAGCACAGCCTTCCTCATCGGACCAAGTGAGCAGCTGAGGTTGATGATTGATCCTGTTCGCATCTATGCCACATCTATCTGTATTGGCAGCGTCTTGCTTGCTCTTATCAGTGCTCTTCTGGTAGGTCTCATAGGGTATGCTTTTATAGCCGTTCACTTGGTCTCATGAGTATGTTTGTGTTCGGAGGTTGAGCTGTGGAAGCCATGGATAATCTCTGTGCCATCATATTAATCGCTCCATATTTTTGCCTGCTTCCATGCTGTGTAGATTCATAGCAAGATTCTGACATTGATTGCGATCATAAGCGAGATTTGCGCCCTCACTTGGTACGCCATTCATTTGAATTCTGAAAAATATTTAGCACTCTTTGGAAAAGAATGATCGCATGCATACTTTCATTAGAATTCCTTAAGAGGGTACACCTCTTCCTGAAGATTGAACAAGAAAAATCTGAACTTGTGATTACAGTTCAATTTCGGGTAATTGTTTTTAATTTGGTTCGAAGCTCAATCTGTACCCATATGTTATTCAGAAGACTCTCTCTCTCTCTCTCTCTCTCTCTCTTGAGGATCTTTGTGTACTCAGTGTAACGGTGGTTCTGTTTCAGGTACAGTCTGAGCTATGTACCCTTTGCTCGTAGGATGGTTTCAGAGCTGATCATCTGCTGCTGCGACACAGAAATTTAGATGGGCCTTTGCTCCGTCTGGAGATTCGAAGGATCCAGGGGTTCAAGCTCCATATTTGACCTATTTTTTCCCATTTAGATCCCATTTTGATAGTTTCTATTTAATCTGGATGGATTTTGTTAGGACGAGTTCACTTCAACTTCATCTCGAGAAACCAAGCCTCTCTCTCTCTCTCTTTCTCTCTCTATCTAGCTATCTCTTTCTAGCTTCTCGCATAGCAGGCATTGACGGCAAGGAATCTAAAAGTATAATCTAACGGCTGTGGTGGTTATAATCAAAGGTTGTCTTGGAGGGCTCTCAGTGTCTTGGAAGACACCCTTGGGTGGCTTCATCAATTGAGATGAAGCAGTTGGACCTCTCTCTCTCTCTCTCTTTTTCTCCAGGGCTGGACGACTTTGAGGTGAGCTTCTGGGTTGGACCCAGACATATCTGACGTGAAAACCAGTTGGTGGTGCTGGAGAGAGAGAGAGAGAGAGAGAGAGAGAGAGAGAGAGAGAGAGAGAGAGAGAGAGAGAGGATTTAATTGAAGCCTTAGCGAAGCCATTACTGAGGACTTTCAACATCATGTTCGTTATGCTCTTAAAACGAGGCACGGACAACGGACCGACCACCGGCCATAATCATAATGAAGTATCGGCATCCAACCATCTTACAGTTAAGCCCCACGTCCCCCTCCTCACATCCTTAAATGGCGATGGGGGCAACTCCGCTATGATTATGAAGTGTTAGACGTGTGGATAATCTTCCGCGACAAAAGTTCGGATCGGACGGTCAGCTGGGCACGATGAGGGATTGTGGGCCCCACCTTCTCCAGCCCAGCCGTTCCTCCACAGCAGGGCACCTAGTATATTAACGAAACGCGGCTGTGAAGGTGGGCGAGTTAAGGCAGAGGTTGGAGCCCATTACAAAGGAGTCGTTGGAATCGACGATTTTGACTGATGGGTGTCCGTGGAATACCGCGGTAGGGGCTTTGATTATCCTGCACTGGTAGATAAGACAAGAGAGTTCGCCTCGTTGTCTTGCCCGAGCACGGCGACCAGAGGCGCCGGTCTACGATTACGTGGCGCTGGCGACAGGACTGCGACTGCGTTTGGGTTTCCAATAAATATCCTCAGCGCCCCTTCCACGAGGAGCATGTCGTCAGACGCGTAGCGTACTTGTTTCTCTGTTGACTTCCTCTCTCACGGTTGGCGTCGCTCTCTCCGCTGTTTCGATCGGCGGTCGGGAGGGAGAAGGTGGAGTGTGGCGGCGTAGATCCGGCGAGGGATTGCGAGGATGAAGTATCTGGTGGAGGTGGAGAAGGGATTGCCGGCAGCGGGCGGCCGGCCATCCGTGGGGCCCACCTATCGCAGCCTCTTCGCTGAGGATGGGTTCCCGGCGCCGGAGGAGGGTGTGGAGACATGCTGGGATATATTCCGGTAAGTGCAGAGGAGGAAATGTTAGGTCCTGGGCGTGGCTTTTTGAGAACAGCGGAGATAGGAAGATATGGTCTTTTGTTTTTTGTGCGTGGAAGTTTGAAATGTTGCGTAATACAATAACCGCTCTTCAGATCTACTGAATCTTATATTTTTTATTTACCAGAGTTTTAGCATAAAGTCACGTAAATTGGTATAATCCTGTTAATTACGAGTTTAAATTCCGACTGGTGAAAACTTTAAATTATTTAAATAAACTAGTTTCTGGTGAGAGGAGTTCGTTTTGGGCTGTATTTATTCCGTCTGTCTTTTGAAGTCGGACTGTTTCGCTGACGTACATAAGATGAGAAAATTGCGCCATTGTGCGTGAATCTCGTTCTTCTCCATCTCTATTTAACCATGTTTGATTAGTTTAGCTGAAATACCAAGTTTTAGAAACTGAAAACTATTTTTTTTGGCTGGTACATTGTCCATGCAATATAGAACGTCGGCAGAGAAGAATTCTGGGAATCGAATGCTTGGCCGTCGTGAGATTATAAATGGCAAGGTGATTGCTTTTTTCTGTAGTTAGACTTTCTTTCAGCTTCGCTTTTCCTTCCTCTTAATTTCCAGAAGAGGACGAATGTGTCGCATTGATAATAGATTATGCATCTGCAGGCCGGAAAATACAACTGGATGTCCTACAAGGAGGTTTATGACCTTGTGATTAAAGTTGGGGCATCAATTCGTAGTTGTGGAGTCGAACAGGTAATTTTGGCTGCCTTTACGTCTGCGTCTTTATTACCATCCATTTCAAGTAGAATAATTGTACAGGAATCTGGTGGTTTCATGTGTGCATCAGAGGAAATTAGATTTGTGAAGCATGCTATTTTTCATTCGCTTTCAGATGTCGCTTAATGTTCATGCTATGAAAACTGTCTTCCGTTTCTATCATAGATAGATGCACTCAATCCGAATTTTTCGTCTGGCACATTGTATGGAAACTTATCACTAATTTTATTATGTTGACGATGTTAATGAAGTTTTCAAACTCGTGTACGGAAGAAATAATGTAATTGTCTCCTGTCCTTCTGTTCACTCGCAGGGATCTCGTTGTGGTATTTATGGTGCCAACAGTCCTGAGTGGATCATCAGCATGCAGGTGTTCATTGCAAATATGTGGAAGCCGATCAAAGTTCATGGTTTTCAATTTGATGGCATGATGCTTAGTGAAGATTGTGGCATTAAAAATCTACTTTTCTTATGCAGGCCTGCAATGCCCACGGAATTTATTGTGTGCCTTTGTATGATACCCTAGGTATGGACCTAAGGCGTCTTTTTTGAAGTTTCTGCATACTAATATGTTTGAAAAATCGTATATTATGCTATAAATCATTATGTGACGACGGCGGTGGGGCACCATTATCGATATTGTGATCATGACAACTGGAAAGGGAAAAATACAAGGGACCATTCGTCTTTCCTCTCCTTTTGTTGCGTTTGTCTGCCTGGTTGTGTCCTCTTCTTAGACGATACATTATGGACATCTCAGTGATGGAATAAATAAGGTTGCATTTATTTGAAAATATGGAAAAACAATTCCCCTAAAAGATTACTGACATGCAGTGGTCTCTGCTGATTCTATCTTGGACTTCACTGGTGTGATTTATCTTACTTTTTAAAGTGACTGATCCCTGACCTACATTTGTTTACGAGTTGATTGGTTAGAAGATTTTAAAGAGAATCAATTTTTGGATGGAGCTTATTGGTTAACTGGTTTGATTTGGAGATCTGACTGAGCTGATCTGATTTGCATTCAGGTTGGTACGATGTACTTTCTGAAAACTGAATTCGATGTGAATCTTGCCAACCCCGTATACAAAAAAAATAATGCCATGTCCATGCTCAGGGACGTAGGCCAAGAAAATAGGCTAAGAATATTGGCATGTATGCGCCACACTGTTGTGATAAAACCCAAGGCTCAATAGATTTCATTGGTATTTCTGTGTTTCTTGAAGAATCCTTCCTATTCCTTTCTCTATGTCAGTCAGAAATAGGGCTTATAAGAGGTGTCTATTGTCTACTCTCCTATACAAGTTGACAAAGATTCCGTGAGTACTTGTGATGTTAACTTCAAGATATGAATTAGAGTAGGCTCCACAATTTTAATAAGGAATTGAGCTTCAATGCAATCTACAATCTTTTTTGATACTAGGAGTGCCACCTCCAAATAAATATGGTAATCATTCGTGTCTTCTCAGTTGCTGTGAACTTGTACATCAGCAACTATGCTTTTGCCACGTCTCTTGGTAAGAAACATTCACTGACTAAGAAAGAAGGATACTCTGAGGGTAAGAATACCCGTTGTAGGGAAATTATCCGTGCTGAGTGAGACATGAAAAGGTTGGAGAACTCCCAGAGTGAACTGAAACTGGATTATCAGATGCCTTGTTTAGTTTTTTTGATGCTGATATGATGGTGGTGCATTTACTTTTATCAGCAGACGTAGTGTCCTTGGTAATCTATACTAGTCGGTCAGAATTCAGTTCGTGACTTTCAGTTAGCTTGGTGATTTATCCTTTCAGGTAATCTATACACGTGGTAGCTGACTAATCAAGTTCTTCCTTAGGGGTGTTCTTTCTTGAAGAAATAAATTAAAAGCTTCGACATCCTTGTAATTTCTTAATAATATTTTCCTTATAATCAGGATAAAATTAAATCCTGGAATTCATTCTTCTTGCTTATGTTCAATCATTGCCGTTTTTTTTAAGAAAAAGAATTAGTCCCTTGTTTTTCTTGGTACTACTGCAGGTGCTGGTGCAGTTGAATTCATCCTATGCCATGCAGAGGTTTCCATTGCTTTCGTTGAAGAGAAAAAGATTCCAGAGGTATTGACTTTAGTGGATTTTCTAGGGCTCTAGATAGGTTAGCTTCGGAGTTGATACAAATACTTCTGATCCTGATTTTAATAAGAAGCTACTCCTTCTGATTTCGATTTCGAAATAAACTGCGGTCAAGGGGATTCTGTTTTTCAGATGAAATCTGGTGATATATTATGAATATAATTAATTATGGGATTTATGCTATGTTCATGTATACCTTTCCCATAAGAAGTATGTTTCATTTACGAGGAGTGTTTCTAAAGACATCATATATCTTGTATGAAGGTCGTGTGTTTTTGTTTTAAATTTAAATATAGTATTTGGATCCTGTTTTGATTCAATTTTAAGTGGCTTATGCACTTTCTGTCACAAGTTAGAAATTCTTTTGCAGATGATGGTAGACTTTTTGTACAGGCTAGTAAGCTCATTGTTTGCTACTAAATGATTTTTTTTTCTACAGATTCTGAAAACATTTCCCAACTCGACGAAGTTTTTGAAAAGTGAGTTTTCTTGGCTTAATGGTGTGGACAAGTGAATATAGTTTGAAAGTTCTAGAATGAGTGCGAAGCTGAAATCATTTAGATAAATTCATGTGAAATGGGCTTAGTAATGGTCTAGGCCTAATGGCTTGTGCTTATGATCGGGCATTTGGCAAGATTGGATGTACTAGCATGAAAACAGATGGAATCAGATTGTGGTATTGACTAATGTTGAAATTCTGCTATAAAACTGTTTGAACTATTGTGTTTTTGCAGCAATTGTTAGCTTTGGCAAGGTCACTCCTGAACAAAAAGAGGAAGTTGAAAATTTTGGTTTGGCGATACATAATTGGGATGAATTCTTGTTGTTGGTAGGTCATATTGTTTTTATTCATGGTTCTTTTTTATGCATCATTTTTAGAAGTGCTATATTATAGACGAATGTCTTACAACAAGACATGAAGAGAATCATTGAAGCTATTGTTCTCTATGTTTTTTTTTCTAGCTACAATTCTGGTACAAAAACACCGATCAATCTTGAATTCTGTTTTAGAAACTTGGAGCAACGCCCATCGCTTATAATACAGATGTAGATTTATCAGTGTTTTTAGCCCTTGCCCAACTTCGTGTTCTGACATTAGTATGCACAATTTGACCGTCACTCATTTTAATTTAACAATGTATAAGGTATCAAAATTTGATAACTTGTTGCAAACTTTGGGGAGATTATGGCGTGGAGGTTTAGGGTTTTCATAGAAGGGGACCAACTGAAAGCTCTAAGGTTTGAGAAAGAAATAAACGGTTCTATGGTACTTGAGTTAATTGAAAGCTATTATAATCACATTCAATAAAATGGTTCATCGTCTAAAATAGCATGTGACAACCCTTGATTTATAATCATTAGTACATTGCAAGTGGCATCGTCTAAAATAGGAAAAAAGGGCTATCTCAGGCCAAGTAATAGACTAATGGCAAAAGGTAGGGAAAGAAGAGCTATTATGGTTCGTCATGAAAACAAAATTTTGGCAGGATCTTCTGAACTCTAAAGGACAGGATTTTTCATCAAGTCGTTTGTGTTCATCTTGCGACTAGTCATATATCTCATTAAACAGATGCCTCATCAAAACGTGTTAGTAGCACGACTTAATGGAACTCGGTGACCAGGTTGGATAATAGAGATAGGAGATGCGAAAAGGTATCAGTGTAAAATGTGAAGCATATCTTTATCTGAATAGATAGATAGAAAGACTAGGATGCTCTCTTCTGAAGCCATTATCAATAATGATATACTCAGAAAGTATTTCAGACACTAACATTAAATCTGTATTCTTCTGTGCTTCACTTCCCAAGAAAATACCTGGACGCCATCAGGTGTCACCATCTAAAAGAAAGAACCCTTCATTTTTTAATGGTCAATTCATCATTTGAGTGTTTTGTTGAATATTCACCATTTTTGCCCAGTTCTGATTTTTCCACATTAAAGTCTGAAATTTCTTTCCGTGCATATGCTTAGCAGAAAAGATGACTCCTTGTTTTTATCTGAACTAGTTAAAATTATTGTTTTCATTTTTTTCTGTTCAGGGACAAAATCAACAATATGATCTTCCCAAAGTAAGTAAATCCGATATCTGTACGATAATGTACACAAGTGGAACAACCGGTGATCCTAAAGGGGTCCTGATCTCTAATCGGAGCATTATTACACTTATTGCTGGTGTGAAACGGCTTCTCCAGTGTGTTCACGAACAGGTGAAGCAAATGGTTCCCTTGAGCATCGAATTTCTTCACTTCCTTTCTCGTAAATTTTGACACTGCATAGAGCTCCAATGAATGTATTTTCCAGAAGAAAAAAAAAAATTTACAGCATCAACTACTGAATGTGTGAGGACTCTCCTGTTTACTGTCTTTTCAGTTGACTGTGAATGATGTGTACTTATCATATCTCCCGCTGGCGCACATCTTTGACCGGGTAATTGAGGAGGCAATTATTTCCCACGGTGCCTCAATTGGATTTTGGCGGGGGGTAAGATAGATTTCTGCACCTCATCTGGTTAATTTTTGTAGACCAAGGAATTTGAATGTGAATTTAGTGCCTGAAGAGAAAACATTTTGATCCAGTTGCTTGATATTTTTTATTCATTTGAACATGAATTTGCCGACTCCCTTATGCATGCTCTATCCCCGCTTGAAAATTACTTTGAAAATATTAAAACTGTTGAATAATTATTTATCTTAGATGTTCTGGCAGTTTTCATTTGAATGTAATAACCATAGGGCTTTGTCAAGCACACTGCCAGCTGAAATTGTCCACATTACACAGCTTTGGATGAAACTATACTAATCCATGCCTTTTGATCTGGACCATCTAGTTATAAGAGTATAGTGCTGTCAATACCATGAAATTACTGACATACTCTGATCTTGTGTGCTTTATTCTTGTTCTGGGTATTCAAACTTTTGAAAAATGAGATTTCGCCTCGAATATATGAGGGTGAAAATTAAGAACCTGACGGAAGAATGTACGTTTCAAAATATGGTATTATTTCTGTTTTATTAAAATATTTGCCTCTGATTCAGGATGTAAAATTGCTGATTGAGGATATTGGGGAGCTGAAGCCCACCATCTTTTGTGCCGTTCCTCGTGTTTTGGATCGGATATATACAGGTCTGACACATTGTTTGCTTGTGATACTTTTTGCTTTCGTGTAACTGACCTGATCCTCCATTTGAAATTCTGACTCACGCTGTTCCTAATAATCCATGTAAAACATGCACCCTTCAGGTTATGTGAATCGCTTGCATTTTCTGATTACTTGGATCCCGACGTAATACAATGTTGGAGATTACTTCCCCATGCAGAAGCTGACTATCATTAATGATAGCCTTAGGTTTACAAAGTGACGAGTGTTCTGTCTTAATCAAGCCGGACATTATGTATTACGTGATTTCCTCTTCAGTTCATATTCGGGATATTCGTTCGACTAAAAATAGAATTTTTTCTGGGACTTATCTGCAGGTCTACAGGACAAACTTGCTGCAGGAGGTTTTTTAAAGCACACATTGTTTAATATTGCGTACAAATAGTAAGTAGACTCTTTCTTCCAAAAGTCATCTGTGCTTTTCTGTCTGTAGAGGAAGCAGATGTTGAATCACTTGCTATTTACTTCAGTTACTAGATTTGTTGTAGACACAATACTTTTATGATACGTCAAGTTGCTTTTTTAAAGTCAATTATTTTAACTTTTTCCATATATGTCATCAGATATTTTCCTTTCTGTTTTCATTTGGACTGAGTTGACAATGTTGCAGCAAGCTACATAACATGAGGAATGGAAGTAAGCATTCAGAGGCAGCTAAATTTTTCGATAAAATTGTTTTTAGCAAGGTACGAAGAAAATCTATGGAGGCTTCATCCCTGATTTTCGTCTATCTCATTGTTTGATCTGGCATCATGATTGCGCGTGTCCTGAGGTTAAAAACCTTCATTTTCCAGGTCAAACAAGGATTAGGAGGCAATGTTCGCATTATTCTATCAGGAGCAGCTCCTTTAGCTACCCATGTAGAAGAGTTTTTACGAGTGGTAGCATGCTGCCACGTTCTGCAAGGCTATGGTGAGCAGCACCAGAACCTAGTTAATGGCTCTGACTCAGAAATCCTGGATTTTTTTGCCGATTGTCTAAAAATTTTCAATTATGCTCTATAGACTGTTGTTTCCCCATACTTCGTAGTAAGAAAGATCATACCGAAGAATTAAAAACATGCAATTTTAGCATCTTGGTAAAGAGACAAGCTATGTTAGCACCCCAGGAAAAGACCATACTTAAACATGATTGAACTTTGGGTGTCATTAGAGAACCAAATATCATGTGAAGAGATTGATGTGAGATAATAGGTTGGTTCATCCTTAGCAAAGTCAGGTGAGATAGCAACTTTTTGGAATGGTCCACATCCTACACATTATATTTCATGAGAGATTTCATCTGAACAATTACCTATCATTCTGATTTGGAGATTATTCAAGGGTTTGCCTTCGTTGTACAGGGCTGAATTATGAACATCATTCCTAAATGTTGGGAATATCGCGTTTGCCCTCATGGTTTTGGTGTGTTTTTGGTTCAAATTTTTTTCGGGGGGGCTGTACACTAAAAAGTGCTAATCGTATTTTGCCAACGAAGTGTGCCTAGTGGCGTGGTGTTTGTCTTGTCTTTCAGCAAGTCTAGACTGACTCATCCTGGTGTGAAGCCTCTACGTTAGTTCGCTCGTCTTTCAGACAGGCTGTCTGGGACGGCATGTTATATGGATGGGTTTCATCATTTATATGAAAAATGGCTAATTTACATATAGTTTGAAAGTCTATAATTCTACTTGAAGCATGGTGAGGTCTATTTCTAAGAGTTGTATGTATTATAGCTGAAAATTATTATTAATACTTAAGGAAGCTCATAGACCATATAGATATATTCATAGACATAAATCTGTATGCTTCCTGAAAGGCATTACAATCTCCTGCATATGCCTGGAGTTGCTCGGTGATAAGGTTCTATTGAACAGGCACCCGAAACTTCCTTATATTGATTCTTCGCAACTGTTGGATATTTTCAAGGACGTTAATCTTCTCTCTTTTGATGTACTATGTACGTTTCTGTATGACCTCATGAATGTACGAACGATTGAAGTAATACCCTCAGTTGCTGATAGATTCTTGACTCATGTCCTCTATAGTAGTTTTTTTTCAAGTGAAGGGATTGAAAATGTTTGTACCGGTGTTTTATTTCCAATTAAGATGGTATATTTTTGAACCAAGTACGTTTTGTGGAACTTACAAGATTAATTGGTACCTGCTCATATGGTCATATCATTCAGTTAAACGAATGGGAAATTTGAAATTATTGGAAAAATATTCTGGAAAAGTGAAATTTATTTTAGAAAAAGTATTCAACTTTTTCATAATTGTTTTTCTGATTCCTTTCTTTTACTCTCGTTCCCTCGAAAGAGAAAAAATATTTTAAAATGCAAAATTGCATTTTGATATGGAGCCTACATATAAATATGCATTGATAATACCTTTATTAATCATCTTTTCCTTATATTGCATGGTTCTAATATATTGAAAGGTAACGCGAGGAGTATCTCTACATAGCATTGACCAAAGTTGCTTCATTATTTATTTAGAGGATACTTTGCTCATAATTGCTCCTTCTCCATAAAACTATCCATGAATGGAGAATTGCCACATTACCAGGCGCAGCTGCCTTTTTACTTGATTTGCAGTATTTTGACGGCTGATATACTTTCGTTCTCCACCCAGGTCTGACTGAAACCTGTGCGGGCACTTTTGTTTCTCTCCCTCACGAGCTATCCATGCTGGGAACTGTGGGTCCGCCAGTGCCAAATGTGGACGTCCGCCTTGAATCAGTCCCTGAGATGAACTACGACGCCCTCTCCCAAATTCCTAGGGGAGAGGTCTGTATGAAGGGGGATACTTTGTTCTCAGGCTACTACAAAAGAGAGGACCTCACTGAAGAGGTTATGATTGACGGCTGGTTCCACACAGGTTATGATTGAGGCTACTCAGTGTTTTACTCACCTCGTCGGATGGCTGACTTTGTTTCATTTGGATCATCCTTGTGTGCAGGGGATATCGGTGAGTGGCAGCCAGATGGAAGCCTGAAAATTATCGATCGCAAAAAGAATATTTTCAAGCTATCTCAAGGAGAATATGTGGCTGTGGAGAATCTGGAGAACATCTATATCCTTGTCCCTGAAATTGACTCGGTATGCCCAGTGAATCTCATGCTTCTGTTTGCTATCTAACAAGGATGATCATGCTGAAAGTCCCACTCGTGCAAGCTTTCCAGCTCTGATCTTATAGGGCTCATATTTTCCTTGCCCTAGAACACAGGATCATCAGGCGTTGACCTTCTTTTTCCCTTACCTTTTGCTGATCTCGATTTTTTTCTCCTCAATGCTACTAATTCAGGATATATTACTTTATGCTGATTGACGGATATCCCCTTGTGCTGTTCAGGTGTCCTTATTTGACCATCCACTGACCCACATAGAATCTCGAGTTCATTTGTCAATATCTTGACTATCCACTGGCTCACATAGAATTCCAATTTCATTGGTCAACATCTTGCCTCCTCATGCATAGAAATCTAGGTTCCTACAAGGAGGTATTAGAATTCCACTACTTCTTGCGTATCCTTGACTGTAGGCTCAATTATTTCAAGCGTATCAAAAGGAAATCCCTTGACGTTCAGATGGATGTACCTTGACTATCGAGTGATTTGTTTAGAGCTTGTATTGCATTCGTAAATATCTTACCTTATTCGGTTTCTTCAAGGGATGGGGTAGGGGGGAAGAGGGGAGACCTAGATGGATGATCCTCTTCTTCAGAAGGTAAAGCTAGGGTTTTGGTTCCACATATAGATTCAACTCCGACACTAATGCTCCAAGCCCAAAGAGACATCGACAAGGTTTTAAGGCTTAAGGTTTAGGTTTTAGTAAGAGAAAAATAAAGAAAAAAGCTAATAACATATTATCTTGCTTTTACGGATCAAGAAATCACTTGACTTTTTTATATTATGAGTTACTTACCATCATATACTTCTTCTTAGTAGGCTGGTGATGTGCTCCCAGGAGTATTATTTGCCCTTGGATGTTCTATCACCTTATTAATTAAGCTGATGATACTGATGATGATGGCAATGGCCGGCCGGGGGGCTGTTTTCAGATATGGGTCTACGGGAACAGCTTCGAATCCTTCCTCGTCGCCGTGGTCAACCCCAACCAGGCAGCTCTCGAGCACTGGGCAAGAGAGAACGGCGTCAGCGGGGACTTTGGCTCCCTCTGCGGGAACCCCCGGGCCAAGGAGTTCATTCTTGGTGAGCTCACAAAGATCGGCAAGGCGAATAAGGTTAAGTACAGCAGCTCATCTTCTCAGCTGGTTCATTGGTGGTGTCCATAGCTGAGTAGAATAGCAGCTCATCATCATCTTCTTCTTCTTCTGTTTGGTTGCTTTTTTGCAGCTGAAGGGGTTCGAGTTCATCAAGGCTGTGCACCTCGACCCGGTGCCATTCGACATGGAACGCGACCTGCTCACCCCAACTTACAAGAAGAAGCGCCCCCAGTTGCTCAAATACTACCAGGTTCCCCTTCTCTACCATCTTCTTTCTTTCTTCTTCCCACATCGAAAACCCACCTTCCTCTCTCTCTCTCTCTCTCTCTCTCTCTCATCTCTCAGTAATCCGTTGGTTCATCCTGAAACGACCCGCTGCTCTTGATTTCAGGGCGCCATCGACAACCTCTACAAGAACCCCACCAGGTGAAGGTAATTGGCCGCCGCCGCCCTCCGCCGGCGGAGAGTCTCACGTGCAGTAGGCGTCGCCCTCGCCGTCCTCCACGTCGCCTTGCTGCTGTATTAGTTTCATTCAATCACGCGTATGATGATATCTCAGAACCCACGCAATGGGCTTCCCGTCGGATGGAACGAGTTGTTGGTTTGTTTCGTCAACGCTCAGCGTGCATGTCTTTTGCCTCTCTAAATGGGCCTTTCTTCTTCCATGGGCCCCCTCTCTAGCTGCCTCGGTGTTAATGGGCCCATTAAATGATCCCCAGCAGAGTTTATGACAAGGCCCAAAAGGCCCATTAACACCAGAACGAGCCCCATTAGGTCGGTTCTACCGACGTGTGTTAATGGGCTATGTAGAGGTCCATTATGCATCCCTCTCATGAGGCCCAGGCCCAGTAAATTCAGAGCCCTTCTAACAAATGGGCCCATTAATACTCTTCATTCAAGGCCGAGGCACGCGGAATCGGCCACTCCGAGTCTGACCCGTCCTTCCCCGGTCGGAGAGTCCAATCTCTGTTCTAACTCGTAATGGGCTCCTGGTTCAACTCACGTGATTGCTAATGGACCACTTGGGCCTATTATCCAACCCACTACCAATGAGATGTTCCAATCTTGTTTCTGAGAGGCCTGCTTATAAATGGGCCAACGATGGGCCCATTAAATACAAGCCCGAGGCACGTGGAATCGGTCGAGTCTGACCCGCTCTTCCCCGTTCGGAGAGGGCGCGATGAACCCCTCCCTCTGGCTCACTACCCAATCCGTCGCCCCGTTGCCGGCGGTCCATTCCCGCCGGCGACCCTCCGCCACAGCCACACGATCTCTCCGGCCGCCGGGGGGACGACCCACTGGCAGCAAGCATCCCAAATTCGAGCTCCTCAAGGACCAGCTGCTCCGCCATGCGGAAGCCGGCCGCCTCTCCGACGCCCTTTCCACGCTGGACCTCATGGCCGACGTCGGTGCCGCCGCCGACCTGGTCAGCTTCTCCGTCCTCCTCAAGTCCTGCATCCGTTCTCGCGACCTCGCCGGGGGGAGGAGCGTCCACCGCCGCTTGCTCGTGTCGGGGCTGGAGCTCGACACCGTCGTCCTCAACTCCCTCCTCACCCTCTACGCCAAGTGCGGTGACTGGCCCACGGCGGACTCCCTCTTCCGCGCCATGGGGGAGGACAAGAGGGACCTCGTCTCCTGGAGCACGATGATCTCCGGTGCCGCTCGCGGCGAAAACCTGCAGCCGGCCACGGCGGCGGCACTCTTCTGCGAGATGCTCGACAGCGGGTTCCGCCCCAACGAGTTCTGCTTCTCCGGCGTGCTCCACGCCTGCGCAAACGCGAAACTCCTCCCCTTCGGGCTGGCCGTCTTCGGGTTCCTCATCAAGGCCGGCTACTTCGCCGCCGGCGTCTGCGTGGGCTGCGCGCTGATCGACCTCTTCGCTAGGAACCTCGATCTACGCTCTGCTCGCAAGGTGTTCGACAAAATGCCGAATAAGAATGTCGTGGCCTGGACGCAGATGATCTCGCGGTGCGCGCAGTACGGGTCGCCAGAGGAGGCTGTGGAGCTGTTCCTGGAAATGGAGCTCGCGGGATTCTCGCCGGACCAGTTCACTTTGAGCGGCGTGATCTCGGCGAGCACGGAACTGGGGTGGTTCCAGCTTGGTCGGCAGCTGCACGCGCGCGCCGCCCAGCTGGGGCTAGCGGGAGACGTCTGCGTCGGCTGCAGCCTCGTGGACATGTACGCCAAAGCTCCGGGGGAGACGGCAATGGCGGACTCGAGGAAGGTCTTCGACCGCATTGCGGAGAACAACAACGTCATGTCCTGGACAGCGATCATCTCCGGGCATGTACAGCGCCGCCAGGACCAGGAAGCTTTGGATCTCTTCCGCCGGATGGTGGTCCACGGTGGCTCCAGGCCGAACCAGGTCACCTTCTCCGGGGTGCTCCGTGCCTGTGGGAACGTCTCCGACGCCGCCGCCGGCGAGCAGGTCTACGCGCAGGCGGTGAAGGCCGGCGTGGCCTCCATCAACTGCGTCGGGAACGCGTTCGTCGCCGTGTACGCCAAATCAGGGAGGATGGAGGAGGCGCGCAGAGCTCTGGATCACCTCCTGGAGAAGAACCTGATCTCGTACGGCGATGGTGATAGTGACAGCGGGGAGATCGGGGCCAGCGCGCTGACCTTCGCGAGCCTGCTCAGCGCCGCCGCGAGCGTGGGCGCGACGAGCAAGGGCCGGCAGCTCCATGGCTGGTTGATGAAGGTGGGCTTCTGCTCCGATCAGGGGGTCTGCAACTCGCTCATCTCCATGTACTCCAGATGCGGGGAGGTGGAGGACGCCTGCAAGGTGTTCGACGGTTTGGACCGCCGGAATGTGATATCCTTGACCGCCATGATCGGCGGCCTCGCCAAGCATGGACTCGCAGAGAGAGCCCTTTCCCTGTTCCGGGAGATGCTCCGTGGGGAGTGCAGGCCCAACGAGGTCACCTTCATCGGAGTCCTCTCCGCCTGCGCGCACGCTGGCATGGAGGAGGAAGCTTGGAGGATCTTCCAGGCCATGCGCAGGGACCACGGGATCGAACCCAGGATGGAGCACTACGCCTGCATGGTAGACCTCCTGGGGAGATTAGGGTTCCTGGAGAGAGCTGTCGTCTTCATCCGCGAGATGCCGGTGAAGCCCAGCGCCCTGGTTTGGCGAGCTCTGCTCGGGGCCTGCAAGATCCACGGAGACCTCAAGCTGGGAGAAGAAGCGGCGGTGAAGATCTTGCAGGCGGAGCCGGCAGATCCCGCCGCCTACGTGCTGCTCTCCAACATCTACGCCGCCACGGGGCGGTGGCGCGCGGTGGCGGAGATAAGGAGCAGGATGAAGGAGAGGAGGCTGAGGAAGGAAGCGGGGCTCAGCTGGATCGAGGTCGCCGGCGGCGTCCACGAGTTCCACGCCGGCGACACCCGCCACCGCCGCTCCGGTGAGATCTACGCGAAGCTCGGGGAGCTCGCTGCGGAGATCAGGCGAGTGGGGTACGTTCCCGACCTGAGCGCCTCCCTCCACGACGTGGCGGACGAGCTCAAGGAGAAGCACCTGTTTCAGCACAGCGAGAAGATTGCCGTCGCCTTCGGGCTGATCAGCAGCTCCTCGCCGGCGCAGCCGCTGCGGGTGTTCAAGAACCTGCGCGTCTGCGGCGACTGCCACTGCGCCATCAAGCTCATCTCCGCCGTCACCGGCCGGACCATTATCCTCCGAGACACCAACCGATTCCACCGCTTCGAAGCCGGCGTCTGCTCCTGCGGCGACTACTGGTGAATCCATCATACCACACTATAAGAAGTTACACTTTCTAATACACAGACACAGATATCTTCTTCTTCCTTCTTCCTCCTTCCTCTTCTTCTTCTGTTAGTCTTTCCAGGAGTCTCTGTTGGACCTCCTCGGGGCTAGTCTCTTCAGGGAGGGGGTGGACAGGGGCTTGGAGGGGGTCCGGGGGGTCTCCTCGTCATCGTCGTCGTCGTCCCAGCTTTCCTCCCAGCCGTCGTTCCACCCGGCGGCGGCGCCGTGTTCCCCGCCGGAGACGGGCAGAGCTCCGCCCAGCCTGCGGCTCCCCGCGCGGAGCGACCGGCGCGCCCGCCGGTGCTTGACCAGCAGCCAGGCGACGACGGCGAGAGCCACGGCGGCGAGAGCCAGGTACACTAAGCCCGCAGGGGAGAGGAGCCTGCCGGAGGAAGGAACGGATGCCCCGCCGCTGCCGTCCTTCACGGAGTTGGGGATCAGCTCTGGGAAGCTGAGCTCGCAGCGGCCATCGCCGGAGTTCAAGATTATCGACTCGTCGCCAACGCCTTTCTTCACCGAGACCTTCACCTGCACGGCGGATTGGAAGGCGTGAGGGAGGAGGATCTTGAGAAATATTCTGTGCAAATCGGGCTCAAGACCCAGAATAGGCAGAAGCTTCGGCATTCACCGTTTTGCGCTCATTCACTCGGAGGACGACGGACTTCTCCAGACTGACATGCTCAGGGGCCTGAATGTTGACAGTGAGAGATCCGATTCCCTTGTTAACGATCAAGAGCGTGAGACCTGAGGAATCTGAAATCAGAAAATAAATGCCGGGTTAAAGAAGATCAACAAGTTTCAACCCACTGATCCATCGTTCTTCATGTTTTTTTTTTCTAAAAAAAAGATCTAGAGAACCACAGCATTAACCACAAACAGCACATGAGATATTTCCTAATGAGGCCGTTTCTTCGATCTTTCTTAAGAATCAAGGGGACTTGTTTCGAAACCTGAACCGTTGACCAAGAGTGATTGACTTCAAGTCGGCCTTGATCAAAGTTCCAGTCTTGCTTCTCAGTTTTCTCACACGTTTAGGGTCTGGGGTTTTAAGCTTTGGTCAACACTCTTAGGAAGAATTGGTTCTTTCCGATGAACTGCAAATACTTTGAAGCAAATAGACATGAACTAGTTTTCTAAAAACTCCTTGGCTTTTAAATTAACTGAGAGTAACCCAGTAATCAGCGTGACGTGCCAGCCAGCTAATCAACCCTTCCAAAGCCCACTTGACCGTACTGAAGGTCAACTGTCTCCCTCATGAGCTACCCCTCTTACAGTTTTAGCTTTCCTCCAGAGAAGAACAACAGGAACGTGAGGGTTTTCCATCAAAGTTACTAAAAACAGTAAAACTATGGAAACGAGTACCATCTCCTAAATTTTAAAACCTAGTCCATCCCTAATTGCTACCATGGGAAAATGGAAATCTGAATAATTTATGCGAGACTATGGAGTGTCACTGCATACAGCAGCATATGATCCGCCTCTTAATGTAATAATGTTCTCAAATTTCTACTTCAAGCAGAAGCCGATCCAACTTTGCTCACATCTTTTCAGGAGTTGAATAAGACTGATGAATAAAATGGAAAAAAGTCTCTCTCTCTCTCTCTCTCTCTCTCTCTCTCTCTCTCGCTGACACATACACATACACAAACGCACACAGCCTTCAAGAACATGCCCCAATCCACTGATAGAACATCGGGGGAGAACTATCCAGCCCGAAAGTTTTACCCACGGGTATGAAAAACCCATGCATTCTCTAATTAAAGTTGAAAAAAAAAATAGAAAACAATGAAGATTTGGGTGATTACCTCCAACTAGTCAATCCCTTGAAAGCTAGACATTTAGACTGTTTCTATTTAGGAAGAATGGCAGAACCTGCAAACTGTTTTTCATGAATCTAAGAAGAACAGGGAAGGCATAATGCTGAAAGCTGAAACGTAATCTCCTTCGCCATTAACCACAGGTTGATGAGACGGGGATAGGGCATCAGGTCACATACCATTTCCGGGGACTTTCAGACAAGCAACGAAGTTGTTCTTCGTGTCGGTGCAGCCGTTCTTCTCGCCGCAGTCTTCCACAGGAGATTTCTCTTTGGCAACCGCGGTTTTCGAACTTGAATCGCCGGCGGAAATTCCCTTTCCAGCTTCATCCTTGGTTTTCGTACCCTCTCGCACCTTATCCTCGCGCAAGACCCCGTTCCCCTGACCTTCCGGCCGTCGATCTGCTGGGGCTACGTTTTCTCCCATCACACCATCGGCAACCTTCACTGGCTCGTTCACCGCGGCCTTGATCTTGGCGACCTTGTCCGGCGCAGGAGAAGCTCTTGGATCACCCTGAGATGGCATTCGGTTCTAGAAAAACGCAACGAAATACCAACAAGGGAGAACAAAAACCCCCCGGTAGTGGAGACGCACAGACGCCTCCAAGCATAGGGCAAACGCAATTCGAAATAGGAAGCTCACTCTTTCGGCGTCGCCGACACAGCCTGCGAGTGGAGCACACAGCAGAACGGCCAAGACCAGAACGACCAGCCGATCTCCAGTCATCTTCCCCCCGCTCCACCTGCAGCGATGCGGGAACATCTGAGAAAACATCTGAGAATCCACAGAGGTTATCAGCAGAAATACATACGAGAATCCGATGCGATTGGCCAGAGGAAGAAGATCTTCAGAGAAGCACCACTTCCGATGAAGAAGATCAGGATGGAGGGAACGGAGGAGCTGTGGGATCGTTGACTCGGTCGGCAAGATTGCGGAGAGATCAGGAAATCTAATCCCCTGAGGGGCGAAGTCAGCTTGGACCTCCCCCCGTCACTCCCCTTCCTCTTCTCAAAGGTGGTCAAACCTCCGTTGAAACGGAGTACCTGCATTTAAACACTTACGTACCAATTTGTAATAATCTTTTACTCTGGGGGTTTACAAGTATTGTGCAAAATTATAAAGGGGATATTTCATATTAACAAGTTAAGAAACTCAAATTGACCGCATTTTATTTTCCACGTGCACAGTCATAAATGGAAAATTAAATATAAACGTTGACCCGGTGAGTATTTGCATAAATACGTGTACGAGTCCCTATTTAAAGCAGCCTATGGAGTATTAAATAATATAATATAATATAAAAAACATATTTTAAAGCGTATCGGAGAATAGGGTAAGTAAATGTGAGTATATTAGTAATTTTATTAAATCTTTGTGGGTGTTTTCACTTTGGCACCCTAACGTCACTTCGGGAGCGCTGGTTGTTGAAAGCCGATTGTGAGAAGCGCTTCCAAACAGGGAGATGAAGGGCTTAAGCAACTTCCTCTCTAAAACCCTACAAGAAGGGCGCGGAGGCGCCTTATCCTCTCCGGGTCTGCCTCCTCGAGCTTCTTCTTCTATCACCGCTCACCGTAAGCGGCGGGGGGAAGGAGTTTAGGGTTCTTACCGGGGAAGAAGCCCACCGCAATGCCGGCCCAGCTCCTGCGCCTTCGCCTGCTTGGTAGTCCGTCGAGGCTTCTAGGTTCTCCCCGCGGCATATCGGTTCTGGGGAGGGCATTCCCCTTCAAGCTCAAGTACTCCGGATTCCACCAAGGGCAGCCGCTCCTCCCTTCTGAGAAGAGCCTCGGCGAAGCTGGAATGCGAGCCTTCTCCTCCGGTTGCTCTGTTGGCCGGAGAGCCGGCGGGGGGCGGGACAGTCGCAGGGGGGGGTTCCGGGCGGGGAGCATCTCGGCGCAGGCGAAGAGTCTCGTGGACGATGAAGCTGAGCTCAGCGACTGGATCAGCGATTTGAAGACTGATTCGTTCCGCGTTGGGAGGAGCAGCGATAGCGACGATGGAAGGGACTTCGCCGGTGGCGGCAGATCGAAGCGCAGGGAGACGGGTGGTAGGGGAAGGGATGGGGGTGGTGGGAGGGTTGGGGGTAGGAGGGATTCATTCCGTGGCGGGTTCAGCAGTGGGAGTGACGAGGGAGGCGACTACAGCCGCGGCAGGTCCAATGACGGAGGGAGAGGTTGGGGCAGAGAAGGGAACAGGGGCAGGGGAAGGGGTCGAGGAGATGCATTTCGTGGCCGGCTCAGCAATGGGAGGGAGGTAGCAGGTGAGTACAGTCGCAGCAGGTCGAACACCAGGGAGATACTGGGGGATAGAGATGGGGAAAGGGGCGGGAGGGATGGAAGAGGAATGGAGAGGGGCTCACCCCTGTCTCGCCGTAGCTCCGGCAGACCTCCGATGAGAGGGCGAGACAGCGGACCCAGGAACTTCAACTCCAGCTTCGAGAGGAGGCAGAGTCGCGACTCGATGGGATCGAAATCGAGGATAATTGCAGCCGACAGCGAGTCCGAGGAGGAAGAAGATGAGGTGGATTTCGACAGTCGCAAGAGAAACCGTGGTGGGACCAGAGGTATGCTATCTTCGTCTTCCTTGACAAAGAGAGGAAAACAAGATTTCAACTCCAGTCGCTTACCTAGTGATGGTAGGATATCATTGCCTGAGATCTCAGAGGATGAGGAAGATGATCTTGACGACGAAGCTGTGCCCGGTTTAGAAGATTTCTTCCCTACCAGAGATGAGGACATAGAAGAGGCACCCGTGCAAGCTGGACACAAGGGACTGGGTTTCTCTCAGCATAGGGAAAATGCTCCGCCCAAGCCAATCAGCTCTGAGGAATGTGATTCTTACCTGACTGATACAAGGTGATTTCTTTTGAGAATAACTATTCATATGCCATGAGATGAAGAATTATCTTCTATTACATTGCTGTCTTAACTCTGACATTATCTTCTTTCACGGTTCATCTTTCTGCAAAAGAAGCTGAGAATTACATGTAGTGGTTATGAACTACTGTGCTGGTACCCCTATTGAAGGAGAAATTGGTACCTCAATCTACCAGTGATTACAGGTGCAACAGAAAAAAAAATCATATTTTTGGACAGATTGAGGGCTTCTATGATCAGCAATTTCGCGACTCCAGGTTTACATGGATGAATTTCCTCCAGAGGCAGGGGTGTGTTGGCAAATAACATATGGGGACTCCTCAGGTTATAGTAGCGACTGAGTTACAAAGTATATCGTTGAAGTAATCCAAGAAGTGAACCCTGTGGAATGACGGGGAAGGGGTGAATGCTTGAAGTAACTAACTTAACTTAAGCCCTGCTTGATCCTTCTAATCTTGCTCAGAGGACTCAATTAGTCAGAACCTATCAGAACATACTTTTGCATGCTGATCCTTGATTGCGACTAACATCAAAGCTCTGGCTGTAGTATCCACGTCTATGCATCCTATGGCCTTTATGATTTCTTGAACACTTTGTTTGTCAGATTAATCCGCAGTTTATGTATTCTTTTATGTTCAGTGAGAACTACGAACAGCACTGAGATAATTTTTTCTTTTTCTCCCCGTTTTCTAGCTCTTCCCACTGACATTCTCACCGACTTTAATATTCAGGTTTGATCAGTGTTCTATCTCTCCCTTGTCCCTGAAAGGAACAAAAGCAGCAGGCTATGAGAGGATGACTGTGGTCCAGGAGGCTACTCTTCCGGATATCCTCAAAGGTTCGTGTTCTAGAATACATACTGCAGATGTTAAACCCAAATGAACGAGGTTTTATCAGCTTTACAAGTTTCCTTGTGCTAATATGTGTCATTGAAAGGGTTTTATTGGCTACAATAGATAGCTTAAGTTTGGTACCATATCATAGAAATTTCCACAAGGGAAACATATATTCTTGGTTAGCAAAAAAAGTCATTTTTTTGTGACACAACCATTATCAATGAGAAGGAAACAGCTTGGAGCGTCTCTCAGGTAGCTTTACCCAGCCAACAAAGCTTGAAGTGCTTTATTTAACGACTGCTTTGCTTGTCTGCCATGACAAGGGAGGAACTCGCATGTTACAATAGTCCTCTAGCCTGCTCCAGTAGCTGGCACGAACATACAGTCTTAGCATCATGTGAAAAAAAAAATCCACCCTCTTCTCTGATACCTAAGTTTCTTGAAAATTTTGTAGTCGTCATTGAAATGAGAAACATCCACGAATTACTCCATCACTGCTGCTTTAGTTGATTGATTGTAATGCAATGGCACAGACGTAGATTTCTTCCTTCCTAGTTGTCTTCTCGGACCCATTAACCAGGAGATGATTAATGATTCCTTCCACCTGTCGGATTTCAGGGAAAGATGTCCTGGCCAAGGCTAAGACAGGGACTGGAAAGACTGTGGCGTTCTTGGTAAATAAATTTCCTTGATTTTCTTGGATCCCTGCTCAACTTCTATCCACAATTGGGCTGCTGTATTTTCTGATTAACGTAAATTTCCAGCTTCCATCAATTGAAGTGGTCACTAAGCTGCCCCAAGCGGACCGCGATCAGAGGAGGCAGCCCATCAGTGTGCTTGTCGTGTGCCCTACCCGAGAGCTGGCCAACCAAGCGGCCATGGAAGCTGGCAAGCTTCTAAAGTTTCATTCATCCATAGGGGTCCAAGTTGTAACTGGGGGTACAAGACTAGCCCTGGAGCAGAAGCGCATGCAAGCCAATCCTTGTCAGGTGGAAGCCTCATCTAAACAAGCCTGATAACATCATTGCGTCTGATTTATTTCTTTAATCAGCAATGAGAAAGCAGACATTTAAGCTCTGTCGCATGGGTACCATGCTGGAGTAATTGGTCCATGCAACCTATTACAGGTTTATTTCTTAGAATAACCTATATAGGATTTTATTTATTTATTATTTTCAAATTTTTTTCAGATCCTCGTAGCGACCCCTGGAAGGCTGAGAGATCACATTGAGAACACGCCAGGGTTTGCCACACGGTTGATGGGTGTCAAAGTCCTTGTCCTTGATGAGGCCGACCATTTACTAGACATGGGGTTCCGGAAGGATATTGAGCGAATTGTTGCTGCAGTGCCCAAGCAACGGCAGACACTTCTCTTTTCTGCGACAGTCCCTGATGAGGTAGGGTTTCCCTTCAAAGCTCTGATAATATCTTGTTTGCCCTTGAGGGTTGACCTTGAGGTTTGACCTTGGCGCCTGTGCTTTCTCCTTGAATGGCCCTGGCGGGTCTGAGCTCTGATCCGGATTTAAATGAGCAGGTTCGTCAGATCTGCCACATTGCCTTGAGAAGAGACCACGAATTTATTAACACCGTTGAAGAGGGTGAGGAGACACACTCACAGGTAGGATTCTTTTCTCAATTCTTCTTCTAACAAGCCATTCCGTCACCTCCTCACCGGCCGTCTCCCCCTAAATATGGCAAAGTTGCTGGTTTGACCAGGTCAGCCAGCTGGTGCTAGTTGCTCCTCTAGACAAGCAGTTCTCCACGATCTATGGCCTTTTGACTGATCATATCTCAGACAACGTTGACTACAAGGTACGCCTCCATCTCCTCTCCTTTGAAGTTCCCTCGCTTGCTTCTCGGGATCATTATTTCAACTGGGACGGTTTCAGGTCCTCGTGTTTTGCACGACTGCGATGGTCACAAAACTCGTCGCCGACCTCCTCTCCGAGCTGCATCTGAACGTTCGAGAGATGCACTCAAGGAAGCCGCAGAGCTACAGAACCAGGGTCTCTGACGAATTCAGGAAGTCAAAGGGTCTCATCCTCGTGACGTCCGATGTATCTGCACGTGGGGTGGATTACCCGGACGTTACTCTCGTCATACAGGTATTGTAGAAATATTACCATCCAAGAAACTTCAAGAATTCTCTGGAATATGCAGTTTGAACAGTCGTGTCCTGGAACGTGTTTAGAAGTCAGCTCCTCATTGTAAAGATGCGTTGCTCCAAGGTCTAGAAGTCAGCTCGTGGGTCAACTCCTCTCACAGCCAGTTGGTTTTGGCAGGGTTCATGGTTTTAATCTGTTTTAATCTCTCCCAAGGACGTGGTTACTTACCTACATGGGCTCATTATCAAATGATCTTAACAGAAAAGGGAGGGGGTGGGTTGATCCGACGTTGATGTAGATATTCGGTTTGTTCACTGACACTTTTGGCTGTGTTTCAGGTGGGTATGCCCTCAGACAGAGAGCAGTACATTCATCGACTGGGTAGAACTGGCCGTAAGGGTAAGCAAGGGGAGGGAATACTGCTTCTGGCTCCGTGGGAGGAGTTCTTCGTGTCAAGCATCAAAGATTTGCCTGTGTCGAAGGCTCCAGTTCCTCTGATAGACCCAGAGACTAGAAAGAAGGTAAGCTCATTCAAGAACCAAGCTTGTCTAATTGCTGGGTCCAAGGCCTTCTTGCATTCCCTCGTGGCACAGTTGCATCTGGCTCTTGTGGGCGCGTGATTCCAACTCGGCCAAGGGGTTCCTCACTTCTTCCCAAGAAGGAGGGAGGGAGATTTCGTAGAGATAGTTGACTAACTCTCCTCCTTGTTCTTCAAACAGGTGGAGCGTGCGCTGGCCCACGTGGAAATGAAGAACAAGGAGTCAGCGTACCAGGCATGGCTTGGCTATTACAACTCGAACAAGGTCATCGGCCGAGACAAGGCTCGGCTGGTGGCCCTCGCCAACGAGTTCAGCAGTAGCATGGGGCTCGACAACCCGCCCGCCCTGTCGAAGCTCGTGCTCGGCAAGATGGGCCTCAGGAATGTGCCCGGCCTGCGCTCCAAGTAGGAGGACCAGCTCCCCAGGGGCCTCACTCTTCAGCTTCAATCTCCTTACCAAAGACGGATGGGCCCGGGTTCTAAAGATTACAGCCATCTATAGACCAGAAGCCTTTTTATTACGTTAATTTTTGTGTTCACATGGTGGAAATCGGTGAATGCCATATGAATTCATGCATATAGTTTTGCATTTATGCTACGGTTTTTATTTTTGTATTTTTCTGTCGATATAGGTGAAGAAACTCCCGCATATAACTTTTTCCACCAGGGCTTTTAGTGGGTTTTATTTAATCTTACTTTATGGATCAGATATTTGCTGCATTAATAACCAATTAACTCCATCTCCCTACTGGACATCTAAATGGGCCCACCCCTGTGACTCTCAGCCATCGTCCGGTCCTGCGTGGGCCAGCAACGGTAGGGGCTAACGGATAAGTTCAATAGACAGGATTAGGGAGAGGTGGGGCCCGCCACATGTTTCCCTAAAGCTGATACGCAGGTAGCATTATGGTAAATATATTAAAAATTGAGTCGATTGTGTACCTGGCTGGCGGCAATGGCATTTTAGAAGAGCGAGTTCCCGCGAGCGGAGCTCTGTGGTTACGGTGATGGCGGAGGGCGATGAGAAGGGAGAGTTCCGTCGGGGGGTTTCTTGGCAGCTGGAGCGGAGGAGGTAGGGCTGACCTGTGGAGGAGCGGAGGAGGATCGGTGGAGCTGCCGAACTCAGTCGCCGTCGTAGCCCCCCCACCCACTGTGATGGACGGCGGCGTCGGACTGAGCGGAGACGCGAGCGGCAGCCACCGGAGGTTGCTGATGGAGCCGGAGAACTTGTGCAAGCACCACAAGCACCATCCCAGAGACAACCAGTGTAGCTCCGTCGTTGTCGACCACATCAGGGTCCCCGTCCACGTCGTGAGTGTCCTCCTGAAACCCTGCCGTTCGCCTCACTGGTTTAGGTATCTGATCTGTCGGTCGGAGGTTGAAAATCGATGATCGTTCGTTCCAGTTCCTTTGGCCCTCTTGCAAAGGGAGAAGCCCCAGTAGCCTCGCTGATTTTTTTGGGATGGCGATTCCGCGGCCGTTCCTAAGCCATCACTCATATCACTACATGGAAAATTAAGGGATCTTTAGTACCTCCTGATGGTAGATGTTGACCGAAGTTGTTTCCCCCCCTGTTCCTTGGAGTAGGTGCTTCGAGCCTCTCTCAGATATGTCTACTCGTCAGGGATTGCTTGTGACAGAGATTTAACTAACAATTGGTCAGAATACTCCGGTGTTCTTCACGAAACATTTCTTCCTTTGTTTGCGGGTGGCAGCAGGTGTGGTCTCTGGTGAGGAGATTCGACCAACCTCAGAAGTACAAGCCCTTCGTGAGTAGATGTGTGGTGCGGGGTGACCTCGAGATCGGCAGCGTGAGGGAGATCAACGTGAAATCCGGCCTTCCCGCTACCACCAGCACGGAGCGACTCGAACTACTTGACGACGACGAGCATGTTCTCGGCATCAGGATCTTAGGCGGCGACCACCGCCTCCAGGTCCGTGACATACATTCCGATCTCGCTTTGCTCCATTCCACATCTGCAAATCAACACCAGATCTCGATTCGTAGATGACATTAAAAATTCTAGAACAAGAACAAAAACCTCACCCGGCCATTTCACGTCTCTACTCGATCTCTTCTTCTCCCCGTGCACCGCAGAACTACTCGTCGGTCGTGACTCTCCATCCGGAGATCATCGAGGGGCGGCCTGGGACGACCGTCGTCGAATCCTTCGTGGTAGATGTCCCGGACGGGAACACCAAGGACGAGACCTGCTTCTTCGTGGAGGCCGTGATCAAGTGCAACCTCAAGTCCCTTGCCGATGTCTGCGAGCGCCTCCACGCGCAGCAGGGGACATAGCCACCACCTTTCTCTTCCGGCCTGCCACTGGCGGCCCCGTTCGTAGATATAGGAAGTTTTCTGTGTTTTTTCTCCCACGGGGGCTTCTTCGTCGACTCCTCGCGGGTTTCGTCTGTACCTGTGTGTTTATCTTTCTAGATAAGTCCCTAAAAAATTTCTTTTTTGCAAACCTGCACCGTCCACCACATTTCACCTGCCACCCATTCAAACCTCCCTCCCACCTTCCTCCCCAACGAAGACCAACCGAAGAGACCGATCACGTGCCGTCAGATGGTAGGTTGAGATGGGGTCCACCCTCCCACCGACTCACGACGGCTCCTTCGGATCCTACATTCTGTCGTGAGGATCCGATAAGTCCACCAACTCTTCCCCTTTGCGCCGAATTTGACTGTTACTCAACCAATGAACAGCCTTATCTACTTCCAACTTTATTGGACCATAATCATCGGGAGATCCCTCTCTCACTCGAGAATGTTCCACTGTTATAAATAACCCCTTCACCCACTTTGACTCACCACTATGGCTGTTATGGTAACCATCACCATAAATAGGCGCACCTCTTCGTGGGTGCAAATGCCTATAGTGTGCAGTCCAGTGCTACCCACGTAATTACTCCGCAACCCATGCCATACCACTTGATGCCGCACACCTCGTGCCGCTGCCGTGCCGTGCGTCCACGCACGGACCACCACACGGCCTCATGCTGGCAGTGCAGTTCGGCGCACGGAACCACATCCCTCTACGCAAGGGGAGTCACATGTTAGGCCCCGTCCCCCACTGATCCCACCTGTCACCATCTCAACAGGGACCATGACGTTCTGCCGATCCCGATCTTGATTAGGTTCTGGGTTCAAGTGGGAACGGGGCGACTCCTCTCACCAGAGGTCATTCATTGCAAGAGCATCTCCCATTCACAAACCTGTGGAACCGGGGACCGTCCCTCAAGAGAATCTCCCGCTGTCGTATCTTCGACACGTACTTGGCCATCGTGTGGCAGTCGCCACAGACGCTGGCGCTCCTTATCACTCTAATGGGTCCGTTCCCCTCCGAACGGATCAGCCCATACGTGATCGCCAGCTTCTCTGTGTGGCCCATTAGCATCATCTCCTTCGTGGCCTCGTCCACATCCAGGGCTATGCAGGCCGTGTCAGGTCTGTACCCTATTCTCTTCATCTCTGCAACCATCTGGAGGAGCTCGAAGCGGACCTCCCCCAAATCTGGATGGGGATTCCCCTCCGCGGAGAAGGAGTGCAGGGTCTTACGGATCTGTATCCAGCTCCACCCTCCTCTGCTCTTCAACCCCAGCGCGCTCATGGCGACCTTCAACGTCTCGACCCTCTCCCACTGGCTCCTGGAACCGTAGATGCTCGCCATCAGCAGGTAGTTGGCCGGATTGTGCGGCTCCAGCTTGAAGAGCTGCTCTGCCGCCGCCTCCGCCAATTCCAGGTTCTTGTGGCTCCGGCAGGCCCCGAGGAGAGCGCCCCACACGCCGGCGTCGGGCTCCTGGGGCATGTTTTCGATGAAGTCCCAGGCCTCGTCCAGGTAGCCGGCTCTACCGAGGAGGTCCACCATGCAGGCGTAGTGCTCCGGGGAGGGGATCATGGCATAATCGACCTTCATCATGTCGAAGAATCTCCAGCCCTCGCTCACCATGGCCGAATGCTTCAACCCGCAGAGAAGGGCGGTGAAGGTTATGGCGTCAGGATTGAACCCCGAAGAGCGCATCTCCTCGAAGCACGAGATCGCCTCCTTCGCCATGCCGTGGGCGGCGAAGCCCCTCAGCATGGCGTTCCAGGAGGACAAGCTCTTGTTCTTGATCCTCTCGAAGACCTGGAAGGCCTTCGACAGATTCCCGCACTTGGAATACATGTCAACGAGGGCGGTGGCGACGAAGATATCCCCGTCGAGCCCCCGCCGGATTGCGCCGCCGTGGAGATCTCGGCCCCTCGTCAGCAGAGCGAGGCCTGCGGCGGCTCGGAGCGAGCTGGCCATGGTGGCTGAGTTGGGTTGAACACCTTCCTTCTGCATCTCAACGAAGCACCCCAGGGAATCCGCGAAGAATCCGTTCTGACAGAAACCCGAGATGACAGATGTCCAGGAAATCACGTTGGGCTTCTCTCCCAGTGTCTTCAGCCGACGGATTAGAATGAGAGCCTGCTTCTTGAAGCCTTTCATTGAATAACCAGAGATCAAGCCATTCCAGGTCGTTAAATCCGGTCGTATTCCCTCCTGCTGCATCTGATTCAAGAGCAACAGAGCTTCATCGAACAATCCTTGGAAAGCGTACCCAGAGATCAAGGAGTTCCAGGCGAAGAGGTTTCGATGAGGCATACAATCAAACACCCTCCGGGCCATACCCAGATCTCCACATTTTACGTACATGTCGATGGTGGAGGTCCCAACGTAGGCGCTTGAGTCATGACCGTGCCTGATGGCATATCCATGGATCTGTCTGCCGAGCTCGAGCGTACGCGATTCGGCGATCGCTTGGAGAATCCCCGTGATGGTGACTGAATTCGGCTTCAAACCTGAGGATTGAATGCCCTTGAAGAGTTCCAGAACCTTGGCGTTACATCCATGGCGGACATTGCCTGATATCAGAGAATTCCAGGTTATCAAATCAGGTTTAACATCGTGCATCGTCGTCATCTGTTCGAAGAGTTTCCACGCTTCGTCAGGGTCTCCGTTCAGAGCATACCCGGATATAATCGAATTCCAGGACACCACGTTAGGGTTCTCCATCGAATCGAAAGCTCTCCTCGCCAGATCCATCGAACGGTTCCTGGAGTACATGCTGATAAGCGAGTTGTTCATCACGAAGTTCGGGGGGATTCCCGATCGGACGATGTAGCCGTGGATTTGCTGGCCTCCTCTGAGGCCTCCGCGTCCCCCGCAGGACTGGAGAAGCTTGATGGCGGCGGATTCATCAGGAAGCAAGGGAATGAGGAGAAAAGGAGCTGCGGCTGTGGCCCCATCCATGGGAGCTTCGGCGGCGGCCGCTGGCGGTGGTGACGAGAAAGTAAGAGAAGCCGCTAAAGAAGATGTTTGGTTGATTGAAATCTTGAAAGCCCAGAGATTCGGATAACAGTGGGACCCATTGTGGGACCCAGTCCCACTTGTAACCGAAGAGAACATGCCAACTGGCCACCTTGGGCAAGCTGGAAATGAGGTCTACAGTAGACCACTGTATGGCCAACTCCCGCTCTCTATCCAAACACGGAAAGAGAGAGACAGAGACAGAGTCAACTCTGACGGTCCAGGACTGAATCGTAATTAAAGCTCGCGGGGAAACTAAATGTCTCATGATCTCAGAAATTCTGTCAAAAAATAGTTTCTTTTCCACTGTTGGCTTGCACAGAAAGAGAATCGACGATGATTCTTTTAACCAGAGAATAATCGAAAACGTGCAGACGGGAGCTACGCTCCAGGGAGGATCAGAAGATTAATGGAGGGGGGGACAGGTACGCCGTCTGGAGCAGTGGGTACGGCCGTGGAACACGTTCCTTCTTTGGGGAGGAAGGAAACAGTCACGGAAGGGTACAGTGTACCATGCAGAGGGGGGCCGGAGAGGAAGAGGGGAGGAGGGAGGAGGAGAGAGAGAGCAGCGGCATCTCCTCCGGTGAACTTAAAACGAGGAAAATTTCAGCTCCGCCGATGCTTTCTCTTCTCGGCGTACTCCTCCGAGTGCCTCATAATCCAAAATCTCTCGATCTCCTCCGGCTTCCGGCCGGGGATCCTCCCCGCTATCAAGGTCCACCTGGTGAAAAGAACAGCGGCCATCGTCCGACCCGTGTCAGCTGGTCTTGAATAGATTTTGTTTTGAACGAGAACAACAACAGAGGGACATAACAGAGAAAATAAGTGAACTGGCGGATTCATACACAGAAAATCATGTTTCACACTTCATTCAAACGAAATGGAAGAGCACACAGCATGATCCGAGCGTTCTTCGCTCTACGATAAACCAGGTGTTCATCGCATCGAAGTCGTCAGAAATGGAGGAGAGGACCTGGGATGGGAGATATGATGACAGCCGATCTAGGGACCAGAGATTTTTCCACATTTTAGTCGTCACTGGGACAAATGGGGGACTAATTAAGGGGGAAGTGGTGATACTAAAGATCAATTATGAGGGTGGTGTTCCCGGCAGCCGACCGGCAATGATCGCAGTAAGCAACAATCTAATTTTTAAACGGAGGCACATCAATCTATCTATGAAATTATCTGTCGATATGTATACCCTGTGGTTCCTAAAGGCAGTACGGCTTACGGATGCTGCGGAGGAAGCCTCAGGGTGTGGGGAGAATGCAGTTGAGAAGTCGTTCGTCCGTTTGGGCGTTGGGGGTGTAACAGATTAGGGATGGGGTGTTCTCTGCCGCGCGTCTCGGAGGAGAATATACATCGTCGATGGAAAGGAGGGAAGGCATCATATAAGAGAAAAAGGATAAAGACGAAGAAGATACAGATGCAGATGAAGATGATGAAGAAGAAAGTGGATGGATGGGATCTGAGAGGCGAGGCTCTCAACCTGTCGCCGACCAGCCGGTACATCCGGCGGATGAGATCCTCCTCCTGCTCCGTCATATCGATGAACTCCCACTCGATGCTGCTCACCTCTGTCGGCAAAGATCAACAATTAAAACTAAACCAACAAAGCATTGAGGATCGGGAACTACGCAGATCCCCCTCTGAACGCCAAGAAGAAACCTCGCTTCCGGCATACCTTCCGACTCGCATTTCTCCATCCTCGCCTGCTTCCGCCGCCGCCAGCAATCCATTCTCTCACAGAGGCCAATAGAAGAAATCCGACGAGCTCGAGGAGGCGCAGATCGGGGAAGCGCGGATCTGAATCCAGAATCAACTCCTCTTCTCCTCCTGCTGCTTCCTGCTTCTGCCTCTCCTTCCGCCCAGCGGTTTAAATGGGAGGGAAGGAGGAGGCGAGTGGGTAAGGACCAGGGCAAAAGCCGAGGTGGATAAATCCTACGGCGGGGGTTGCGGCAGCTGACGGAACGGCAGGTGACACGACCGTTAAAAAGAATGGAGAGTAACTGATGTTGACGAGTAGTTGTCGGGTCACCAGCGCCAGCATGGGCCCCACTATACCCGATAGCCTTAATCCAGACCCGTTAAGAACCCTCCCGAGAAAAATTAAAAAAAAATCCCTGCGGCTGGTCTGACAGTACCTGCACCTACTCTTCCTCTTGATCAGACCAACGTCATCGGATAACATCGGGTTCGGATCTACCGATTTCGAGAATGCTTCATTTATTACCACGTTTGACATGGCAGATGTACGGACTATTCCCGCTGACGTGGGCGCTTTCAATTGCATCTTATAGATGGGCCTACAAACCTAATTCCCATGTAAGAAGTAGGTGGACCGCCGTAAATGCGACAAAGATTCGGAAACGGATTTCCTCAAGTAACTACCTCCGATGGGGAGGGTGAACCTTTAGGAAAGAAAGTGAGCCTTCGAGGACGAGGATATTTGGCCCAGCTTGAGGCCCAATTAAAGACACGTGGCTCGGACCGTAGAGCCTGGCCCATCCATCCTACGTAGTGCGTCAGTGAGACGGTCAGAGTCAGAAACTACAGTGGAAATATCCTTCTTCGAGCTGATAATTACACACTTATCGTAAGGCAAGTAGCTATTCCGATAGAGAGCGCTGACTGCGACTGACCTAGGGAGTACATGTGGTGAACACGTCATCCATTTGACTGACGGTGAAGGCCGCGTGTGAATTGGCTCCCCTGGGCCATCCTGCATCTTTTACCATCTCCCCCGCGGCGTGTACCCACTGCGGTCGGTTTCTGAACAGCGCGTTATACGGTGGGACCCATTTGAGACCGGTAAAGGAGAGTCAACCTTCCAAGGTCACGGTCACGTTCAAACCACGGCGTATATCTTGTATTCATTTACCGGCCAACAGGCTATGAAAAGCCAAATATGCCACGATGATAAGCCCAAAAACAGACGGGCCACCAGATCCTGTCCGTCTCCAGACCGGGCATACGCCCCGCCATCGCCACTACCGTCATCTCATCCCTCAGCATTACACCGCGTTGGTCAAAATTTTGACCCCTCGTATTATATCGTAAATTTTTTTATCTCAGCATTAATCACCCCCCTGGTTCTAACGTACGTACGGGCACGCGCTGACCCCGAACTCGCCTGGGCCCCACGCGGACGGAGGGTTTGAAGATCGCTTCTGATTCATCTCTCTCTCTCTCTCTCTATCTCTCTCTATCTATCTCTCTCTCTCTCTCTCTCTCTCTCTCTATCTCTCTCTATCTATCTCTCTCTGGGGTCTATATACACGACTCCCTGAGCTTCTTTCTACCCACTCTCTCGGGAGCTCCCTTCCTCTTCCCTTGGCTCTCACCTGTCGCCAGAGAGTAAGAAAGTCCATTCGCTACTGCTGGTCTCCACGGCGGCGATCGATAGTCTGTTGCTGCCCGTGGGTGACCCCCCCATCGTTCCTGCCGGCGACGAAGAAGCTCTGCCGTTTCGAGGCCCAGCTGCACCCGGCGATGGAGAACGGCGGCGCCGCCCTGTCCCGGGAACGGCTCATCGGCGAGCTCAATCAGGGCATAGAGCTCACGAGAGTCCTGGAGACCCACCTCGACTACGCCTCTCCTCTGGAATTCCAGAGGCTGCTAGTCCGGAGCCTGCTGTCGACCCTCGCCAGGGCCGTCTCCATTGCGATGACCTCCCCCCAGTTTCCGCCGCTGCCGACTCCGGCAAGCTCACCCTGTCCCACGGATGAAAGCCACGGTGGCGACGTCCACGGCCGAGGTTCCAAGAAGAGGTACCAGATGAAACTTACACCCACCTTCTCCGGCGTTAAGAACCGTCGCTGATGGGGGCTTCCCACAAACGGTGATGGTGTTGCAGGAAGACGCTGGAGCCCCAGTGGACGCAGTGGATTAGGGTTTCGTCGGCCGCCGGCGTGGAGGCGCCGGCCGAGGACGGCTTCAGCTGGAGGAAGTATGGCCAGAAGGAAATCCTCGCCGCCAAGTTCCCAAGGTGGGTTAAGGTCTCCCCTCCCCACCCTCCCATCTAATATTTTCAGATAACAGGGATGAGGACGAGGGCAAGAGACGACCGGATCCTAGATACCAAGAATAATAATACGAAGTTTTTCAATAATATTAATGTTAATACGAATAGAAGACAATCTCAATTATGGGCAGCCGTCCCGTCTTTTCCTACAACCGAAACCGGCGGCGCACGTGCGGGTATTCTAGCGGGTCCTGTTTGTTCCGATGAGATACAAAGTGAGACTGATGGGGTGTTTATCGGATTCCGCTGCAGGGCCTACTACAGGTGCTCCCACCACAAGACGCGCGGATGCCCTGCGAGGAAGCAGGTGCAGCGCTCGGACACGGACGAGCTCTTGTTCGACGTCATCTACCATGGGGTCCACAGTTGCGGCGCCCAGGGGCAAGTAGCCGCTAGCGGAGCGGCAGCGGTGCCGCCGGCCGCCGAAGCGGATGGGGAGAATTCCGAGCCTAGGCTGCGAAACGAGGCCCTAATCCTCAACTTCAGGACCGGGCTCGCCATCAAGCCGGAGGAGGTGGACGGCGGCGACGGCGAGCTGCCTTCCCCTCTCTTCCCCCTCGTTCCCGGCGAACCCGGCGGCGCTTCTTCAACTTTGGCGATTGCGGGCCCCTCCGGATCAGGTCAGCTTAGAGTTGACCCGGACTTTCCTGTCCTGGAGATGGACCTCGGGGACTTCTTCTCGGCGGTGTTGGACCCGGATTTCATGGGGGACGCTGTGGAGTCCAAGCAATATCTCTCTTCCGCCCCGAGCTTCTTCTGTTGATGTACCGATAGTTAAACGGACTCTCTTCGTACAGATGGATTATGTTCTTACTCATTATTTTATTAATTTTTTTGTCCACGGAGATAGTGGATTAATTGTAATCTGAATATTTATGTAAGATCAAGCGCCTGAATGGGCTTCTCGGGTTAATCTGAGACCCTCATCCGAAGGGTCTCTCGTCTTTCTTATCTATGCAGAGAAATGTCAAACATGAGCCAAGGGAATGGAGTTGACTCTAGACACCTCGATGCTGGGAATGGGTCGGAAAGGATATATAATTCGCAATATTGCTTGCTATTATTATGATTAGCACCAACATGACAAGACCAGCTCCTGCCACAATATTGGAATAAAAATTTGGACGGAACCATCGAAACGAATTTTAGGTTACACCGTTCTTGGTAAGCGCTAGCCCTGCTCTAGCCTTAGCCTATTTCCTTATTCAAAGTCAACTTTGACGCACATGTTTGAATGACTTTTGAGAATGGTCATCCACGAGATAGTTGTGAGGGGTTTGTTGGTTGAGAGACGAGGGAATTGAGTAAGGTCAAAGACAACGTGATATAAGTCAACCATGAGCAAATATTCAATGCCTCATTGACTTTTTTTACACACTATTATTGGGCTCTTTTCCTTTTAAGTTCCAAAAAACATGGTCATCTGAGCCAACCTTGGCCTGCACTAGCCTTGGCCTATTTCCTTGTTAAAAGTAAACTTTGACTCACAAGTTTGAATGACGTCTGAGATGGGCAGCCTCATGCATAGCTGTGAGGGGAGTGTGGTTGAGAGACGAAGGAATCGAGTAAGATCAAAGACATCATAATATATATCAACGATGAGCCAATATTCAACTGCTCAGGAGTTTTTTTTAGTCAAACATTTCATGTGCTTTTTTCATTTAAAATCTCAAAGAGCGTGCCCTTGTCATCACTTGACTTCAACACCTTAGTCACAAGTTAATTGTACTCAAGTGCCAAGTTGGTATACTAACTTTGACTATTACTTGGGCAAATCAAGTAGACATAGTGGGAAACAAGAATGGAGAACTGAAAATATGAGAAAGAAGATAACCCTAGATTTTTAACACAATTTATGCATCTCCACTCGATACAAGAAACAATTGGAACCCTTTACTTTCTTCATATCTTTCCCTTTCTAGCAGTGCAATTTCATTCATCAAATCACAATTGCCATGTGCCATTATTTGGGTATGATGAGTCAATCATGTATAAAATCAATTCCTCACTTGAATCAAGAAGCAATACAAGCCATCATAGTCATGAAATAAAGGGATGTTTTTCATACTTCGCATAAATTCGATCTACCTTCCCATCAAAATCAACTCTGATTTTCTATTCAAAAGAGATGCCATAATAATCGTTAATACTGATGTTAGATTTTGTAAGATCTTTTTCCATTATTAGGTTATGTGACAAGGAACTTTCTAATCAAAGTTCATCCCTAAATGTGCAGATGTTAGTACTTGACTGATCTAATGTCTCCATGTTATATTAGTTTCAAGTAAGTCTCTTTGTACTTAGGTGACAAAATAATACAAAAAAGGTCAACTAGCCCATGCTTACCCAATCCACAATTCTTTGCATCAAACATGACATCCATCGTCATCAAATGATGTCCTAGAAGACTAAGATGTTAAACATTATACATAATCAAGTAACATATTTGGCAGGATTTTAGCCACTTAACAAGGTTCAAAGAAAACACTGAACATGCAAATTCTGTCCACATTGGGGTCTCAAAAAGGATCTCAATTGATTGTCCACGTTAGAAAGTTAGCTTTTGTAACTCAATAGCACCTAACATGTACAAAAATAGTCTTAGTAAAAGAGCATTATCATTGTTGTGTGATATAATTCAACTAACTAACATTGATGTGGTACATTACTAATCATGGGTGTGACGGAAAAAATTACAAGTATCTTCGTTAATGGGTCTCTTTGTTTCAATTTTATAGTTGTGTTTGTTCATACAGCTTGGTTTTGTCCTCCTTTCTGCTGATGAAATCGTTGGGATGGGAGATATTAATATTAGAATAGACTTTTCAACGATCGCTGCACCCATGGAGATGCAAAAAACTAACCTACTAAAATTAGGTTTTCTCAATATTCTTCTGCTATTTTTGTAATGGTTGTGACCCCCCCTAAACCTTTGCTATTATCAATGAGTACTTTTCCGAAAACGTTACCGGCTGATTAAGAATATTTTTCCTAAAACCTCTCTCTCTCTCTCTCTCTCTCTCTCTCTCTCTCTCTCTCTCTCTCTCTCTCTCTCTCTCTCTCTCTCTCTCTCTCTCCCTCTCTCCCTCTCCCTCTCTCTCTCTCTCTTTCCCTTGCTCGCTCTCTCTCCCCCCTTCTCTCTCTCTCTCTCTCTCTCTCTCTCTCTCTCTCTCTCTCTCTCTCTCTCTCTCTCTCTCTCTCTCTCTCTCTCTCTCTCTCTCTCTCTCTCTCTCTCTCTCTCTCTCTCTCTCTCTCTCTCTCTCTCTCTCTCTCTCTCTCTCTCTCTCTCTCTCTCTCTCTCTCCCTCTCTATCTCTCTCTCTACGTGATTCGATTAGACCGGAAGAGTAGGGTCCAGGCCTTTAGAAAAGGCCACTTCCAAGCTTGGACCTGGCCCAAGTCATAATTTAAGACCTAAGCCAGAAAGAAAGAGAACAGACTGGCTTGGGTACTCATTACCAACCCCTATTTGGTATGTGGCCATCAATATTTGTATTTAAATAACTAAAATGGAGAATAAACCGTAATGGGCGGGGCCGGTTTACATACTCTCCGTTGTACTTATTGGGCTTTGGTTAGAAAAATGAGCCCGAAGGATGCTAATGGGCCATCTGCTGCGGGACAAACAATTGGGCACAAAAAAAAGCGTAAATTTGGGTAGTAGGCCTGTCATTGACAAGCCCAAAAAATATAAGAACGGCTTATTTTATGGGCTTTTTTTAGGTTGGGCTGGCATCGAAGGGCCGAAACAATCATACACGTAAAATTGGGAAATGGGCCAATCGCTAACAAGCCCATAACAGGAGAAATTTAATCAGATGGTAGCAGGCCCAATCCCAACTTTCTGAAAAGCTAAAGAGTAAAAGGAGTGCGTGTCCTCGTGGAAGCCCATGCTGTTGAGCGGCATGGGCCTTGTGGGCTCGCACAGTCTTGGGGAAATGGGCCAAAATGGGCCGGGATGGAGCAACGGGACTCTCTCTGCGTGTCAGGCCCAGATGCCAACCCATCTCGAGACCGGGCCTCGTTCACAGTGAGAATGGCCCCGGAGCGATCCCGTGAATGGTCCCGGGCTGAGCTTGGCTCATGTAGGCGAAACCCGAAAGCCCTGCCCGGCCCGTTATGAGGAGGACGCCGGAGTTCTCTCCAATTGCCGGTGCCGGAGTTTCTCTCCGGTCACCGGCGCCGGAGGAGAACGTAGAAAGAATATGTATTTACAGTGGAAAAGCGGCTCGTGGCAGCCTCTCCTGCCCTGCATTTAATGCGGATTAAACGGCCATATCCGCTGGAGAATCGCGCAGAGTGAGAGAGGCTACAGAGAAAGAGGGGAGGGATAGGGCCTTCCGGGCACGGCCCGGAGTCGACGGCACGAGCCGTGACTGGCGGAGGGATAGTACGTCCAAGGAGATGCGCCGCAATTAGACGACAGTGCCCATCGTCTCTCTCTCTCTCTCTCTAAAAGTCTGTCTGTATCTCTCTCTTTGGCTCTTGGGCCGGGGATTTTCCCTCTCCTGGGCTTGGTCTGGTCGTCTTCTTCCGTCCCTTCACCCGTCGGCTACCTCGCCTGAGGCGCCTCGATGGTCGTAAGAACTATACGCATCGACCCTACAGAGGCAGTGAGAGAGAGCAGCAGAAGAGTAGAGGGAGAGAGATAGGGAATGAATGAGAGAGAGAGAGAGAGGGGAGGGGGGGACGAGTGGCTGGCAAAGGTAGGGTTGTCTCCGAGCGAGCTCAAGCTGGACGTACTGGCGGGAGAAGAGGATGCCGTATCAGAGAGCAGAGAGGGCTCAGATACCATCTGTCCCTTTCCCTGCCGTATCAGAGAGGATGCCCGTCAGGTGACCCTCGCTGATAAAGCCGAAGTGAGAGAGGGAGAGGGAGAGAGTCTCAGCACAGGAGTCCAGCAGCAGTGCCGCTGAGCGGCCTGCTACTAATCTATATATCTCTCTCTATCTCTCTCTACAGGAGGGCAAGATGAGACGTCTGAAATTTCGGGCCGTTTGGTAGATTCGTCTGACCTCTGAAGAGGAGCGGTGTTCAAAAGTCTGGGCTCGCAAGTATTAACAACCCGAATGAAGAGAATCCTACTATCTTTCTCTCTCTAGTCAGGGAAGGGTTGACGGCGAGAGGAGATTTTCAGACAAAATTTCCGCTTAGACTGCATGAATGCGAGTAGATTTCTTCCCCGTTGGCGGTCCGTACATCATGCATCAGGCAAGAAAAGGAAACCAAAACAGATGGTCCCCCGCCGCTGTAAAATCTGCCGATTCCTCGGCCGCCGCCGGCGGGGAACCTCGTCGGAAAAACACTCTACGCTCTGAAGAAAGGGCCTCCTCTCCTCCCCTCTTCTCCCTCGTCGTCCGGATTTCAGGGGACGAGCAATGGGTCGGAGCTGAACAGGTCGGCGACGTCGCCGACGTCCTGGAAGAAGCTATCATGCCACGGCGGCGGCGCCGCCCTCCCGGCGCCGGAGAAGACGATGCCTCCTCCCATCTCTGCCTCCAAGCTCAGGAATTCCTCCAGCAAGAACTCGTCACCGGCGCAAGGCTCCGTGAAAACCCCCGCCGCCGTGGAATCGAAGCACAGGTAGTCATCGAAGAACGATCCGGCTGCCTCCTCCAAGGGAAGCAGCTCTCCGAGGTCTAATCTCAGGTCCTCGAAGATCCCTCCATTAAAATTCCCTCCTCCGCCTTCCTCCTCCGTGGTCTCCTTCCTCAGCTCCGATTTCTGCGGCGGCGGTGCCGCCGCTTCCTTGGAGGAGCAGTACCTCAGCACCGACGTCGGAGAGGACAGGTTCCGGGACTCCTCGCCGGAGTCGTATCCGCCGGAGCCGGACGAAGCCGTCGCCGGCGGCGGAGAGACCTCCACGGAGAAGTTGGTCATGGCGTCGGGCCCACGAAGCTGGATGGCGGCGCTGTCGTAGACCTTAGCAGCCTCCTCCGCGGTGTCGTAGGTCCCCAGCCAGATCCGCATTCGCCGTGCCGGGTCGCGGATTTCCGCCGCCCACTTCCCCCACGGCCGCCGCCGCACTCCCCTGAACTTCTTGCCGGCCACCGCCGGCGACCTGCTCCCCGCTTTCTTCCTGCAAGGCCATGAAAGCTCCGCTGCAGCGGCGCCGCCGCCGCCGTGGGGGGCCTCCACGCTTATCTCGTCGACGTAGAGCTTGACGCGGCGGCGGGCGGGCTCGTCGTCGTCGTCGTCGCCGGAGGAGTCGGTGGCTTCCGGGTCGGTCACCGATATCCGCACCAGGCGAGGGATGTCGCCGCCGGCGAGGTGGCGGGTCCTCGACTTGGCCTTGTAGAACTTGGTCACCTTCCTCCGGTGCTCTGAGTACTTGACGAGCGGCTGGGCGGAGCTTCCTTCCGGCATCATTCCGCGAAATATCGCCTTCTTAGACTGCAGCATCTACTGGGTCAGAGCCACGAAAAAGAAAAGGGTAAGAACGCGGAGGATGGATAACCGGGGACTTCCATTAACGAAGATGTGGAAGAAAGTCATTGATCGATAAACACGCGAAATCAACAGCACAGTAATAAAAGGAGACACGGTGAAAGTGAGAGACAAAGAGAGAGAGAGAGAACCAGGGGAGAGGTTTTGGGTTGACCGACAAATAGAATGAGGGGTTTTGGAAAGAAAAAGCAGAAGAAGCAGAAGAAGAAGAAGAACCCAGGGGAGAAAATACCTCCCAGAAGTTCGTATGGACACCCGCGAAAGGGAAAGCTACGAGAAGGCCGGAAGAAGAAGAAGGGGAAGAAGAGGAAGAAGAAAACGGCGAGAGGAACACGGTATAAGGAGAGAGAAGGGAATGATGAGCAGCCTAACAAGATGGAGAGGTTTTCCACGAGGAAAGTGTGAGAGGAGAACCAGCGGACGGGGAAGGGGGGGAGGGGGAGGCTCCATTACCTGCGTGGAAAAGAGAAGAGCTCCCTCATAGGCCACAGTAGCAGCGGCGCCCCCTCCCCCTCCCCTCTAGTTAGTACCAACCGGGCCGCGGCACCAGGCGACGAAAGAAAACTCCTCGTCCTTCTCCCACTCCCGCCTCCCCCTCCTCCCCAATATACGACCCCAGCGAACCAGACCAAGCACGATGAGAGAGAGAACCCAGCAGGGCGACAGATGTCGAGGCGCCCACCGTGCCCGTGATGAGAGAGAGAGAGAGAGAGAGGGAAGGGACGAGTCTGAGGAAGAGATAAGAGCCCAGGAGGAAGGGAGGTGGAGTCGCAGGGAGATAGAGATAAATAGCGAGAGAGAGAGAGAGAGAGAGAGAGAGGGAAGGGGTGAGTCGGAGGAAGAGATAAGAGCCCAGGAGGAAGGAGGTGTAGTTGCAGGGAGATAGAGAGAGAGATACTGGAGGGATGCCCGCCAGTTAATTGCCTCAGTATTATAGCATCCCCTCCCTTCATTCAATTCTCGCCTTTTCCACCGAGCGCTCTCCTCGCCCGCTACGCAAAAGTACCGGTTTACCCCCAAATTTCCCGCCTTTCACTCTTTTACCCCACTGATATTTAGTTATTTCCTCGCCTGCTACCCGGGGGGGGGGGGTTAACGAGAAAAAAAAAAGTCTGCCGGCGGCCCCACGGCGGCGGGGAGCCCACCGCCGGCGGCCGGCGCCGAATGCGGCGGGCGACGTGTCCGCCGAAGCGTTGGCGGCGACCCGGTGACTCGGACGCGTTGGCTCGCCTCGTAACTCGAGACCGCCGCGAGTGAAAGGCCCGGGCCGCGTCACGTGAGTGGGGCCGGCCCGGATCCGTTAAACTAATCCGGTCAAATCATCGGGTCGGGCACGCCGTCAGACCGCTTTGACCCGGGGAGTATACCCATTGATCACCACCCCTCTTCCTCACACCTCATCACCAAGGGGACCGTTATTTCCTCACTAATTCTCCATTTACTTAAGAACATAAGACGTGTGATAAAAAAAATTGGATTTTTTTTAATGACGTGTTATAATAAAATAAATTTCATGAGACGATGGAGGACAATTTCTTAATAGTATTTCCCATCGTATAAATTCATATATATATATATATAACTTAATGTGGTTTCCAAAAATATCAGCCGGTTAGTTATGGGGGAGATCCCACGATGCTGGATTTAAAAAGAGCAACCGCGATGTCTAACAGTCAAATCGTCGATCCCCGCAAACCTTAGTTTTATCAAGGCCTCGGGGGTACAGTGACAAAAAAAGATAGGGTATATATACATGTTCTCTCAGTCAGGAGGGGCGATCTGTAATTTTCTGAGGGTGAGGCGGCCAGCAGGGGCCGGAAGGATAAATAATAAGAGCGGTGGTAGTTCCGGCTTCAGGCATCGCGCCACCCGAGTTCCTCATTAACGTTTTCCCTGCGCGGTCCGCACGTGCCGCACCAACCATTAGCACGTGCGTAAAAAATAGCCGTTTGTGTCTTTAAAAAAATAGTAGCCCACGTGAATTGGTTAGCGCAGGATCTTCCACAGCATGGACCGGAGGTCGCGTGACGGCCCACCAAGGCCCATATTGCTCCTTTCGGCCCACCAAGACGCTTCAGATATCTCCTCTACCTTTTCCCCTTAACTATAAAAATAGAAAAGCTCCCTGTTCACAGACTGGGCTTGTCCGTTCGGGTACAACTCCCACGATTAAGTACTAAATGATGGGCTACCCTGGCTATCACACCATACCTCAAGACAGAGATGGATACAAAGAGAGAGAGAGAGAGAGGGGCTCTCCGCGGGGAACATAAAAACCGTACGGCGACCAGAGAGAGAGAGAGTGCAGTTTCCTAGGGCGGGATGTCGGAATGACTTCAGTAGGTGACATGAGAAGTGGACGACGACCAGACAGAGAGGAGAGAAGGTGGGGGGGGGGGGGGCACCCGTTAGCCTGCAGCCGGTTCTGTCGGCCACAAGAAACCAGAGAGAAGCGGAGGAAAGACCGGCATCACTAGCATGTTCCATCGACGAGACACGCGGGGTTCCGTCACAGAGAGAGAAACACAGACGGACAGACAGATAGGAAGGAGTGAAATAGAAAGAGAGACAGATAGAGAGAGGACGCACAAGTTGACGATCTTACACACAGAGAGAGATGGACGGCACCATGGGAGAACGAAGGCTTCTTCTTGTTCTTTCTTCTGCGTTCAGCCCATGGCGTACTTCTGGGTCCAGCTCCTGGCGGTCGCCTCATACTTGGTCCTGTCCGTCTTGTACATGTGGGCGATCTCCGGAACCAAGGGGTCGTCGGGGTTGGGATCGGTCAGCAGCGAGCAAATGGAGAGCAACACCTGCGAAGGAGAGAGAGAGAGAGAGAGAGGGGATATAAGAGGACAGAACAGCTGGTTTGGAGAAGAGTTTCTCGGTGGGGGAGGAGCAGGAGGAACCTTGGAGATGGTCAACGCAGGGCTCCACTGCTCCTTCAGGATGTCCAGGCAGATGCTCCCGTTGCTGTTGATGTTGGGGTGGAACACCTTGGTCCTGAAGGCCACCTGCGAGGTCAACAAGAACAAGCCCCCCCCGACGTGGCTTGCTTTCATTCTCTTTCCAAAAAAATATAAATCTTCGAGTTTCCTCGGACGAGCATTGGAGGGAGGAAGGAAGGAAGACCGTCATATCCGATTTTCTGAATCTGTGATGTTCCTCCACACTCCCTCTGATCTTTCTATCAAAATTATCCGAAGCCGTGAGACACGAAACTTCTGATCAAGAACACAAGTTCCCGCGACGAATACCACAGCGTGTTTCATCTTATTCGGGAAAATTTTCCTCAACTTGTTTTCTGCCCAGGAAAGGAACAAGAGTTCGACGCTCTAAACTCTGCCATATTCACGGAATCATCTGCTTGGATGTGCATACGATCGATCTTGGATCTGGGCCGTTCGTGTTAATTATGCCTAATGGGGGAAAAATATATCATGACTTTGATCTGAATGCTTGTTCTATCTGAGGATAATATGTATGAGCCTAATCCACTTCTGACTGGGCGATGAAAATGGCGAGCAAGCTCTTTAATTACCTCCTACATTGGGAAATGACATGTTGACTAACTAGATAAAGCAAATAATGAATATCTACATTTAGCAAAAGATGGGGCTGGTGCGAAGTTTGGATAGAGTAGAGATCCCTAGCAATATAGATGCTGCGAGGAGAAACAGGCAGGGACTTTATAAATACGTAGGTTAGGGAATGGCCAAATAATTTTTATGGAGAGAATGCAGTGTGATCATTCGGGATAACCCTGACCAAGCAATGGGCCTACATATGGAAGTAAATTCAACTTCTCAGCGTGTGACTGCACGACTGCACGAAGACAAGACTCAATATTCCTAATCCCGGTTGATCAGGTGAAGTTGCCTTCAAAGAACTTGAGAGTCAAGTTCCCAGAGAAAAGAACTAATTTTGGATTAACAAGACCAGGTCAATTGCAGACAAACCAATTGAATCAAAGCCAATTGGGAAACGTCAATTAATGAATTATACACCCATAAATATGTATATCTGTAGAGAGAGAGAGAGAGAGAGAGAGAGAGAGAGAGAGGTACTGGCAAGTAGATCATCAGGGAAAAAAAGAAAGAGCGTCATGATGACTAAAAACATTGAAGGTCCAGCTACATGCCAGATCGTATTCCGTGGTCAATAAACAAGCGGCTTACATGGTAGATTCAAAGCCCATAAATACCATTTGATAAGCCTCACAGCACATGAGTAAACTTTCTACTCAGGTATTTCGTTGGAAGTCGGGAGAGATAAATCAGATATTTTAAGATGCATCATCTGGTGTAGCATCATTCTCAAAGGAAGAGGAACTCAGCCACAAATAAGCTTCGACAAAACTACCAATTCAGCAAAATAAAAAAATTGGGCAGGAGACTTTAAGTGCGCTCAGAAGAGAATGTACCTTGGGTGGTTTGAAGGGATAATCCGGAGGGAAATGAATAGTAACTAAAAACACACCCCCAGCATATGGACTGTCAGGTGGGCCCATTATGGTTGCTTGCCAATGAAACATATCCTCGGCTACAGGACCTATAGAATGTGCAAAATATGCAAATGTTTAAAATAATAATCGCATTATACAAATGAAAGCAAGGACATCTCGAAACACTAGTATAGACGTAGCCTTTCGGGACGAATGATAAGAGTATTGCCTCATGAAACAGTCGCCCAGACATATACAACAAAGTAAAGCACATCCTTGCAATGAAACAATAGTTTCTTGCACGATAATCTTCTACACACTGCTATCTACAGTCATCTGAACCCATCAGACTACCGGAGAAGTAGGACATGAAATCAAAATAAAGATCAGATCTGTGAAATTGCACAACACTACAGAATGAGTGTGCTACATTATTCATAAAACGATCAAGCCAGCCAATTGTCCCCACTGGACGGGTGGGATTCGTCAAGGACCAGTTGATCAAACTTGGATAAGCCAATATATCCCGAGTCAGCTGATATGGCTACATTTTGGGCCTTCATATAGAAAATAATATACACACGCATATATTTATATGGAACGTGTTTGCATGATGGGAATTGATGGAGAAAACCAAAAAATAATTTAACTGCGAGGCATGAATTACATAAGAAGAATGAGTTTCTATAAATCTCAGGGTCATGAGAGGTATGATGTTTCATCCAGATTATCCAAAGGAAAAGAAAAAAAAAGACGGGAAGAAATAAGACAACCATCATGTGAGTCGCAGGCTTCAGTTTTATCTCAAGGTTAGACGTCTGAGCAAACTAATAAAGCACATGCTGTAATATTCGAGACGCATATCTTGCCTTCTGGATGAAAACTTAAGCAAAAGAAAAAAAAAAAAAGCACCAGCAGGTTCTCAATGTATTTCCCGTGTTTGTTGATCAATCAAGCTTGCGTTTTTACACAAACTGAATAGGATCCAGCAGATCGCATATCACCCGGACAAGAAGTAAGGATGTCACAAGTGAATGCCAACACATAACATCATGTGGATGGCACTTGCGTGATGGATTCACTTTTGAAGTAGAGTGTACAACCAGATCACGCAATGCTCAGTGCATGAGTATCATTAGACGTCTGGCCGAAAGCCCAAAAAAAAATATTATTTATTAATTAAATATTGTGAAATATTGTCATATAGTTAATTAACAAAAAAATTATGAAAAACTTATGATGCATAATCAATTCAATAGAAATCCATGTAGAATGTGTACCCCATTCTAGTGCTCTTTGCTTATGATGTATTCTTAATTGATGCCAATACAAACATTTATAATTTTAGCACTATTCTGCACATATAACGTGCTAAGTATATTGAAAACTAGGCAATGCCGTGTCTTGTTGACTAGGCATAAGGCAGCAGGCCATCGCCTCACTCACCTTAAAAACCTTGGAACGTGCAAAAGATATCAAAGGTTAGTACCAGTACAAGCAAGTAGGGTCCTCCTAGAATTTACCAAGCTGTCTTAAATTTCCTAAACGCATAAGCACATCCCTGATGAATTGAACACAAACAGAAATGCCAGAAAGACATACAAGCACTACATTCTTTTTCCGATCAAAACATTCGTTATTACAGCGCACATTGTCGTGGCACTTGATAAACTACCAAAAGGAACACAACATTAGTAAGATAACGTCGTTGTAAAATTAAGGATACACCGAAACACACTTGAAACAAAAGATGATATGATACTACTCCAAAAGACATAGGTAAACTTCACATAGTATAAAAATATCATTGTTTAACCAAATACTAATTAATTCCTACACTGGCATAAAATTAACATCCTTTAGTTATTTAAAAAGTGCAGAGGAAAACGACGGACACCAGAGCAAAGATTGCATAAAAACTGAATCCTTTCATCAAGCGCCATCTTTTTTTTTAATAATCAACGTCATAGACCATTCCTGACGCCAAATTCGATAAATGCTCCACAAAAAAACTCAAGGTCTGACCAGACGCCTTCGAAACTGGAATAAGTTATACGATAGAAGTCCATATGCAGGGTTGACCTTCATATCCTTCGATAATAAGATATCTCTAGCCAGGACAGGCATTTGTATTTGTATTACAGTGGAAAAAGTCCCCCCCCCCCCCTCCCATCCACACGAAAAACAGTTATTTAAGCCAAAGCCGGCTTCATAAATATCGTGTGGCACATAATCATTCACCTTTAAAAAAAAGTCTTAAAAACAAAACGATCAAGCAGAACCGCACATTCCAAAAAAATAAATAAATTGTATGCACAGAAAAATCATACTTCAAAACGGCAAAAAATACCAGAGAGATCATTTTTTAAAAAAAAAAAAGGGGAGCATAAATCATCAAGACAATGACAGATCTGCAAGAAGGGAAGCCAAGAGTCGAGGTGAGACCCGAAGCGGCTCGGATCAGAAGGTACCTGCGCTGCAAGATGTCGGCGGATCCTTCTGGAGGTCCTTGAGCTCCTTCAGAATCCTCTTGGAGGCCATGGCAGCCTACCAAACAATCCGAACCCTAAAACCAACAGACGAAGATCGCTGGCAGGAACAACAAAACGTCAAGGATGAAACATCGCACATCGAAGAAACAGGCAAAGAAGGGGCGATCGGGAAATAAAACAGATGTAGAACGCAGAATACCTCCCTCGGCGCCCCCAGCCTCCTCGCCGATGGTGGACTCAGCGAGAAAAGCCGAAAGGAAGGAGATGAGAAAAAGAAGGCAACCATGATAAAAAGAAAATCTCCTTCAAATGTCCTACAGTAACCCCAGCCTCCGGGGGGCCGAGGAAAAACAATTTTCGCATATATCCTCTTAACAATTTAAATTGTATATATATATATATTTATTTCCGAAAGAAACAAAAAATGATTATTAATATGAAAAGCACATTAGTGCCAAATATCCATCGGGTCTAAATATTACCTAAATAAGATATAAAAGAGACTGTAAATAAGATATAATCTTCATTAGATAAATTTCATTACTTTATTAATGAAAAAAATCGAGCCTTGAAAGGCATTCTAGACTTTTAGCTTATTTTCTTGATAAATTCGGTACCCCACATTGGAATAAATTATTTACTAAAAGTCACAATATTTAAATAAAAATTTTTAAAGTCGTGCGTTTGTTCTCCATGTGAAAGTGAACAACATGAGCATTTATCCTGTGAAAGGTGGGCATATGTTTAATAAATGTATCCTTTAGAGATAATATGCGAATCATCATCTTCTAGGAGCTTATTGGAAAGAAAGCCCGGGACAGCTCGATCGTGACTCTCTCGTTTTAGACGGGTCAAAGGAAATAAAAATAAGCTAATGATAAAGCTGTTAATAAACCTGGTAAGATCTACAAATCATACTTTCCATTGGAGCTAACATAAGAATCTTCATCCTAAAGGGTGTATATGAAAAAAGAAAAAGCCAGCTGCGGCTACCAAATGGGAGCACTACGACTCGGTGTAGCGACAGAATTAATATTATAGGAGGGGTGCGAATAAAATAAAACTTTACGAGGGACGGGGATGATAAAATTCCTAATAATGTCATTAAAATACTGTTATTAATACTTAATCAACGAGGTATACTAATTAATAATTAATATTAGTAATTAATAATAATTACATATTATTATTATTATTATTATTATTACTCCAACCACCTCCACAATTCAACAGAAGGCGGATATATAAAGAGCGAAAAAGACCACAAATCTACGTCATTATTGCAGCCGTAAGCCGTCGTCTTCCCCGACGAGGGGGCGGCGGAGCCTCAGGAGGTTCTCAGGCGAGCGTACTTCGCCGCCATCCTCGCCTCAAGAAGCTTCGCCTTCAATGTATTCTCCTTCAAGGAGCCTCTCGGGAATTCAGTTGAGCACTCGGAGACTTCGGTAGGATCCTCCCCACCGGCCGTCTGAGAACGGCGATGCAGAGGGAATTCCACCGATCGTCGGCAGATCTGAGGTCGAGAGCCGGAGGGATCTGCCGAGAGACGGCTGAATCTGCCGATAGGATCCGCCTCTCTCTTCGGTGGATCAGATCTTCTCAACTCGGGTTTCTTCTCTACGAGGATGCCGGCGCCGGTTTCTCCTATGCTGAACTCGAAACAGTGCGAGTCGCCGGAGACTGATCCATCGTCATCGTCGTCTCCGGGACCTCGGGGTTGAGCCGACTCCAGAGGTTGGCGGCGGAAGAAGCCGTCTACGGAGAGATCGGCATGAAGAACCTCACGGTGAGAGCTGTTCCTCCATCTGCTCTGGACAAACGACTCGATCTCAGAGGTTAGCCTCCCTAGAATCGCATTCTTCTCCCGGAGATCGCCCCGGGCTCCGGCGAGCTTCATCTGGAGCCGCTCGGCCAGCCATTCTTCGGCGATGTGAAGCACCGGGCGGTCCCGTCCATGGCCGCACCCTCCGCAGGATTTCTGTCTCCATTCTCTCATCTCCTCTTCATATCGTCTGACGCCCTCTGCAAACTCGTCGCAGAGGCTCTCCAACAGGTCCCGGGCCTTCCTTTCTCTCTCTAGGTCTTCCAGGGCCCTCAAGAACGACTCCTTCAGTTCCGACAATTCTCTGGCTACCTTCCGCTGCAGGCTCTCCGAACGCCGCCTCATCCTCCGCTCGCCTTGGAGCTCCCCCCTCGCAGAACGGACGGTGGCCCTGACCATCTCCTGCTCCTCGTTCCTCTCCAGCGACAGATCTTCGATCTGCGCCTTGGCCAGCTCTAACTCCAGTTTCAGAGATTTAATCATGGCGAGGTTCGATGCATGGTGTTCTTCCAGGCTCCAGATCCGATTCAACACCCTCAAGAGCTCCATGGATGTCTCGAGACCGTATGCGGACCTTCTTCCCTTGAGATTTATGGAGCACGAGGGGACCGTTGACCGATTATAGGCTGCAACCTTACAGTAAGGAGAGGAGATCGAGCGCAGAGGTCAAAATAAAGTCAACGATGCATCAAATGAGACAGTTCAAGGGAACAGCATATACGAGACGGATTCAGCTGGCGGGAAATTTTGCCGACCCCTGAAGATGATGACGAAGTTACGAGCCAAAAGTCATAATGAAGTCAACGGTAGACTAAGCGGTTAAATTCAAGTGACAAGCAATATGGAAGCTTGGTGGGAAATTCGAGCCGGCGGCAAAATTTCACATTCATGAGAAGATGATGAAGTCGGATGCGAAAGTCAAAATAAAGTCAACATACGATGAAAATTTTCTTTTTGCCCAGAGTCATCGGATTTATCTTCACCCTCCCAGAAAAAATAATAGAAAATAAGAGGGAGAGAAGAGAGAGAGAGTACACCCACATGCGTCGAGCTATCAAAACTTGCAGGAGAGAGAGGGCCATTCCTGTCAGCTGGTTTGTGGTGCAGAATCATCGATGCCGCCAAATCAGCAGCACACAGTGCCTGCCAATATAATTAATAAAAGTTGTAAATAACAGAAAAGCAAATACTACAAAATTTATAGATCATCGATCATTGAATATCCGATGCAAGCTTCAGACAACCCAGGATCGGCATTCCACCCAGGTGACAATCTTTCCTTGTTTATCTAACCTTTTCCTACAACGTTCTGATTTCGATTTCTTGCATAAAATATTGTTCGAACGAGGTTACAGAGGATGTGTTTGGTCTAATGTTTTAGAATTTCCCAAGAACATCGGTGCAGGAATAACTATGGATAAATTGCGATCATCCCCAGGAATTATTATTTTAATCCGAAAACTGTTCATCTCTCCCTTGATCTCTGTGCAATCCTCCGTTACCCTGAGATCTGGACTTTCTTCAATCAACAGATGTCTGATCTTCTCCTCATCAAACAGCCATATGGTTATAGAACACCAAGACCAATTGAGGGAAATCACGCACAGAGGAAGTGGCTATGGAAGAGGATTTGATATAGAAGGTAATAGCCTGAAACTACGCGATTTCAGCTTGGTTTTCTAGTTGTGCGATCATAGAATCGAGGATTGTGATTCTGATTCAAAGACCCCCCCGGGGTGGAGGAACAGATTCTTCAACCTCGAGCTCGGAAGATTATTTTAGGAAACGCCCTGTTCAGAGGAAATAGCAGAGGAATTGATGAAAAGCAATGATGAGAGATCGCTGATTTCTTACATCTTTTTCGGAGAGGTCTGCGGGAAGTTCCTCGTCGTGGTGGGGAGTTCTGGCCATCCTCCGGTTCATCCGGGGACGTCGGAAGTCGTGGATCTCCCAGAGATCGGCGCCGAGCTTCCTCGCGGAGACGGCGGCGCCGCCAGTCCCGGCGGAAGGGAACGGAAGCGACGGCCGGCGGCGGTGGCGCCGCCTGGAATCAGGTCTCCCGTGGCCGTCCTGTGGCCGCGAAGAGCTCCCGATCTCTCTGGCTTCCTCCATCTTCCACACTGGCACAGGAGCACTAGCGCCGCCCCCCTTCGCCGCGGAAGTTCCCCGCCGCTTCCCCCCGTCCTCTCCATTACTGCTTCCCTCCATCGAACTATCCCTCCACTCTCTGCTGCTTACGTTCCCCCCTCTCTCTCTCTCTCTCTCTCCCTCTCTCCGCTGCCTCTTCCGCCACTGAGAATCAGAGGATGGAACCAGTGCTCAGGTTACCTGCCGCGATGGGGATTTGTAGGAGGATGAGGAAACCTCCAGAAAAGCGATATAGCAGGACCTGGGGGCCTCCCACAGTAGAGAGGTATGGAGAGAGAGATGGGAGAGAGGGAGAGGGAGAGAGAGAGAGAGAGAGAGAGAGACGAGCAATCACAGAAGAGAGAGAAACCGCGCGGAGGAGGACTCGGATGACACGTGGCGCGGTATCACACGTGGCCCTTAGTGCAGTACTGGGCCAGAGGCCCGTTAAAGAGGAATAGTTTCTTTTAAGGGTAGACTTCGTAGGTGCCTGTGGGCCGATGGGCTACTGTGACACCACGGGGTTAAAGACAAAGGAGGTCGTCGAGGATAGGCCCACAAGGTGGCTCACTATTTTGTACAGTGCCATTCAAAAAGACTGAGTGTGCGACGTGTATTAGTTGCAAAACGAGGTTAATGGGACAAGTACGTTAACCTCCTAATAAAGAAGCGGGACCAGTTGAATCATTTGATTAGAAAAATGATTGTAACACACTATTTAAGTCATCGTTGCACTATTTAACCCTTATATTTCACTTTATTTATGAGAAATAAGGAAAAGTCCTAGGTGTTCTTCCCCATAAATATGAGGAACTTGCATCCTTGTTGAGTGGTTTGATCTCTTCTTTATCAGTGTAATCATGAGTTAGAAGAATATATGAATGCTTAACCACCAAGGATGAAGAATTTCAGTGTACGTCACACTCAAGTTATATTGTAGATAATGTGTTCACATAATAATTTGAATGGTGTGTGGTTGGTTGTCGCACATGATGACATGAGGCTATTTGGTTTATCCATGAACATTATGAGTTGAATATTAAAATCCAAAAAACTTAAGAACATAGGAATAAAAACCCTCACACTCTTTCTCATATACCTTCCTCTATAATGTCTATAAAGACTTATTTCTAAAATTAAGTGAAGAATGAACATTATATGGACAAAATTAGTAGGATTTATTGTCAAATTACCATAATCAACATCAAAATAGGAGATTAAGAGCTGGCCAAAAGAAGAAGACTCTTTTAGCTGTTGGCAACTTGTGGTGCATATATTTGATTTTTGTCAGTCAACTGATTACAATCTCTAATCAATTTCAAAGTTTATTCCTTTGTATCACCTTCATCTTCAATATGTTCTACCCTAATCTTAACTTCATAAAATGTTCATGTCATTTCTCTTGTGACTATAATTGAAATTTCAACAATTCAGTATCAAGAGACATTGTCTATTGTGGCATACTTGTTTAATTAGAGTGTAATATTACAATGTTGAGAGTTGATCAAAATGATGGATCTTTGAATCATCTATTGGTTTTTTCATAGGCTTTCACAAAACTTGTGGTGTGTTTTTTTAAAATTTTATTATTATGTCATTGAGAAATGGCATAGTTTCTCATATGTTTTCTTCGTAACAACTTGCCATTTTCAATATTTTTAACCTTAGCCTTGACATTCTAAGATGTTTATATCAATTGTCATTGTGGTTGTAGTTGAAAAATTATCTAACATCATGAAGAGTTAACTATGACAATGTGAGATGATAGCTACGGAAACTTTGTGGTTTAGCATCAAATTACTTCATTATATATGTGGGCTCATTGGTTGGAGACTTGCTACAATATAAGAGTTATTGTCACTTGTAGTATACTTAGCTTTCAGTCATGCCTAATTTAAAGAGAAAATTGACATCATTGTCACACATTTTTGTAAATCAAACTTCATGAGAAAATTTAGAGAAGCTACTAATTTTTCTCTATAATATTTAGTTATAATGGATAAAGGTAAACTATCTATTTAGTCTTCTAACATAACTTCTTCATTTTTTTTTAGCATGACTCTAGTTTGTCTATTGGAAACTTGATTTGATTTGTTTTTTTTTAATTAGTACTAAGTAGAGTGAATCAATCAATGAGTTATAATAACATCTTTATTTACTATTTTTTGCATTTTCATGAAAAGCTCATCTCCCTTTAAAAGAACTAAATGACTTATGTTTCATGTCTTCAGATATCAAGTAAATCAATCTTAAACATGGTCAAAACATGTAAAACTTCTTATACATGAAACTTGAAAGTTGAAAACTAGAGATTTTTGTTACTATGAGAGATAATACATAAATGGTTCTTTCAAGGTAGTTTCTAATTGAATTTATTATTGATGAACAATCTTCAAAAGACTAATGATGGAATGATAAAATTATGTTCCTTAAGTGTAAAATTATGCATCTATATATAGTACTAAGAACTAATATAGATATAAAAGAGTTGTACATACATAGAACTTAAAAGTGACATTTTAGGTTTCCTTCCCAATAAATCATATGAAAAATAAATGATAGATGTCTCTTGAAATTATTAGGTTTAGAGTACTCTTAAACATATGTAGTTTGTTAAAAATGAATATGCTCAATAATTAAAATGGTGTAGTTTGGTATTAATCTTACATTATTGACAATGATTTCCACATTATTATGACTAGTAGATGTTGAGTATAAAAAAATTACTCATGAAAATGATGGTTTCTATTTTTATCAAGATTGATGGCTTTTAACTTATGATTCATATTCAGTAAGCATTAAATTTTATTGGCCATAGATTGTACGTCATGTTAATAATTTGGTGTGCAATATTTAGGTAACTTGGCTATTATTTCACCTAGGTTTGGATTGACTTTTGCACCTTGGATATTTTAAAGAAGAAATGGTCCACTCATAATTCACATTGGATAGTGAATACACTTAGGTTCATGATTCATATATAATCTAAAATTCAATTTCTCATGTGATTAATTTGAAAACTCGATCTACTAAATATTGAAAGCAATCTATTAGTGATAACTCTCATTAATTACATGATAAAATGTTTAATATTTTATTATTTAATTTTTCAAAAAATATTTACAATTTACTTTAATTTAGAAAAATAATGTTAAACTCATTTATATGATTTTATTGTTAATTTCTAATAAATAAGTTGAAATTGACCATAAAATATTTTAAATGTTTTTTTAAATTATTTCTAATAAATATATATTAATTATATTTTTCTAAAATTTTCCTATAATTTTCAATTTTTTATGAGTTAATTATAATAATAAATAATAAATAAAATTAATTTCTTCTTTTAGGTTTGCCATATCAACAACAAACATAATGAATATGCTAAGAAATATGATGGATGATTCAACTAAATCTATGAAATTAACACACATAAAGATGAAAAAAATGCAAGGAGAGGAAGAATGGAGCATCTTTGATCAATCAAATGCTCTTCGTAATTGCATTATCTCTCCTCCAACAACAACAAATATAAGATTCATTCAAATCATCCATCTAATACAAATGATCATTTTCTTCTTGATTTTTCTTTGATTTAGCCACTACATAAGTTAAACTGTATTATTGAACTCATCCTATTCTTTGCTTGCTACAAATAATGAAGAATTTCTTCTAAAGATTCTTCTACAGACACTACAACATGCTTGAGGTTGAACTATCATTGCCGATAGATTTTAGTAAGCGACAGTTTTTGAAATTGTCATTCATCAACTAGAGATTGTGCATGAATCTAATAAGTACACACATACACAAATTAATCAAATTTGAGTAAAAAATTATTCAATGACCACATCACCTATTCTTTTGTAAAACTTGAATCTTTGTATGATTTTTAACATTTTTTAATTTACCAAAAGTTTGATTCAGTTCTACATTGTGTTAAAAATAATTTATTATTTAAAATCAAAGTTTAATTCAAACTATTTTGGCTTTGATTTTGAGAAATACAAGTTGATGTATTTCTAGGAACTTGAATTTGAGGGTGTTCTTCACTAGCTCACATTTGATGACATCATAATCTCATAAATTAATATATATTTAATTTTCATAAACTTTTTAAATAATAAATAATAAATATAAATAATAATTATTTTTTATCTTTCTTGCATTCCACTTGGAAAACCCCTAAGAAATTAAATATTTCTAAATTATATTATTTTCCAACATTTATAAATTTAAAATATGTTGAATTTTCCTAACAATGACAAAAAATATTAACAAAATTAGCATGAGGTTTTTCTATCTTCATTCATAGTGTTGTTTTTTCTGGTTTTCTTCTATTATTTTGAATGTCAAATAATTAAAAGATGTATCTTGAAATTATCAAAATATAGAAAATAATAAAAAAGTAGTAACTTCTTTTATTTTCAATATGGGAGGTAGATATCTTGCAATTCCTTAGGAAAGAACTTTACAATTGCACACACAACACACAATCGTACAATTGTGCATAATAAAACACACAACAAGATGATTGTGTACAACATGCACGACAAAGTGAGTGGTGTGTAAGATGTATGTGACAAGAGGCCCACACGTAGTAGGCATAGTGGGATACTCACGTCTAACACACATGATGTTCATGGTAAGGTACTTATGCACAATGCACAAAGCAAGGTGCTCACACGTGATGTAATAGTCATCCACAACACTATGGTTATAGACAATGTAATATATTAGCAAGAGTGGCTCATATCATCAATTGTCATCACAACGACAACACCAACAAATGATTATATAATAATCTCATATCAAGTTCAAGATTAACTATGTAGCCTCAACCTATTATATTAAAAGACCTAATCTCTTTATGGCTAACACCTTGGAGTTCTCAATAATTTTTGGTTTGGTGTAAAAAGATAGAGAAAGGTTAATATAATGGGTGAGAGTGACATCCAAGGGTAATGAAATGCTTGATTGAAGATAATTAAGTAGAGAAAACAAAATTAATCAAAACCTTTATGGGCTAGATATAACAATTACAAACTTAGGTTTTAAACTTGACAAACATATCGACGACATCAATGTGGAGACTTGTGAAGCTCTAGCATGCACAAAAAAGTAGACTAAGAGAATCTAATAACCTTCCAGCAACTAAATGATTAGAAAAACTTAGGCTTTGAAGTAGTAAATAAATGAGTTCTAAGAAAGCAACTTATATAGTGTATATAATGATGAATGATTCTTACAATAAATAAAATTTTAAGAAATGTATTACTTTTAGATAGAAAATGAGATCTTCTACACGTAAGGGTGTCAACTATATATACTACATGACAATAAGTTATAACGATGTCTATTAGAAGATATTCATGACAATTTACATGCATGACACTTCAGACAATAACACACAATAATATTATTAACTAATATCTACATCTCACCTAATAAGGAGAAATGTGTAAAAAAATATCATTTGATTATATCTAATTCATTTATAGAATAAGACAAAGTGAAGGAAGATGACAAGAACACTCAAGTTTCTACTTATATCATGGTAATCTTAGGAGTCTTTGTCGATAGACTTTAATTCATGACCTCCCAAGGTTGACAATCATGATGTAATTTTCATCGTAGTTGATCACTTCTCAAAATATAGAATCTTTGTTCTCACCTAAGTAAACTATGAAGTTAAATAATTAAATTCTTTCTAACATATGTCATCAAGTTTTGGGGTGTTTTGTATACCATCTTTGACATAGATTCACACTTTATTAAATTATTTTGATTATTATTTATGTTTTTAATTTGTATTGAATTTAACCTTTTCATAACTTTTTATCTATAGATAAATGGACCAAAAAAGAGAATGACATGTTTGATGAATACATATGACACTACATATTGACTAGCCAAGACAATGATGCAAATTGCTCATAACATTTAAGATAAATTTTCAATGAAATATCTTCGTTGCAAAAACAAGAAAAAATCAATAGATTCCCCACTAGCAAGGGGACATGAGACAGCCATCTCGAGGCACATCACAACCTACAGGCAACACTCATATACTATTCAAGATAGTTACATGGCAACAACATCTCACACCACTCGAGTTTGTGAAGCAACATAGGCTAGGTATTTACTGATAACATATTATTTTGTCAAACAATGATAAGAGCTCTCTTATTGACCACAACTACTTAAAAAATTATTGATACATTATGTTTCATATATCATTATTAAAATTTGATTACGTAAAAGTTAGAATAAAATAGAACAAGATAACTACCAACTGTAATCCAAACACATTACATAGTAGAGGTAAAAGTCATTTTGGATTACAAGATAATAAATTGAGGTCAACAAAACTAAGTTCACATGAATATATTATTCTTAATAAAGTGGGGTAATCAGTTAATAAAAGAATACATGTGTGAGAAAGACACTAAATTATAGGAGTTTAAAGACCTAGTCTAACACTACATTAAGTGATAAGATATGATGAGGTTATCAGACTTCAAGAGAAGGAGAGAATATTAGATAATATGTTCAATTGGACAAAATCCTCAAGGAAGAGCCTCACAACCAATGTCAATTCATATACATACATGTTGCATATGGTGAGATAACTATGCACAAAAAAATATATAAAAGATGATTGCACACAACATAGAGATTTTGATAACTATACATGATGTACGTAATGTAATGTGTTAATAAGAGCAGCCAACATCCATTTATGATTGTCTCTATGATGACATCAATAAATGATTAGAACATTAATTTCATAATATAATTGTAATTAATTGACCGATTTAGACCTACTGTGTAAAAGACTTAGTTTTCTTGTGATCAATATCTTAAAGTTCTACTAATAGAGTGATACTCTTGTATATCTAAACTCTTAGGTCCCAACAATTAACTAGTTAGGGTTGTTAGCATGTTCAACATTGGTATAAGAATTGGCAAGATTTGACAAACAATCTTGTGTGAATATCTCATAACGAAACAATATACATCTTTTGAAATTATTAATAATAAAGTCATCCCAAAGGGGTATAATTTGTTAAATTCAAGTACACTCAAAAATTATAATATTATGATCTAATATTAATTTTACAATATGGACAGTGGTAATTTTACAATATGATCTAATATTTTTTTCCAAGATCAATGATTTTTGACTAATGATCCACATATGACGAACAATAAATTTATTGTATCATTTATAAGAGTCTATTTAATAAATATTTTTTAATTAGCAATATTTTAGTAACTTGACTTGTGTTTCACATAAGCTTGGGGTATCCTTTGAGCCTTGAAGATTCTTAAGATGAATTGGTGCTCTCATGAATCATATGGATACAACAAATAAATCAAGTGCTTAAAGTTCATGATTCATATCTAACAAAGTACTAAATTTCTCATGCCATAGATTTGAAGACTTGATTTATTAAATGCATATAATAATTCATGAACATGAGGTTGTATTTAGTTTTTGTGAGTTCCTTCTCACTAAATCATATGTTGAATAAATAAAAGACATATCATGAAATTACTAAATGTATAGAACAATTCTAAAACAGGTTTCTCTTTTTCTCATTTCTAGAATTGATCTATTGAATTTATTTCAATTAGATCTTATAACAATTTGTTTCTAAATAGTGTATTTTATATCTTCTAAAATTATAAAATACAAGCCATTTCAAAAAGTTTTAGCTTGTTAAATTTGAGTACACTCAACAATTAGAGTTTATTCAATAAGATTATGATTTCTAAACATATGGATTTTGATTCATGGTTCATATATGATGAACACTAAATATTTTAGACCATAGATTTGAGTTCACTTTAACCAGAAAGTTATGTTGAATGATATTTGGGTAACTTGGCTGTTGTTTCATATAGATCCTAAACTTTGGAGTCTCCAAAGTTTAGGAAATGGTGTGCTTATGACTCTTATTCATATATAATGAATGAGTTAAGGGGACTGAGACGTGATTCTTTCAGTCATCCTTTGGTTTTGCCATAAGTCTTGACAAGACTTGTGGTTCATTTCTTTGATTTTTTGTCAATCTATCACTAAAAATCGTTTATTCTCTAATCAATCTATTTTAAAGTATTCATTTGCATCACTTTACCCATTTTAATATCCTACAACCCAATTCAGCCTTTCTAGGATGTTCATCTCATTTTTCGTCATGATTGTAGCTGAAAATCTTCTAACATTATTAAGAGCTAGCTATGACGATGTGAGAGGTTAGCTTTAGAGATCTTGTGGTTTAACATTAATTTACTTTCCCATATCTTTGCCGAGTCATTGGCCGGAGACTTCTACTACACATGTGGTTCTTCGTTTTCCTTCTTCGTCTCCTCTGGTATATCCACTTGGCTAAATCAAGTATAATCTTACAATTCTAAGAGGCTACCAAAGGCATAGTTCTTTCAATCATCCTTCTTAAAAAACCATCCGTTTCCTTTTTCTCAATCTTTCATTGAGAAACGTCACAACCTCTCATCCATTTCTTCCGAGTATTCTTTTGCGATTACTGGGAAAACCTCATGTCACTGACGAGGCCTGCCGTCTATCATTGAATAAGGTCACACTATCTCTCAGAAGTTTCTTAGAGAATTTTTAGGTCTGGGCTGTCTCTGCCTGAGCTTCCTCCTCCCGGCTACCTTCCTCTCCAGGTCCTTCACCCTCCCGTTGAGCGAGGACATCATCGCCAGCTGCTCCTTCCCCGCCTGGAGCAGCTTCTCCAGCACCTCCCTCAGCTCCTCAGCCTCTCCAGCTCGGTCTCTCTCTCCTTGGACGCGGCCAGTGACGGTGTTCTCGTCTTCTTTCTCTCCACCGGCGTCTTCTGAATTCTCTTCGGGGCCGAGGCCGGCGGGATCTTCCGCTTTAGAGACCTCTGGTTCCAAGTTCTCCTGCCGTGGAAGCTCTCCGAGCACCTGTTTCTCCTGTGTGATACCTTCTGCAGCTTCCGACGGGGGGGGAGGATCCAGAATGCTGCCCGGATCAGCCGTCGGCGGCGGCGAATCCTCTTCTCTGAGAACCTCTGCCTCTTCTCGGAGCACCGTTGGTTCAGCATCAGTGGAAGGCAGTGCGAACTCCAAGGATTTTTCATGGTCTCCCGAGGAGGATTCTAATTCAACCGGAGAATCCCGATGTTCACCGAGGCGTATTGATCCAACAGGCTCTGTGGATTCATTAGATTGGTCTTTGGCTTCTTCGAGATCGTTCTTAGGGTTCTTCTGTGATTCGACGGATAGTTTATCCAGCTCCTCTTGCAACGAGACCAGACTGTTCGCGATGGATTTTCTGATCTCTCTGACTCTCGGATGCAAACCCTGAAAGAAGCGGAAGGTCGTTGCTTTAGCGAAGTTTGAAGGGAGAAGACCCAGGGAGAGGAAGATGAATGGTTTACCTGAATTGTGTCGAGCTGCAGCAAGAGATTCATTATTGTCTCGCCGATGAACAGCTTCTGCCTCTCGTCCCGACCAGAGGATTCTTCGAGAGATTGGATTTGGGTCCTGATGGTGGACATTTGATCCCGGATTCTACCGATATGTCTCAGTTTCTTCAGAGGTTCCCATCTTCTTACTTGGAACCCGCGATAGACCGATTGTATCAGGAGCGCGGCATCATCGTCCGAGAGCTTACATCTCCTCCCTCCTTTGTTTTCTTCCGATTCGATTTCTCCACATGCTTTCATGGAATCCGTGCTCTCTTCGACTGTAGACTCAAGATTCACTGGATTCGAGCTCACCCTTTTATTATCCTCGATCGGTTTAGCGCCGTCGGCTGTTTTTTCTACTGCAGCCGCCACGTCCGCCAACGTTCTTGAGGAAATCTCCGAAGATTCAGAAGCTGATTCGTTCTCAATCTTACCCGGTTGTTCCACTTTACCTGCCGATCCGCCCTCAATCTCCACCAACCTAATCTTGCTTCCGGTCCCATTTTTCTCGGATTCTCTCTCAGTGTTTGTTTTGTCCACTGGTTCAATGATCCGAACTTCTTTATCCACAGCGGCGCCTTTACTGGCTTCCTTCGAGTTTTCTGGTGGGCTATGGGACCTCGGCAGGCTATTTCCAGATTTCTTCCTGGGCAAAGGATCGACCCTCAGACAAACAGGGGGTAACTTGGAGGACTTACCCAGAGATGCCTCCTTCCCGATAGAAGAATCCTTTTTCTCGTGTTTCTCTTCTTCTTGCTTCCCAGAGACACTTGACTTCTCCGTACCACAGCCTGGCTGCTTCTTTTGGTCATCAACAGGCTTTGGTCTGCTCTCTTCTATCTGCCTGACTGGGATATTCTTAGGTCTGCTCCCTTTCTCACCTTGGCCCGTGGCTTCCACTCCAGGCTTTTCATTGTGGCTATCATGCTCAAGGTAGTTGATCGGGATGACCTTGAACTTCGATGGAAGCTCTTTTAATATCCTGGGACGATCCTCACCAGCATCACTTGCTTTCTTGTCTACTTCCTTTGGCCGATCATGGTTCGGCATCCAGACGATGGGAAGAGGGAATTGAGACCTATTGGTTCCATTCTGCTGGCTCTGAGAAATCTTCCCTGTACTGTCTGCCAAAGACTTTAAGCTATTCATGTCAAATGGAATCCATCTGGTCATGGCGTCGTCAAGTGTGCCCACGGACTTATCATCGTCATCCTTCGTGTGACCCGGAGAAAACCAAGTCGGCGGGTAAGTAAAAGCTGGCCACTGCATCATAGCTGGGGAGCCATTATCCGAGACCCTGTTGGAGGTCTTATGGTCACCATCTTTCATGTGACCCAGAGGGTGCCAACCCGGTGGATAGGGATAGGCTGGCCACCGAAGCACGCCAGGGGAGTCGAGATCTTTAGGGTCAGGCCTAGTTTTTTCGTCAGTTTTCAAGGCACTGTCTTCTTTGTCTTGGCAGGAATGATTAGGACATCCATAATAGTGCCCTCTGGTCTGATCAGGATAGTAATAGCATGGCGTGGGGGGGGCAAAGTAGGGAGGATAAAAGTTAGCATAGGGAGGGTAAGGAGGTCCGAGGAAATAATGCTGTGGTAGTTGAGGAAGAGGATGTGACGGTTTTGCATTATAATCGGCCGGCGGATAGCCAAAGTAGTTGAATAGTGGTTCCCAGCCTGGGTAGGCATGTTGTGATTGTGAGGTTTTGTCTCCGTGCAAGTCCATGTACCTGTATAATGGGTACATTCTGACGATTATCCACAGGGGTGTACAGTTAGGAAGGCCCTCTTCAATGCCTCGCTGAAATGACTTGGCTTAAGCGAAGCAAGACGACAAGGCTGCAGGCATGAGAAAAACCGTCGACAAGTCAAATCAAATGACAGAAACTGAGGAAAAATTGATGTCAAATGGTTGAAGTTGAACATACGAAGGATAATGTATTTCGGAGGCATCGTTAGCTTCATGCTTATAACTCATAATTATGCCTTCTCATAGAATATTTTACCGAAATTTGCTTCATTTTAGACGACAATATTCTCCCAACTTCACCGAATACATCCTTACATTGCAAAGAATGTTATCAGGTAAGACTGACTATATGTCAACTGACTTAAGAGACGTCAAAAATCTCCTTTAGATGATCTAGCCATAGTCAAATTTACAGGATGCCACGTTGACCGGGGTTCCGGATACAGTGGTCCAATCATACTCGATAATTTTCGCATGCAGCATATTATAATAATAACACAGGAGACGAAATGCAGTCACAGGAACTGTGTGTTTAAACAAACGACGAAGTCCTCATTTTATCTCGTGAGGACGGGAGGAGCAGCTGAGTATGATACAGTCCGAGAAGATATATTTCCAAATAACCAGCGTAAATCTGATAATTCTGATGAAATATCTATGTTGAGTGAAAACTTTTCTGTGTCAAATTATCGAAGATGCCAGGAGAGAAGAAGAATATTCCTCGGTATACACAAACGCATCATGTCTAAATCTTAGAACCTAATCGAGCGAAAACAATGAATTCGGAATTAATCACACGATGGATGTCCCGGGGAACAAAACAGTGAGCTAAGATCACAAGAACAAGGAACTCACAGGTCACCGCCGTGGAGCCCTTTCCTTTCGAAGGATTTTCACGAGCTCAGAATCCTCACTCCCCCGGCGAAAGGCGACCAGAAGTCTGATATCTCTCCTCTTGTCCGCTCCGATCTCTCGTTGGTTCTTCCGATGAAGCACTTTGGCCAAGAGAGGCTCTGCGTTTTTAAAGCCTGGCGAAATAGTCTCTTCCAGATCTTTCTGGAACTCGGAATTCATCTCGCTTCTTCGCGCCTTCCGGAATTTTCTAGTCGGCTAGTTCTCGAACTTTCTGACATGCGAGGAAACATGGTTCGGCCCGTTAAGCCCTACCCTAAGAGCCTACAATAGGCCCAATTTAATATACGTATTGAATGGCCCAGTAGCGTAGTACTTGGAGCCCACAGTGGGCCCGGAAACTAACCCTGAGCCCTGTTCTGAAGGCCATTCTTCTGCCACGTAGCTTGTTCTTCTGGCATCCCGAGACAGCGACGCCGTCCCATCTTATTTATGTTAAAGTCCTACAAACATATGGTATTAAAATCTATACTTCCTTATTTTAAGAATAAAAATTATGGGGCTTATTTTATAATTCCATGTTTTGGAGGGTTGAAGATTCAAACATAATATTAAACTAATCTCCACGTCGCCGCGTTCAGGGGCATAAAATTAATGCCACAGGGGAGACGTGGAGCACGCTTTGGAGAGGGGGAAATTAATAAATTACCCCCTCGCTGTCTCTCTCCTTGTCCTTTCTGCCCGCGGCCACTGGTGATGGCATCCTCGTCAAATCCACGTCAGACCCCCGGCAAGCGTCTCCGAATCGATTCCGATACAAGATCCGATAGGGTAATTCCCTTCGAGATGATAATAATGGACAATATTATATTTATTAGGTTCAAAATCAAGCCCCGAAATTTAAGATAAGGCCATTCTGGTTCGGCCCAAATAGAGATTTGGGCTGAACATGAGCCCGATAAGGTTTGGCAAGCCCGATATAGGGTCAAGCCTCTGGATATTTTCTGCGGCCATTTATTTTGATCAATTATTGAAATACATTATTTATTTTCAGTCAATATTTAGATTTTTTAATTTCGGATAGTGATGTCGGAATCGGGCCGGGAAGTGTCCGAAAAGGAATCTGGGGAGTCCAAGCGTTCGTTAGCGGACCCCACCGAGCAAGAGGTCGAGTCGGCGTCCGATTGGTCTAACGTGCGCGTGCGCGTGCGCGAGAGCTTCGGCTTCTTTTATTTCATTCGCTCGTGGGTCGTCTAATCCTGTGCGTCATTCAGTCTGTTTTGCTTCCTTGTCGTGCTCCACTCGCGTCCTCCTCCAAGCCCAACCCCGTGGCGCTAGTCAGCCCCCCCTCTCGGTTCCTCCGTCCCCATCCCGAACCCTAGGTCAAACCCCGTGCGATTCTCTCGGTTGCGCCGATAGATTCTGCGGCCGGAAAGGGAGGTTTCGAGGTGAGAATCGACGGCTGCAGTACTTTTTGCGATCTTTTTCTGATGAGTTTCGATAATTTTCGGCGTGTGACATTGTGGGTTGCTGATAGTGCTTTTATTTGGTTTCCAATTATCCTCTGTAGTCTCTAATCCTGTGTCTTTTGATGGCTTGGCATCAGACAAGGCGTTTTCTGGATGCTTTCTTTCTTTTTGCTTATTCCTATTTCTCTTTATTTTCTTTCCGTGTTCTATATTCCCATGTTCTTTTTTTTAAGTAATCTAAAGTCAGTAATCTTTCGTATACGTCGGTTGATTCAGGATCCGTGTCTACTCTTTATAATCGTACAATTTTCATTGTTTTCTGTGTCCTTTTTTGTTTTCGTTGCCCTTCAGGACGAATATCCTGTTTCCGAAGTTGTTTGTTTCCCTTTAGAATTTCTTCTTTGTCTATCCGGGGTTTGAGATGTTTACCTACTAATCTCATGTTTGTGTTTCATATTTAAAACTGTCTTTTACATTTGCTTGTCTTATGGTTCTAGTATATATTTGGGTTATTCAGATAGTTTTGAAATTTCGCTCTCGAGCTTGTGTGTGTCCTCAGATTCACTCTTTCGGTGATAGCTGCCTAAAGAGTGTCATTTATTTGAAGGTCGGCTTTTATGTGATAAGTTTCTTTCAATATTTTATCGTTTCTGTGATCATGTCAATCAGGTTTGAACCCATTTAATTTATGGGTATTTATGCATAAACACGGCAAGGTACCAGTCTTTTATATTGATTCAGATTATGTAATTAGAGTATAACATTCCGGATCAAATTCACTCTACTTGTGCATCCTCCACATGGATTTTTCTTAGATTTTTAACTAATACGATCCTAGCTGCATTTACTATGTCCACGATAACAAGAATTACAACTCCCACGTCCAAACTCTATCTTTCCTAAGTTTTGTACTCCTCTCGAAGGGGAGGAAGGATAGTCGCATAGTAACGAGAAGATTCTCTTTCATGCATTTTCTGGTCTTGATGTGCATGAAGAATAAAGGATGAAATTTAGAAGAAGAAATACGGTGGTCCTGGGCTACTTTCGCGCATATTATTAGAAAGCTAGTTGTTGCGACATCTAATGACTGCGTGAAGTTTTCTACAAGACTGCAGACTCACCTCGTGAGGATTTGTTTCACTGGACATGGATTAGTGGCCTTCAGGGAGGGCTACTGAAAGGGATCGATCTGTGAGAGCAAGGAATGACTGACCGACCTTTTGCTTTCAGACTAAAACTTCTACAATTGATTTCATGCATATCCAGTGTTACCCCATGAAAGTAACAAAATCGGCAGTTTTTGTCTTTGCTTGGTCTGTGAGGGGGCCATTCTTTCCATCCTGGGACTCTATTTTTGCTTTTGAGTGGAATGTAAAGTGTTACAGAAACGGAAAAAGCAGCTGGGATCGTATCAGTTAAAATCTATGAAAAACTAGATTACCTGTTTGTTTTTTGAGTGCCAAACAGAGGTTTTCCAGAGGAAATGTCATCTCTGTAAGAAAAAAAAATTCTTTTTTTAATGATATGCTTTAGTCCGTATTTAGGTTCATCACACCTTCATGCATCTGACCCGAGCACATTGTCTTGCTTTATTAAGCACTAAATGAACACGTGGGGTGACTGGTGATTTTTATTTTTATTTCTAATTAAGCGTCTGAAAAATCGTGGTGAATTTTATTTCTTTTTGTGAACAAACAGTATTATGCTTTGCTTAAAACCTTAATCTGATTCGCAGATATTTACTCTCTAATTCGATGAGAAATTATCTGCCACCTTCTTTTCTAAATATTTACTCTCTAATTCCGGCTTCATCACTGACAGGAATGCTTGGTGCCTCAGTCCCTCCCTTATAGTCATGGCATCTACCATCAGTTTCTCTTGATTAGATAAACTCGGTCACACATCCCTGAAAATGGATCGCCGTGACACATCCGGATTTGTGAGTGGAGGAGCATTTTGCTGAAGAAATTATCTCCTCCCAGTATCAATAGCTCTTGCCGAAGAAATTGTTTGGCCATTCTTTGATCTCAGGAGCCATGTCTGGTCCCCTGGATTTCTAACCTTATTCTGTATATAGTGACGTAACAATCCCGGAAGTCAGGCTGAGTGGTTCTCGCCACCACCATTAGGCTCGGATACCAGCGGAGCTTCATCTCCTTCAGTGTCCTGTACAGCATCATCCATGAACAGTTTCCGACCCTTTGGGTTTCCTGCCAACTTCGTGAAGACTCAGAGTGAAGCAGCTCAGTACACAGAGACCTTGTTTCATCCTTGCAGCTCTGATGGCTCCCTCTCGAAGGGGATCAAGAGGAAATGGGACGCCATCAGTGGAAAAGAAGTATCTGTGGAAGCATTCCCGATGCTCATGCGGCGCTCACCCAGTTCCTCAGACAACAGTAAAATGAGCTCTGCGACTGTTTGTACCATCTCATCTGCGAGAGAGACTGACGAGGAGTCTTCCATGGACCTGGGCCTGAATTTCCATCTCCACCTTGGAAATGACAGTTCACTCAGCCCCACGGGGCCCTCCGCGATGATGACCCCAGGATCCCTGGAGGTGGGCCCTGTCTGCGATCTTCAATTGAGTTTATCTACGGGCCCGTCTCAGTCTGTGATCACTGCCATGACTCCTTTCTCGGACCCAAGTGACAAGATCCTGGAGGCCTCGGTAGATTTTGGCTCAGCATCATGTCGTCCGCAGCCACAGCTCAGCTTCTCAGGTACTTCTGGCAGCGTTCTCAGTCACGCGACCGCCGGGGGCAATGGAGGATCCCGGCTCTTATCAAGGGCCAAGGCACAGATTTCAAAAGAACCAGCCTCCTGCTCTTCTGGGTTCACACAGCAGCGGCCAGCTAATACGAAGGTCTGCCAGTTCCACGGCTGCGGCAAAGGGGCAAGAGGGGCGTCCGGCCTCTGCATAGCTCACGGTGGGGGCAGGAGGTGCCAGAAGGAGGGCTGCCCCAAGGGGGCAGAGGGACGGACGGTCTACTGCAAGGCCCACGGCGGCGGGCGGCGGTGTCAGACCCTCGGTTGCATGAAGAGCGCCGAAGGCCGCACAGACTACTGCATTGCCCACGGCGGCGGACGGCGGTGCAGCCACGAGGGGTGCACGAGAGCTGCTCGAGGGAAGTCCGGCCTGTGCATCAAGCACGGAGGCGGCAAGAGATGCCAGAGGGAGAACTGCACCAAGAGCGCGGAGGGCTTCTCCGGCCTCTGCATCGCGCACGGAGGAGGGCGGCGCTGCCAGTACCCAGACTGCACGAAGGGGGCCCAGGGGAGCACCATGTTCTGCAAGGCGCACGGCGGCGGGAAGAGGTGCTCCGCCCCTGGGTGCACGAAGGGGGCCGAGGGGAGCACGCCGTTCTGCAAGGGCCACGGCGGAGGAAAGCGCTGCTCCTTCCAGGGCGGCGGCGTCTGCCCAAAGAGCGTCCACGGCGGGACCCTCTTCTGCGTCGCCCACGGCGGCGGCAAGCGCTGCGCCGCGGCGCAGTGCACCAGGAGCGCCCGTGGGCGGACGGACTTCTGCGTCCGCCACGGTGGGGGGAAGCGCTGCAAGTCCGACGGCTGCGGGAAGAGCGCGCAGGGCCGCACCGACTTCTGTAAGGCCCACGGCGGGGGGAAGCCCTGCGCGTGGGGGCAGCCGGGGTGCGACCTCGGCGCTGGCGGTTCACCGTGCGAACGGTTCGCCCGGGGGAAGACCGGCCTATGCGCCGCGCACGCCGCCCAGGTGCCGGACCGCCGTGTCCACGGTGGCGGCGCTCTTGGGGCTCTCGTGCCGCTTCTCCGTCTGCAACAGGCCAACCCCGAGAAGATGAACCCCCACGCTGCCGCCGCCGCCGCCGTCGAAGAAGACGAAGACGCCCCCACCTCGAGCTGGAACCCTCTCAGCCCGCCGCCGCTTCCTGATTTCCTTTCCCACCCGGAGCGGAGGGTGCACGGGGGGAGTTTGATGTCGCTGCTAGGGGACGAGCCTGGACCACCCCCTAGCAAATGGGTGTAGGTCCTGAAGGCTCCTCAGGTGATAGATTTGCTTGCCCAGTGCTTTCTGTAAGCTTGCTTCCCTCGGATTCCACCCCCTCCTCCCCATTGCCCTGCTGCAACCTGTATATTGTACCCTGTAAGGTCGGTGAACCCAGCCCTCTTGAGCCAAATAAGGGCGTCGCAGCAGGGCCTTTTGGTGTCCTTGGTAGTGTCAATCTGTACATATAAATGGCTTCTGCTGTGGGAAAGTCTCTGTGAGAAAGCTCGAGGGTCTTCTGGTCGGGGAAGAAACTGGGAATAGAAATGAGAAGCTTTATGGGTTGACTTCTCTCTTGCCGATGCTACCGGGTCTTACATTCTGCCCATCGTCTGCACAACCAAGATAGAAAAATGCAACCCAAGGTTTCCCTAGACGACAGAAAAATACCCCAGTATGTAGATAACCCCTTCATCCCACCTCAAATATGAACAAGGGGAGATGTCCCATATGCCCACGTGAAGCCGGCGGTGGCGAAGTCAGCTCTCATGGTCGGGCTCTGGGTCCTCGATCTCCTCCGGGGCCGCAAGCCCCCCCAACTGCCGCTGGGTTCGGGTTGGCTCCGCCGTCTGGCCCGGGTGGATGATCACTTTCAGCATGTTGCTGGCTGGTTAGGAATAGGAAATCGCCATTGGTGTTGGTCCAAAGCGCCAGATAGACGAAAGAAACATGGATAGATCGTGCTCAAGAACAGCTCCTGGAAAAAGAGACCCGGAAAGAACTTGCCATAATGGAGAGGGAATGGCGACAGAGGTAAAAGAGGATCCTCAATCTAAATGTTTATATCTCAGCAGGATGCATATAGGCCGAGGGGTCTAGGGCTGTGGTGGAGATGGGAAGGCAAGGGGTCTACAGCGGGAATCCTGGCATCTGAGATGGAGCCCACTAAAGAATGCGAATGGACTTGACTGATCATAGCCGTCGGGCCGGACCGGGTTGAGATTCCGGGCTTACCTGGCCCGTTGATGCCCTTAATCCCACACCATGATCCAATCAAAATGTATAAGGAGACTATCTACTACTAAATTCTCCGGTGATGGGCAGCTGGCCCGGTGTCAGTAAAAGATGGGTGTTGCCCGATCTCTCCCGTATCATCATCAGGTAAGGGGAAAGGATATAAACCACACACCGAAGAATGAAAAACTTTATGACGCACCTGCGGAAGCGCACTTCCCAATCAAACCTCTCAAGAACATGATCTCCTCTTGATGTCTGCTGATCAGCTTGGCCTGAAGATCCCATGAAATTTAGTCATTTCTCCATTCTAATCATTCATCCTCATTACACCTCTCCTACATAGATCACATGCTATGTTTATGCCAAGGCAACGTTTCACAGCCTGAGGCCCCTGAACCAGATCCCAACGTTCTAGGCAATGAAACAAATCAGAGGCAGAACAAAGGGGACTCACGATCTCACGAGAAGCGAAGCTCAGAAGCCTGTCAAGACTAGCCTGATGCCTCAGAAGGAATGGACGCAAATGCTCAGCATACAGATGCTTTGCTCCCTGAAGAACAGAAGTAAAACGTCAGCGATGCTGCTACGCTGTTTAGAAAACCTTGAGGGACAGAAGAAGCAAGATGTACGCATGACTAAGTAATTGTGTCAGATTTGCACGTCGTTTAAATCTAGTCTGATTGTAGGGAGGAGAGAGAAAAAAAAAGGGAGGAGATGCGGTGGTTTAAGAGTATCCCTCAGTGTCCTTAAGATTTCGATCTGAAGGCCACCGTATACTTCTGTATCAAGAACCTAACAGGGTTAGTGCAAAAAATCTGATTGGACTATGAATTAAATTCGAGTGAGGTGGAGAGGCTTTCAATAGAATCATGCTTCCCCGTAAAAAAGGCCCAACACAAAATTGTAATACTTTCTGGTTCAGTCACCACCAACCATTCAACCCTCGACGAAATCCCGAACATAAAGTGAAGTCATTATAGAATAGCATCTCATAGACCAATAAAAAACTTACAAAAAATTTGGGAGCTGTGATCTTCTCAACCAAAAATAGATTGCTGTCTAGATCGTGACTCTAACACAAAAAGGACAGGATTTTTTATATGTTTGGCAATACCTCAGGAAAAATGATCAATCGCTGAAAAAAGGTCATATTTCGGATGAACCGATGCTTGGGGTGACATGCTGCTGGTCAGGTTAGGGAGATGAGAACGCAACAGCAATTATAACGCCATTGATGACTCGATTGAGGATTACAACAAAGTCGAGGCATCATATAACAGAAAAACTCTTCAAAGGTAGCAGTGATCTAGTTGCGATTAACCAATTAGAATTTTCATCCATTTTTCTGGCACTACAAAAAACGGATAATTTGTATTTCGGATAACATTTTATAACGATGACTAATGTTGTGGCGATTAGACTGAAATACAAATTTGTACGTAAAGCCCATGATGATCAACGCAATAGGAACAACTTTGTCTTCACTGTTCACAAGATCAGCTGATCCTGCTCCAAAGCCAATTTTGATTAACATCAAACAGAGGAATTTTAAATCACCTTTTTCTAGTTTTCTATTTCTTGCCTTTCTTTTTTCCTAGCTTTCCATCGTCATGTCTTATTTCAATTTCAGTTCTCTACCGTACCGAGTTGAAACCTGGTAATCATAGTTTTATTTTCATTCCAGGCGTTTCCTCGATTGAGATCAAGTTTGTAGTCATATTTCACTTCGTTTCAGGCCTTCCCTCAATTGAGATCAAGCTCCATAGTCATATTTAACTTCATTTCAGGCCTTCCCTCGACCAAAATCAAGTCAGACCATATTGTTCTTGGAATCCTGTCCAGCCATAACTGTTTGGAGGTACCTTGAGATGCATACCGGTTCTCATTGTGAAGATTTTCAGTCCACTAATGGGAACTAGGGAAAAATCAGACTAACAGACATCATAGATTAATGGTAACTAAACGTTTTGCATTATGTTCTACTTTGATTTCCTCGCCATTAAAACTTATTTTCCTTAATTTCAGATGTAATCGTGATGCCCCAATGTCATGATAATCTTATCTTCACATACTCTCTTCCGTCAAAAGAAACATCTGTCAAAGTAAATCAGAGAAAGTAGAAATCAAACTTGACCTTGCACTAATGTTTATGTACTTACATTATTGGATGGAAGCTGAAGCCACACAAGGAAAGCAAACTTCAAATGGTAGTAGAACGGAATCCTAGGAGAACACCAAAATTTAGAAGCCAACCGAATATCTTTATCATTGGCAATTCAGTAACTGAATTCAGATGCCTTCATTATAAACAACTTGGAAAAAATGAACAAAGGGAAAAACATGAGTAGCGAAATTTTATCATCCTTTGGACCACCATTAAGCTCATGATCATAGTTCAGATAAAAACAAACCAACAATACCAAGTCTGGGACACAAAGTAGATAGATAAGAACCCACCAATATTTTTGCACCACGTAACACACTTTTGACTTTGAAATAATAAATCTTTTTCGTTAAATGTGCCCGGTTAAATTTCATACACAGCTTTTCTCATTTCGTCAACACTATCTCTTTAACTGTATATCAGGTAACTAAAATAATCATTGCTTTTTTAAAACATGATATAGGTGATAATCCAGGAGATTGAATGGGATGATGTTTGGTGGTTATCCTTGGAACACCATACAATACGACAAATATTGAATGATCTCAAACATAATCGAAACCTCAAAATATTGCGTGCGGTGCTGATTATATAGATAGGTTTTGAGGTACCGTTTCGATTTCCAAGTATAATAGGGCAACGCATTGAAAATAGTATGACTCAATAGATCCATGACCAATACAAGCAGGCCAAACAAGAATAAGACCATCCAACTCAATGATTAAATTTCCCGCTGAAACACATCTAGCTGGCTGAATCCGATTTTTGAAAATTCTACAAGCCACATCAGATATTTGTACATCTTCTTGTCCTTTCAGTAAATTAATAACGCTTCAGTAATGAGTATAGTAGTTAATGAGTAAAAGAAGTTTTTCGATTAAATTTACCCGCAGGAGACTTGGCTAGATTTTGTAAAACCAGAGCAGTCTGCATAACTACCCTATCTTCGCTCCCTTCAAAACCACTTTTTGGGTTTGATGACAGAAAGTTGTTGAGTTAGATGTTGGCACAGATTATTTAATGATTTAATACATTACCACTGACACCTCTGTTTTCCACACAACTTTTATCCCGGCTAAGAACATACCTTAGTAATACATTATCCAATAATAAAAAATAATAAAGAATTAAAGCAGAGACGTACCATGAAATGACTTTGTCAGATAATGATTCTACAAGGGTGAATGATCCAAATGCTGCACAAAACAAGAGAAAACATTACCATCAGAAAGAGAAGAATTCATCAAACATAAATCAGAAAAACAGATGCATCAAGCATAGATTTTATGTCATCCTATCAAATAAGTCAAATTCCACCTCTCTTTTTTTTTTACCGCTCCATTAACTTCCAACACGTCTTTCAGAAAGAAGACCGTGGAAATCAGTTCCCAAGCATATGCTGACGTTTACTCACACGAGGTTGTTGAGAGGTAGCTATTGCTTTTTTTCTTCTTTTGGCTTTTGCGGACATGTATACAAAGTCCAGCTAACCTTTAACTGAGTTTGGAAAGATGTACTGTGACCCTCGACAAGGAGCTGTTATAAAGAGGGAATCAGGAGTCTGAATTTTCCAATCAAACTCGTTTGTGGAGAGACGGAAAGTGGCACTGACAATAGGAGAGACGGAAGAGGGACTGTTTGTGGAGAGGACTACGTTTCCTTGAGATTTTCCAATCAGTTTGTGGTGTTTATTTGTTCCTATTTCTTGTGTGGTGAGCCCCTATCAAGCAGCATTGGGTATTGTCACAATTTAGCAAGTCTCAAGAAGAATTACCAAAAAATTGCAAAACATAAAATAAGCAAGGATACAGATCGTGAGAGATGACCCAAAAGAAAAGCTGCAGCTGACCTGCCCAATATAGAAGCCACTTTTCCTGATCATCATAATCCTTTTTCTCAATAGCCTTGAAAGTGGAGTACACGGGAAGAGCAATTCCCACAGTACAACTGCAAGAACAATAGGGCAGGAGAAAAAATTATGTCACGCAATGAGCATCAGTCACAACATACGTACAATGAAAAAGTTTTCAGTTTTTGAAAAGCAAATACGATTGCAATAATGCCTAGTGAAGGAGCAATATTATGCTGAAGAAAATAAAGGTTCTAACAACTGGGTAAAAAAGGTTAATTACTATCAAAACTACCATCCAAAGTGTGTCCTTAACCAACAATAAAAGAAAGACAAGATGAGGAAGATTGTGAAATGATGTCAAAGTTACTAGGCTGTCTATTTCAGGCATAATAAGAGGAAACCAAACTGATAGAAGAAATTACCAGGCAGTCCTGATAACTATATTAGAACCAACTGGACTCAGCAATAGCCTCAATCCAACCTGCAAAATGCATGAAAAAAATCAGTTCAATGTAATGAGAAAAAAATTACTTTCCTGGTAAACAAAATTTTGTACCAATAATAATACAGAGATGAACATAGAACCTTATTTTCACAAGAAGTTGATAACTGCACATAGAAATGGAACAGAATTCATAGACAATCAATAAATCTAGAACGCTATAAAAGGAAGGATCAAGGCAAACACCAATGGCGTGATTCGTAATGAAGATCCAAAGCAATAACTTTCTGATGGCCCCACAACGGCGAAAAGAACCAGGAGGTTATGGCATTTAAATCATACAAGTGAACAAAAGGAGTCTTGTAACCAGTATCCTTTTAGCACGACCTTTAAAAATAAGCACGATCAATTAAAAACCTAGAGTAAAAAGATCAAAAACGTTTCCTGGATGTACAACGGTATAAGCAACTCTTTAAATTTATCGAAGGTTCTGGTCAGCAGCTTATGGTAAAGGAAATTCTACTTCCATTTCTGTTGATTACGATATTGGACAAGATATTTCTCCAACATGTTAAAAGGGTTTGAACAAATAACCTAAATAAAGTCAGAAACATTCCACAAAGTAAAACCCAATGATATCCAGACTCAACGATTTTGCATCACAAGAACGCAGAGATGGTAAACCTAATAAAAAATGTTTTATTGTTTAGCCGTAATTTAATAAAGCTCCATGTATAACTCGAGCAACCACAATGAAGAGACTCTCAGCCACGTCTAAAATAGGCCATTACAGAGCTCGAACTAAAAGAGGATCTAAAGCATTCAAGCACACAATGACTAACTGGATGCTGGGTGCTCTCAAACACTTCAGCAGTCCGGTTTCAGGACACATTTCCCTATCATTCATCCTTGGGAGGAAAGCATATAAAGATGTAAGCCAGTGGGGTTCGGAATTCTCAAAATTCGCAACACACAATCCACTGACTTCATTCTTTTCAGGCAATACTCTGCTTGGATCGTGCATTGAGCATATTAAGATCGTGCATCGATCCCATTTAAATTCACGAGGATTCTGATTGACTAGCCAAAATTGAACAAAAAAAAAAACAAATAAAACTTGTAGGATATAAACAACGCTTCCCCAAAACACATCCAAGTCAGTAGCATGTAGACATCAAAACCCAAAGTTAAACTGCTATCGCTGAAAGTTTTATTATTGATTACATGTTGCTTTTCCATAAAAATCAGGATAGCTAATGTCTCTCACGGACTGCAAATGCCAGCTGTAAGAATGAAGCATGCGAAAGAGGTACTGATATAGGAGAGGGTAACTGACTTCGTCTAGAATCATATGGTGACAAATTCTCGGACATTTTCAATGCAAACTATATGACAGAAATGAAAGAAACATATTAAGGACCTGCGAGCTATTTGTGATACCTTGCAGCTATTGTGGACGGTACCGCATAGTAATCTATGATACATCTAAAGGAAACATGCGTACAACTCCTCCAGTGAGATGAAGAGGTTCCAAACTAAGTGTTCGGAGGCCTACCTTACGAATCCAAAAGAAGGAAGAGGCAGGGATGCTTCGCAATTCTTTTTAATTATCACCACGATACCGTCATGCATCAGACTCCATATCAAATAAAATAGGTCAAAATTAAAGGTAAATAATATTTCACGTAGCAATTTATTTCGTACATGCAAGGGTCGTTGACTGATGAGGAAAGAACAGAGCATCACAAAGTGGCATTCCTTATTTTCCACCTTGTTTTCCTCCTCTGGGAAACCCTAAATAGCTACTCGTTCCTTTCTATATCCATCAATTGGTTAACAAATATCTTAGCACGAATCGCAGAACCATTCCTGCCGCGTTTGCCTTACGTAACTCACGTCAGCTATATGCTAATGTACATGTGTTGGAGGAAACCATTTCCGAGGGAAGAATCCATCGCAAATGGGAATTTTCGAACCCTAACACTTGACGGAATTTTGAAGATCACCAACAACGGGCGCCAACGAGGAACGCCCCGCGTGGAAAATCCAGCAGAAAACGGATCGCCAAAGAACTGCGGAGAAAGCAATAGGCAAGAAAATCAATTCTAACGTCCAAGTACCTCGCCGGAGATAGCCGACCCGATCAGAGCCATAAAATCCTTCACCGGAACCAGAGCGATCTTATAGCGTCCTAAGCTACAGATCACTTCCCCGCGCGTCCTTCAATCTCCTGCCCCGAACCGCTCGAATGGTCTTCCTCGTCGCCGTCGTAGTCGTCGGGGGCAGAGACGGTGAGTTCGCCGATACCAGAGCCTCGAGCCGAGCGCGGAAAACACCGGCAACAAGCGCGCGCCGGAGAGGCCTGTGGAAGGTGTGGGACCCCCTTTCTGCTGCGACGACTCGGAGACAGATCGGCGACTCGGGCCTTAACTCGCCAACTCGGCTCCCCATCTATCCCACGGACTCGGACCCACTAGAGGACATGTCGATGGTTTTTTACGGATCCCCACCATTTCATTAAAAATAAAATTTTCAAAATGGTCATCATTTTTTAAATTAATTAATATAAACCTCATCAAAAGTAAATAAATTGAAATAATTATATGGGTTGGAAGTAGGAGAGAGAGAGAGAGAGAGAGAGAAGGAATATTTATACATTAATATTTACTACAATACCGCTAAAATTTTTGCCACCTTACTGAGCTTTGGACGAATTGAAATATCTTGGCCATCTTGTGGTGATGTCTGACCTGGAGTGTTGTCAGTCCAATTGAACGGTGAAGGTGCATCCACGTCTTCTATCGTTGTCCATCTGATTGGCGGATCATCTTCAATCGTCCTGCTCGGATTCGGAGTATCTGCTGTATATTCCTAGTCCCCTTGGCATATTCCTCAACAAATTGCAGTCAAAATCCTGAGAGTAGCAGTACATGGGAGGAGTCGGCCGGCGGACGGGGAAGCGAGGTGTTGCGGGTGAGGTAGAGCAGACCATTTCATCCTTGGTTCTTCTTCTCTTGTCACTTCCATGGGAAAAGCGTGGTTCGACGTCGACGATTCTGCGTCTGGAAGGAGTCGTCTCCTTGATTATCCGATTTTCCAGGAAGAAAGTGCCGCTCTTCAGTCTCAGCTTGCAACGAAGCAATGGTTGAGGAACACAGGAAGACGTCGCATCAGTGGTGGCCTGCAATGCGTACGGTTAATAGGAAAGAGGAAATTACGGCACACCGCGAAGAGGAACCACCACGGTCGAGGAAAACCACAACGAGGTGTCATCACCCCGCCAGGACGCACGAACTGGCCTCTCACTCTTGGTCTCGATCTCGTCTTCCCCGCCTGAATTTCTCCGTCGTTGACAAGGTACGACGGAGCATTTCATCCAGCTGCTTCTTCTCTTTGTTGTTTTCAAGGGAATCGTTTTGTCCGAGCTAGAAGGAGACATCTCGCTGTTTTCTCTCGTTTCCGCAAGAGCAAACGGATCTACGAGGCGTTCGTCATCTCAGCAGGCTTCCTCTACTTGCAGATTACAAAATCGCAGCTTACAATGGAACAAGATTCTACGAACAGACGAAGCTGTGAGATGATCCGTGAACTCAAATCATCGACGAGTGAGGCCATTGCCGAGAAGATTCACCCACCTTGTGTTGTAGAGCAGATCTCACTATAGCCGACAGCATCTCGCCTTTCGGTAGGTTCCTTTCGCCGTTTGCCGTCACTCTCGCTCCGCCGTTCTCTTTCCTGGCATCGTCCTGCTGAAGCGATCGTCCACAGTTCTCCATTTTCTTCTCCCTGCGAGGGCGGCGGCGGGCGGGAGCAGCGGCAGTGGAAGAAGAACTTTTTCAGAGGCCAGAATCAATCCAGAAAACCGGGCTATACCGGGCTGATTTACGGGTCCATTGGGCTACTACCCGGTCCGACCCATTTCCTTCTGGACGAAGCAAACGAGACCACGGGGTCAAATGCGGGCCCCACGAGGCCCTTTCAAATAGCTCGGTGTCGACTGAAGGACGTCGAACGCCCCTTGGCTGCCACTACCGACGCGCGTGATAGTGGCCCTAACAATAAAATCAGACTGACATGAAAGCAAATAGTTTTATGAGACGGGTTTTGGTGAAAACCTTCTAGATGCTTCGACTTCCTTCGAAGAGCCGGAAGGAAAGGAGGGAGTTTCGTCCGTCCGTGGAATTCGATCGACGGTCAGGATCGGATTTTGTGAGCTGGTCCCCCGAAGGACTCGTGGTGGGCCTGGGTGACGTCGTCGTTCCTGAGGAGTAGAAAGAGATGGAAAGAGAAAGGGCCGGAGGACGATTTGTGGTTGCAGAGAGAACTGCGACGGGTTTGAGATTTGCGGACTGCTGCCGCTGCGCTCACTGGTGAACGAGGATGGGGGAGCACGAAAAGGAATCGAGCCCTGCTGGGGAGACGCTGATCGACAAGATCGTGGAGAAGTTGCATGGTCATGATTCGTCGGATGATGAGTCGGAGGTTTTGTCTTCCGTCAAGGCCAAGATCTGGCGCTTCTTCGGCCGCGAGACGCCGATCCACTCGGTCTTCGGGGGCGGCAAAGGTAAAAACCCTCCTATGGATAGATTTTTTTCTCGCGGAAGAGTCTCTCAACTTTTTCATGGTGTTGCCTCCGGTTGTTAGTAGCACTTTTGTTTCTGCTTTACCTCCTTGCACTTGAGCATCTAGGTTGGATCGGCGCTGTTCGATGTTTTAGATTGTCTATATTTAAGATCCATTGAACTCCGACTTGGTTAACTCCGTTTTTGCTATTTATGTTGTCAGTAAAGCTGTGGGAGTTTTGCTTTTCGCTTCAGGAATTAGGATGATGATTCCTTTTTTTCTTTCTTATGTTTTCTTTTCTTAGTTATGACATCCGGTTCATTTGATTTTTACGTCATCAACTATTTTCGAGCCTCGTTCTGAGATGCAACCTCATGTCTGTGCAATCCATATGTGAATCGTCTCTACTCTGTTCCATCAAAAACGTCGCTTGAGATTCCTCTGAGTTCTTTATCGTGATACGTGTGTGAATGGTTGCATGTACAGTGGCGGATTTTTTCCTGTGGAGGAATAAGAAGTTAACGGCCGGAGTCCTTGCTGGGGCTACAGTGGACTGGGTCCTATTTGAATTGCTTGAATACCACCTGCTCGCGCTAGTGTGCCACGTCCTCATCTTTTCCTTGGCGAGCCTCTTCCTTTGGATCAATGCTACAACATTCATCAACAAGTGACCACTGTTCCCTCCCTTTCCCTCTATCTGATTGTCTATGCCTTTTATCCGAAAATTATCTGCTCACGGATGAGTTTTCTTTAGGTCCCCACCACGCATTCCGGAGGTCCACATCCCCGAGGATCTCGTAGCGGATATCGCTCGTTCTCTGAGTGTCGAGATTAACCATGCCTCTTCTGTTCTAAGGGACATAGCATCAGGAAGAGACCTTAAGAAGTTCCTCGCAGTATGTTTCCTCCCGCTTGCATTAACTCTCAATGTTTTTTGGCTGTGTTGTTTTTACAACTGACGAATGCCCCTGCGTTCTCAGGTGATTGCTGGATTGTGGGCTTTGTCTGTTGTCGGAAGTTGCTTCAATTTCCTGACGTTGTTTTATATAGGTAATATTGATTCCTGGGACCTACGTTAAGATTCTCCAACTCTCATTGTTCGAATTTATTTTCCCTCTTTCTCATGGCCTGATCTTTTATGTCACAACCAAAAACAGTGTTCGTCTTACTGCTCACCATTCCATTCATTTACGAGAAGTATGAGGACAAGATCGATGCTTTTGGAGAGAAAGCAGTGATAGAGATCAAGAAACAGTATACTGTGTTTGATGCGAAGGTTCTGAGTAAGATCCCAAGGGGACCGTTGAAAGACAAGAAGCATTAGACAATAAGAACGCACTGTGGTCACACTTGTTCTTATTTTCGCCGGCTGGATGCGCTTCCCCAATCGGTACTGTGACTCTCAGATGATTGCTGGTTGTATCACTTTCTATTGTATTCTCTTGTTCAAAGTTGGGTGATGATGGCCTATCTATCTAAAAGGAGCTTCTCCAGCTTCTTGTGATATATGCACAGTCTTTATCGTCGTCGCAAACAGACATGCACGAAACCCCTCTTGCAGTTTAATTTACTCCCACAACCTATATGTTCATTGCTTCTGCCCCTCTTTTACTCTTTGATGAGGCGACATCGTCCGGGTCGCAGTCGCAGTGTCAGTGATCTAATCGTCTCCATCCATCAGACTGCCGATGCGTGAGCTTTGAAGGTCTCTTTTCCACCGTTCCACCTGATTTCTAGATCGCCCGTCTTTTATTGTTCTGGGAAGATTTTCGACCATCTGGGGTTTTCATTTCTTAGGTTCGATTTCGAGGTTTTGATTGCTGATGGGCCGGCCTGTTACCAGTTCGGTATCCCGGGCCGGCCCAATTTTCACCGGGCCTGATCCCCCACTGCAGAGCCCAGAAGGAAAAGTAACCCAATTTACGTCATTCATCATCATCCGAAGACAAACGCGCAACTCTCTCTCTCACTCTGCTCTCTGATGCGGGGGCCATTATTAACAGTTGCAGGAATGGGTACATTCGTCTGCCGTCGCTTCCCGTGAAGCCATTAATGGTGAGCATCATTAACTCCGCCTCCTCCGCATTCCCGTGACCGCAGTTAGTTCCCCTCCACGGCGGCGCTACCCTCTACTTAAACTCGGGCCCCTGCCGCCGCCGCCCCCACACACCGTCATCCCTTGGAAATGAGGACCCTCCTGGCCGCGGCCTTGGCAGTGGTCTCCGCCTGGGCGGTGGCCGGCGGGTCAGAGTTCATCGTCGTCACTTCTGACTCCACCTCGCCGCTGGTGGATGCCCCCCAGACGGGCTTCTCCCCACGCGCCCGCACCGACCACGCAGAGCAGCAGGCGGTGTACGAGATCATGGCCGCCACCGGGAACGCCTGGGCCTCCGCTATCCCCGACGTGTGCCGCGGCCGCTGGCATGGCATCGAGTGCATGCCCGACCGCGACGAAGTCTACCACGTCGTCTCCCTCTCCTTCGGCGCCCTTTCTGCCGACACCGCCTTCCCCGTCTGCGACCGCCGCTCCTCCTCCCTCTCCCCCGCCCTCGCCAGGCTTCCCCACCTCCGCAGCCTCTTCTTCTATCAGTGCTCTTCCCCCGCCAACCCCACCCCCATCCCGCCCTTCCTCGGCCGCCTCGGCGCCACCCTCCGCACCCTCGTCCTCCGCGAGAACGGCCACGTCGGGCCGATCCCCCCCGAGCTCGCCAACCTCACCTCCTTGAGAGTCCTCGACCTCCACGGCAACGCCCTCCGCTCCTCCGTCCCGCCCTCCCTTGCGGACGCCCTCCCCCGCCTCGGGCTGCTCGACCTGAGCGGGAACAAACTCACGGGTCCCCTCCCCCGCTTCAGCTCCCCCTCCCTGAAAGTCCTCGACCTCAGCGGCAACTCCTTGCGGGGCCCCATCCCCCCCTCGCTCGGCGCCTGCCGCGCCCTTTTCAAGCTTGACCTCAGCGGGAACCGCCTCGCCGGTGCAATCCCGAGCTCCCTCGCCGGGCTGGGAGAGCTTATACTGCTCGACCTCAGCCACAATCTCCTCTCCGGGCCTCTGCCCGCCTCCCTCTCTAAGTTGACCTCTCTGAGGACTCTCGTCCTCTCCGGCAACGACATGGGCCCGGGGGCCCTCCCCGGCGGCGCTTTCCAAGGCCTGGCGGGGCTGACCGCACTAATCCTCTCGGACATGGGCCTGCGGGGCGCCATCCCGGCGTCCATCGGGCTGCTCCGCGGCCTCCGGGTGCTCCACCTCGACGGCAACGGCTTCAACGGGTCCGTCCCGGAGACCTTCAAGCATCTGGTGAACCTCAGCGAGCTGAGAGTCAATGATAACCAGTTGACCGGGCCCCTTCCGTTCCCCAGGCGAGTTTTGTGGAGGATGGGGACGAAGCTCAGGGCCGCCAACAACAAGGGCCTCTGCTACCCCGCCGGGAACGGGGCGGAGCCGGCTGCCGAGGCCTCCTACCTCCCCGGAGTCCCTCCTTGCGCCATCACGACGGCGGCGCTGCCGACGGCCGCTCCGGCGCCGGCGGCGGCATCCATGGCGGCCGACCCAGCTTCAGGGCCCCCCCGAGGAGGCCATCTGTGAAGCAGCTAAGATGTAAATTTTCTCTCGAGTCGACGTCCATTTTTGAAAAGATGACTTCAAAAATCATGTTTTTCTTGCGATTAGTCCGTGTAAATAAACTTATGAACGGCGAAAACCCGAACGACCGGATGCGTCACACCGTGGGAGTTATTGGGCGGGTCAACCAGAGGCCCATATAACAAAGACTATTAGAAACTTGACTTCATTTTCTTAGGCCAGAGAGTTTTAAGTTAAGAATCGGCCCATTTTGAAGATTGTCAGTGTCATCGGGCCAGACTACCATTACATCACTCCTCTCCTACGTTGGATGACACGTCACTTCGGTTCTCCTCTCTTCTGTATGTCTAGTGAGAGAGAGAGAGGGAGAGAGAGAGAGATGGATGGAGAATGATTGAGAGGAGAGAGAACAGGCTTTGTGTTTAGTATTTATACATAAACATTACAAGTTTGGGAAATTTTAATGACATTTAATATATTTAAATTTAAAATAAATGCAGTATTTTTTCATATAATTTATGGGGAAATTAAATTTATTTTCATTTTTTATTCATAATTATCGTGAATTATTTCAGTTTATATTTTTTCGTGAAATTTTATACATTTAAATTGTAATTAATTACGATCATTTATACATATTATATATGTGAAAATCATTACAACCATTTTCATGTATTTTTTTTCCCATTCCAGTTCTGAATATTGTCAGTTTTAGCAACAAAGGGGGCTGCACTTTGTGGGCTTGGAAGTGTCGGAATGAATAGTGGATGTGCATTCCCAGAATGGATTCCATACTCCTCAGCGGGCAGAACCCTCTTCAGGTTTTTGTAGTTCCCTGCAGGCGGCGACGCCCGTAGTTCCCCTCGAACCATCCACATCGTCGCCGGGCAGACGGAGGATCTCCGAGGGAGGGGAGAGAAGGGCGTCTCTCCGTCGTTCCTCCCCCTCCGATCGTAATCGCACTGATGTTGCTCCGACATCGCGCGCCGGGGACTGTCGGAGCTCTCGGAACGGTCTTCCGGTTGCACATCAGGCCGCTCGGCCAAGCCGCCGCCGCCGCCGTCGCGGCTGCCCCACCGGAGATCTTCGAGGGGCCCCTCGATTATCTGGAAGGCTTTCCTAGGCCTGATCCCAAGCACGACGAGACTATAATCGGCGTCCCCAGAGCTAAGTCTGGGAAGATAATATCGGCCAAAGAGAGGAAAGGGTGGCGCGTGCCAAGCATCGTTTTCGAGCAGGAAAATGGGCAGGAGGGCGGTAACAAGCGCCTCATCTCCGTGCAGTCGAAGCAGATCCGGAAGCTCGTTGATCACCTTGGGTACCATTTCTTCCTGTCCAGGCTGTTCAATCTGGAGGTGAGGTCGGAGTTCGACGACTCGGGAGAGGTCATTGAGAAAGTCCGTGTCCTGCCTCGAAAGGTACATAGACGCTTACGATGTTACATTGGTAGCTTAAAGCTCATTAAGAATTGACAGATATGGTTTCTCATGCCATTCTTACTCGGAGAAAAGCTGCTTACCTGATTCCCAGTTATTTCATCCCTCGTCCGCTGTGGGTTTGCGTACGGAATCGATGCGCCTTGTTCTCTACTAATGCTAGAAAAAATACGAGTGTGACCTTTTTGGTCTGGAATGCGATCAACCCTGACTCTCTCCCCACTTTATTTATTCTGATGATTATACGGATGTCTTGTCGCAGCGTCCACGGCCATGTTGCAATACAGAGACGCAGAATCTGTGTAGATTTGTTCTTTACCAATTAAACTATGAGCTTCTTGGGCCAACCTTGTGTGTTGTTCCTATGCCCACGCTTGAGTCTTTGTGCACTGAGATTTTGGATCTTGATGACGAAAAATGAGGATAATAGCATTGTATCGATTGGCATTGTCGATGATCAAACTATATCAAGAAAAATGAAACTATGACATGTGTATAGAGAGGAAGCAGCCTAGAATCTTTTGAAATTACTATGCATGATGCGACCAGAGTGAGAATGCTTCATGGTGGCGACTTTCTTCTTCATCATGTGTATGGAAGTGACGAATGACTAATTACTTGTTTCTGGGGAGCATATTTTGGCTCTTCTGCGTTAAGACTGGTCTGCGAGTTGCAGCTGCAACGTATGTATATATTATCAATGCTAAATGAGGTTTCCTCAGGATCCTCTTTGAAGGGCAATAATTCTCACCTTCTATCCAATAAAGTTTTAGAAAAGGAATCACACGAAGGGGAAGGAACTTCACAAATAGTGAAAGTATGCTACATGTGGATATTATCTCGTGTTTTTCAATATTTCTCTAATCTCCTTGCCTTCCTCTTTCATAGTACCTCTGTTAATGAAGGAATATTGAATTTTGCGTCGTCCTTTAGGTGTTTTAGGTTAGAGCTTTGCCCTATTCTGTTTCTTCAGGCATTTCTGGCAGTCTCTAAGCTGTCATTGGTGTTTGCTAGAAAACACTTTGAATTACTTATGAATTCCACATCCCGGAAATCTAATGTGTGAAAAAAGTGAGACATTGTTTTGGGTTTACTCTCAAAAGGTCGTGGTTTCTTTGTCTTGATTACATAATAATTTTCTCTCTTTAATTCATCAGAGTGATGGAAGCCTTCTAAAAATGTGGTGGGGATTCCTTGATCGGTTTCATGATATCAAATCAGTTGTATAGGTTTAGTTGGTCATAAGCTTTATATACTCTGCCTTTCAAAAAAACCTTTATCCATTTCAATTGTTTATATTTGAAAGGTAAAATTTATTTTGCTTTAATTTCCGCGGGATATTCTTTATTGCCTTTTTTATCGATCTAAATCTGTGTTTATGGAACTGCAATTTTCTCATAGTAACGATGATATGAAATAAAAGTAGTCAAGGGTTGAATATTATGCTTATGTGACTTGCTTTTCGACTGCTCTTTCGCTCCCGCCAATATCGGCTTATTATTATTGAATATATAATCATAGTAATTATAGATTAGTCATTTATTGTTCTGAAACGTGCCATTTTATACTGCAGCTGCATCTGCATTCGGGAACTGATGCACCCTTGAATGTCACATTCATGCGAGCTCCTTCTCATGCATTACTGAAGATTGATGTTCCTCTCGTATATAGAGGGGATGATGCGTGCCCTGGTTTGAGAAAAGGTACTAACCATATTTAATTTCCATCTTCGTCTACAAAATTGCAATGTGAGTTGAGCTGATTTGTTGATGCAAGATTCAGTGCTGCATTTTTATTTTTTTCCTGCGCTCATCTCTCAGACAGAACCAAACATTGTTTGAATTTCTCTCGACAAATTTTCCATCATGTTCTATGACATTCACCGCATTACAGATGTGAGATCACACGCGTTGACTCCAGGATCATGCATTGTCCACATTGTCCACTGGAGTATCTATCATCGCCTTCTAAGACGACCATTCCCTTTTGGTCTCTGCTGGACTGATGCGTGATCTCCTTCTTCACTTCACTCGTTTATTCAATCAGATCCGCGACTGCATTACATCAGCCTTGATCCTGGATCGTTTGCTTCTCATGCAAATTCTCTCGAGTGATTTAGCGTTTCTAGATGTATGATATTTGCTAGAAAAATCCCATTTTGGAAGATGCAAATAGGTCTCATGGTTGTTACAGCCTATGTTGTATGGTTATGGCCATAGTTATTTTTCCATTGATTTGGATAGTCTGATGGCAGCTACAGGCTGGTTCTATCTTATCAAAAGCTCTATCTTTTCTTCTGAAACATCCATCGCCCATACATCGACTGTCTTCACTGGGAACTGATTCGACCTGGTTCTCCGATCCTTAATGTTCCAGGAGGGCGATTGAACACCATAAAGAGGACGATGAAGTATCTCTGCCCTGCCGACATCGTCCCTCCCTTCATCGACGTTGATCTGAGCGAGCTGGAAGCCGGGCAGAAGCTGCTGGCCAAGGACCTCAAGGTCCACCCGGCTCTCAAGCTCCTCCGATCCCCCGACGAACCCATCTGTAACATCATTGGAGCGAGAGTCTCGGAGCAGAGGAAATCCAAGTGAATGAGTATCCACTGCTACAGCTTCGATCCTCAGCATCCCCCAGAAGCCGTTGGATCCCGTTTGGTGGAATCGCTGCGACTGGAGGTGGCTTAAGATCGATTGAAGCTCCTGTAACTGAGGCTGGTGGTTATCGTGATTTTTGCTTTCTGGGCTCATAAAAAAAAAAAGGACCTTCTGTGATTATCTCGAGCAGTTTAGCAGTTGAAAGATTTAGGAGAAGCCCCAGAGGGCTGTTTTGTTGTTCTTCCTGTTCTTCAGAGTTGACTTCTGTGCTTATTGTTGAGTGTGTTGATGGGCGTGTGACTCCACAACCCATGAAAGTCGGTAACATGGGCCCGGCACAATCTCAATCACTCATTTCTCAACCCATCTCTATCTCTCTCTCTCTCTCTCTAGAATGGATCTGGATATCATGTGAGTTCACCCAAGGGTTTGTTATTTGGGTTTTTTCTGGGCTTTTGTTGAATCATGGGCCTTATCGTCATTTGGCCATGAACAGCGGGCCTAGTTTTCAACGGCCCAAGCCGCGTATTGTTCCAATTTTTTAGGCCTTTGAACAATAACAAAAAGTATTTTTCTAGGGGGAACATATAAAAAATAACTTTACAGTGTCATGTAAGAGTAACTTGTCTTTGAGGGAGATACATGCAAGTGCGACGTCCAAGATTACGGTAGTTCCTTACCCGCACCCCCCCAGCTTGCTCCTTAGCAGAACAAGGTTCTTCGTCAGGGAAGATCGATGCCCGAGGGGAGATCTTCCCTCACTCGGATCATCTGTTCTTCGAGGTTCTGCGTAAGGTCCCAGATGGATGCTGGAGCACCCGTTTGGTCGTTCGTCTCATGAGGTCGCGCCACCCTCCGCTCCTCTCCATCTTCGGCAGCACGACGCAGATTCCTCAATCGGGGTGGCAAGAGCTCAAAGAATCCCTCGCCAGCGCCATAGCTACAGGCTGCTCTTCCGCAAGACGTCTCCGGCAGCTTCATGCCCGCATTGTCTCATCCGGGCTCCGCCACAACCTCTATCTCTGCGGCCTCCTAATCGGCAAGTACTCCTCGTTCCGCGACTTGGGGGCCGCCTGCGGGGTCTTCTACTCTCTGTATCCGCCGCCCACAAAGGCCCTCATATGGAATGTCCTGATGAGGGAGTGCCTCCGGAATGGTCGACCGGATCTTGTCCTTGGCGTCTTCAGCGAGATGACGACCGGATTTCCTGGTTGTGGGCCGGACAGCGCCACTTTCCATCTCGCCATCAAAGCGTCCATCGACACCAGGGATTTCGAGTTTGGTTTTCACCTTGCCGAGTGCGTCCGCAGTCGAGGGCTCGAATCCGATCTCCTCGTTTCGACGTCTCTGCTCGACATGTACAGCCGCTCGGGAGACATCGTCGCCGCACGAAAGTTGTTCGAGAAAATGACTGTTAGAGATGTCGTCTCTTGGAACGCCATGATCTCTGGTTATGCCCTAAGTAGATCCCTCCCTGACGCCATTAACTTATTCAAAGCCATGAAGGCCGATAATGGGGTTGCTCCATCTCAGGCTACGTTGGTGACCTTGTTATCATTATGCGGCAGAACAGAATCCCTCGAGCACGGGCAGACCTTCCACGGGCACGCCATAAGGTTGGGGTATAGTTCCGATATCTTCATCTCCAATGCTCTCATGGAGATGTACATAAAGTGCAATTGCCTCGATTCTGCATCTCTACTGTTCGAGAAGATGACGTTGAAAGATCCAGTCTCTTGGAGCACAATGATCGGAGGTTACCTCCACCATCGGAGACCCCATGATTCTCTCAAGCTTTTCCGCCACATGGTCTCAAGCACTCAATTCTCGTCCACTAGACCCATCCTGCTTAATGTGCTCCACGCTTGTGCAGACCTCGGAGACTGGCATCAAGGAAACCACGTAGAGGCAGAATTCTTGAGGAACAGATTCGAGCTAGATGCCCAGCTTGGCACGGCTCTTATATTCATGTACGCAAAGTGTGGGAGGGTCGACATCGCATTTGATGTCATGAACGAAAATGTGATGATTATGAAGGATGTTATTGCGTGGAATGCCCTGATCAGGGGATGCGCCGAGGCGGGCAACCTCCGAAAGGCATCGGGATCTTCAGTGGAGATGCAGAGAAGGGGGGTTGTTCCCAACAGTGTCACCCTCTTGACGCTGATAGCCATTGCCTCTTTGATCCCATTCCTGAGCATGGGGATGATGGTCCATGCTCATGTTCTAAGGAGAGGGTTTTTCAAGGAGAGGCCCATTTCCAATTCCCTCATAGACATGTACTCTCAATGTGGAAATGTTGAAGATTCATATAAGGTCTTTGATGGGATTGCAGATAAAGATGTGGTCACATGGAGCTCAATGATGAAGGCTTATGCCCAGAATGGAGGTGTCGACGAGGTCCTCAATCTCTTCGGGCTGATGAAGGAGTCGGGCACGAAGCCAAACCACATCACCTTCGTCTCTGTTTTATCGGCTTGCAGCTGTGGAGGGTACATCGACGAGGCTCGAGAGCTGTTCAAGTGTATGAAAGAGGATCACGGGCTGGAGCCCTGGTTGGAGCATTATGCATGCATGGTTGACCTTCTCAGTCGATTGGGGTACCTGTCCGAGGCCTTCGATTTCATTAAAAGAGGCCCTGCAGAGGTATCTGCTAGCTGCCTCTTGTGGGGAAATTTGTTGAATGGCTGTTCAGTGAGCGGTAATTGGGTCATTGGGGAGGCGGCCGCCAAGCATCTCTTCTACTTGGAGCCCCAGAATGCCGCTAACTACATCATTCTCGCCAATATTTATATATCAGCAGGGAGAAGAGAAGATGCTAATAGCATTCTGTGGCTAATGAGGGCTGTGGGCTTGGAGAAGAACCCTGGTTTCAGTCTGCTCATGGGAGGGTAGAGCTCATCAGAGACAACTGTTCTTGAATCTTTTGCCCAAGGAGCCCCGTGTCTATATTGCACCTCGCTGTTGCTTGTCGAATGGATCTCACTCGCAGGTCGACTATGCTAAACATGCTCAGAAATCCAATGATCCCCAATCATGTAGCAAAATTTTGGATTAATTTGGGTAGATTAGCTTTCAAATCTGCTTCTATGTAAAGGAAAATATGGAGAGTTGGCAACGTTGTAGCCCACTTTCTTGTTCTTCTTCATTTGTCTATTCATTTTTTTTTTCTATGACATCTAAAATAGAGATCTCCGTGGAGATCAGTCATTGGCTGATTTTCTCTCAGAGACCCCGCTGCTCATTAAGGAGAAAAAAACAAGAAAGTACAGATGCAGCAACGTTCTGCCCCACCTATTTCTTCTTCTCTGTATGATGTTTCTATCTCGGAGGGAGGATTTCTGAAGGAGACCCACCGCCTAAACACTCACCGACTCGTTACAGAGCTGGTCGGTGATGGTCTCCTTCCACAGGTCCAAGGAGATAGTGCAGTTGATGAAAACATCGACGTGGTGGTGGAACATCCCGAACACCTTGACGTGCCCGTTGACCGTCGTGGAGCTGTTCAACTTCAGAACACCGTCCTTCAGGCGGTCGATCAGAGTCGGGAACGCCGCCAATTTGTCGTAGGTCACATCGAGGTTCAGCCCCATCCGGTAAATTCGTCGCGCGCCGGTCTTCCCGCTCGGCCCGGTGGCGTTGGCCAATTCCATGCCGTTCCAGTAGACGGAGGTCAAACTTCGCTGGAAGTAGAAGGTGACGTCGTTCTGGTTCTTCACCAAGGCGACGGCCGCCACCCTCAGGATGACGTTCTGCGGCAAGTTTTTCCACTGTAGGTTAACGGAGTCCATCCTCATCCTCGGTTCGCGCACCTTGTAGACGGTCAAGCCCACCGTAACGAGGACGACCGCCGCCACCACCAGCACCGCCACCAGGCCGTACGCCCCTCGCCGGAGCAGCCTGCGGCGGTGCTCGCGCCGCTCCGCCGCGTGGCTCTTGACGGGGTCCTCCTCCGCTACGACATTCTTGGGGTTATAGGGGACGACCGCTGCGATACTCTCTGTCGACATGGCAGCGGCCTGTTGCTTCGCCGGAGACGGGCTGGTGAGAGCAGCGCGGCAAGGGGGAGAAGAAGTGCGGTGGGAAGATGGACAGGCCGGAGAAGGGGGAACTAGTTTCTTATCTTATAGGGTTGGTGATTGCGTGTGAAATCCTCCACTGACGGAGTTCTCTCCCTTCGAAGTTGTACTGCCGGTCGCGGTCGGCATCAAAGCGCCATCTTGTGGATAAAACCAGGTCACTGTTCCAAAGAAAGTAACAGCTGAAGGAATGTTTACATTTAGCTAGCCGATTGACTGACGGTCTTAGTGCCGCCATACATGGAAGAAATCGCCGCTGACACAGCGGAGAACCATTAAAATGGTGATCAAAACTTGATATAAATGCATCCCTCGCTGGAGTAAAACGGGTTTCTTATGCGCGGATTTTTCAGAGCAGTTTTGAAGAGGTTCCGGATGGGAAGGAAGGTGGGGGATCGGAAGGTGGAAAGCGGGGCAATGAACTCGTAGACGAGTCAGAGTCTTCAGCTGCCATCGCCGGAACCTCCTCCGGCTGGCCCCAGTGCTCATCGATCGACAAGGATGGCTGCCGGCGTGGAGGAAGAGAAGAAGACCTCTTTGGTCCCCCATCATTCTCCGGCCGTCTGGGCACTGGCGGGCGTCGGCGTCCTACACGTCAGGCGCTCTACTGCGGCGGGCGCTAATTTGCCCACGTATACCCGCCGGCGCCCACGAAGAGCCGCCGGCGAGCACACGGCGTCCACATTCCGAGAGGAGGCAGAGTCCATCGCTGTTTCTTAATCATCGCCGAAATCGCGGTCTTTCCTTTTCTCCCTGTCTATCTCGTCAAATGCCCGGGCCAGGCCCCGAAGAAAAGCCCGAGAAAGCGCACTTTCTCTGGCCCTCTCTCTCTCTCTCTCTCTCTCTCTCTCTCTCTCTCTCTCTCTCTCTCTCGCTAACCCGCACGTCAACTGAGATGGGAATGGGCTTTTGGAGGTTCCGGGCCGTAGCCTGTTTCTTCTTAGGCTTTATTGGCGTTATTATTTAATCAAGTCAACGTCACCACATGACCTGGGCCCCAACGGATGGTACGGGTCAGCACTGTGGGGACCCAGGTCCGGCTATTGTCAACGATTCTCTAAAGCAGGTTGCATCGTGGCTTCATTTTCTGACACAGATCTCTTTTGCCAGTTAGCAAGTGTCGATCTTTATATATAACGACAAGAAAATTATTTTAATCTATTTTTCAACAGGATCGTCATCAAACCTACCGGTCGGAGATATCGACAGGAAATATCTCCATTGTTAACTCTTGGGGCCCACAAATCCCAATCTCTACGTAGTCAGACTCTGTCGAGGTGGACTGGTTGCCCGCCACCGGCCGACGGACCATACGATGTCCATCAGTCAACGATCCCTCAGCCAACGCAGAAGAATCTTGCGCCGTGATCGATGTGTCGGAGGGAGAGAGGGGGAGAGGAAAGAGGCCGTCGTTATCGTAGCTAACACGAGAACAAGTGGAAGATTCGAAAGCAAATGGAATTTTTGCACGCGGGTAGAAGACGGAGGACGCGCAGAGCTCTTGTGCCGTGATCAGTGGGGAAGAATAGATGGCGATGGCGATGGCGATGGCGATGGAGATGAGAAGGGAGGTCCGTCTGCACGACAACGGCCGCCAGAGGACAGAGGGCTACGAGGGCAACTCTGTCGTGTTTGGCGGGTGAGGGGATAGGAAGGCGGAATGAGACCAAGAGAGAAATGGAGTGATAGTGAGGCTCATTGTTATCGTCGCCGTAGCGGGGAAGAAGCAACACAATCCAAACCTGTTCTCGTCCGCCGGCGGCGGTAGCCAAACGCTTCTGACGACTCTTAACTCTCATGGGCCGCGATAGAGAGAGAGAGAGAGAGAGGAAGAAGCGGAACGTTCCAAACCTGCTCTCGTCTCCGCCGCCTGAATGTCATACACTTCCGACGACTCTTCTGGAGAGAGAGAGAGAAAGAGAGAGAGAGAGAGAGAGAGAGAGAGAGGAAGAAGCGGAATGTTCAAAACCTGTTCTCGTTGCCGCCGTCGGGACAGCACTCTTTTGACGATTCTTATGGGTGGCGAGAGAGAGGCAGAGAGCGGAGAGAGAGAGAGAGAGAGAGAGAGAGAGAGAGAGAGAGAGAGAGAGAGAGAGAGAGAGAGAAGGAAAGAGAAAGTGATGTAGCCTAGAACCTAGAAGAGTCTGAAACCAGAAGCCCAACTATGAGGTTCGACCGCAAAGAGAAGAATGTTCAAAGAGAGATTAATAGTTAATTGGGCTCAACAAAAGTACAAAAAATTACTTTCAAAAAGCTACTTGATGTAAATTTATTTTTTGTCTATTTTCTCCGAGAAGTTATCTTAAATGTTGTCCGGATTCTGATCTTAAGATATATATTCAAGATCTTAGTCTATCAAAGTCAATTTCAATGTCCCCAAGATCTATTCAAGATCGGTTCAAAATCTATTAAAGATCCTCTTCTTGCCCCACCTCATTTCCAGGCTCCTATTGTAACTCGAGGAGAATATTTCTGAAATATTATAAGTTTTTCTCTCTGATGATGTTCTTCTGCTTCTGCTTATAGATTCCATGATCCCCATTGATCTTGTGGATTGAAGGTTGACTTTTTGTGGATTCAAGGGTTGAAGGCTCTAATCCTATAAATTAAGAAACCATCAGGACCCGTTAATGGGCTTGGGCCTGATGAAAGCTATGGAAAAGAAACTAAGCCCAGCCCAGTCTGACCAGCCTCCGCTGTCGTTGATGGCGACCAGATACGCTTCATGGGGGTCTGACAGATCCCGAATTTTGAGATTTTCTAGCCCGGATAGTAATAGCTGAATCAATGATCTTGTCCTCGAATGAAATCAAATGAAAGAAAAACCCACAGTTAAAGGATAATTTTATTCCAGAATCAGTACCATCCCCGCTTCAAGAACCTGCAAGAGCCTTCCCGGAGGGTTTGGAAACGCATCACTAACTCTTTCAGAAAACAGCCGAGATGAACATGAACTCCAATTGTGAATCTTGAAGCGGAGGTTTTTAGCAGAGACGAGTGAAGGAGAGAGACGGTGGGGAGGTTTGCCCATAAAGAGAAGAGCAGCTATTGCCCAGATGTTACATCTCATTTTAAACCAGGTGTGGGGATTGGCTCATCAAATATGCACACAAAAAAAAATTCAAAGATTTCTCAAGAACATGAAGATTTATTGCAAGATTGTACACATTTTTGTCCCTGCATGGACGAATAACACTGAAAAGGGCTTAATTCAAACTGTCAGCTTCAGTAGGGGAGGAGCAGGAGGTTTGCCCATAAAGAGAAGAGCAGCTATTGCCCAGATGTTACATCTAATTTCCAGGTGTGGGGATTGGCTCATCAAAATATGCAGACAAAAATTCAAAGATTTCGCAAGAACATGAAGATTTACTGCAAGATTGTACACATTTTTGTTCCTGCATGGACGAATAGCACTGAAACGGGTTTAATACAAGCTGTCAGCATCACTAGGGAGGAGCAGGAGCTTCGCTTTCCGAAGGAGATCTAGAGCCCAAACTCCCTTCTTTAGAAAACCTTGTTGCAGCTTTTCTCTCCCTGGGGGTGCCTACAACTGGGCTGGAGCCACGATAGCTGGCACGAAGGCTTTCATCAACAGAACGTGATGACTTGGGAAAAGCATTCCTCCAAAATTTCTGTGCAGCTGGAGATAGGGTTCGGACGCTCGGGCTTGCACTACCAGCTCTCGCTGGAGAAGGCAGTGGTGGCTTCTGAAACATCTTGGACTTCTCCCTGAGTTTTCTGGCAGCTTCCCTTGACAGAGAATGGGCCTTAAGGTCGCGAGACGGTGGCAATGGTATGCTAAAACGAGGGCCTTCGCCACTTCCCCCAATGTCAGCTGTTGTATCATCCAGATCCAGCCTTAGCGGTGTTCCCTCAATCTCTCCCCAGGTCATGAAAGGGGATTCATCAACGCCTGGGGCTGGTGACGGTGTCTTCACGAAACTGTATCCCTTCACAACTTCCTTGCTGGATTCTGCGTAAAACTGGTTGGGGGTCTTCCTCAGCTCTTCCAGGTCATACCTTCTGGTTCGCTCAGCCTCTCGGTCCGCAAAAGGCCAGGAAGCACCAGCAGGTGTGGTGCCGGGAACAGTTGTGTAAAGAACAGCGACATTGTCTTGCGTTGAAGGTTTTGAATCTGATGCCGACTTAGAGTGGAAGCGAGTGTTTGAGCGTGTAATCTCCTTCGTCAGGCCTTTGATTCTTTCGGACATCTCTGCCTCTGTCAGGGGTAATTCCCCTCGATCTGCAGGATAATACATCAGTAGATTCTTCGCAGTGTACTTCCATCCCTCCAAGGTGTCCATTGGCTGACCGGACGTTCCATATCCATCGGTTATCTGCTCCCTTCGTTCAGCCTCCAGCGCCTTCGATGGCTCCTCCCCGTCCCTCTCCAATAGATGCGCAACCTTCTCCTTCTTCCTCAAGTTGACCTTTTCGAGGATTTTCGAGAAGCTCTCGTTGTCCTCGCTGGTGTAACGCGTGAAAAAATCGTCGAGAGAAAGGGTTGTATCCACAGATTCGTCACCCTCCACGGCAGAATCTCTCATGCTCCCAGGAAGCCGACCAGCGAACGAAGGCGTCCCGTCGAAACCAAAAGGAGTGGCAGACGAGGAAAAGGAACGAAAATTGGAGGCGGGCGTTGGCATCTGGCTACCTGCCCTCGTAGAAGCTGTGGCATCCGGCGCCACGGATGAGACCCTACCACCTGCAGCAGCAGAGGCGCCGAGACCTGACCTCCGCTCCAGTATCTTCAACTGCGCATCGCGGATGATAACCGGATCGCCGCTGCGCACGGCCTCGAGCCAATCGAGGCGGTCCCGGAGCTTGGGGATGTCGGGGAAGTAATCACGCTCGATGATCTTCTCAATCCCCGCCACATAGCTATCCTCGTCGAGAACAACACGCCGGCGCTTATTAGGGTTGCCGACGGCGCCCGTACCGGCTACCGTGCCGCCCTCCGAAGCTAGGGTTTTCTCAGACGAGGCAACAGAACGCAGCGCCGGAGGCGTGGCGATGTGCCGCGGCGAATGCCCAGGCGAGAGCAGCATCTTGAGGCGACGGCAGGCCGAGCGAGAGATTGAACGGGGGTGACACAGAGAGATCTAGGGATTGCAGAGGGCAAGAGAAAATCCCCGGCTTCTGAGAAACACGGAACGGAGAAATGGACGGGGAGGGCTGTATTTATTCAGAAGGTTCCGGGAAAAGGACCTCTCCCCTTTCAGAAGGCATGATCCGATTAGGATCCGATTAGACCAACCCGCTTATCTTGAAAAATATTTATTATAATTCGTATTCTGCAGCACTTACCAATTCTGAATCAAACAAAAACTAGTAAACCAAAGTCAACGTTGATCTGATAGTCCTTCATGACACCCCAAGCAGTCTTCACCATTGTAGAAGCTTTGCTCGTTCAAAGAAGATATTACTATTTCTTCACAAAAACTGATATATAAATGAGAGGGGAGATGATCCCATTTCTAGAATCTTACTATTTATAGGAAAGAGTAACCTATGTGCTTTGACTACTTTATCTCTCTATGCCCAATGCCTCCCTCACTCTTGATAAAATTCTCAGGCAGTGTGGGATAAGAGATGGATCTTGAACCGGCAATTTAAATGATGATTAAGTGATGTCTCCGTCTGAGTTTTATCAAGAGTGAGGGAAGGCATTGAGCATAGAGAGATAAAGTAGTAAAAGCACATAGGTTACTCTTTCCTATAAATAGTAAGATTCTAGAAATGGGATCATCTCCCCTCTCATATATAGCAATACAATACCGGCATCATTTGTATTGTCCCGCTATTGTGGGTCATGTCACGTCATCACTAAGCCACCCATGGTCATACCCTCCAAGGTATACGTGCATATATGCACCATAGGTACATTAGTGCTATGAATTAATCACCATTGGCACCTTATGTGAACCATGGTTCCAGCCTATGGTGCCATCTACCCAATTCACACGCGTTGCACCATGCCATGGACACTCCATGCATGTCGCACCATGTCATGTCATGTCATGGCAACACATTCACCACATGTGCCCACATGGACCATGCCTGTGGCCTCACACCCCACATTCAAAGCTTTGTAACTCGATTCAACCATGCTTTCAATGAAACGTAAGTTCATCATACTCAGCTAAAAGCCCATCACAAGCCACAACGTAGTTTCCTAGAGTATATATGAGGCTGGTCCTCTGGGGCACTTGCACAAAATTTTCTCAAGTAACCTCTCTCTCTCTCTCTCTCTCTCTCTCTCTCTCTCTCAAGTTTCCCATTTCCTCATCTCCATACCCTGGGGAGGGCTTCCCTCGACCTTCTTTGAGCCTACTTCCTTCCAGTTCGTGGAGAGCACCGTCCCGTTGGATTCCACCTGGCATCAAACAGAGGAGCCAGATAAGACTAAAATGACGCTGAAGCAGACGAGGGATGGGGGTGCAGGGGCCGTACAAAGGATTTCTTCATGGCCCGTCTCGTGTCTTCGTCGGCGTCTTGGTACAGGTCGCGGAAGAGCTTGTTCAGGGCGGCGTCACCCTCCAGCTTCTCCTCTTTCTCCTGCGATGGATGAGAGTACACGTCAGAAGGGGCCATGAGAAGGGGTTGTTCTGATGTTTTTTTTTGACCTAAGCAAATGCCGCTGACCTCTTTCTTCACCTCAGCCTCCAGTTTATCCCAGTCAATCTTTGACTTTGAGGATGGGTAGGTGGGTCTCTCTGAAACTGAAGCTCCCATAGAAGACAAAACAGGGAGAGAAGTCAACGTCCCAGACCCACTCGCAAAACCAAGTATTTACCCATCTCCAGAAGTGGGCAAGCACCGGTGGACATTTAGCTACTTAATGACCATGACTTAGAACAATCTGGCAAAAATTCAGGCCAGGAGTTTCTGATATGGATCATCAACACGATAACGCAGTTAATCCGACCAAAGTTCAGGTGTTATATAGATAAGCGAGGTCCCAAGAACCACTGGCTGGGCTGATATTATGAGACATATCAGCCTGATTTCCTTGTGTTATGAGGCCTTTCGCTGGACTAAACATTCTATCACAGTTCTTGGAGTTCAGCAATTGCCCATATCCAGTTTGAATGATTCATTCCAAAAACACATTGAGACCAAAAGGCTGTTGATTCGATATCTAGCAGATGGAATTAACTTTTACTAACAGCTGGAATTTTGATTTAATTTTTCGCAAGATCAAACGACTAGTGCAGAGAAGTCATTGAATGGCAGATTATTGCAAACCCACATCGAGACTAGAGCGCAGTTGGTCCAAGATCTAGAATTCGGAACTACGACCAGATTGAAATTTCAAATTTGATATATTTTTTTCTGTAAGATCATACAGCTTATGAAGAAGTGAGGGCAGCGGAGGAAGGTCAGCACAACAGAAGGTTCATAGACAAGCATTAAAAACAAAGAAAAAGAGAAAGAGACATGTTGAACAGGACAAGAAACTAGCTACTGGCAACGAAAGCATTATTTTTTATAAAGGAAATTATGATGAGTTACCAGACGGTGCATTGATCTTTTGTGGAACCACATTATCCTTCCTGAATTCCAGAGACGTCCATGAGATAGGATCAGCTTTGAAAAGGCGAATTTCTATCTTGGAAGATAGTACAGCGTATCTGCATTTATCAGGAACTATCTGTTTTATCCAATAACATCGAGAGAGAAGGAGAGAAAAATCTCGGTTAGTGAGTAACACAAGCTGGGATCAGCGGCACAAATTTGTATGATAAAAATAGAGAACGGTACCTTACTGAACAACCGTGGCTGAAAATGATATGATTCCTCATTCGAGACATCAATTGAGACACTCAACTGGAAAATACGCTAGAGCCATCAGTATTCCGTGCAATTCATGTTTCTGAAAGAGGAAATTCGGAGTATAAACAAAGAAAAATAGGATTAAGTAACATACAATTTGTTCACCGAAGTCAACATGGACATTTTCGGAAGGAATGCCTTTTGCAAATATGGTCAACACCACTTCGGTTGGCGTATTATAGTGGTCATGCCTGGATTATCCAGAGTAATCACAACAAACAAAATGGTAGAATCTTTAGCGACTCACGGTTTCATTTCTTAATCAATTTACCATCGAAGAAAGTATTTAAGTAAGGAAATACCTGAAGTATTCAGTTCAAGTCTACACATAAGAAATCACTTGTTGGAATGTGTGTGATATGATGAGCGAGGAGAAAGAAGTGAAATCATTAGTAATTACATCTCGGGTGCCTCACTCTCCCTCTCTCTCTCTATCTCTCTCTCTCCCTCCCTCCCTCCCTCCCTCTTCGTCCCCCTTCCCCCCCCTCCCTATTAACATAGGTTAACAACACAAGTGTAGACGGATCATGTATGCACATTTCACTGCACAGAGATTACACAAAGGACTAGACGCAATGAGACAGTAAAAATCAGTATGGGCCTCGAATAAGTTGGGAAATTTAAATAAGGAAAATAGAAATCATGGTGACAGGAATTTTTTTTCAACATACATGCTAGGCAAGGAGAATAGCTACTCAAAAAGGATCGTGATACCAGTTCGTAGACATTTAGAAGGAGCATATCAATACCCACAAGAAAAGGTTTACTCATTTTAATATTTTCCAGATAAGTAATGAGCCTGCAGAAGTCTAGACAATACCTATACTTTGGCGCACTTGGTGTTGCAACTGGCAAAGGCTCAAGATCGTTTGGACTATTCGTAACTCTGTCTGGCAGAGGAGATACACTGCTAGAGGGTATGCTCATTACTTTTGGGACTACAGCAGTTCTGTTCTCCTCTGTGAAAAGACAAACAGTAAGTGTGCTTAAAAAGGTAACAAGGAGCTCGACAAACAGTAAGTGTGCTACAATTTACAAGGATTTCAGAAATCTCGACAACTTTATCACAAAATGTGCATAAAAAAAAAGCTTGAAGATCTGAGGTTCTGATCTCCATGTCTAGGGATGCAAAAGAGATTGAGAACGTACCTGCAATCAGCTCATCACATTCTCTGATCAATTTGGAGAACCTTGAATCCCCAGGCACCAAAGAAGCACCGGCTTCAAGTGCTGCTTTTGCGGTCTGGAATTCTTCAAGTTTTATACAAGCAGTGCTGCCAAAGAGAACGATTTCATTTCATTTTTTATTGCAAGTGGAAGTGCAAACAGTCATGCCGAACAACATTATAAGATGGCGTATAACATTCTAGGGTTTTTGATTCATGAGAGTGGGAATGTTAAATTAAAGTCGATTAACCCCAGATACAAAGGAATGCGCAGCCTGATAACGCTGAGACAAACACAAGAACCTGAACAGATAGTATAATGAAGTGTCACAGAATAGTACGATAACGTCAATTTAACCACTTCATCATATTCGTTCATAATAAAGTGGAAAGATGGCTGGATGACCGAGGGATGGGGGACTGGGAAGAGAACTAACAATGAATAATGGATACTACGCTAGGTGTATGACATAAACCTATTATGAAATGTAACATGAGGGGAAGACATAAAAATGGAAAAAGTACAACAAATGATAAATGCTCCAGGGGTAACCTGTATTTTCGCTAGAAAGATTGCAAAAAACGCTTCTGCTAGTAAGATATGTTCAATATAGTATATAAAAAATTTGAAATATGTAGGGGAAAGGCAATATTTAGCATAAATATGTGGTATCCTTCAGAAGATCGAACAAGATTCATTATTGCTGCTGTACAAAAAGTCTTTTGAATTCTTGGTTCAGGAGGCCCATCACACTAGCTCATCCTCAGCCCCCCCCCCGAGCATGTAGAGGAGAGATTGACTTTAATTTCTTTTTTTTTTTTCCATCTGGCATGGTATTAAAGTGGGGTCCAGTCGTGTCCAAACCCACCCCAAAAAAAAAAATCAACAAAGAAAAAACACAAACAAAAGGAAACCCAAATCCATCATATATGTCAAGCAAGCAAACTAGGATTATCGTCGGAAATCAACCAGAGCGAAAGCAACAAAGAAAAATAGGTGGTGAAAATCAGCATCACCACTGCAGAAGAGTTGGTTAAAAAAAGTCCGTTAGATGATTGCAAATGTTGCCAACTGAAATCTATGTTGCCAACTTTTTCTCGGAAACAAATGTTCCACACGCTTTTACTTCGTTCCAACATTCAAATGAAAAACTAAAAAACTGCAGCAAAGTCCTTTTCTCGGGCCTAGTAGGCTATAGCATTGCATACAGAATGAACCATCAGATAATGTCAGTACCAACTTAACTAAAGCTCATCAATCTGATGTGTGTTACCACCGTGTAAGTAGTATAACTATCAAATCACAAATCACCGACGAGGATAAACATCCAAAGAACAAGTGTTCGGAAATTTCTCCTTCATTCCCCCCCTTCGCCCAGAAAAAAGGTAAATGATGTCGATTATCCATAAACTACCCCAAACAAAGTTTCACGTGAGAAATGCACCACAGAAAGTATTCATTTCTAAAGGAAAAGGACTTCCGAATCCAACAAGCAACACGGTGTTCGATGCCTACATCTGACAAATGCAATGGGCTGAATTGACTGAACATTCATCGTTTTCCTCATCCCCAATCCTACATATCTACCTCATGCCTCACTATGGACCATTCTGGATGAAAACCTAAAAGAACATCTAATTGTTGAATAACCTCATCCCCGAGCTTCCTCCTGAATCTCAACCATACTCTGGCACTATTTCATCATCAAAGTCCAAGTAAACATGATCTTTGAAAACAAATTGAAATCGTTTCTTGACAGTAGATGTCATGCATCACAGTCCTTCCAAAGTAGCTCGCTACCCAAACAAATATCTGAACAGACTGCTAGAGTATCTAGATCTCGTAAGATATCTTCAAAGCGTCATTGATATCTGTAGGTCTAGCACTTCATCATCATTATTATATAATACAATTTTTTTCATTATTTCTAGCAATAATCCCTCAGAAACGGCTCGGAATTCACACTGGTACTCAATTATCAATGCCAAATTACCGTATTTGGTAATTCCAAGCTCTCCATGTGTTTAACACTTAGGCCAAATTATCAGTGTGTCATTCCCTCAATTCGTTTTATAATTAGAACTATTTTGCTAACCCACTGATATCGCCACTTTCGTGTCAAAAAACCTGCATTGTATAGGTCCTAACTTCTTTGCCAGTATTTTGAAACTAATTATGTGAAATCAATGGATGGAATACTAGAACATTTTCCGCTTCAGCATCCAGACAACAGAGTATAAACTAGCGGAATCAGATCATATATCTTTTCGTGAATAAATTCGTGTATGTGTGTGTGTGTGCTGGGGAGGGTAGGGGAGATGGCTACTGACGAGGTTTTAGGCCTTCTGAACTGATAAGAACGAGCAGAGTAGACCGAGTACAAGCAGGTGGGGTGATGGGTTCATTGCAAGATCGTAACGGTACTTCGTGAGAAAAAGAACGCAGATCATCAATTTTTTGGGCCTTATATCTTTGGAGGGAGCATGCCTCAAGCAGTATCAATAATGGGATGAGCGATCTCCCACTTGATTTCATAGGTTTCAGTACCAGTCATTGTAACAAGGATTCATAGGCATTGTAATTATAAATCTGACCCCTTGCGCAGATATGCCTTTGATATTGAAGGATCCAACTCGATTGCTCTACTTGCGTCAGCGACTGCCTCTGCAGAATTCACGAAATCAAAAGTCGTTAGTCTACCTGCAAGAATGTTTGCCATCTGGCCTGGGTGCAATATCCAGAAGAGATTCTTGAAACACGTGAATCTATTGGCTCTACTGAGAGGAGGTAAACTAAAGAATATTCAATAATTATCTTCATGCTGTGGATGAATACATAGGACAGAGAAAGACTTAAGATATGGCATTGCTCTTGAGAACAATGTTTCCCTATTCGAATGATCTGACGCGAGAAAACACGAACATGGTCAACACAATGTCCGTCAGGAATTATAAAGGAAACGACAGGCCCAGAGCGAGTGTCAGGAGTAAATACATCAACTTCAAAACCTGGAGTTCTTAAACGACAGCCTCCCAAGGTAACGATGGCAAACAGGCAAACTCGAGGGACGGAGGGAAAGATAAAAACCTAGAACGGCTAGGGAAACCTAGAACGGAAACGAGGAGGGAAACTTCAAAGTTCAAGAATCCAACCAACGGTTGGCGAAACCATTACCGGTAAAATTATTGAGCTTCAAGTTGGCCTGTGCGCGGTCGGCGAACAAATCAGCATTCCTCGGGTCCATATCGAGAGCCTGTGTGTAAAGCTCGACGGCAAGCTCGAAGTTGTCGTCGACGAAAGCCTCCTTCGCCTTTTCCTTCAGATCAGACGCCATCCTTCTCGGAGCTACTCCTCCGCACCGGGCAATTCCCTCGCCGCCGAATGCCCAGAGCCTCAGATAGTCGTCCAGAGCCAAGGATGAGGATGCTTTCCCCGCGGAGCTACAGTGACCTCGTGCCCGCTTGTTCTCCCTCGGTACTAAAATCGATAAATAATAATAATAGTAATACTGATAAGAATTTAATTGTACATGGTAAATATTTTCCTTCATTAACTGCACTAATTACTGACTTTTTGTTTAACTCTTCAGACGGCGGATTATCAGTAAATCCCTAATCGTTAAAGCATCCAACTCCTCAAAAAAATTAATTTACTCGGCATAACCCTTGAAAAGATTATGTTAACCTTTATGTCCTAATCTGTATCATCTCTCTCTCTCTCTCTCTCTCGATATATATATATATATATGTCCTTTTCTTGGCCTAGGTTTGTTGGAGCCAAATAGCAGGGGGTATTCTAGACTTTTTCTAATAGGTGGAAGGTATTTCCCATAGATTAAAGAGAGATATTATAGGAAAATACTACGCGCTTAGTCACTAGGGCTTTCGAGGGGTAACAATTGTAGCCTAAAAAAATGAGGAATTTATCTCTGATTAGCCGAACTGTGGAGGGCTAAAAGGAAAAAGAACATAGGTCCTTGAACACGTGTCATTTTTATTACGGTCAAACCCCCCGCGAATGGTAGCTTTGGGGAAAATGATGTATTTTTGGTGCCATCCCACCAAGAAGCTGAGGTACTTGGGTGATTAGGAAAATAGCCCCACTCTAGGCATATCCCCCATTGACGAGTAGACAATCAGGTCTGACTCGGGTGAGTCTAATGCAGCTGACCCACCGGCCTAATCTTACTTACTTGACTTTATCCATTGGAGTTCGAATTAGGCGTCCCATCTTTGACTAGCCCTCTCTTGTCGTGGTGTAGAAAGTCAATGGGTCGGGTTGGTTCTACCCAATAACGAAACTCGGACCATCCCAACTCAGTGTTCACACCCTCTCGAGCACCAAGTTTACAAGAGGTCTGACTAGAAAGCCCAGAAACCTACATATCAGTCTCTCTCTATCTCTCTCCCCTCTTTCCCTCCCTCCCTCCCTCCTCTCTCTTTCTCTAACTGTCGCTCTCTCTTTCTCTCTCTCTCTCCCCTCCCTCCCTCCCTCCTCTCTCTTTCTCTAACTGTCGCTCTCTCTTTCTCTCTCTCTCTCCCCTCCATTCTCTCTCTCTCTCTCTCTCTCTCCCCCCCTTCCTCCCTCCCTCCTCTCTCTCTGTCCCTGTCTCTCTCTCTCTCTCTTTTTCTCTCTCTTGCTCTCGCTCGCTCTCTCTCTGTCTCTGTCTCTCTCTCGCTCTCACCCTCTCTCTTGCTCTCGCTCTCTCTTTCTCTCTCTTGCTCTCGCTCGCTCTCTCTCTGTCTGTCTCTCTCTCGCTCTCACCCTCTCTCTAACCTCTATGTCTCTCTCTCCACCCTCATCTCTCTCTCCCCCCTTCCTCCTCTCTCTCTCTCTCTCTCCTCTCCCCTTCCTCTCTCTTTCTCTCTCCTCTCCCCTTCCTCTCTCTTTCTCTCTCCTCTCCCCTTCCTCCTCTCTCTCTTGCTCTCGCTCGCTCTCTGTGGGTGTCTCTGTTCTCTCTTGCTCTCACCCTCTCCCTCAACCCCTATGTCTCTCTCTCCTCCCTCATCTCTCTCTCTTGCTCTCTCTCACCCCCTTCCTCCTCTCTCTCTCTCCTCTCCCCTCCCTCTCTCCCTTGCTCTCGCTCGCTCTCTGTGTGTGTCTCTGTCTCTCTCTCGCTCTCGCTCTCGCTCTCTCTCTCTCTCTCACCCTCTCTCTCTCTCTCTCTCTTTCTGTCGCTCTTTCTCGCTCTCTCACTCATGCTCTCTCTCGCTCTCTCATTCACACTCTGTATCTCTCTTTCTCTCTCGCTCTCTGTCTCTCTGTCTCTCTCTCTCTGTCTCTCTATAGATGGCTTGAACAAGGAGAGGCGTCCGTTATTGATTTCCGGAAGGTTGATTCCATTAATTTGTAGGTAATCAGAATTGATGTCGGGATAGGAACTGAATCTGCTTAATGAGGGGGCTCAGCACCTCCATGAGCTTCTCGCACGGGTGGTTGTGGATCCCCTCGTACGTGGTGACGACGATGCTCGCGTCCGTGGACAGGCGCTGGACCTGTTTCTTCACTTCGCACGTGTGATGGGTGCAGCGGAAGTAGCTTCTTATCCCCCAAACCGCGGCATACAAGCATAAAAACCGACACAAACGTGAGTTCCGACTGTCGACAGATCGTGGGAGATTATCTTAGCCATATAAATGGGGGGGAGGGGGGGGAGAGAGAGAGAGAGAGAGAGAGAGGGAGAGAGAACCCTTCTCAGTAGGCTTTGCTCTTCTTTCTTATAAAATAAACTATAAATACGTGGATTCATGTTTATGCATATATAGGGGACAGATGGGGAAAATTCGGAGGTATATGTCCATCTCTCTCTATTTCTAAGTAGTTCTTGTACCTTTTGGAACGATAGCTTGGAGACCTACGACATGAAAGAAATACTGGTCGAGAGAGAGAGAGAAAATCCTTTTCAGAAAGAAACAAAACTACATGGAAGATATACGTGGGACAGATTAAGAGATGGAAAAATCTTGTGGAGACGTACATCATTCTCTTCCTCTCTTTAACATTGTTATTTGATGCATAATGATTGAATGAAAATCTAATTTGGACCCTCACCATGACAGAATAATCAAGTACTTATAAAAAATCTTGACTAGCGAGAGAGAAAGAGAGAACCCTATGCAGCTGAAGATATAGACTGGGAGAGATAATAACATATGAGAGCGATTTACATTGACCATGCTCATAGGATTGCTCTATACCATCGAATAATCATCATGCCAACGATTTAAGGTAAACTAAACACAGATGAGGTTTTCTAATCCGAACCTACTGGTATACATAGAGACGCGGCGTCAATAGATCCGATTTTGTAGACCTGATTGACAATAATTAAAAGGACGTAGCGACCAATTTGATGGATCATATCTAATTTTAAGCCTGATCCTGATCGAAAACCGCTAGTCCAAACCCCCGATCTAATTCCTGCTGCTAGGGCTCTCAATCCACCAATAGATAGTCACGAGCTCTCCACTTGCCCACAGGTCTCTCGTCTCTCCGTCCATTTGGTACCACCCAGAAGAAGAAGAAGAAGAAGAAGAAGAAGAAGAAGAAGAAGAAGAAGAAGAAGAAGAAGAAGAAGAAGAAGAAGAAGAAGAAGAAGAAGAAGAAGAAGAAGAAGAAGAAGAAGAAGAAGAAGAAGAAGAAGAAGAAGTAGTAGAAGAAGTAGAAGAAGAAGAAGAGCTTAGTTCTCGGTGAAGACCCAATTCATGGGGTCGACTATACCTGGGATGTGCACTATTCTTGACAGCCTTCTGTCCGTACTTCCTCCACCGATAGCCGTCGTCGAGTAGGTCAACGGCGCTCTTCGTCTGGAAGGCAAACCTTGGTCTGGGGGGTTTCTTTCCACTCCCGGCCCCCTTCCCCTTCCTGGCATTCCCTTCGGTTCTCCCCGCCGGCGTCTCCGGCTGCAGCGCATCCCGTTCTGGCTGTTCTCCCAGCGCTTTAGGCAGTGAGAAGAGAAGAGAAGCCCAGTCAACACCGCCTTGCGGGGTGGCAAGAAGATATTGGAGAAGATGGCCGGTTACAGCAGAAGGGGCGACCTGGGAGGAGGAGCTCTCCAGGGCGGAAGAAGATGAAAAGTTGTGAGGGAAGCTCTGCGAAGGTGGAGCTTCTCCCCCGGAGCCCTCCATCACTCCAAAATCGACAACGGCTGGAGTTTTGCAGGGGCTTAAAAGAGTAGATAGAGTGGAGAGAGATATTGTGGTTGTGATGGGTGGACGGGAAAGTGAAGAGGTTGGAAGGGATCAATAGCGACAGAAGGGAAGAGGAGAGAGAGAAGGCACGAAGAGGGCGTATGGAGGCGAAGAGATCAACAATACATCAACTACCAGCAGTCGTAGTTCAACTGCCCCGCTGATCCACCTTTGGCTTCCGGATGTGGCCATCTACGTGGGGTCTGTCAGGTCACTTTCACGGGTTCACGTCACCTGGCCCACGAGCGTAAAAAAAGACCCAGAGGTAGCTCCAGAGTTGCAAAACCATGCACGACATAAATACGTACACGTAATCCTTGAATTCTTGTAAACGCAAATCAGCGGATGGATTAGACCCTCTCTCTCTCTCTCTCCTTCTCTCTCCCGCTCTAAGATTTTTTCTGAGTCTTGCAAAATATTTCAAGGGCCGGGGACATCAAGCTCAGAATTGGTCAACGACATGCGTCTAAGAAAAAAAATAAGTGTAGAAAATTCTCATTTTCTATGCTTTTGTTTTAACCTTGCGAGATATCTCTTCATTGTGTAGGTAGAACCAACGAGAAGATTCTATTCAGAGATAAACGTGAAGAAAATGACAAAAATAAAATATATGCCAAATTATTAATTAAAATTATTGAATAAGATAGTGAAATCAAAGGATACTCGATAAATTTTTTTATTTTATATCGATAATTGTCAAACTTGAGATTTTTTTAAGATTGCAAGTAATCACAGAAACAAAAACTTGAAAAATAAAGTTTTGCAATCCAAAAAAAAATAATATTTTTATTTATTTAAATAGTTCATCTTAAAAATGAAGATTTGGCTGAAAGTTAATATAGAAGTTTCATAAAAGTATGGAATCAACCAAAGTATAAAATACGTCAAAAAAATTGTAATATCTTATTTCATATACCTTTTTTACTCATTATTATAATGAATATCATCCTTTTTCTTTTATTAATCGAATTCAAGGCCAGCTTTTTATCTTTCAGCCAATCCGGCAAACCAAAATTATATCAATAAAGTTTTCCTATTTAACAATGATGTAGCACACTAAATTTTACAGATGCCATTCGAAATAAAGATTTCCAGAAAAAAATCCACAATGTAGAAAACTTATGGAGTCTGGAACTCAATCGAGCAAAATACAAAATGAAAGCTATCTTTGGGCTCATTTGTCTTTCCGGGCTTCATTTTTAGGGTCCAAAACGTAGAAAAGGGAATGGACTAGGGACTTGATCTGTCGGAAGTCTTACAGGTGGGATTATTATCGGGGCCTAAAATATGATAGTGGAATAAGTTTTATTACTAAACCTTGCACGATAGAGTATATATTACACATATAACATGTCACCGTATAATATCACAATTTTCTTCTGATTTGGTTACATTTTATTGGCGGCGTGGTGAAGAAATTGTGTTTCACGTAACATCGTGTTTGGGTTCAGGTGGCCTATCTCCTACGCTTGTCAATGGGTTGGAAAGAGCACGGTCTCTTACGGCCCAATTATCCTCGGTGTGAGCCTGAAAGTCAACGTGGAATGTCAGGTATGGACTTTACCCTACTGTGTCCCAGTTGGGCTTCAAAAGTAAATTCCTGAAAGAAGACCTTGCCCGGGTCGGCCTACTGTGTCGCAGGGAAAGGTAGCGAGTGCAGGGCTTCGCTTAGCGTCTCCATGGCCTCGGCCAAGGGATGGAAAACAGCCTCCATCTTCCATAGCATATGCCGGTGATGGCGTAGTCGGGAGGCTTCGAAAAGACGACAAGATTGTGAGTCTGATGTAAGAAAGAGAGAAGCATGCGGAGACGTGGATGAAATTCTGCCATCACATCAGGTCAACTCTCTAGAAGATCTGGCCCTACCATTCCCGGTCGGAATTGTACACTGAGGTCTTCGTTGTTTCCTCTTATCAACTCCAACAGGGAGACACTTTGAGAGGGGGAGAGTGATAGTGAAGCTTCCTCAGACAAGATAAAAGGAGGTCAAATAGCCGTCGCACCATCAATCCACGCCAAAGGATACCTCCGATCTCAAGTAGAGGGTGGCGATCGCCATACACCAGCACCAGTAACGTGTGGGAAACGTAGGGTGTTTGGTTAGAATGCAAGAGAGGGAGAGAGGAAACGAAGATAGTAGAAGAATGGTACGACCTCAGTCATCGGTGAGGCGTGGGGGAGAACTCTAGCTTCACGGAGCTGCTTTCCGATTCCTTTGAACTCGGTTGAAACCGAGCTCGTCTCCTATCATCCTTTCTCCTCGTGGTCGCTGGAGGCTGCACTAAGACTATAAATAAAGCAAGGACAGTACAAGCTCAAGCACAGAGAAACATAGAAACAGAGAGAGAGGGAGAGAGAGAGAGAGAGAGAGAGAGAGAAGAGAGAGATATGAAGTGGGAGAGGAGGATGAGTGCAGCTGTGGTGATGATGTGCCTGACAGTGTGGACGAGTGTTGCTGCCTCCGGCGCTCAGGAAGTGGCCGAGGGTTTTTCCCCCTTGCAGGCCACCGGTTACGCGGATGCCATCGGGAAGGCCATCCTCTTCTTCGAAGGACAGCGCTCGGGGAAGTTGCCGTCCGGACAGCGGGTTACCTGGAGGGGCGACTCCGCCCTCTCCGACGGCCGCCTTGAAAACGTATCCTCAGCCCCCATGCAATCCCTTTCCGTTCCATGCAATCTGCCGACGTCTAAGTTTTCATATCGCGCCGTTCTCACAAAATAACGTAACTACCTTTTTTAGACAAATAACAAAGTTTTTGCAATCTCATAATCCTTTCAGTGATGGGTAACCGAAAAATCCGCCTTTTCCCCAAATCGAGTCAGAAAATAAAAGTTTGGTCTGGTCCAGTCCACTGGTAACCCTAGCAATTTAATCAGTCCGATCTTCCTCTTATTACCAGCATGGGAGACTATAAAGATTATTCCTTCTTTAAGATGTGTATTATGCTCATGGTAACGGAGTTAAGCGTGACTCTTCTTGTCCAGTGTATGTTAACAAACGAAATCAGTGAGAAGAGAGAGAGATGCAGAGATAGAGAAAGCAGTGTGATAAATTACGTGAGATGGCGTGCGCAGGTGAACTTGGTCGGCGGCTACTACGACGCCGGCGACAACGTCAAGTTCGTGTGGCCGATGTCTTTCAGCGTCACCTTGCTAAGCATGGCGCTTGTGGAGTACGGATCTCAGGTTGCCGCCGCCAGCCAGCTTGGCAACCTCCGGACGGCGATCCGGTGGGGGACGGACTTCATTCTACGCGCCCACACATCTCCGACAACATTCTACACTCAGGTCGACCACCCTCTCTCCCTCTCTCTCTCTCTCTCGCTCTCGCTGTGAAATGAAACTGACGGGGATGGAGGGTGTCTTCATGGCGTAGGTGGGAGATGGGAATTCGGACCATCAGTGCTGGGAGCGTCCGGAAGACATGGACACCCCTCGAACACTTTCCAAGATCACGCCCAGCTCTCCCGGTACGGAGGCCGCCGCCGACGCCGCCGCAGCGCTTGCTTCTGCCTACATCGTCTTCAGAGGTGTCGATGCCAACTACTCTGCCAACCTCCTCGCCAAATCTCGTACGGTGAGTCGGCCCGGACGCCTCGACGGCACTCTCCTTGCTGTATTTCTCTCTGGTTCTTCATCTTCTTCCGGTGCTTGAACCGCGATAACTCTTCTCCTCCACAGCTCTTCGACTTCGCCGACAAGTACAGAGGATCCTATCAGAAGTCCTGCCCATTCTACTGCTCCTACTCCGGTTTTCAGGTTAGTTATCTGATGCAGATCCCCGTCTCTCTCTCTCTCTCTCTCGCTCTCTATCTATCTATCTCTATCTCTGTTCTAAATATACGTATATACCCATAAAAATCCCTCTCTCTATCAAACTATCTGTCTGTCGATGTGTCCATCTATCAATCAACCTGTGTTCGTATCTACATATCTCGGTTCGGAGTGAACATAGGAACTTGAGTAGACGTGGATATAACGTGGGGAGTTTCTTCGGGACTGAAGGACGAGCTACTGTGGGCGGCGGCTTGGCTGTACAAAGCGACCAAGGAGTCCAGGTTCCTGAGATTCCTCACAGACAACCAGGGTTGGAGCACACGCATGAACGAGTTCAGCTGGGACAACAAGTACGCTGGCGCCCAGGTCTTGCTCGCGAAGGTACTCTCTCTGTGTGTCTCTCTCTCCCCTGCCTCCCTCCCTCCCTCTCTCTCTCTCTCCTCTCTCTCTCCCTCTGTCTGTCTGTCTGTCTGTCTGTCTGTCTGTCTCCCTCTCTTTCTCCCTCCCTCCCTCCCTCCCTCCCTCCCTGTCTGTCTGTCTGTCTCTCGTTCTATCTCACTCTCTCTCTCTCCCCCCCTCCCTCCCTCCCTCCCTCCCTCCCTGTCTGTCTGTCTGTCTCTCGTTCTATCTCACTCTCTCTCTCTCCCCCTCCCTCCCTCCCTCCCCTGTCTGTCTGTCTGTCTGTCTCGTTCTATCTCTCTCTCTCTCTCTCCCCCCCTCCCTCCCTCCCTCCCTCCCTTTCTCTCTCATCCGTGCTTTCTCTTGTTATAGGAGTACGTCGGCGGGGCTACCGGCCTGGCCAGGTACAAGAGCGATGCAGACTCATTCGTGTGCTCGTTGATGCCAAGAAGCAGCAGTCGACAGATCAGAACGACTCCAGGCACGGCCACTCCGCCCCATTATTATCGTCGGAATTAATTAGTACAGTTGAAGATTTTCATCGTGCGCAAACAGATTATTTCTGGGAAGAAAGTGATCGAGGATTTCTCCTTATAAGACAGATGAATTTATTTTTTACTGCAATTATGAATTATGTTTTATTCGTAAAGATATTCCTTCAGCTCTGAAATTAGACGAAATCACTCGGATAAATCCTGAAATGCATACAAGCTTTTATAACGGAGAACTAATTGGATCTTCCTGTTGCATCGACATTCCCGCAGGTGGTCTTCTGTTCACGCGAGATAACTCCAACATCCAGTACGTCGCCAGCGCGACCTTCCTGCTGTCACTCCACGCCCGGACCACCTCCTCCGCTGGCGGCGTTCGCTGCGGCTCGACGGCGATAACCGCCTCGGAGATCAGCGCCTTCGCCAAATCTCAGGCGGGCTCCCTGTTACTGTGCCTTCTTTTTCATCATCTTCTTCGTCTTCTTCTTCTTCTTAATCTTCTTCTTCCTCTGGCGGAGCAGGTGGACTACATCCTAGGGAAGAATCCGCTGGGGATCTCCTACATGGCGGGGTACGGCCAGAGGTACCCGACGCAGGTACACCATCGCGGCGCCTCCATCCCCTCCATCAAGGTACTCCCCGGCAAGGTCAGCTGTGGCGGGGGCTTCTCCACCTGGTTCAACGCCCCCCGCCCCAACCCTAACGTCCACGTCGGCGCCATCGTCGGGGGCCCCGACTCCAACGACCGTTTCCAGGACATCCGGTCAGACTATTCTCACCTCGAGCCCACCACCTACATCAACGCCGCCTTCGTCGGCGCTGTGGCTCCTTTCGTTGGCAGCTCCACTATACTGCAACACGGATACCCTGGCGTACTGTCCACAACCTCCGAATTCCAGGATACCTGCTCCGCGTAAGAAATTCTCTCGACGACTGGTTCACACGTCAGGAAGTCAACTGTTTGGACGCCAATCCTGTAAACGGAGGGGTTGTTGTTCTTGTACTCCTCCAATCTCTTTCTCTAGTTTCAGTCGTTCATCAATGTAAACTCTGTGCTTTAATACTTCGTCCATTTTCCTGTACTCCGCCATTATACATCATAACAAAATCTCAATTGAACGTCGTCATTTCTGTCACATTTTATTCCCCCTCTACTTATTTCGGCCATGTGTGTGTTTGAGAGAGAGAGAGAGAGAGAGAGAGAGAGAGAGAGAGATTAAATGGTACAGGGATGGGCCACGAATCGCCGTCCCTGATGACTTGTTCGGATATCAAGAAGTAAAAGGGTTTTGAAGCCAATAGTGCAAACGGAAACGTGTAAACGGTTGGGGCACGAAAGGCATTCTCATGCGTAAGTTATCGATTTCGAGGGCTGTATTTTTATGCTGCACCCCGTCTGATTATTGTCATATATCTCTTTCCCCAGGTATTGTATATATAATTTAAAAACCTAGCTACGCCCATCGAGCGATTTGGCCATGGAGTGTTTGACATGAGAACCATGAGATCGTTTAGGGTCTCCGTGCCAAATATCGCTGTCGTCGAGTCTTTGTGGTGGCGTGCTACGGATGGCAGTACTGTGGCTGCAGCAGCATTAGGGTTTACATGCCGGCGCCATGAACCCTCAAATCCCCACCGCCGGGGGAACGGCATGCCGCCGCCTGTGCGTGCACACGGCAGCGGGGCCGGTGGCGGCGTTGCCGCGCCTGCACTGCATCCCCCACGCCGGCGGTGGAAGAAATATGCTGGAAGGTGGTAGAGTGCAGGAGGGGGACACTGGCGGTGGCTCGTTGAGATGATCGACGCATCTAATTTGCAGGAGATTAACTAGCACTCTGTATATATGACAACCTCTCTAAGTTTGGCGCTGTCTCATTTTAAAAACATCATATTTCGAGAAAAGTCAGGAAAAATCTATGCGTTTGAATTCACCATTGTCTAGAATGGGGTGCAAAATGAGGACGAAAGCTTTTCAAATGGTTGCCTCCAGTTGTGGGATGAACCATGACACTAAGAGCGGCCGTTTTTTCTGTGAAGTTGCTCCTTGTAGGAAAAGAAAATGGAAAAAGAGAGGAAAAGGGCTTGGAGTGAGAAAAGGGAGAGGATAGCTCATGGAAAAGAAAAAGTCCCTAAAAGAAAATATTTTAATCCTTTTCAATAGCGTAGCGAGAGAGAGAGAGGCTTGAACCGGTCCACTTTAGCATGACACGTTTTTGCATTAATTATCAACACTCACAGTAGTTTTTCATCAGATGATGATAATGCAGTAGTTTCCTTATTTTTTTAAGTCCATGACACTACATTTGAATCAAAGCTGAAAATAAATATGTTCATATATTGATCCTTATAATCACTATTAGTCAAATCAAATAATTTAAATTGAGAAACCTGATTTTATACAATTTCATAGTTGATTGTCTCTCGAATATAGCAAATTTGATCTTGATATTGCAAGATGATGAACTGATGGACAATCTATAAGTCATGAAATTATGTCAACATGAAATATTATATCATATTGACTATGAGTTAAATATATCAAAATATCAACAAAGTTTTCAGAAAAATGTTCATTTAATTTTGAAGTTTCATCATCAAGTCATAAGTTGTTATTTAGCATGTTTTAATTTTTTAATAGATCTAGTGAGTAAGTATCTTGCAAAATAAATACACCACAATATTTTTAAATGTTTCAAGCCCAAGAAAATAATAAAGTAAAGATAAATATGTTATATCAAGTTCAGCTATCATAGGAGTTTTGAATTAAAAAAATCAATAGAGAAGGTCTGATATATGTAATGTGATCTATAGGTATACACAAGATAAGAGTATAATTTCCTTTCATCTTCACATAAAGAGTTAGGTAACTAGAATTTCTATTAAAATTATGGTCATAAAGATATGAGTCAAGTTTACTATACCATTATTTTGTTACTTGATTAAGTCCATAAAATATCTTTTCAATATTTACAACTTATTCTCCTTGTCCTTAATCACAAAGCTTTGTGGCTGCTCAACATATGCAGCTTCATCTAAATAATCCTTTTAACCGGTAAATTTAACATCAAATTAAAATAAAAATCATTTTATTTGTCCTGGTGTAAATTTTAATTATTTAAAATCTAATAACATGAGAAAAAGTTTCAAACTAATCAATACCATATTCTTGTACATGTCCTTTTAAAATAATCAATCTTGTCTTGTATTTCTATGTCTATTTGGCATTATGCTTTGCTTTATAAGCTCACTCCACACCAATCGCTCCATTACTCGACAATAGATTTACAAATTTTGCATATGTCAATTTTTTTAGTCATAAAAAAATATTCCTTCATAATCCTTTTCGTATATGTCATAAAAGTAAAAATGCATGATTCATACATTTCACTCAAATATCTCATGTTTCTTAGATGATTCATAGAATTGAGATCATAACCATTACAATTGTCAAAACTACTTGAATAACTTGGAGACTCTCTCCAAAAAAAGCTTGATGATGGATAAACTCCAGGTGTCACATCTGACACCAATTATGTCAACTCTTATACATTTTCAGAAAGATGTGTTTGTCAATGATTGTACTAAAAAATCATTTAAAAGTTGCTTCTAGTTTAGCATATTTTTAGCCACTTCTATCATGATTTCTTTATTTCTTCCATGAATACCATTTTTTTTTCAGTTGAATAAAATTAGTGAGATAAAATATCTCTCCCTCTATTATTCTAAGGGTTTTTATGACATACTATTAGACACCCTATAGACCAAATAGACTTGCACCAGAAGAAATAAGGGACAATATTAGAACCACAAGAACCAAATAAGGTAAACTTAAGGTGGTGGAAGGAAGGACTCTTAAGTAATATTGATGAGGGGGATCAGGGTGGATATGAGGGCTGGTGATCAATGGGAGGAAGCATCTTCAAGGAGGTAGATTGAAGAGGAGAGCGATATCCCTCTCAAAAGAGCACCACATATTGGGATTTGGGTTCTTGCCATAGCCCAATCCTCTTTATTTTATTATTCCATTTTCCTCAAACTATATCGATTTTTTTTTATCTATTTTTGGTTTCTATCAACTAATATTAGAATTATGAAAGAAAACCCCACACTCCACATGTTACATGTGGAATGGTGCCCGAGTTCAATAATGATAGGTTAGACATTCTACATAAAAAAACATCAGAGGCAGAGTAAAGAATGATTGAGATGAAATATGATATGGTTGGAGAGAAGTCTAAGATATGAGAAATATAGTTTAAACTATGGTGAATACCAAATATCAAGAAGAGCATAGAGAGCCTAAATCACGACATGCCTCAAATCCTTCACATGTTGGATGGCCTAGAAAAAATAATCCAAGATACTAAGAGGATAGTAAGTTAAGCTAAAAAATCATGCAAAAGAGGGGGGCACAAGTGTAATGATGCATAAAATAACTTGAGATGACAAAGAACCTAGGTGGAGAAGTGAAAAGATATGTATAAAAATAGAATATTATAAAGGACATGTTGGGGCATTTAGAGATGTCTCTTTTCAGTAGAGGAAATCTTGATGAATTGATGTTTCGTCTCAAATTATTTTCTCCAAGAATATGATACATGAAGTAGAAAAGTTGATGGTCACAATAGTTAGATTTGAAGATGAAGTGTTGACTTAGTTCAATTAGACTGATGCAAAGAGGCATGACGTGACTTAGTCATTGTATAGTAAATCACGTAAATTTAAAATTTATAAAATTAAAAAATATTAATTTTTAGATATTTAGAAGTATTTATAAAAAATATATATCAATTATAATTTAATAAAACTTCTAAAAATAGTGATAATTTTCTAAGTTGATTATATGGATGTAATATAATATTGGATAATTTTTCAGAATGTTTCTCAAAGAATATGATTTTTTATAAATTATATACTAAGAAATAAAAATAAAATATATTTAAAATTCACAAAAAAAAGAAATAAGGGTGCGGATGTCAGGATGACGTTAGTACATGAAGAACGTGAATACGACAGAAATAGAGTTCTACCCGATGATTCTTATGTAAGTAATTATAGATAATTTAATTGATCAAATTAAGATCTGTAAAAGTCAGAAGAATCATAATTCAATGAAGTATAGCTTGAAAATTTAAATTACATAAATTATCACTAAATGAAGTAAAAATTAAGTTGAAAGCAGTAAAATAGAGTTCCGGCATTATGGTGGTGATGCGTTAATGATGCATCAGAATTCTAAGCATTCAAGAGGATCGTCATGTAGTGTCCACAGCCTCGAAGGCTCTCCTTGGACAAAGATGATGTGGACAATCTTTAGATCTCCTTGCAAAGTCTAGAGATCAATGAAATGAGTCGTCGAATCATCTTCGACGACTGTCACCTAACGGAGAAGAAAAATGACGACTTTACGGCTCTCTAGCGGCTGTCACCTGACGAAGAGGAGTTAGATGGAGGTGTGACGCATGTTAGGGAGCTTCATCCTTAGATCCGCACAGTAAGAGGAGGCTCTTCATCGTATTTGGTATGCTCTCAAGAGGTGGCGACTCGTCTCTCGGCGGATTGTCCTCTTCCTGATAATAGCTTATTTGTCGATCAATCAAAGATGATTTACTCAATGAATTTGCGATCCTTTTATCACGAATCATTTAACAATTATAGTAATAATGCTCTGCGAATCGTGTTGACGAGATTTTCGTCGATGATCTAGCAATTCTGGCGGCTTAATCTTTCACTGACGATTTGCAGGAAAGTCGTGATAATTATATAAAAATATGAGTTTTGGCTCTGGGAGGATTCGAACCCGCGCTAATTGCCTACCTACGTGAGAGAGATTGAAATAAATACTCTAATGCCCTTATCAAGTGACATTATCATGATATATCTCTATTATAACGAAGGGATAGTTTAGGTATTAAAATCTTTGAAGCCTTTCGAGGGAAGGTGTGATGCGGGTTTAGTCCCACATCGCTTGTGCGCCAAAGTTTTGGACGAATATATAGTAATATCACATTTGCAAGTAATGAGTCCCTTTCTCCTCTATGTACGACCACTCCTTGCTCTACAGTCGGTTCTCACCCAATAGAGTGTGGAAAGGGAGTGGCGCACACGTGCCCCCATCAATCCTAGCCGCTCAAACCTTTGCTCGCGGCTCCCCCTGATTGCACTTCCGACCTGCTTGTGGGCCCGACTAACTGGCAGGTCATTTTACTATATTTTTATTTTTATTTTTTTCTTTATTTATCTAAAAATAAGACTATAAAAATCATATCAATTTGTAGAAAATCACATACTTAGCCAAAAATTCACGTTAATCAACTGAAAACTACTTTTCACACTTTAACATAAATATAAGTCTATTTATCATGAGTTAAGGCTAAAACTATATTATTTACTAATTATTAACTCATGATATGGAAGATTTATCAAGGCCCTTCAAGAGCAAGAGGGACGTGAAGCACCTATAACTATGGCCTTTCTGGTCTTCCTAAGTTGGAAACTCATGAGAACAGTTCTTTGATATAAAGGACCTTAGAATAATAAAAAATTATATAAGAGATTTTGAAATTATGTCCAACTTTAATGAAAGAACTTTCAAAGTAAGTCTTGAAGAACATTTTCATCAAAGTAATTTTTAAGAAACTCCATCACTCAGAGCATCCAAAAATAAGGAGGCTAAAGAAAATCAAAATCTAATATCCTAGAGGCATCTAATTCTTTCTTAGAAAGAGAAAAACCAACAAAATGTGGCTAATGCAGAATAAGTCAGCCAAATTAGGTAAAGTCAACATCCCACCACTTAATTAGGAATCCTTTTGGGGTCCTCAGTTGTAGGATAACACAATGACCAACCATGTTAACACTTATGGGGGAGAAAAAGGAGATTAAACCTTATTGAGGCTGAACTTCAAGCACACATGGTGCATGGCTTATGTTTTTCGTACAATAAAAAATATGGTTATAAATACATATATAAAATGGAGCTACATATATTATTAGTACATGAAGATTGTTGGGATCTTGGATGCAATTTTGAGGAAGAAGTAGTAGAAGAGTTCAAATTGAAAAGATAATTAAGAGTGAAATAGGAGCTCTAGAAAATTTAGAATTCTCCCTAAACTTAGTTATGAAACAAATCGAGTATGAGATAATGAAGTTCAAAGGTGTCATGTGGTCACCCACAATAATAATAATAATAATAATAATAATAATAATAATATTGATATATTCTAGAATCACCCACAACTTCATTTTAAAAAAAAATATTGAATAAATAAATTTATCTTTGATGCCAACAACATCTCTATGCTTATTACCATCCCACAGTTTATGACCTATAACATATCGATGCTTATGACCACCTCATTACGTAAATCTTTTTGCCACTAGGGAAGTAATAGGCACCAAGATGGTAGTCAGAAACAAAAGGATTTGTGAGCAAGAGCTTATGAAAAGGGAAGGATTGATGGTAATAGAAGATTTTTTAACTTTGTAATTAGACAACACCAACATCATCCTTAGACAACAATGATTGTGATCACTAGACAACATTGAGGTATTTGGGGCCATTTGTCCATGAAAGTTCAGACTTGAGGCACCATGATAATTTTGAGAGGTTACCCAAGCCTACGCAACTTAGGTATATCCTTGAAGACATTGATGCAAGAGGTGCATCAAAATTTAATATTTATGATGGAAATGTGTTATTGAGAAGAGAAAGTAGAGATGTCAAAACTGTTAACTGCTCATATGCAACAACTTATGACAAAGTACCTAAGATGATTGAATCCAATGGCATGACTATCTCCCAAGAGAGAGGTGGAACATCTCATATGTTTGGAGTTCTGAACAAATTCAGTCAACACTGAATTTTACCGATATCATAATTCTTAAAAAAGTTGAGATTGAAAGGCCAATATGAGAAATGTGAGTGGCAAGTTCTCCAATCATCCATCAGCCATATTGAAATATAGTGATATTCGTTAAGAAAAAGATGAGAATTAGTGTTTTGTATGGACTATTGAGTCCTCAATAAAATCACCCTCTCAAACATACATTTCATCCTTGAGGAAAATGAACCATTGGACAAGCTACGTGGGGCTACCATATTTTCCAAGTTATTCTTAAAATCAGGTTATTATCAAACTTGGATGAAGATTGAAGACATCTTGAAGATAGCTTTTTAGACATGCAAAGGCCATTATGAGTTTCTAATAATATAATTGGGCATTTCAATTGTACTAATGATATTTCAGTCTCTGATCAACAACATATTTCATTTCTTCCTTTGAAAATTCCTATTATTATTTTTTATGACATCTTAATATATAACAAATATGAAGAGACATGTGTAACATCTCCACCAAGTATTTTCTAAGTTGGCAGAATATCAATTACAATGTCAAGAACTGTTTGTTCAAACAATGACAAATTTAGTGTCTAAGTCATAGTATCTTACTCAAGGGAGTAGATTGGGCAAAGAAAAAATTACAACTATACTAAAGTAGCTGTCAAATCTATGAGACCTGAGCTTTCTTGACCTCACAAGTTACTACTGAAGATTTGTGATTAGTTATAAGGTTCTCTCTTGTCTATTGATGATATAGTTGAAGCATGATGCATTCAATTGAAATGATTAGGCGAAAAGTACTTTTCAATGACTAAAAATGATCATGACAGATGTATCATTTTAGTACTTCTTGATTTCTCACAACATTTTAAAATTAAAATAAACACATACAAATATAGATTTGAAGTAGTACTCATGCAGTAATGTCATCTCATTGTGTAGTTCATACAAGTATAGTCGACGTGATCCACTTAAGGGTGTTTACAAGTGAGAGTTAATGATTATCATATTTTTCATCTAAAAATAGAGCATTATTTGGTGGGACAATATTCTCTGATATGCACTAACTAATGTAGCTTAAGATTATTACCAAAGAAATGACAGATGCAAGTAAAGTACCAAAAGTTGTTGGAAAAGATCATTAGTTGTAATTTAAAATTTTGATATCATGAAAATATCCAAGAAAAAAATAGTATATGACATGTCACATTTTTTTCGAGAGATTAGAAGTCCAAACAACAATGGTTCTGCTTATCTGCTAGACATCTAATAAATCATACAAGAATTATAAGCTAAGCCAAAATAGCATATGTGCAGAGTTGAAATAAATGTGGGCAAGGTATCACCAAGGACTTCATCCTAATTGGCAGGACTACTATAACCTCTCCTAATTCCAACACACATATATAATGATACTACCATGGACTCCATTGAAAAGCTAGCCAAATTAAGAGGGTACCATGTAACATTACTTATTTTCATTTGATGAAGTAAATACTTAATCTTTTTACTGTTTACTCATCCATTTTTTTTTTGAAAGTTGTAAACATTTTTATTCAAGATATTGTAAGACTGCACAAGATCCCAAAGTTTACTATATCCAACTGTAATAGAAATTTTTTCAATTAGTTATCATTAAAAATCTCCATATTGGAGGCCACCAACTTAAAATACAGTACAACATACCACCCACAAATGAATAGAAAAATTGCGGTGGTAAATCCTTATTTGGAAACTGATGATGTTTCTTCTTTCATGTCTAAAGAAATAGAGTCAATTAATTACATTGGGTGAAATTACCTTAGGCATATTGTCGGAAGTCTTACAGGTGGGATTATTATCGGGGCCTAAAATATGATAGTGGAATAAGTTTTATTTCTAAACCTTGCACGATAGAGTATATATTACACATATAACATGTCACCGTATAATATCACAATTTTCTTCTGATTTGGTTACATTTTATTGGCGGCGTGGTGAAGAAATTGTGTTTCACGTAACATCGTGTTTGGGTTCAGGTGGCCTATCTCCTACGCTTGTCAATGGGTTGGAAAGAGCACGGTCTCTTACGGCCCAATTATCCTCGGTGTGAGCCTGAAAGTCAACGTGGAATGTCAGGTATGGACTTTACCCTACTGTGTCCCAGTTGGGCTTCAAAAGTAAATTCCTGAAAGAAGACCTTGCCCGGGTCGGCCTACTGTGTCGCAGGGAAAGGTAGCGAGTGCAGGGCTTCGCTTAGCGTCTCCATGGCCTCGGCCAAGGGATGGAAAACAGCCTCCATCTTCCATAGCATATGCCGGTGATGGCGTAGTCGGGAGGCTTCGAAAAGACGACAAGATTGTGAGTCTGATGTAAGAAAGAGAGAAGCATGCGGAGACGTGGATGAAATTCTGCCATCACATCAGGTCAACTCTCTAGAAGATCTGGCCCTACCATTCCCGGTCGGAATTGTACACTGAGGTCTTCGTTGTTTCCTCTTATCAACTCCAACAGGGAGACACTTTGAGAGGGGGAGAGTGATAGTGAAGCTTCCTCAGACAAGATAAAAGGAGGTCAAATAGCCGTCGCACCATCAATCCACGCCAAAGGATACCTCCGATCTCAAGTAGAGGGTGGCGATCGCCATACACCAGCACCAGTAACGTGTGGGAAACGTAGGGTGTTTGGTTAGAATGCAAGAGAGGGAGAGAGGAAACGAAGATAGTAGAAGAATGGTACGACCTCAGTCATCGGTGAGGCGTGGGGGAGAACTCTAGCTTCACGGAGCTGCTTTCCGATTCCTTTGAACTCGGTTGAAACCGAGCTCGTCTCCTATCATCCTTTCTCCTCGTGGTCGCTGGAGGCTGCACTAAGACTATAAATAAAGCAAGGACAGTACAAGCTCAAGCACAGAGAAACATAGAAACAGAGAGAGAGGGAGAGAGAGAGAGAGAGAGAGAGAGAGAAGAGAGAGATATGAAGTGGGAGAGGAGGATGAGTGCAGCTGTGGTGATGATGTGCCTGACAGTGTGGACGAGTGTTGCTGCCTCCGGCGCTCAGGAAGTGGCCGAGGGTTTTTCCCCCTTGCAGGCCACCGGTTACGCGGATGCCATCGGGAAGGCCATCCTCTTCTTCGAAGGACAGCGCTCGGGGAAGTTGCCGTCCGGACAGCGGGTTACCTGGAGGGGCGACTCCGCCCTCTCCGACGGCCGCCTTGAAAACGTATCCTCAGCCCCCATGCAATCCCTTTCCGTTCCATGCAATCTGCCGACGTCTAAGTTTTCATATCGCGCCGTTCTCACAAAATAACGTAACTACCTTTTTTAGACAAATAACAAAGTTTTTGCAATCTCATAATCCTTTCAGTGATGGGTAACCGAAAAATCCGCCTTTTCCCCAAATCGAGTCAGAAAATAAAAGTTTGGTCTGGTCCAGTCCACTGGTAACCCTAGCAATTTAATCAGTCCGATCTTCCTCTTATTACCAGCATGGGAGACTATAAAGATTATTCCTTCTTTAAGATGTGTATTATGCTCATGGTAACGGAGTTAAGCGTGACTCTTCTTGTCCAGTGTATGTTAACAAACGAAATCAGTGAGAAGAGATGGCCTATAGGAACTCGTATGATTTTAGAAAGCTTACTCGTTGAAACCATAGATAGATAGCGAGAGAGAGAGAGAGAGAGATGCAGAGGAGAAAGCAGTGTGATAAATTACGTGAGATGGCGTGCGCAGGTGAACTTGGTCGGCGGCTACTACGACGCCGGCGACAACGTCAAGTTCGTGTGGCCGATGTCTTTCAGCGTCACCTTGCTAAGCATGGCGCTTGTGGAGTACGGATCTCAGGTTGCCGCCGCCAGCCAGCTTGGCAACCTCCGGACGGCGATCCGGTGGGGGACGGACTTCATTCTACGCGCCCACACATCTCCGACAACATTCTACACTCAGGTCGACCACCCTCTCTCCCTCTCTCTCTCTCTCTCGCTCTCGCTGTGAAATGAAACTGACGGGGATGGAGGGTGTCTTCATGGCGTAGGTGGGAGATGGGAATTCGGACCATCAGTGCTGGGAGCGTCCGGAAGACATGGACACCCCTCGAACACTTTCCAAGATCACGCCCAGCTCTCCCGGTACGGAGGCCGCCGCCGACGCCGCCGCAGCGCTTGCTTCTGCCTACATCGTCTTCAGAGGTGTCGATGCCAACTACTCTGCCAACCTCCTCGCCAAATCTCGTACGGTGAGTCGGCCCGGACGCCTCGACGGCACTCTCCTTGCTGTATTTCTCTCTGGTTCTTCATCTTCTTCCGGTGCTTGAACCGCGATAACTCTTCTCCTCCACAGCTCTTCGACTTCGCCGACAAGTACAGAGGATCCTATCAGAAGTCCTGCCCATTCTACTGCTCCTACTCCGGTTTTCAGGTTAGTTATCTGATGCAGATCCCCGTCTCTCTCTCTCTCTCTCTCGCTCTCTATCTATCTATCTCTATCTCTGTTCTAAATATACGTATATACCCATAAAAATCCCTCTCTCTATCAAACTATCTGTCTGTCGATGTGTCCATCTATCAATCAACCTGTGTTCGTATCTACATATCTCGGTTCGGAGTGAACATAGGAACTTGAGTAGACGTGGATATAACGTGGGGAGTTTCTTCGGGACTGAAGGACGAGCTACTGTGGGCGGCGGCTTGGCTGTACAAAGCGACCAAGGAGTCCAGGTTCCTGAGATTCCTCACAGACAACCAGGGTTGGAGCACACGCATGAACGAGTTCAGCTGGGACAACAAGTACGCTGGCGCCCAGGTCTTGCTCGCGAAGGTACTCTCTCTGTGTGTCTCTCTCTCCCCTGCCTCCCTCCCTCCCTCTCTCTCTCTCTCCTCTCTCTCTCCCTCTGTCTGTCTGTCTGTCTGTCTGTCTGTCTGTCTCCCTCTCTTTCTCCCTCCCTCCCTCCCTCCCTCCCTCCCTGTCTGTCTGTCTGTCTCTCGTTCTATCTCACTCTCTCTCTCTCCCCCCCTCCCTCCCTCCCTCCCTCCCTCCTCTCTCTCTCTCTCCCTCTCTCTCTCTCTCCTCTCTCTCTCCCTCTGTCTGTCTGTCTGTCTCTCTCTCTCTCTCCCTCTCTTTCTCCCTCCCTCCCTCCCTCCCTCCCTCCCTGTCTGTCTGTCTGTCTCTCGTTCTATCTCACTCTCTCTCTCTCCCCCCTCCCTTTCTCTCTCATCCGTGATTTGTTCTTGTTATAGGAGTACGTCGGCGGGGCTACCGGCCTGGCCAGGTACAAGAGCGATGCAGACTCATTCGTGTGCTCGTTGATGCCAAGAAGCAGCAGCCGACAGATCAGAACGACTCCAGGCACGGCCACTCCGCCCCATTATTATCGTCGGAATTAATTAGTACAGTTGAAGATTTTCATCGTGCGCAAACAGATTATTTCTGGGAAGAAAGTGATCGAGGATTTCTCCTTATAAGACAGATGAATTTATTTTTTACTGCAATTATGAATTATGTTTTATTCGTAAAGATATTCCTTCAGCTCTGAAATTAGACGAAATCACTCGGATAAATCCTGAAATGCATACAAGCTTTTATAACGGAGAACTAATTGGATCTTCCTGTTGCATCGACATTCCCGCAGGGGGTCTTCTGTTCACGCGAGATAACTACAACATCCAGTACGTCGCCGGTGCGACCTTCCTGCTGTCTCTCCACGCCCGGACCACCTCCTCTGCCGGTGGCGTCCGCTGCGGCTCGACGGCAATAACCGCCTCGGAGATCAGCTCCTTCGCCAAATCTCAGGCGGGCTCCCTGTTACTGTGCCTTCTTTTTCATCATCTTCTTCGTCTTCTTCTTCATCGTAATCTTCTTTTTGACGGAGCAGGTGGACTACATCCTAGGGAAGAATCCGCTGGGGATCTCCTACATGGCCGGATACGGCCAGAGGTACCCGACGCAGGTACACCATCGCGGCGCCTCCATCCTCTCCATCAAGGTCCTCCCCAGCAAGGTCAGCTGTGGCGAGGGCTTCTCCACCTGGTTCAACGCCCCTCGCCCCAACCCTAACGTCCACGTCGGCGCCATCGTCGGAGGTCCCGACTCCAACGACCGCTTCCAGGACATCCGGTCAGACTATTCTCACCTCGAGCCCACCACCTACATCAACGCCGCTTTCGTCGGCGCTGTGGCTGCTTTCGTTGGCAGCTCCACCATGCTTGAACACGGATACCCCGGCGTACCGTCCACAACCTCCGAACTCCAGGATATCTGCTCCGCGTAAGAAATTCTCTCGACGACTGGTTCACACGTTAGGAAGGCAACAGTTTGGACGCAAATCCTGTAAACGGAGGGGCTGTTGTGCTTGTACGCCAATCTCTTTCTCTTGTTTCCGTCGTTGATATATGTAACTCTGCGCTTTACTACTTGCTCCATTTTCCTGTACTTCGCGTTTACACCATGTTAACAAAAATCTCAATTGAACGTCATCATTTACGTCACATTTTATTCTCCCTCTACATATCTCGGCCACCGGCCACGAAAGCCCGTCCGTCATAACTGGTTCGCATGTCAAGAAGTCAAGGGTTTGGACGCCCTGACAAATATCGCTGCCGTTGACCCTTTGTGGTGGCGTGCTGTGGGTGAAAGTACTGTGGCTGCAGGAGTATTAGGGTATACATGCCGCCGCCCTGAACCCTCAAATCTTCACCGCCGGGGGCAGCGACATGCCGCCGCACCTGTGCCTGCACAGGGCAGCGCGGGCGGTAGCGGCGCAGCAGCGCCTGCACTGCATCCCCCACGCCGGCTGTTGGAGAAATATGCTGCAAGATGGAAGAGTTCAGTATGGCGCCCACTGGCGGTAGCTCGTTGAGAAGGTCGACGCATCTCATTGCACGAGATTCTCTAACGCTCTGTCTCTATGACAGCCTCTAAGTTTGGCGTTGTCTCATTTTTAAAAACATCATATTTGGAGGAAAGTCGGGAAAAATCTATGCGATTGAGTTCACTATTGTCTGGAATGGGGTGCAAAATAAGGACGTAAGCTTTTCAAATGGTTGCCTCCAGTTATGGGATGAACCATGACCCTAAGAGCGGCTGTTTTCTTCTATGAAGCAGCTCCTTGTAGGAAAAGAAATTGAAAAAAAAGAGAGGAAAATGGCTTGGAATCGGATAAGGGAGAGGATTGTTCGTGGAGAAGAAAAAGTCCCTAAAATAAAACACTTTGATCATTTCAATAGAGTATAGAGAGAGAGAGAGAGAGAGAGAGTTTTTATATAAGGGAGAAAAGAGGGTAAAGTGAGCCGGTCCACTTTAGCATGGCACGTGCCTTACCTTCATCATGTCATCAATGTTTTCCCATATTGTCTCTATATCTTTAACAGTCTTTCATTAATTATCAACATTCCCAGTAGTTTCTTATTGTTTTGAAGTCTATGACAACATTTGAATTAAAGGTGAAAATAAATATGTTAGTACCTTTTTGTGATCTATTGATCCTAATAATCACTATCAGTAAAATCAAATAGTTTAAATTGAGAAACTTGATTTTATATAACTTTATAGTTGATTATCTCTCAATATATAGCAAATCTCATCTTGATGCTCCAATATGATGAATTAATGAACAATGTATAAGTCTTGAAATTATGTCGACATGAAATATTATATCATGCTGACTATGACTTAAATACATGAAAATATCAACTAATTTTCTAGAGAAATATACATTATTTTTTTAGTCTCATCATCAAGTCATAATTTTTTATTTAGTGCACAACTTTTTTAATATATCAAATGAATAATTTGTTGGGTTCAACATGGTTAAGTGGACACCAAGAAGGCAGGTGAATTAGTTTCTTACATTTTCTGTTATATTCTTTTGTTCTATCTGCATGTGTATGTGTCAACACATGGCCTCACAAAACCTCTTTGTTTTGGGTATAAGTTTACCTAAGTTGGTCTCTTTTTATGTGTGGGTTCACTTTAGTCTCTCTCTCACTCTTCACCAACAGGGACATAAGAGTTTTTATATTAGTACACTCTTCACTAGGTTACGTCTAGTCTCAAAGGATATTTTCTACTATAATTTACTATCTTATTTTGAAAATACAACTGATTTCATGAGATCAATGGGTTAATCAATTCAATCTGATCTCCACAGATATCATCCACTCATGAATAGAATTTAAACCTCACTAGCATGTGTTTTAATTAAATACATCGATCTCTTCAAAGACCACACCCTTCACATGTATTAATAAGTTCTTAGCACACTATGTCTAACCTCAATCTCTTTACTTATCACCTAAGTACCTTAGGGCTCAATGGAGAGAGTCAACCTTTGAAGTAGTAGTTGATTTGAATCACTATAGTAGAATGATTTGTATGATATTTTTCCAACTCTTTCTTTAAAGCTCATAGTAACTTTTCTTTGATAAATGAAGTATGATATATTTATCAGAGTGTGAATGACATGGTGATAAATTTCTTCATTCAACATTAGTTCAAGTTCTTTGTAAGCTCACTCCTTATATTCTTCAATATTTTTCTATCTTTTCATCACCCAAAAAATTGTCATGTGAATCTAAATTTCTTCTAGTTGTTCTACCAACATGCTAATGACCATCAATTATCCATCAATTCAAAACTTGTTATTCTCGTTTTAGTTGTTCTTAATCTTTTTTCTGAAGATTTTTAATACACTAATGGATATTTTTACTTTCAAGGTTAAGTTCAAATAAGTTCATTGACATTGTCATTTTGTCCATCTATTCTCTTTACGTGTTACCATCCAAAATGTGTGGTTATGATCTTTGCTTGTTCTTTACTTTGAAGCTCATTTTTCTCATGTATGTTGTACTTGAAATTTAATCTAGAGATTCACAACATATTGACGATCATCTTTTGGGGTCAAGTCCAAATAAGTTAATTTGATTTATCATTTTTTATATATATTTCACTGACGTGTAATTATCCTGAATACTTGGCAAAGACTTCTTCTCTTATGTGAGAGCTTCGTGCAAATGATTCATTTATGCCATTTTACAAGATTGGAGTTTGAATCTTGTCTTAACCACTGACCATGTTATATTACTTCATAATTCTATAATCAGCTTCCCAATGTGTCATTTCTTAGGTCTTAATTTCAAATCTCACCAATGACTTTGTTTTTCTTGATTTTTAAATATTTCAGCTATTGTAAGTTCCATCTTTTCGTTGCTTAAGTCTTGAGTTCAAGTTCTACACTTGACATCATACTTTGATTTTCTAAGTAATTTTCTCATTGAGGCTTCTAACTTCATGTTGCTTAGGTCTTGCTTAGGGCTTAAGTAACTTCATGTTGCTTACTTAGAAATTTTCTAAGTAACTTCTAATTTCAAATTATGTAGGTGACTTATCATTTCTTGATTTTACATGAGTCGTTGTCATATGTGCTGACACCTATTTTTCTATACTTATATATGAGAAATATGATACTTTATTTTATTCAATATAGAAAATATATCAAGAATATAACTCCTCAGATTCGTTGTTAGCCATAGGGTTATTCAAACATCACCAAGGTATATTTTCAATGTCTCTTAATGATATTAGACTTGTAATCTAAGTATTTATGAAAATAATTTATGATTTAGTGAATAGTTAATAAATAATTAAAATAAAATTTCACTTCAAAGTGTTGAAATTAAAGGCATCAACATAATTCTCTTGCAAAACGAATAAACCAGAATTTTTAAAAAAAATTGGAGCACAAGAAAGTAATAGAAAAAACCTAAATATCTTATGTCGAATTCAGCTATCATAAAAGTTTTGAATTAAAAAATGAATAAAGAAGATGGTTAGATATATGTCATGTCATCTACATATATACACAATATAATTTCATTTCATCTTCACATAAAGATTTAGCTAACTAACATTTCTATTAAGGTTATGGTCATGAAGATATGGGTCATATACTATTCCATGCTTTTGCTACTTGCTTAAGTCTATAACATATCATTTTAATCTTTACAGTTGATTATCATTATCATTAATCACAACGCTTTGTGCATGCTCAACATATGCAGTGTCATCTAAAAAATAATCTTTTTAAAAGGTAAATTTAACATCAAATTAAAATACAAGTCATCTTATTTGTGCAGGCATAAGTTGTAATTATTTTAACTCTAATAACATGTGAAAATGTTTCAAAATAATCAGTACCAAATAGTTGTACTTGTCCTTTTAAAATAATCAGTCTTGTCTTGTATTTCTATATCTATTTGGTTTTATCCTTTGTTTTATAAACCTACTTCACACCAATAACTCCATTACTTAAAATAGATTTACAAGTTTTTGTATGTCAATTTTTTACGTCATAACAATATTTTCCTTCATCAATTTATTCCATTAATTCTTATCTTGGGCCTTTCATACCTTATTGGTTATACAACCATAAAAGTAAAAATGCATGTTTCATACATTTCACTTAAAGATCATATGTTCCTTAGATGACTCATAGAATCTAGACAATAATCATTGCAATTCTCAAAATTACATGAATAACTTCGAGACTCACTCCAAAAAAATCTTGATGATATCTTCAACCATTATATCTTAAACTAATTATGTCAACTTTTATACATTTCCAGAAAGATGTACTTGTCAATGATTCTACGAAAAATCATTTAAAAGTTACTTCTTGTTTAGTAATCTTTTAACTATTTCTACCATTATTTCTTTCTTTAATTCAGAAATACCATTTTGTTGTCAATTATCTAGGAATGTCAAGTTTCTTACAACAATAATAAAATTAATAAGATAAAAATTCTCTCCCTCTATGTATTATAAGAGTTTTTATGACATACTACTAGACCTCCAACATACCTAATAGGCTTACACTAAAAGAAGAAAGAGACAATACTAGGCCCATAAGAACCTAATAGTCCAAACATCAAGAAGAACATGGAGAGCCTAAACCACAACATGCCTCAAATCCTTTTCATGTTGGATGACCTGTAAAAATCAATCTCAAATACTAAGAGGATAGTATGATGAGGGAAAAAACCATGTGAAAGAAGAGAAAACAAGTGCAATGATGCAAAAAATAACTCGAAATGACAAATAATCCATCTACAAAAGTGAAAAGATATGTATAAGATACGGAATATTGTAAAGGGCGTGTTGGACTAAAATGGATTGACTATATTGAACATTGGAGAGGAAGTAGGCATTTGGAGATGCCTCTATTCAATAGAGGAAATCTTAATGAATGGATATTTTTTACAACATTGTTTTTCTCCAAGAATAGGATAAATGAGGTAGAAAAGTTGATGGTCGCAGGATTCATATTTAAATATGAAGCATTGATTTGGTTCAATTGGACTAATGTAAGGAGCCCCCTCAGAAGCTAGAGGCACTTGAAACACCAATTTATATGGCTTTTTCACTCTTCCCAAGTGGGGAACTTACAAGAACAGTTCTTAGATATAAAGGACCTTATCACAATCAAAAATATATATAAGAGATTTGGAAATTATGTCTAACTTTATCAGAAGAATTCTCAAAGTTTTGAAAAATATTTTGAATAAAGGCATTTTTTAAGTAACAACGTCACTTGGAGCATCCATAAATAAGGAGGCTAAAAATAATCAAAATATATTATCCTAGAAGCATTACTTTCTCTTCCTTACTAACACATTTTCATCATAAATATTATTTTTAGTGTACCTCTTATAAGTCTAACAAAGGACAAGTAAAACACCAAGAAAGGAGGGGAAATTAGGTTTCCACAAGTTTTTAATAAATAAATAAAATCTTTTAGTAGAAGTGCTGACACAAATTTTCTCATAGTTCTTTATCTTAATGCGAGTTCTCTCAAGACTCTCTCTCTCTCTCCTCACCACTAAAAACATCAAAACGTTTTATACTGGTTCACCCCTCACTTGACTATTTCAAGTCTTGGATGATCTTTTATAGCAAAGTTTATTATTTTTTCAGAAATACACACATTTTTACGAGATCAACCACCCAACGACAAAGTTATGTCTCCTCAAAGACCTCACATTTTAAGGGCTCAATCAAATCATCAGCACCTCGTGCTTTGGCCCAAATACATCTCCCCTCACTACCAAAATATTTTAGGACTTGATGGAGAACATCAACTTTTGAGGTGATGTTATTTAAATCATCAAAGTCAAATGAAAAAAAATCAAATGCAGCATTCTATACTGAATTAAAGCTAGCAGTGATTAAATTTTGAGAGAAATCCGTAGGTAATCATTAAAGAGCTCTTTATATCTTCTCAAGTTTTTTTCGTGTTATAGTCTTTGTTCTGCAATCATTTTTTGTCTTGAAAATTGATCAAGTAATTTCAAAAATTTGACTGATGTCAAGAATGCAAATCAATGACTGTTATCTAGTTCATGGTACAAAACTCTCTATTCTCTCATATGTTTAATTTAAAATTTGAATATAAGATTTGTTTCTTGTCAACAAACAATCTTATTTTCAAGTCAAGTCCAGATAAACACATTTGATCAATTGTTGTCTCCTCATATGCTTTCATCTTGTCACCATTCAAATTTAAAGTTTGAGACTCACACATGACTTTGATATTTCATAAGTTTTCAAGTATTTTCACATATAATCTTCTAACATGTCACCATTTAGATTTTAGGTTTGAAACTCACATGTGATTTTGATATTTCATGAGTTTTTAAATACTTCATCACATGAGTTGACATTAAACTTCATGTACTTATGTATGAAATCTAAGATGTTATATTTCAATGTTAGTTCTATTGTACATGAAAAATTAATTCATCTTAAGAATTAACTCTTTGAATTCACTTGTTGGCCATAAGATCAAAAAATCATTAAACATCATATTTATTAAATAATCTTAGAAATATTAAACATTTAACACAAGCTCTCATCATATATGGTATTCACATTTTAATATCAAAACCAAGGACATGAACACCTCTTGCATCAATGCCTACAAAGATATACTTAAATTACATGAGCTTGGGAAACCTCTCAAAATTCACATGATACGTCAAGTATTAACTTTGTTGCTGACCATCAATCCCTCCATTTTCAAAGGCACATGCTTGCAAATCCTTTGTTGCTGACTATCATCTTGGTGCCTATTACTTATCTAGCGGCAAAAAGATTTACATTATGATGTGGTAAGGCATTAAAATGTTATGGGTAGTAAATTATAAGGCAGTAATAAGTAATGAGATGTTGTTGACATCAAAGATAAGTCTAATTATTTAATGAGTTTTATTGAAATAAAGTTGTGAATGGCTCTAGTACATATCAATATTATTATTAGTGTGGGTGACCACATGACACCTTTGAGTTTCATTTTCTCATAATTGAGTTTAGGGACAGTTCTAAATTTTCTAGAGTTCATATTTTCACTCTTATTTATCTTTTTAATTTGAATGTTTTCACTATACTCTCAAAATTATATTCAGGATCTTGACCATCTTCATTTACTAATAATATATGTAGCTCAGTTTTATATATGTATCTATAATCATATTTTTCTATTGCACAAAAAGCATAAACTCTTCACCATGCATGCTCAAAGTTTAGCCTCATTAAGGTTTAATATCATTTTGCTCCTTTGCAAGTGTTACGATGGTGGGTCATTGTGTTATCTTATAATTGAGGATCCCAAAGGAATGAAGTAGCAAGTATTCTCATGCAAAAAAATCACAAAAAACCAACATAATCTTAAAAAACTGTTGGAAGGATGCATTAGAGGTATAAGGAGAATAATCAAAATTAGGTTTATGGCATATGCAGATTTAACTCCATGATATAAAATTAGGTGTTATTATAAGTTTTATTTAGAATTATTACTATAATTTATTTCATTGTAGTTATCTGAACCAAATAACATAAAATAAGGGTGCCACTGTTTGTGATGAGAGATAATTCTCTCTCTGAGTAGAAAGAAGAAGGATTTGTAACACCCATTGACTAAAGAAAATTCTCCAAACCACATTAGTCTGACATGCTACGTTTTTCCTCACTCTCTCTATCTCTTATTGTACTTTTTTACACTGTGTAAGAAGGAGAACGCCTAACATGACAAAGGCATTGTATTTGGAATCTTCAATTAGAGCTTAAGGATACCTCTAAGAGTATGTGAAAGCTCATTTGGCCACCCTTATATGGCAGACCTGTGATGGTCCCTTAAGGAGAGACGTCAGTATCAAGATGGCGATCCTCATGAGACCATAAGAGTGATTAATTCCTAGTTTTTTTCTTACTTTTATGAACCACTTCTCCAATAAAAGATGTGGGGTTTAAATGTCTACACCGTTAAGACCTGTGGAAATGTTGTCACTTCCCTTCCGCACCTGTCCTAGATTAAAGTGCCGACACTACATTAGGGTTTGACACTTTTACTCAAGAGTTATATTAGGGTTTGACTAGATTCATAAAATTTTGAAAGACGTAAGACTATAGTAGGTGCAACTGAGGGTCGGTCATCTCACTGTTCAGGTGCGATCGTCACCACCACGGCAGCGCTCTCTCTCTCCCGCTCGCTCTATACACCACCCCCCCGCGCCTCAGGCTGGGTTCAACGGGGCCCAGGTCCGGTCTGTTGATAAAAAAAAATGCTACCTACGGCAGTAGGGTGGGTTCGGAAGCACGAAAGGACTCTGGATCTCATCAAAGAAAGAAGCAACGTGGGGGCTGGGCGAAGTTGATCTTCTAGCATGTCTGGTCAACTTTCCGGAAGAACTGGTCGCGCAAATCTCCGTGGGAGAGTCGTGGTTTCCTCTCAGTAGGAATTCTACGGCCAGATCTTTCTGTTTCCTTTGACTAATTCGGAGTCGGAGACTCCCTCAGAGAGAAAGGAGTGAAATAGAAGGTCTTCGGACGGGAAACATGAAGGTCGAATAGCTATTGCACCATCCATCCACGCGTAGCGATCCTGCAGATATCATGCAGGTAATGACGATCCCCGTTCAGAAACGTGGGGGAAACAAGGTACATGGGGTCAGCATGGACGAGGGGGAGAAGGAACACTCGACGAGAGAGAGAGAGAGAGAGGAAACGAAGATGCTGGTGGGATGGGCCGAACTCAGTCCTCGGTGGAGGTGTGGGGCCGAGCTCTAGCTTCACGGATCTGCTCTCCAATTCCCTCTACTCTCCGGAAACCCGTTTCGTCTCCCACCACTCTCCCCCTCCACGATATGAGAGGTAGAACACGACTATAAATGAAGCAAGGACAGCACAACCTCAGGCACTAAGACATCGAGGGATACGGGGGGAGAGAGAGAGAGAAGAGAAGAGAAGAAAAGAGAGAGAGATAGAGATGAGGAGGGAGAGGAGGATGAATGCAGCTGTGGTGTGGATGTGTTTGATGGTGTGGGCGAGTGCTGTCGCTGCCGGCACTGTGGAGGTGTCCGAGGGTTCTTCCTCCCTGCAGGCCACCGGCTACGCTGATGCGCTAGGGAAGGCCATCCTCTTCTTTGAAGGGCAGCGCTCGGGGAAGCTCCCTCCAGGGCAGCGGGTCACCTGGAGGGGTGACTCCGCCCTCTCCGACGGCCGCCTCGAAAACGTACCCCTCAGCTTCCCCCACCTCGTAGACCTGACCATGTCTATTTTTCTTCTACCCAGCGTTTTATGCAAAATAGCACTCATTTCCTTCCCGAAACGCCACATTATTTCACTAGATGGATGTCACCACTTTACTATGTTTTATACTTCCAAGACCAACGCTTAACCACGTAAAGAACGGACGGCATTGATCTTCATCCACCCTGTTTTTTCTCGTTGGTACTCTTACCCATTTTTCATTGGTCAGATATTCGTTTTATACCATGCTAGTTTAAATGTTTTAAGATAAAATTAAAATCCAAATTAAGAAATAAAACTATTTCCGTTGCAGACTCATTCATTCATCTTTTTTAGGCGTCTCAAGAATTACAATGAAGGTATACTATTTTCGTCATTAAATTTGTGTGCCCACGCGTCTACGAAAGAGCGTTTTATTTTAGAGTGAAACCTCGTCAAATCCATGCACGCGCTGCACGTTGTGAAGGGTGGAGAGAGTTGGGAGATAGAGTGCGACGGATTTCTGATTGCCGGCGTGCGCAGGTGGACTTGGCCGGCGGCTACTACGATGCCGGGGACAACGTCAAGTTCGTGTGGCCGATGTCTTTCACCGTGGCCTTGTTGAGCACGGCGGCTGTGGAGTACGGGCCTCTCGTTTCCGCCGCCGGCCAGCTTGGCCACCTCCGGACGGCGATCCGTTGGGGGACGGACCTCATTCTACGCGCCCACACATCTCCGACGACATTCTACACCCAGGTCGGCCACCCTCTCTCTCTCTCTCTCTGTCTCCCTGTGAAATGAAACTAATAGGGAGGGGGGGCGTTTTCGTGGCTCAGGTGGGAGATGGGAACTCGGACCATCAGTGCTGGATGCGCCCAGAAGACATGGACACCCCTCGAACGCTCTACAAGATCACGTCCAGCTCTCCCGGTACAGAGGCCGCCGCCGACGCCGCTGCAGCGCTCGCATCTGCATCCATCGTCTTCAGAGGAGTCGATGCCAACTACTCGGCTAACCTCCTCGCCAAATCTCGCACGGTGAGTCGACCCGGCCGCCTCGACTTCACCCTCCGTCCTGTACTTCTCTCTGGTCGTTCTTCTTCCGGTGCTTAAACAGCGAGAACTCTCCTCAGCTCTTCGACTTCGCCGACAAGTACAGAGGATCCTACCAGCAATCCTGCCCGTTCTACTGCTCCTACTCCGGCTTTCAGGTTAGTCGCCGCCAACACATCTCTCTCTCTCTCTCTCTCTCTCTCTCTCTCTCTCTCTCTCTCTCTCGCTCTCGCTCTGCAAAAGATGAAGCTTAAACGTGGAGTGGTTTCCTTGGGAGCAAAGGACGAGCTGCTGTGGGCGGCGGCTTGGATGTACAAAGCGACCAAGGAGTCAAGGTTCCTGAGATTCCTCACCGACAACCAGGGATGGAGCTCCCGCACCAACGAGTTCAGCTGGGACAACAAGTTCGCCGGCGTCCAGGTCTTGCTCGCAAAGGTACCCCCCACCCCTCTCTCTCTCTCTCTCTCTCTCTTTCTCTCTCAACCATCTGAACTCGTCGTCTTCGATCTCTTCCTGAAGGAGCACGCCGCGGGGGCGACGGGGCTAGCGAGGTACAAGACCGACGCAGACGCATTCGTGTGCTCGCTGATGCCGCGGAGCAGCTCGCTGCAGATCAGAACGACCCCAGGCACGTCTAAAGTCAAATCAACGCCCTAAAGATATTAATAACATTTCCTCAATTAACTTATATACAAATAATGCTTAATTACCCAGGTTTAAATATACAAAATTACGACACTATAATCCCACTAAACCGAGATTAATCCAGTTTTTTGGTATAAAATATATGCATAATACTAAAATAGCTAATTTGGGTCGTGGCTTTCCGCAGGAGGTCTTCTCTTCACGCGGGACACGGCCAACATCCAGTACGCCGCCGGCGCCGCCCTCCTGCTGTCTCTCCACGCTCGGACCACCTCCTCCGCCGGCGGCGTCCTCTGCGGCGCGACGGCGATAACCTCCTCGGAGATCAGCGCCTTCGCCAAATCTCAGGTGAGCTCCCTGTTCTTCTGCCTTCTTCTTCTTCATCATCATCTTCTTCGTCTTCTTCTTCATCTTAATCTTCTTCTTCCTCTGACGGAGCAGGTGGACTACATCCTGGGAAATAACCCGCTGGGGATCTCCTACATGGCGGGGTACGGCAAGAGGTATCCGACGCAGGTGCACCACCGCGGCGCCTCCATCCCCTCCGTCAAGGTGCTCCCCGGCAAGATCGGCTGCGGCCAGGGCTACTCCGCCTGGTACTCCGCCGCCGGCCCCAACCCTAACGTCCACGCCGGCGCCGTCGTCGGAGGCCCCGACTCCGGCGACCGCTTCCAGGACGTCCGGTCGGACCACTCCCGCCTCGAGCCAGCCACCTACATCAACGCCGCCTTCGTCGGCGCCGTTGCCCCCCTGGCCGGCGGCGCCGCCGTCCTGCAACACGGCCGCCCCAGCGGCGCCCTCGCAAGCTCCATCCTCTGAGGGGCCGCGAACTGCGGTGTACTGTGAAGGGGGCCTCTATTCCAAGTTGAATGGATTTCAGTTTACTCCGAATCACTGTCTACATCCATGAAACTGTACTTCTTCGATCTGTCAATTCCGATGACTAAGGTTCCTGGGTTATCTTCACTCCAGGCGATGCCTTCCTTCTTCAGGAGACCGGTGGCCTGCAAAATATTCGAGCCAACCGCTGAACGAAAAGACTCCCAGATTATTCAACAAAGTTTGACCATTTTTGCTTCTTTTTTTTTTTGGCTAATAATTTCTAGGAAGTCCAAGCAGAAGATCTCAAGAACCCGGTTTCCCTACTGGTCAAACACGCAGATTCATCTACTTTTCAGAAAATCAGAACAGAAAATGGACGGAGGTGGGAACCAGTAAAGAACTGCATTCATTATAAGAGCATGAAGGACAGAAACACATCTCATCTTCCCCAAAATGGCGAAGATGAGAGGATCAAGAGCGGAAAAATTAATATCCCATACCGATTGCTTCAGTCTTCCCCCGCCGCCAACGCTGTGTCTGCCGCACCCAGTGATGACTCTGAGAAACTTTATCGCTGTAGACGAAGAACAACACGGTGGATTAAAACATAAAAGGCCGTCTTTGGAGAGGAACCACAGGTTAAGAGTCGCCTGGAACTTACAAGGAACGTAAGTCAACAGTAACAGGTGGACCTTCAAGAGTCTGATCGCCTGCTTAACATGTTGCCCGTGTAGATCAATCGTCACTGCGTTGCCAATGTCCTTGTTTCTGTGGTGGTAGCAATCATTTAATTGCCGTGCTTAGCTAGTAAATCCGCGACTAATGGAGGTCAAGTTCATCAAAAGCTACGCTCACCTGGCTTCGAAGATCTCCTGGCTGGCCTTCTCTTCGGCATCGTGGGCGAGTTTACTGCAGAACTTCCCCTGTACCCACACAGTTAAATAGACTGATTGAAAATCTGGAGCTTAAAAAGCTGGAAATGATTTAGACATCAACTGAGCTATTTGAATGAACAGTACTTTCTCTGACAGGTAACTGGCGTGAGCTCGATCCCCTTTTGAGTAGGCCACCGCAGCCTGTTGATCAGTTCATAGAAAGGTATGTGGGCCTTAGCTATGTTTCTCTCAGAAGAACAACTTGGCATCTGGGTAGGAATGGAACCTTGTAGAAACATACCTGTTGATAGTATGACTTCATCATCGCCCAATGCTGACCTGCAACAGTCCTAAAGACGTCGTCGCCTCCCATTTTATCTGGCACATGACGGGGAAGTGAGTATTGATGCCGAAGGAGCGATGAACAAATGTGTTACACGCAGACTAGAAGTGATGGCCATTAAGAATATCAGGTTTGGAGTTTCTTAGAGTGAATTATTTGTTGCAAATAATTCGCAAAAAAAATGAAATTATTTTCATGTTAGTTGATAAATAACAAGGAATAAAGTTTTAGCAGTTTCAGATTATAGAAACAACCTCCAACCACTGAGCGAAAACTAGAAGGATGATGGATGATATCTAGAGCCTGGTAAAATATTGGTATCATGTACCATTTTGCAGCTTCTGATGAGTTTCTGAAACGCCTGAAGAGAGAAACTGTAACCCCTGGCTGAAGGATTCAACGTTCTTTAGAGCCTTCCTCCAGTTCATAGAGCTAGATTCTTGCTTGGAATTATTGGGCACGTTAAACAACGCCGCTAGTACATCTTGTTGAAGATCCAAATTTCTTGTACCAGGCTCCAATAAAAGCTTCCCTTCAGAAGAAGTGTGATTCTTGTCGCAGTCCCTACAAGCGGTAAGAAAACTTAGCAGCAATAAACGAAGAAAATAACTCTCATCAAACGTGATTAGAAAAAAATTAAATTTATTCGTAACTCCACTTTCACAAGCATTTTCGCCTGCGTAAAGGTCCAACGAACAAAATCATTGGAAGCAGATTTTTTGCTTTGGAAGTTTTCCAGTTTCAAAGTACACTTTGAGCGTACAGACTCTGAACCCGTGGTAATGAGAGTTGAGGAAAAATTTCCTGATGTTGCTGCGAATTCTTCTTCAAAGCAAGCTAGAATAGTAAGATGTCAACGATTTGAAAACAGAAGCGACCAGTTTATGAAGTCAGTACCTTGTCACCGGAAAAGTAGTAAGCCGATGAGTGCAGTGACAGTGGAATGATAAGTGTAAAAAATATAACACTAATCTGGATAATTAGGTCACCTTAATATTACATTAAATTAATTGTTTACAAATATCTGCACACACATTATCTCAGTTCATTGAAAAAACGAATACAAAAGGAGAATCAGAGAAGCTCACCTGTGATCGTCTTGTAAAGCTAGTCCATGCTCAGTTTCTTTTGCCAACGTGTAACATGCTGAGTCCAAATGTCCATACATTGGCTGTAACAAATTAACACCACAAAAAGCCAATCAGGCGCATGCATTTATCAAATTTCCAGATATCTCAGCATCTATGAATTCAGGAGCCTTTGTGCATAGGCAGGATCAATTTTGAGTTTCCACAGTTTTCTTGGATGAGAAGTACAGTAAGATTTCATAAAATCATGATTTACCCAAATCCGAGATGCCAAGTTACCTGAAGCTTTACGTTATTAGGGTCAAACAAGTAAAAGTGGTGAAGTTAGATTTGCTTTTCTCTATTATCGGGTGAATGAATAGGTAATTTTTGCTCGAAAAAAATAATATCTCATGTTCATCCAATAACTGAGAAATTTATCACAGGTTGCATTATTAGTAAGCAACTACTTGTACACTATTTCCGAGAAGTTTGAACAATAAATCTCATGATACAATGCATGGGCGTTGTTAAATATATCAGCCCAAACTAATGCAGTTAAATCCAATCATGAGAGACTTATTCATTAAGTATTTTTCAAAAAATCCTTGGATTGAGAACACGCTTTTTATTTTGTAATGCATACAATATCTTAAAGTTTCTTCAAGGGGTCTTTGTTCCGATCTCAGAACGAATGGAGTCATATGACCAAAAGCAAGAAATATATCATCAATAATTAATTTACAATAACAATAATATAATAATATAATAATAATAAAAGACCATGATGTCTTCATTTACGAGATTGACAGATCCTCGAGAAAGCAGAGTAACAAAAGGTTAAATGAAGCCCATTAAACTAAACACTAAAAAGCACCTGGGTCTTAATTGTGTCACCATTCGGGAAGCCATTGATTGACCCTTCAGTTTGAGCCGTCATATGACCTAATTTGTTATAATCATTAGAACTTTCTATCGATTTGTTGCTTGATGAACTACACATATCTAGCAATGTATCCAACGCCTGAATGGCAAAACAGAGAAAAATTAGCGCAATTGATTTTTTTCCTCTAGTTGAAAATGAATTAAAATATTAAAAATATGCATCTCATGTACCTTAGAAATTCTATTAGCAATATGAAAGCAGATCCGATTCGTTTATCAAACAACGAAACATTATTTAATGATGGGAAACAAATTCTAGAGAACATCATTGATGGAAACTGACCATCGTAAGTGCCCTACACAAGAAATACTCGATGATAGACTTTGTCATACATCCTTTGTAGCAATTAACGAAAATGGTGTAAAACATATCTTATCGTTCCATGTCTATTCTGAGCATAATCGCTCTCTGAACAGTGCCAAAGGAAGGACCCATAGAAGAATAGGCCAAATGCACCCCATCTAGGGATTAATAAACACGGATATCCACAGTCAATACCCTTACAATAAAATATGGTGGCATAAGGAAGTACGGTCTGACGAAATTACTGAAAATTTCCCCTCTGCTATGAATTTCCCGCTCTCTCTTCCAGTTACTGATCATGAGTAACCATCAATGGTGTATACATTGAAAATGCTTGAGCATGGCCAACAACGGCTACAACAATCTACGATTTTTCATCGTTAGTGCATAAATTTAACATCATGATTGTATCACGCAAAAGAAAGCAATGGATAAATAAATCAGCAAGAATCAATAATCCACTTCCGCTCCATAGGCATAATATAGTTTCCCATGAACTGGCAATAAAGAGTGTATATAATTCATACGATTTTCCAATTAATTGGAAATATGCATTGTTTGCATGAACCTTTACACAAGAAAACGCAAATTCAAATAGATGTCGAATGGCTATGCGTTGGGTTAGTACCTTTTCCACGTCATAACCTGAGTGCCCTGCAAAGATCGACTTATTGGTTATTCTTCATAAAACGAAGTGTGATTCATGCGGCAGAAAGCCAGAAAGTATGCAAGAATACCAAAAAAAGTATGATATCCACAAGGTTTCTAAAGAGATATCCATCGGATGAGAAGAGAGATGCCTTGGGTTGAGACCAGTGCTGAGAATGAGGGCGACAGAGTAGTTTTTGTTGACCCGGTAGAGATATAAAAAGTGAGTTTCTTATGTAACTAGGTCTCAGGAAACATCCTATTTTCAGTAGCTAAGAAGACTGTAACGTTCGCTAAGAGCTCAGAAGCAACAAGAGCATGAAATTTTTAGTAATGGAGACACTAATGAAATGAGCCAAGTATAAAGAACAGTCGCGCGCATTATTCGTATTGGGAAGAGTAGGTGCTACACAATCGTTCCTTGTGACGAGCATTACTATGAAGAAGGGAGATGGCAGGGAATCGAACGGGTGCGAAGCAAGTGAACACTAACCGAATACGTCTTTCACCACAGCGGGATCTAGGTCGCAAGATCCTCCCAACATTGAGCACAGAAACTCCTCCGCTTCCTCTTGCGAATAGTACACGTTCCAGGGTCTCTTAGGCCTGGAACATTCACTCCTCTTCCCCCGTTCCGCCGAAACAGAGCCTCCATATTCCTTGCTGATCACATTCGCCACCAATCCCGTGGAAGCCACGACCTTCTTCTGCTTCCGCCTACCACCACACTTATTCCCCATTGACGGCTGCCCAGTTGAACCCCCGCACATGGTCGATTCCGCCGATGAGGCCTCCAGAATCTCTGCGGTCCTGAAAGGATCTCCATCCGCCTCCTGGTAAGCTGACTTCACCCGCTCCAACGAATACGAAGAGAAAGCCTCGATCAACAAATTTAGGGTCCTCTCCTGTTCCTCCGTTTCCCGCTTATCTGACCCCGATTGATCCTCTCTCTTTCCTTCTGGGGGGCACGCGGCGTCCGCAGCAGCGTCTGCCTGAGAAAGAGAGGTGGCCGCAGAGGCGCCCTTCTTCTTCCTCTTCCCGCCGGCGGGCTTCATACCTGCTGCAAACGCCGCCACCAACCGGCTGTCGAAGACGGCGACCCCACAGGAAATCGAATTGCTTGAACTTCTTCTTCTATCCAGATAATTTCCCGACGACAGATCACACGTTTGAATCTTCGGGGGCAGATCGGGGAAGACGAACGGCCACAACTAAGACGACTGGCCGTGCACGGAAATCGGCCACAGGAATCCCCAATCCGTTCGGACGTCATTTCTATACGGGTGGACGGGAGTCAACTCGCCCGTTGTAGTTGTCGATGACGTGGATTATCCCACGACTCCAGGGCGATTACCTCTAACTTCGTGCCACGTGGAGCGGGATGGGTGGGCCCTTTACGAACCCACCCATTAGCAGAGTGAAAAATAAATACTTCGTATGAAATTATTAGCATCATAAAAAATAGCGGTAAAATTGTAACCACAATATTACACGTGAAATATTTCATCGAATATTATTTTATGCTTTTATCATATAAATATATTTGATAATCCAAGCCGCACGTCATGACCGAGAGAGAGAGATTGATGCCCACCACATAGAGGTTGACTTTTTGGTGAGATGTCATCGAGGCGTGGACCTAAGAATCCAAACTTGTCACTGTTGACTTATGGAGAACATGATTTGACGGTCCAACGAAGCATGAAAGAGGTTAAAGACGTCCAGTCACAGGTTTTTCTGGGCCCATAAAAGACCTTAATTATTTACGTTATTATTAATTCAATATTATATCCTGGAAAAAGGGTTTTCCTTTTTTTTGAGGTTTTTCATTTTACGAATCCGACAATTAATTATACTATAATTCCCTCATTTATAAAAACCGTTGGAAAATTGGGAATAATTCCAGATAAAAAAAGGGGGATCATAGGAAAAGTGCTCGAGTAAGGGTATAATTCCAAATCAGGAAATTATTTAAAATGGAAATGCTGGACCCATTTCTCTCAAAATCAATTATTATTTATCAACATGTCGCAGGCAGGTAATATTCCCCCACTGCTGGTTGCAGAAGAAGCCGTCGGTCGGCGATGGGCCGCCGACGGATCCAACCACCACGCTCACGGGTCACGACCGCCGTGGGAGGGTCGGTGCCGTTTATCATGACTCCTCACCGCAAATCCCCACGATCAGTGAGGGTGATGGATGAAGCTCTGGCCGTCCGATCTAGCTACTCTTAGAGGCACTGACTGGTCCGGATACACGTCGCAGTGCGCCTTGACTGTGAGCACAGGTATAAAGAGGTGTCCGCAGGGACGTCAGCGCGTGACACTGATCTCACCGGATTCGGGGTTGTTCCAGTTTCTCTCCTCCACTTACGTTTCCATGTGAGTCGATGTGGAATGCTAGCCATCTGGTGGTGTTATGATGGTCGTCGGTTTGGATGCCCGACGGCCGCTATCGTATCCGGATCCGGAAAAGCTACCGCAGGCGTGAAATTTGAATGCGTATGTGAGGCCCACTTTGGCACGTGCCGCCAGTTCCAGGGGAATTCGTGTCGTAGCCGTTCGTGTGGATCCCACATCATTTGGACCACCCTCCCTTTTGTACGTGGGGCCCCACCAGTCTACCATTTCAAACTTTGAAAATTTTCGATTTTTTTATTTTTATCAAAAAATGCGACGTACCGAGGGAGTAAATAAATATTATGGAGGGGGAAGAGGAGGAACCGGCGCTGCTGCACCTTTCGACTGGTGTCGTTTGGCGGAGGATCTGAGCGAGGAGCGGCGGCGGCGGCGGCGGCGGCGCCGGTGACGGGGGAGGGGGGGATTGGACGAGGAGAAGAGGAAGGCGAGGGAAGAGGAAAGATGAATGGCGCGGCGTTGGGAGGAAGGCAGGGGCATCGATCGTCGGCGACGGGGCCTCATCTCCACCAGCAACGCCAGTATGCGGACCACTTCGTCGGGGAGGGAGGGGGTGGTTCTAGTAGTGCCGGCGGCGGGACTTGGCTTCAGCAGGTGAGTCTGGATTTAGGGACTGTTTGCTTCGATCTCTAAGCTTGTTGGGATGAACTGGGAGTGTCACTCCTTTCTCCGTCGGTGTCCCTCTAACCTTTCTCTCGCGGTCGGTTTCACATGACGTGTAGGTGGATAGCTCGAGAGTGTCAAGGTCTATGCATGGGGCTTTGAGCGGGGATTTCTTCTCCGCGGAACCGTCTACGCCGCCCAACTGGTCTCGCGCGTCCAGCAGGAGGAGGAACTGCGAGCGTGCATCGCCTAACGATCTCAGCCCTGGATTATTGGATATCCATTCCCTTGATACGGAGCTCCTTCCGGAGGTATCTTCCTGAGAGACTCTTTGGTTTAGAAAGACGCTTACGTTCAAATGGTTTTGGGACTGGAATGAGTTAGCCATGTGGTGAGGTTATCTCTAATTTCCATTCACAGTCGACTATGCTTTAGATACTAATTTTCAAATGGACATGAAAAATAAGGCCACCCACTTCCTACGTTTTTTTTTTTTGCCTTCTCTTGATTCGGACAGGTTTATTCCCTAAACTTTATTTTCTGCGGAGGAACTCTGTCCTCTGGCATTAATTAATTTAACGATGCCTCATGCAGAAACCAGTTCCATTGTCATACGATAGTGCAGCTACATTTGGTTACGCCCGAGGGGGAAGCTTTGATGATTCTGATCCGAGCATTTATACCAACAAAATGTCAAGCAAAGTTCGTTTGGTGCCAGAAAATAATCTCTCAAAGTGTTTATCTGTAGATAAAGAGAAGGGTTCTGTTGCCAAGATTAAAGTCGTGGTATGCTTTCATTCCTTATTTCAATGGTCTATCGTTTCGTTGCCACATTTTGAAGAATAGCTGGAGAGAACCAAACCAAGGGACACGACTCTTTCAGGAATCAGAAAATGCAATGCCTTTCTTTCTGCTGTGCCCTTACACCAGTTGGGTCTTCTGTTATTTCGCAGAGTTCTTCCTGGAAGTAGAAAACTTAGCGTGTCTGTGTCCTGTACTCGTTCACTAACGATAGATATTCTCTCCAATGCTCGTAGATATAACTGTAGTTATTCACATTATTCCCACATTTTTTTTATGACAGTAGCGATTTGTGGATTCAGGTCCGCAAGAGACCACTGAATAAAAAGGAAGTATCCAGGAAAGAAGAGGACATCATATCAATAGAATCAAATTCGAATTCTCTTGTTGTTCATGAGACCAAACTCAAGGTAAGTATCTGGGATAATCCTGAAGAACATATTTTACCTTTTAAATTATTCTGCATTCCCAAATTTTCTGATGCAAATTTTGATTCTGTTGGCCGGTCGGGTTTCTGGGTACTAGAGAGTGGGACCTTGTTCACGCTTGTAAAGAAGTGCATTTAAGAGGCTGAACTGACTGTTTGCGTATTTTGCTTTTTTTTATTTTTTTATTTTTTTATTGTTGAGAGATGTTTAGAGGGAGTTCCTTATTAGCCCAGATCTTTTGTATGCTCATTTCTACCTTTTGAGCTGCCATATATGCTTCCAACTGTTCTGGTGAGTATTGGAGATGGCTGTTGGGTGAAAATTAAAACTCAACCCTAACTAAGGATCCACTTCAGGAAAAAGGGTTATATGAGCTCACTAGGCTGTTTCTATGAAATACCGAAAATTCAAATGGCAGACTAAGTACCCTACTTTTATCATATTTTCGACATCCCATTCTCCTTTCTGGGTTCCATAAGTAGAAAGTCATACTTGTATATTTAAGGTTAATGGTATTGTCTACAGAATATGATGAGATTGCCTCCTTTAGGGATATGAAGCTGGATACATAATTTTTTCTACAATTTAATCGTATTTGACTTGGTGATTACGATTTTTTATTTTTTTATTTATTTGATTCATTCGCTTCATTCGCTTCCTGCACCACTGTGATATATGTCTTTTGCTTATTTGACGATTGGAATATGTTATTACGTAATTTTCACAAATGTAGCCGTGCCCATAGTCTATTTATTCAAGCTATCCTTGGTTACTTGGTCAGGGTTACCCTAACATCAAAAAAAGTGGCAGGATTAATTTTATGACCCTGAAAATTTAACATATGATGTTGTGGCTGTACTAGAGTTAGTCGAACAGATATCTTCAATTTTCATGCATTGTACCTATTGTGTTGGATTCCAATGTCTACATTTTATAAGGAAAAACCACAGACTAGTACATGGTAGTTAAAAAAAAAAATTATATAATTTTTGCTGCAGGTTACATCTTAGTGGTACCTAGAGATCTGATTTGCAGTCAATTAAAAACCTCAGCCTGAAAAGTTGAATGGCTTGTCTTCTTCACTATGTTTTGATGATTGTACATGGCAGGTTGACTTAACAGAGTATCTGGAGAAACATGAGTTTGTTTTCGATGCTGTACTAGATGAGGATGTTTCAAATGATGAAGTGAGTATTGGAAGAAAAACATCATAGGATTGTTTCTCTTGTATTGCTATAGGTTTGTTAATGTTGCTGTACTTTTCATTCTATAGGTATATCGGGAGACAGTAGAGCCCATTGTTCCAATAATATTTCATCGCACAAAAGCAACTTGTTTTGCTTATGGCCAGACGGGTAAGTGGTATTATTTGGAAACCGATATAAGACCACTGCATTTTATCTTTATTGATCAGCTTTCGGAGAGTGCTTTTTCTTGCATCTTGATGAAACATCGCCGGAAGCAGTATTTTGGCCTCTTTTTTATTTCAAGTTTTTTTTTTCTTACATGTTGATGTAGCATTGCCTAAAATAATATTAAAGAGACAGGTGGAGCCGCAGACTGCCAAAATTTCATGATTAATCATACTTTCTTTTTTCTATCACTCATATGAGAATGACTTTGTTTATATGCCAGTGTTCAATGAAGCAAAAATTCAGATATCAACCAGAAACAATCTTTGGTTAGTGTTTGCATTTTCCAATTTTCTCATGAAATGTGCGTTTCGTGCAACTAAGAACAAGGTCTCTGCGAACTTATTCAGTGCGGAGATGTCTATCGGCAATTCTTGGTTTTACTTGTCTACCATTGAATTATTCTTAAGATAGTATCTCCTTTGTGATGTCTTCTATACTTTTTATTTCATTTCATCTTCCCCTACACGGCGGCAAAAGAGAAAGCAGTAAACCCCTCCCCCCTTCTTCTGGTCGAATGTAGTTTATAGCGGTGATGTCATTACACTGCAGAGGGTAGCAAATGAAGTACACGCAGTATTCTTAGAAAATTTGTGAAAATGTATATGAGAGAGTATAGAAAGCTGATGCTACCGTTTTCCCAATCCAATTTGTTACAATGGAGGAGAGAAATCTTCAACACTTTTAAATTCTACTGTCTACTGCTGGCATTGTTCGACTTCCCGGAAAATAATGTTTCTCTTCGTGATTGTTTTAGTATTTAAAGTTTCCTTTTATATCTAGTCGTTGGCTTGTTTCCTTGACGTCTTCTCTCTATATAAATGCTTCTTCCATCCTGGTTGCTTTTAAATTCCTGTTTACACATTTCTAAATACGTTTTCTTTAGCCAGAATAGCAATCTCCCAAGTCTCTTGAATTTGTGATTCTTGGTATTTTAACAAATGTGGCTATTTACAGGCAGTGGAAAGACTTACACCATGCAACCTCTACCTCTTAGAGCATCATATGATATTCTCAAATTGATGCATCACACATACCGAAACCAAGGCTTTCAGCTGTTCGTCAGTTTCTTCGAGATCTACGGTGGCAAACTTTTTGATTTACTGAACGACAGAAGGTCCAACAATACTTGTTATTGCCTTTCACCTTTATCTAGCTTTGCTGGTGCATAAGTCTAGTCTTTGAATTATCAGGCATTTTTCTTCTGCAGAAAGCTATGCATGAGGGAGGACGGCAAGCAGCAAGTATGCATTGTGGGCTTGCAGGAGTACAGAGTATCTAATGTAGAAAGCATCAAAGAGTTGATAGAAAAGGGCAATGCAACGAGGAGCACGGGCACAACTGGCGCAAATGAGGAATCCTCTCGTTCTCATGCCATTCTTCAGCTCGCCATTAAGAGATCAGTTGACGGCAACGAATCGAAGCCTGCCCGAGTCGTCGGTAAGCTCTCATTCATTGATCTTGCTGGCAGCGAGCGTGGGGCAGACACCACTGATAATGATAAGCAAACAAGGTTCGAACTCACTTTCTTTAGCATATGAATCTAAGTTTGGAGATTCATACGAACTGTTTTTGACTTGAGTTATATCTGGCTTGACTACAGAATTGAAGGTGCTGAGATAAACAAAAGCCTGCTCGCCCTGAAGGAATGCATCAGAGCTCTTGACAATGACCAAGTCCACATTCCTTTCCGAGGTAGCAAACTGACCGAAGTCCTCAGAGATTCATTCATCGGAGACTCGCGGACCGTCATGATCTCATGCGTTTCTCCAAATGCCGGTTCTTGTGAGCACACCCTGAACACACTGAGATACGCCGACAGGTGCCATGATCCGATCTATGTTCCATCTTTGTTCATGTAGAGATGATAATGTGTAACCTTCTGTTTTTGCCGTCCACAGGGTCAAAAGTCTTTCAAAAGGGAACAACCCAAAGAAGGAAACCGCTTCCAGCTTAAGAGAGTCGACTGTGGTTCCCTTGTCATCGGTTGTGTCTTCTATTTCCGCTGCAGAGGGCGGCGTTGACTTTGGGAACGGAACCCCCAGCGTCGTCTGGCCCAAGCAGACCCAGAGAGAACAGACTCAGAGGGAGATGTTCTTTTCCTCTTTAGATCAAGGACCCGCCGCAAGAGAGGACCCTCCCGCGTATGGGAACTCCAGAGAAAATGATGACCATGAGTATCCTGAGTTATACGACAGAGGGAGGGCAGCATACCGAAGGGGGAAGCCAGACAACGGTCACCCAGTTTCCCATTCAGAGGACAGAGCGCAGAGGAACGAGATCCGGACGAGACAGAAGGACATGGCGGCGGCGGTGGATCGTAGTGGATTGAGCTCAGACGACGACCTCAATGCCCTGCTGAAGGCAAGCTTTCGATGAAACATCTGAGAGATCTTTGTTTCTTGTTCGTTATGCCTTTTTTAGTATGATCTCTGGCCCATTACAGGAAGAGGAAGATCTCGTGACTGCCCACCGGCGGCAAGTAGAGGAGACCATCGACATGGTCCGAGAGGTTGGTGAGACACAGAGTCCGTTCCAAACCAGTTTCAGTCGGCCGCAGTGTGGGTCATGCCATTTCCTCTTCCCTTTCTTTGCCCTCTTCAGGAGATGAAGCTGCTGGTCGAAGCCGATCAGCCCGGAAACCAGCTCGACGACTACATCTCCCGACTGAGCACCATTCTGTCCCAGAAGGCCGCCGGCATCCTGAACCTACAGACCCGGCTGGCGAATTTCCAGAGGCGGCTCACAGAGCACAACGTCCTGGTCTCCTCCCTGGCCCCCTGAGCTGTGCTGTTCAGGTGAGTCCCATGGCGGCGCCGCCGCCGCTGACTGCTGCTGGGTCAACGGCTCTGATTGTTTTCTGTAGGAAGGTGGTGGCCGGAGCAAGGGAGGAGTTCTCGTCCTCTGGATCTGCCATGCCTATTCTTACTTTTATTCCTCTTTCCCTGTTTTACTACATTTTTTTACCATATTAAGTAATTAAATGATATTTATACGTTTTGATGTTGGACTTGTATCCTGGTAGTTTTTTTCTTCTGATAATTGATGCGCTCGTGTTGCTTGGGGGGTGGGTTCGGTGAGTCTTTCTTGATGGGCTTTCTTTAAGGGCCCAATATTAGAAATAAACTTGTCTGGGCCTTCCGTGGAAGTTATGAAGCGTAGCTTGGCCCAGTTATGTAGAGCGGTGGAGCCGGTAGCCTTTTGGACTGGGCTGGTATTTACCGGCCTGAAAGTGAGATAGTCGGCCCAATAGCAACGCCTACCGCATGGGGAGGATATCCTAAAAGACTTCGCCCCTCACGTACTGAGTCTTCAGAGAGAGCGACGAAGACGGAGAGAGAGAGAGACTCATGGCGATCGGAGTGGTGGCCTCCAGGTGCCGGTACTGCCGTCGAGCCATGGCCGGCTACATCACGAGGCGACCTTTCTCAGCCTCACCGCGACTCTGCCGGAGAATACCGCAAACAGGTGAGAACGCCTCTCTTTCTCTCTCTCTCTCTATCTCTCTCGTGAATGGCAGGCATTGGTGAACCTGAATACTCTGGATTTTGGCGTCGCAGAGAATGAAATCGTCAAGATGTTCAAGCTTCCAAGCGTTTCTGATGGCGGCGGTGACAGGTGGGGGGATCCGGTGCGTCAAGATCCCCGGCGGCCGCCGAGGAGCCGCCGAGCCACTTCCGCTAGGGCTCTTGACGAGAGATTCCTGAGGATCCTGAAGATATTCCGATGGGGTCCCGATGCGGAGAAGGCATTGGAGGTGATGCTGCTGCGAGTGGACCACCGCCTGGTCCTGGAGATCCTCACGGCCGACGTTGAGATCTCTACGAAGCTTCACTTCTTCCGCTGGGCGGGGAAGCGGAAGAACTTCCAACACGACGCCAGTACGTACATGGCCTTGATCCGATGCCTCGACGAAGCGAGGCTGGCGGGGGAGATGTGGAATGCGATCCAGGACATGGTGAGGAGCCCCTGCGCGATCGGCCCGGCCGAGTTATCAGAGATCGTGAGGATTCTCGGTGGAGCAAAAATGGTGGACAAGGCCTGCACGATCTTCTACCAGATCAAAACGCGCAAATGCAGGGCCACGGCAATGGCCTACAACGCCATGATCGGCGTCCTGATGCAGGAGGGGCACCTCGAGAAGGTGCATGAGATCTACAACGAGATGTGCGACGAAGGCGGCGGCTGCTTGCCCGACACAGTGACTTACGAATCCCTGATCGCCGCCTTCTGCAAGCTAGGTCGCGGGGATTCCGCCGTAAGATTGTTCGAGGAGATGAAGGAGAATCACCTGCAACCTACGCCGAAGATCTACAACACTCTAATGAGCATGTTCTTCAAATCCGGGCAGGTCGACAGAGCTCTGGATATCTTCCATCAGATGAGGGATACCTGCTGCGTTCCGAATGTCTTCACCTACACAGAACTAATCAAGGGCCTGGGAGGAGCAGGAAGAACAGATGATGCTTACAAAGTATTTGCAGATATGCGTCGGAGGGGCTGCAACCCAGACACGGTCCTCATCAACAATCTCATCAACATCATGAGTAAGGCTGGCCGACTGGAGGACGCCCTCAAGCTCTTCGACGAAATGAAAGCCCTGCACTGTCCCCCAAATGTGGTGACCTACAACACCATAATCAAGTCTCTCTTCGATTCAAAATCCGACGCAGCCGAAGCTTCCCACTGGTTCGAGAAAATGAAGGAGAACGGCATCCTCCCCAGCGCCTTCACCTACTCCATTCTCATCGATGGTTTGTGCAAGACAAACAGAGTGGAATACGCGCTGCGACTGCTCGAGGAAATGGACGAGAGAGGATTCCCGCCGTGCCCGGCGGCGTACTGCAGTTTGATCAACGCTCTCGGGAAGGCCAAGCGATACGAGGCGGCGGGGGAGTTGTTCCAAGAGCTGAGAGAGAACTGCGGCTTGTCGAGCTCTCGAGTCTACGCCGTGATGATCAAACACCTCGGCAAGTGCGGCCGTTTGGACGACGCATTAGATCTCTTCAGCGAAATGAAGAAGCTCGGCTGCACTCCCGATGTGTTCGCCTACAATGCCCTGATGGCTGGAATGGTCAGGGCAGGGCTGATCGACGAAGCTTACTCTGTTCTCAGATCGATGCAAGAACACGGCTGTGCTCCTGATCTAAACTCTCACAACATAATTCTGAATGGCCTGGGGAAGATCGGCGGCCCCAAGCCTGCAATGGAGATGCTCTCAAGAATGAAGACATCCGAGGTCAAACCTGATGCCGTCTCCTACAACACGGTTCTGGGTTCACTCAGCCGAGCTGGTATGCTCGAGGAGGCAGCTAGGTTGATGAAGAAGATGAGGTTAAACGGGTTCGACTACGATCTGATAACCTATTCGTCGATCCTCGAGGCAGTGGGGAAAGTCGACGATGAATCCTTCAGCTCGATCACATAACTACACGGTATGCTCATTATAGCTCAGAGAATTCACTCACGGAGTTCATCCACTCCGCCCATGACGGTGCTTTAGACTTTGATCTCAGTTGACTTCAAACAGGTCAGCTCCATTATCACACGACTGCTCCTCTACCCTGGCTTTAATAAGGTATTTATATATATGCTTGATTTGTAAATTCTGATATTTTTTTCTTGACAGTTTCTTTGCCTGATTCAGGCCACCCAGCCGCATATATCCAGGGGGGTAGAACCACATCACGCAGACCCAAACCTCCGCCCTAGAACTGAGGGAGCTCCATCGGGGTAGGGTTCTCTTCCTCACTGTAACGAAGAAGAGGATATCATCCGACAAATAGAGCAACATTCAAGATTTAGCGAGGGGTCACGTAACCAGCTCGAATAATGGAAGAGCCCATGTTATTCTCCAAATCCCACGAGCGGGAACATGCCCGTGTTCTTTCAAACAAATCAAATCAGAAGAAATTACAAAGATAGGGATCATAAGTCTGACACTGCCGACCTAACCTTCACTTCCATATGTTCAGGGAACGAGAGATCACAGCGGTGGGGCGCTCAACGGCGGAGCAGCTGCAGGCCGGCGCGCAGATCCTCCATGGTGATGGTGAGCAGATCGTCGGTGTCTATACAGTCGAATCCCAGCCGGTGATCCAAATTCTCCCTGGCGTTGATGAGCATCGGCTCGATCAGGCCCCCGTTCATCTCCTTCCTCTGCTGCTCCGTTGTTTCGGTTTCGATGAGCTGGGTCACGGCCTCATTGGTGCAGGAAGGGTGCAGCCTGAAGCCGTAGAGGGAGCTGCCCACCTCGGTGTCCACCATCTTAAGGTGCAGGATCTGGGAGAGCTCCGAGGTGCTGAAGTCCTTGAAGTGGAAGAACTTGGTCACCCGCCTGTAGAAGCCCTCGTTGGAGGTTATGACGCGCTTCATCGGCTCCTCGTACCCGGCAAATATGACCACGATCTTCCCGGTATCCATCACAGACATGATCTCCTCCAGGGCCTCCAACCCGTAGTCCTTGTCGTCCGACTTCTGCATCGGAATCAAACGGTACGCTTCGTCCACGAAAAGAATCCCCCCTTCCGCTTGCTCCAGCTGCAATCGTAGGTCAACGGAGTTTTAAACACCCATCATTTCTTATGCTACGGTTTTCCTTATTTATTTATTTATTTAAATTGCGCTATGCTTCCCTATTTTTTATTTTCTATTATTTTTATATTCTTCCTGTTGTCGTAATTTATGGGCGAGAAAATAATGAAATGGGCAGAGATTGTGGTTTATTATTATAATAATTACCTTTCTCCTGGTCTTGGGTCCGGTGTGGCCCACGAATTCTCCCACCAGATCTGTCCGTTGGACTTCAGTGACCCTGTCGGTGGGCAGAAATCCCACCATATGGAGCAGCTTCCCCAGGAGGCGAGCGATCATTGTTTTCCCTGTACAGTACAAAGAAGAAGATCACATCCATGAGAGGCAATGCTTTCTACAAAGAGAGGTCAACGGAGAGAGAAAGGAGCCGGCTTTTTTACCTGTTCCAGGGCTGCCGAGGAAGGCCATGTGAGGAGGCCTCCGGGGAGCGATCTTCAACCCTAGAGATCTCCGGCGCTCATCCATGAGCATCCCCTTCGCCCACCTGTGCAGCTGAGATTTTATCTCTTCCAGTCCCACGATGGTCGCCATGGCAGTCTCAAACTCCGCCATCTTCGCCGTCGCATCCTTGCAGATCTCCAGGGCCTTCCGCCGCCTCTGCTCCTCAGCGTGCCTCTGGAGGAGCTGCTGCAGCTTTCCCCCGTTCGACGCTTTAGAGAGCAGGTTCAGCGGGGTCACCCCTTCCTGCATCATCGCCGCCGCCATTGATCGGCCATTTTCAGATCGCTGGAGATTTTCAAGAGGAGACCAAAAAAAAAGAAAACAAAAGGAAAGAAGAAACCCACGTCGTCAACGAGGCTGCAGTCAGCGTTGTGTTTCAGCAGTGTGCCGACCGTGCTGGGGTCTTCGGCGTGGAGGGCGTGCCAGACGGCCAGGTGCAGCGGGGTCATCCCATTCTGCGGAACCAGGGATATGATCTCAGAACTCGAAGTCAACGGACTTTGTGACAGCAAAGTGAGTTTTTGATGTTTTTGATGCTCAGAAAGGAGTCCGTTGTGAAACTCTTCGGGAGGAGATTTTGACCTTACAACTTGACCGTAAAGTCAACTGAACATGACGAGGGTAAGAATTTATGCGACTAGATGCCGAAGAGGGACATGCATTTCTTCACGGGTACAGGAGAAATGTGAAGGCGAACTCAGGGTTAGATCGATCGGAAAGTCAACAGATTACCCGAAAAAGAAAACTGACAATGATACATGAAGATCAGGAACGATGAACGGATCGATTTTCACACGCAGGACAGAAATGTTCTCAAAACTCGATCAGAAGGCCCGACGGGCCGATGAGAAAAATAGGTAATAAGAAAGGATGATTTCAGAACTCGATCAGAAACCCATCGGAGCAAGCAGCTGCTAAAGAAGGGATCCGGCCATTGATGGGACTACTTACATTAGCCCGTGCTTCTATGATTGCCCCGTGCTGGATGAGCAGCTCTGCCGCCTCACTGCACCCATTTTTCGCAGCCATGTGCAGTGGTGTCTCCCCGTACTGCGTAGCGTCCAAGTAGAGTTTACATGTATCAGATCGATCTCTCGGGGAGGAAAACGAGCAGAAACAACAGCAAGCCAAAGAAAAATTATGGATCGGAGAGATCAAATTACCATGTTTTTTGCTTCCAACTCCACCTTGTCGGGTCCGTTCCAGTTGAGAAGGAACTTGACGATCCCAACGTTATTGTAACCCGAGGCAACATGAAGGGGCGTCTGGACCATCTGCAAAGGGGGTTCACAAGGTTGATCATTCAAATGAGGAAGGCACGCAATGCACAGCAGCTTTATGAATCAGGATGTTCATAAGCGAGACTGAAATGATTTGTGATTTGCGGATTTGAACGGTTTTGCCTCTTTGGTGGAGGATTTCCATCTCGAAGCCACCGCAAAGGGAGGGAATAGATCGGCATTCTCATTCTAGATATTCTTGAGCTCTGCTTGCCGTTTCTACCGATCCGGCACAGATTTCTGCTCTGCTCCTAAAAGAAAATCAGATATACTCGTGGATCTTGAAAGGATATCAGGAACGGGGAGGCTCCCAATCCATCAATTAACGAAGATCTAAGATTGTGATGAAACGGGAGAAATCATCGCTCGCCAGAGTAGATGTTCCCGTAAATAATCGGATCCGGAATAGGAAACGCAGCAGAGAGCAGAAGGGGAAGAAGGATCGAAGGTTTAAGAATCCCGAGCCGAACAGAAGATCCTACCAAACTGGAAGAAGAACGATGAAAAACACACCGAGAGATCTGGAAGGGGGGGAACAGGAAGAAGAAAAAACAAAAAGAGGAATGGGGACAGGAGAGCGACGTACGATTTCGTTCCTCTCATTGAGGAGAGAGGGATTCTCCGCCAGCTTCTTCTGAAGCCCGGAGAGGTCCCCGAGCTGAACGAAGCCGTGGACGGTGGTCGGCCTCGCAGGCCTCACCCGGTGATCTACGCCCGGCGGCATGGCTTCCTCCCCCGTCCTCTTGCTGTGCTCCTCTCCTCACCTTTGTCTCCCCGATCTCCCCTCAGAAAGGAGGGATCAAAGGTGGAGGAACGTAACCTTCTTCTCGCCCTCCTCTGCTCCTTCTCTCTCCCCCTCACGCCCCCTCTCCTCCACGTGCTATTTATAGCCCCCGAGAAAATCCGACGGACGATCCACAGACTCAGCCGCAGATACCAACTCCTCTCCCGCCGCCAGCGGCGCCACCACCTCCTCCCTCCTTCCTCCTTCCTCCCTCCTCCTCTTCCTCACTCCCCTAGATCCAGATGCCCTTCTTCCTCCTGCATGTGACTTTTGAAGGCAAGGAAGGAAGAGAGAGAGAGAGAGAGAGGATCCACCGACTTCACGAGGCCACTGAGACCTTGGTCCTCGTTTTCACAGCTGTTCCTCCTTCCTCTCCGACGGGCCCACCGCCGGCAGTTCCGGCGTCGACTTCCTCCGATGGCGCGATACCGACACCTCTCTGCGTACCGTCCACCTATTCGCCCTTCCCTAATAATTCAAGGTTATATTACACCTTGTTTCCTATTTTTTAAATATTATAGACGGAGTAAATTCCTAGCTGGCCCACACGTCCTTGCCACGTGTATGCATGAGCTTCACCCACGTGTTTCTCACCTTTCGTCTATGTGTCTCACTCTCTGTGACTGAATCGTAATGGATCCGGTCCATGACTCGTGTGGAATTTGGACCGGCTCTTCCTAGGGCCCACAGACAAAAGGTTTTTTTTAAAATATTAAATATATACTGATTTGGAGGCCCAAAACGGGACGGCAAATAGTTGATGCTGATTCCTGACCGTACATGCCACATCATGTGGGCCCCGATTTTGGGCAGCACTTATTCTGAAAACTCAGTCCTACCAAAACACGATCCAGGAATCTTCCCAGTAACTCGGGTTGCGTGCTCGCAGATTTGCTTAACGGGAGGGGAGGGAATATCAAATGGGCCAGCCCAAAAATAAAATGCGTCACACGTTCTGCCCATTTAAGGAATTTGGGCCCGGCCCAATAATTTTGTTGACCATGTAGAATCCAACTTTGACTTGTTTTCACTGAATCCACTGAATGAACGGGTAAGCGGACCCTTCAGATGTCCGATAAGTAAAGGGGCGACCGTCAAATGGGCCTCACGGGATCAAAGCGCAGCCAAGAACCATATCATACGTATCACGTGATGATCAGACCAGGGCGGAGACCAGCTCAGAGTCCACCAGCTCACAGCATGGGAGACGACCGATTCCACGTCCCCATAAGAGACTACCGTTGAATTTAACTAACCCGTCAATCTCAAATTCCCATTAGTTGAAGGCGATGGAAAAGGTATGCCTGACATCATTAGTCAAAGTCAATTGCTGCCTATTTTTACTCGGTGAGGATATTAAAATAATCCAAATTATAAAAAAAAAACTCCCGTCATTATGGAAATTATCTTCATCCACCACTAGGACATTCATCAACACCTCATATGAGACTGACATAATATAAGATAAACCCATAATTTTATTTGTCTCTCTGGGATGCTCACACCTACCATGTTGATCCATTGGCCAACAAACCTACTAATATATTTATGAAGATTTATGAAGGTAGGCCCATTTTTATAGATCTGTCCTGGTAATTTTTTGAGAGAAAATTTAGATCGGACTTGACCTGAGCACTCAAAGGCTGTGAACAAAAGGGATTAAGCTAGGAAGATGATTGCAAGAGTTAAGTGAAATCTCTTAATCATCTAGGGCGATTATGAAAATTTTGGGATAGTTATGTTGTTAATAATATTACCGAGGGATTTCATAAAAAGTTTTACATTTCCAAAGTGGCAGTTATGTGACGCCATCAGCGTGGAAACACCCAACTTGATTGGTCAGATTTGTAGATTTTACGTAAATGAAGCTATAAAAAGTGGGGCCCATCATTTGATCTGGTTGAGTTGCCATGTGCTCTACCTTCCGTAGTGGGAAAAAAAAATCTCATTTTTTTCCACACTCTACTCTCAAAGCTCCTCTCTACGAAGGGAGGGTAGAACGAATTGGAGAAGAGGGAGAGATGAAGAGGGGATGTTGCTGAGTTCTTCCTGTCAGCCATCGACTGTCAGCAATGTTGCTAGCACCGTATCTTTCCTCGACGACCTATCCAGACACCTTGTTGAAAACTTCGTCAGCACCATCTCTTTCCCCTTCAAGTTCTCTAACCACCAAGTTCCCAAATTCCTTCAGTTCCAGTTCCATTTCTATGGTCGGGATTGTGGGGATCACTGTGGGTTGTGTGGCTGCCTTGATCATCCTCAACATCCTATTCATCTATCTCTAGAGGAGGAAGAAACGGTGGGATCTGTCGACGTGCAATCACTATGGAGGTCCACTGCACATGGGTGATTCCAAAGGTTCACCAAAAGATCTAGTAATTCTGGTTATTTAGTCAGTTGGCTTTTAGTCAATGGTCAGCCATAACTCATGGAATAACATGAAGATAACTCCATAGAATGCAGATGCTTATGAATTTATGGTGTCTATTTTTTTTCTGAAAATCAATATACCGAAGACCATCACCGTAATCACTGTATGTTAGATATCTGCAGTGTGATGCCTATTACACATCTTATAATTTGTTTTATGTTTGTGAGAAACTTTCTGCATCATTTTCTCGCTAGAGAAACTATGATTTACTTCCTTTTATTGTCAAGTGATGTTAAATTTTCTTTGACGTGGTAATGTTAAATTTACTTTCTTTTATTGTCAAGTGACATCTACACTGCACTGGGCATTTAGAAAGATAGTTCCTCCAATCAATAAGTTGACTTTAGTCATCACTACATCTCAAATTTTAATAAGTTGACTTTCAGGACACTTATTCTTGCTGGTCCAACTAATAGAAACCCAAGACGACAAGAAGAGAATGAACCAAATACGAATAGAAATCAGGTAAACCAACTAGGATTGGGTCCCAATTGGAGCATTAATTTAGAATCCCCTTGCTCTCCTTCACAAGTCATGGCTTGCCTAACTCATGTCCTCCCCTAACCCTAATAACCTCTTTTCCCTTTGGCCTCATATTTACCTAAATACCCTCCACTTAACCCTCACATGGCCCACATGCCCCATCACTCAATTTACATCTATTGAGGGTCCTAACACCTATTCGTAGATAAAAGGAGAAAGGTTGGGCTTGGGAAGGGAAGGAAATCTGATTCTAAGATACTAGACAAGGATTAGGCTACCTTCTTTTCTTTTTTAAAAAACTTCATAATTTTTAAGGTTTCATCTAATTTATTAGGTCATAGAAATCTTCATAAACACGCATAGGAATATAAATAATTCTCAATTTTTATATTTATTTTTTAGAATATGTTTACATATTTTTCTCATCATCAAAACTCTTATTGCATTGGTGCTATCTAGACATAATGCTAGTCAGAATCTAAGAAAACTATTTTTATCTTTGAGTCTAGTTTTTTATCACACTTTCACATTGAAGATTACTCTTTGGATTGGAGAGGCTTTATTAGAAGTTGTATGAATCCAATCGGTGGACAGTCACAAAGCTCAACCTTATGAAAATGTTAGATGACTTGGAGTGATTACTAGGATCTTAGAAATAGAAGGTGTCTTAAATCGCAATTTATATAGATGGGTTAACATATTTATTTATTTAATTATAATTTCTAAGCAAATAAGTATGTATAAAATGATGATAAAAAAGATGTTAATATCTTTGAATTTAATTATTACCTTATGATTATATGAAGGGAGCTTGTGTTAAAAAATGCCTTTTCCTTTATGAACTTAAGCATCAATTTATTTGGAAATGTATTGTCAATTAGGAGTCTTAAAATGTAGTGGATTTTTCCTACATAATGATCATTGACAAGGGTATGGTAACTCAATGGAACCCATAATGAAGTAGGCTTTCTATGTGTGATGATCATCAACTATGATATCACTCTGGACTCCCAGCAAAGACATCAAATAGAGAATCAACTAAATACAAACATAGGAATAAAAAGTTCATAAAGAATGATAAACAAGGTTCTATTGGAATGCTAAAAACACCTTTACACTCCTACACTGACTTTGACTGTGCAAATTTACTAAAAATACCCTTACACTCATAGCTTTGACTCTTTTCCTCTCCTACCCTAAATATTTTGTAGAGTCTTATTATGTTGTATAAAAGTGGTTAGTCCTTGAAATTATTTTTTGTTTGAATATTTTTTAATAGTATTTTGTGTAGTGAAAATCAATTGCAAAAGATATTTTGTGTCCGCTTAAGGATTTAAATGTAATTTTGATATGAGCCCTTATAAAAGCTTTTAAAAAAAAATTCATTGGTTTAAGGATTCGACACATGGTTATCTAGCACTTTAATCTATAGACGTGTTCACTCTTCATCACACACACAATACAAATTATGACTTAATACCTTTGAAAGTTTCTAATGACATATGTATTGTCTATTCTTATTGAAAATTGTTCAAAATTATTATTATTTTTCTTTTTCACCATAGAACCACCTTTTCCAAATGATAATCAGTGGCTCACCTCTAGGTTGTTCTTGTTGTTTGTGTGTTCACAATTATGGTTTACTATTCACGTCCACTTAATAATTGATTTTTTTCTTTTTCCTTCTCTATTTTGTCCTCTCATTTTTTAGTATCTGCCTAGTGATATGTATGAAGAGGCAAAAAGAAATTTGGCAGCATACTGTTCCGCCACCAACTTAGTATGTTATGAAGATTCCTCCTCCAACCTATGCCTCATTTCCACCAAATTCACCACCATGCCGTCCACTTGTACTAGTAACTAGTGGTAGAAGAGGTTCTTCTGGTCCTAAGGATCCACTTCTTTTTTCACTATTGCCTGATGCTTTCTTTGGTTTCTCAAAAAACAACTTCACATATGGAGAGCTAGCAACAACAACAGATGGGTTTATGGATGCCAATCTACTTGGGCAAGGTGGGTTCGGATA